CACATGGGATAAGCACCTTGAAACTTGGGTGAAGACGTCAGGTATCCTTGGCGGACCAAAAAACACTGCTCCAACGGTAATATCACCTCAACAGTACAAGAAACGGTTCAGGAAAGCTATGAGTGCATATTTTCTTATGGTGCCTGATCAGTGGTCTCCTCCAGTTTTACATCCTAGTGGCTCCCAGTCTGACCTCTGTGATGAACATTCATGATACTGTCTCTCCTGTCTTATAGTTAAAAAAACATTGTATTTTGTCGTCTCTCAATTTTTGCTTCTTTTTCCATAGTATGCAAGGGCTCCTCCAATTCCCGGAGATCCTTAAACGGAATGGAAGACGTTATCCCATGAAATGGTAAATGTACAGCCTATTATTTGTAATTATTTTTTTCCTTGTTGGTTGTAAAATAAATGTATTTCATCTTTTCCATGTGTTGATTTTCCTTCTCTTGGAAGGCAAATACTGATGATGATGTATCACGCTTTTGACTAAGCCTTTCGCGTGTATGGGGCAAAATGCATTTCGATTATCCAAAATGTGAGGTCAGGATCCAAATCTAATACAAAGCGAGAGTAACATTTTGTATGTAGTCTATGTTTAGGATTTCGAGAGCCTGAATAATGTAGGTACTAGGTAGGTTTATATTTCCTCTTATTTCTTACGAGCAAGGTGATTATTTTAATGAGTGAACTTACAGAGAAAGCATTATTTTGGGAAAGCAGACATTTGACGATTGCTTTTGTTGGCGGGAAAAAAAAAATAGTAACATAGGCGAATTGAATTTGGTTGGAACTTGCTGGGTAAAGGAGAAGGCAGGGTGGAAGAAGGACGTGGGTACCTGTTTTTGGGGAGCGCTCGCGGTGGCTAATAACATCAATACAGTGGGATGATGCATTGTTTGAAATCTTTTGTGGCCTTGCTTGCCAACCCGGTCGTGGGTGATTCATTCGCATGATCACGAAAAACCAGATATTGTGTGTTAGTTCTTGTTGGTGGCAATGGTCCTTTCAAACCACTGTTTTTGACTTGCGAGACACAGAATTGTTTAGGGTCTTAAAATGCCACTTTCAAATGAAGGCGTTGGTTCTGTTGAATGCGAATAAATGCCTTTTCCATGGTAGATTCTGACAACATCTTGAGAACCCAATTTCTTTTCCAATGTATGGGATAGTCTGGAAATGGAAAAGAGATGTTGCTAGCTCTTGAAAATGCCTTCTGGATTGAATGGACGATTTTGGGTGGAAGACATGGCATTCACTGGTTTCCCTGAAGATTGAGGACTGTTCGACACTCAACTAGAGTTTTCTGGTTTTTCTCCTTCTAACCGGCGTCGAGCCTTCTTGCTTTCAGGTTCATATCTTTCTGTTTCACATTCTTCTGAAATCCCACCTTCTGATGATCGTTACTCTTGATGACTTCGGTGGTTCGCTCGCTTCTTTATCAATTTCTAGATTGGCTAAGATCGAAAGACCCACGGTCATGAAATTTGTTCTGCTAATCGACTTATTTTTAGCCTGTTGATGTGGTTTAATGCTTGCATTGCCCTCAATCGTGGATGTGATCTGGGATGGAGATGCTTTTTGGAACTGGAGCATTTTTGCAAGTTTTGGTTTAACCCTGGAGAGAATGTCTCAATGAAATTCCGGAAATGTTCTATTTTGGGGATCTCTTTTCTGACGCCTTCAGATGTCTGACGGGGAAGACTTTTTCTTTTTCTTTTGTTTTTTTTAATGGTTGTCTGTTGTTAATTTTATGAGAAAATGACACTAGGATTTCATGAAACATAAAATACTACAAAAAGGTCTCAGAAAATTCAATAATAAATCTGAAGTCCCAAAGGGACCTAAGAGCAATTTAATGAAAGGTTGAAAAGACATCTCTACTCTTGTAAGAAGCACCTAAAGCTGCTGAAAATTTACTCTGTTTCAACCTGAAAATCGACACCTTGTTTGCAGAAGGGAAGAAGAAAAAATACTCAAACTTCATCATGTTTTTTCCTTACTCCATCTGAAAATCTTGCCCACTCTACCAACATCAACCATTAGCAAAAACTGCTTGTGTTTTTTGTTTGATATGTGTTAGTCATGAACAAGGATGAGCAGTCACATGAGGCAAAAGAAGAACATGGGCAAAAAGAAAGGCCTCTTTGAATTTTTTTTTTGTAAATGTCACTAATCAGCTGCCTCTATTAGTTTAAGGGAATTTGTAATATTATATGATGTTGTTTAGTAGTATGTAACTTAAAATCACATTTTTTTAAAACTTATATCAGCATATAAATTGACAACTGATAGTGCAACGAGTGATAAGTGATGAAAGGTGTATTGACAATGAAAGGTGCAGATAATGACAACTGATTATGCATCAAAATATAATATATAGCCAGCTTTCTTTCACAACTTCATATAAATGTAATTACACCAATTTTACAACTCATTGAAAATAAAACATAAAATTACATGTATCTAATATCAAATGAACTATTTGTGTATATCATGATATTTACCAAAAAAAAAAATCAAAGAGCTTTTCTTTTTGCCCATGTTCTTCTTTTGCGTCATGTGACTGCTCACCCTTGTTCATAGCCTCTTTTTCCTCCTTTTATAAACTTTGCCAATGAGCTAAGGGTATAGAAGCTCACCATCATTGTGTCAAAAGCGTGACAAAACCAATTAATATACACTTGCACGACACAGTGATCAGTGACAAGTTAAGGAGCTGTATTGATAACTGTCGCGGCCTCTATTGACAATTTATTCTCCTATTTTGCAGTAAGGGTTTCTACCCACATCAAACTTTATCTTTTTCATCAATTCCTGTTGAATCATACCGAAACAGAGCAAAATCATCTTCAACCAACCCACAATACATCTAGAAATAGAGCACCCATCATCATCCTACCCACCTATAATAAAACCCCAACTTAGATGACCAACATACATCAAATAAAAGAACACAAGTAGTTTTTGCCAATGGTTGATGTTAGTGGAGTGGGCAAGATTTTCAGATGGAAGTAAGGAAGAAACATGATGAATTTTGAGTATTTTTTCTTCTTCCCTTCTGCAAACAGGATGTCGATTTTCAAGTTAAAACAGAGCAAATTTTCAACAGCTTTGGGTGCTTCTTACAAGGACAAAGATGTCTTTTTAGCCTTTCATTAAATTACACTCAAGTCTCTTTGGGACTTCAGATTTATTACTGGATTTTCTAGGACTTTTTTGTAATATTTTATGTCCTATGGGACCCTAGTATCATTTTCCCTAATTTTCTACTCACGTGCTTTGCGTCATGATGTTTATGATAAAAGGCGAATTTTTTCACTTGAATATTTTGAAATATCCAAACACTAATATATTTTTTATGAAATCCAAGCACTAAAAAATTTAACATACTCCTTTCGGTTTTATTTATAAGTTTTCAAGTTCAAAAAGTAGTGTGATTTTTTTTATGAGTTTTAATTTGAGTTTGTAATTTATAAATTAGTTATTTAAAATTTATACTAAGAACTGTAAGTAGTATTAGTCTCTACTCATGTACAAAAGTCGAACGGTCGAAGACATTATTTAACACAATTTTGACACTAGATATTATGTTACGACTCCCTAGTCTCCAACTCATTTGTAACACACTTAATGCCTATTTTACAATCCTACTCTTATCTAATTTTTATTAGACAAGGAGAAAAAGGAGAGGAAGGCGTGAAAATGATTTATAAATATAAAAAATTAAGAAATATTGTTAATTTAATATATTTTTTGATATGCGATAATGTATTTTAAGTCACTTTTGTCAATCATGTAAGATGGCCCATAAAGTGGAAGAGGCTTTGATCTTGGACTGTACATGATTGTCTCTACGGTGTGATATTGAAAAATGGATCACATTGGACGCTTCAACTGGAGGACCAAGAACCAGCCAGAATTCACAAACTGGCTCTCCAGAAAGCCCGTCCAAAGATTGAACTAATCTAAATTATGTGCACCGTCCCAAGATGCTTTTGTCTTCACAGAAAATAGAAGGGTGAACGCTGATTGAAATGTACTACTTTTTGTTCTTAATATAAATTTCAAATATAAAATTTTAATTTATGTTATTTTTCATATTTATTTATTTATTTAAAATAGTTTTTATAATAATTATATATGTTAAAGTTTTCATCAAATAGTAGTTTTAACTAATACACATTATTAACAAAGATATTTTAAAAAATAATATTTATTTATTACAAATAGTTAATTTAGTAATTTTTTAATCCACGTTAGTGAATTAGTTGTTATATTAAGCAAAGAACACAGTACAATTTTGGGCAATCAGATGCGGTTTCCTCGAAATTTCTCCTCAGCCTCGAGGTCAGCAAGACCCACTCTTCTTCGCGCCTTCCTACCTCTTTTCAGATTGACCATTTTAAACTTTTTATTATGCATCCATATTATGATTTTCCTGGCACCTTTCTCAATTTCCAAATATAAAGGCATTATTCATAAATATCAATGATAGATTATATTGTCGAACATAAATATAATTTTTTCTTGAAAAAGAAATACTCCTCCTGTCCTAATTATAAGACCCAATTGATTTATTTGAGGAGATTAAAGAAGTAAATTAAGTTGGTTATTTATAATAAATAAGTGTTGTCATTCCTAAAATATCCTTGCTAATTAAGTATATTGGCTAAAACTATCATTATTAGAAGGATTATCTTAGAAAAAAATACATAAATATAAGAGACAAAATGAATTTGGATCTTATAATTAGGACCAAATAAAAAGTCAAATGAGATCTTATAATAAGGACCGGAGGAGTATATTTTTACTTTCTATTATATTATCACACACAAAATAAAAATATATTAAAATCGTCAATTGTGTAGAATTTTTTTTTTAAAAAAAAAAATACTACACCACACTATTTACGAGTTCGTTTTCTCGCGCTTTTACGGGAGAGAATTAAGATAAAAAAATGACAAAAAGCGAAGAGGATGCAAAGTCTGGGGCCCTGGTGGCGAATGTTACTGAGAGATATTTTGCAGGTGGAAAGTGAAGAATAATAGTAGGAGTAGTAGGCTACAACCAGATAGAGTTCGTAAATCGCATGGCTTGAGACAAGAGGAATGAAATTAAACCCCTAAGCCGGCGGTGTAAGTGACGCCCGTTGAAGGTAACCAAAGATTGCCCTCAATAAACTGAGCCACCGTGAAGTTGCTGGCCTGCCTCGAATCATTCAGCGCTCTGTACCCTCCCCATTTGACTCGCTTCTCCAGTGCCGCTCCTGCCCCGTAATTCTGGAACTCCGCGTAGAACAACGTGTCCAGCGCGAAGTCCCCGTTCCACTCCAGCCACCCTTCCGGCCTCAGCGCTTCACTCATGTACGATTGCATGAACACCGTTCTTGAGTAGGTCTTCCACGGCCTCCCCAGGTACGTCTGGGTCGAGTTCACTGAGGGTAGCAGGTCCCAATCTGCGGACACGTTGCAGAACTGGAACGAGAACCCTGAGGGCTCGTTGGGGTCTTTTCGACCTTGAGCCGTGATCGTGTTCTTCTGGCTCGCCAGGCCCTTCTTTGCCAGCAGCTGGCAGTTTTGGAAGACGGCGGTGGCGTCGCCGAATATGAAGTCCACTGTGCCGGTGATCTTGCATTCTCTGTAGAACTGGCGCATGGTGTGGGTGTAGAGGCTGTCTTGGTATCCATAGATGCCGCATCGGTAGTACACAGAGAGGTCGGAGTCGGATCTCAGTGCCACTGCCTGGTGCTTCTCGGGGCCTGCAGTGTTCTGGAACGCTATGTCTCGTGCTATAAACCCTCTCCCGCTGACAGCTGCACATGCCAAATTGGAAAATGGGTCAGATACTCATCCCCTGACATTCGTTTCCAGCCACGCTTCAATTCGTTTTTAAGTTTTCATTGCCAACCCTCCCATGCTCATTTATTTCTCTGGATCATTTTGTACTGCCTGTGTGTTCCATCAATCAGGCCCCATTTATGGTTGAAATTGCTTTCTTTGCCTCTTCTTTTGCGAGCCTCTGCTCCATGTTAGAGCTGCTTCACTCCATTTTCCATCCCTTTTGATCGTGCGTGTCCCCCCTTTCTAACAGTTCGGTAGCACTAATTTCATGGCACTTCCTGTCTTTGTCTCCTCATTTACGAAGCACGACACTCAGTACGCAAGCAGTTTACTTTAGCCCTCTCCCGGAACTCACCATGTCACATAGCCACTGTTTACCTTGACCCACCAAAGTCCGTATGTTCTTTCTTAACTCAAAACATCTTTTCCTTGTAATTAAACAAAGTACGTCATCATACGTCACTACATGGCTATATGCAGTCCATACATAATTACTCACCTTAAGAAACACACGATCCTATCCATAGACATGATTATCTGAATAAATTAAAGTTCCTATTCATTCGTGCTTTAATCAGACAGCTCCACTGTTTTTACTATATAATTAGGTCCAAGAAATTTTCCAGCTTGATGGCATGTGTTTTTAATAAAATCAGTCGACCCATTGCTAGTTAACACCAAGATAAACAAAGATTAGATTAGCATGAACGGAGAAGAAAAAGAGTATTGGAAAGTGCGGTGGTTACCAAAGGTAGCAGTGCGGAAGGTGGTCCAACCATCGACGAAACTACGGTTGCCGGAGATAATGGTGGCATCCATACCGTCACCAATCATCATGAGGTTCCACTTCTTCTTCTTGATCTCCACGTTCTCCGTGTACAAACCCCTCTTCACGTATATGACATAGCGTTTCATGCTATAGTCGGGAGCTGCAAGCACTGCATCCATCACCTTTGTGTAATTTCCAGTCCCATCCGCGGCCACCACCACGTCCACTGGCAACTGATTGGTCTGCAGGAGCTTGCGGTCCCCAGGTTTAATCCACGAAGGAAACCGGTTCTTGCCGCTCCAGGAACGGTCCGAAACAGGGTGCACCTGCGCCAGCAGATCCTGCAGCAGCGAGCTCACCTGTCCCAGCCCACTGGATATGAGACCGCTCACAATGCTGTTGGTGCCTTCAAAACCGTCCATGCATGTCTCTGGATTGGCCAGTGCGGCGCTCAACCATGTCCGCAAATCGGAGCTCAGGTTCCCGGTGCCGTTATGCTTGCCTGAAAGAATTGCGACCGTTATATTACTTTTGGTGCAAAGTGCTAAGTGATGTGCATTTTTGTGAAAATGAGTTACGGCTGTGATGAGTGAGTTATCATCAACTGGGGAATCGAAGGAAGATCCCCTGTTTTCAGTTATGAGGGGAAGTCAAATCGGAGCAAGTTAGGTCCACAATGGAGAAATAGGGAGCAGGTGGGGAACGATAGGGGAGGCGAGGAAGGGGAAGAGTACCTCGGGGAGATTGAGAAGCGGAGGCGGAGAAGGAAAGGTCGTCAGAAGACAAGTCGAGCAAGTCGAGGCAGTCGGAAATTGCATGGGAGAGGCGAGAATCTCCGGAGAAATCAGCGAAGCGGGACAGGATGGAGACGACCTGGTTCAAGACGCGGAGGACTTGGGAGACGGAGGAAACGAACTGGGAGGAGGAAGGCTGGAAGGTGGGGCGGGAAGAAACAGGAGAGAGATGCAGGAGGAGGAGAGAGATGAGGAAGAAAGAGAGGGCGGGGGCGGAAGAGGGAGCCATGAGAAGGGGAGAAGAGCCAGAGGAAGAGAGAATATATAAATAGGGAAGTGAGAGTGGAGAAATAAAAGAGGGAGAGGAGAGGGGTATTAAAGACGAGAATGAGGGGGTTGGATGGGGAGGCGAGGGAATTTAATGGGAGGGAGAGAGGCGGGAGGCAGTGACTGTGTTGCGGGTTGCCTAATGATGATTGCCCCAAAGCTGTTGCTAATTTGAGGAAGGGAGGGACCCATTAAGTGCAGGGCCACGTTGTTTGACTGTTTCCCGTTGTCATTGGCTGGGGCCGCCTCCTTTGATACGTATTGAATACCGAGTCATTCACAACCCAAGTTCATACGGTTGCTCAGTCGAGGAGGCAACCGCCCCTTGGACTCAAAGATCGTATGAAAGGAACACGCGTTGCATACGGGAGACGTGAGACCAGAATCAATGTGACCACAGTTTACTAAAGTCGGCATGTCTGTGAGTGACTCTAGTTTGCAAAATTGTATGCGGCAACCCGTCCGCTTCATGTTTTGAACTCACCATGCTACAATTGGTGGCTGACATGTGCTTCATATGCTGGTCATTATTCTACGCACTTACTTTTCCTAAAACGCTGTCCCCTCTTTGTAATCAACTGGCTTTTTCCTAATCTGTCCTGTAGTTTCTCTTTCATTTATCATTTATTTATTTGAATCTTAAATTTTAACTGGGAGTAAAGATTACCCGAAGAAAGACTCGATCAAGGAACCGGGCAAACCGGAAGCTAAGCCCAAGGGTTTCTTGTACAGGTTCAGAACGAACATTTTTTTTCCAAAAAAAGAAAAACATATTTTGTATTTGAGATCGAAAGAAGAACCTAAGACATATCAATCATTAAAAATTAACTTGCTTTTGACTTTTCACATGTGATAGTGCAACGTTGATGTAAATTTAGGTTTCATGTGATGGAGCAATTAATGCTAACCATTTTTATTTTGTTTCATCATAACGTTACTTATCATAAAATGGTTTAACTAAATGACGCATATGGTTAAAAAAAAAAAGTCAATTACATGGTTTAAATTGTTTAGAAGTAGCCAAACATTTTTTTTAAAGCAAAGACAAATATTTTCTTTTGGTCCCACTAATTAAATGAACAAAAACATATTCTAACATTTACGAAAGACTCAATAAATGGTACAAAATTTTTCCCCTTATAAATTTTTTTTAAAAACTTTTAGAGGATATGCCGTCAATAAAATAAGATGAGACACGAGCTGGTACTAACACTGCAATAACCGAATTCATGAACAGGTGGCACATTGTGTTATATGCGTTGGTGGCTATATTGGGAGGAGCCGAAAGGAGGAGAACATTGGATTGCGAGAGATTGGGAGAGTTGGGAGAGGGAGAGAGAGATGAATTTTACTAAGTAGAGATGAAGACAGGGGAAAACAAGCAGCGGGATGCCGATTGTAGGATAGGACACTGCAGAATCATTATCATTAATGAAGAATAAGCTCAATTTCCAAAAGCAGCATCTAACCTTCATCCTTCCTTTTCAAAGGCCAATCAGATTATTGCATCCTCATCAAAGTTACACCTCTCCAACTTTAAAGCTACCTTTCAACATCAACGCGCTTCCAGCTCCCTCTCCCTTTCCCCTTTTTTCTTTTTAATAACATCTTTTTCTTTGGGAGGGAAAAAAAAAGAATATATGTACACAAAATCAAATCTGAAAAAGATAAGAACGCGGAATCTGTCAAATCCTTCCGGCTGGCTTGATTTCCTTCATGTGATGTGCCCCCTGCTCCTCCCTTTATCCCCTGCCTCCGTCAACTTTTATTTATTCTTTTAAACTTTTTAAATTCATACATATTCCGGAACAACAAGAGGAAAAAAAAAAAAACGAAACGAAGGTTCGCTCATCTTATTGATCTTTTCGTGCTTCAGCATTATGCCTGAAATTTGGTTGCCAGCAGCTAATTAATGAATTGGCATATAATTAATATTTTTTGTTTACTGCGCACTTGTTCTTTTTCATTCCGTGGACATCTTAAAAAGCATCCATTCCTGAAACGAGTTTGGATATGCTTGTAAGAAGAAAGTTTGGCGAGAAATGGAAAGACTCCTAAAGGAAGCTTCATTTGAACAGTTAAATTCTTGGGCCGCGAGCAACAGACACCTCAACGTGAAATTTAATTGGGCTGGTTATAAACAGGAAACCAATGCATTGATTGCCTGCGATGTTGATACTATTATATACTAAAGGGTAGAGACAACTAGATTGAGTCTGTTTTCAGTTGTTGCAATTTCCTTGTTGCTGGTAACTTTATTACTATTAGTGCTGGTTCCGTTAGGGCCAATGAAAGGGAAGGTTTGGTGATAGAGTTGCTATACTTCAAATATTGGATTGCTGAGCATGGTGGCAGCTCTAAGACGTCGCCATCTCTGCTCATCCTTCACTTTTCATCATCAACTATCACGGCAGGTTTGACAACTTAGGATGTGATATGCTGAGAAAATATGTTGTCAAACCAGCCGTGACAGTTGTCAACCTCTGCACCTTAAGTTGTCAACCACTACTCTTTCAGTTGTCAATACAAACTTTAAAAAAAAAAAGATAATTTAATAATTAAACAAATAAAATTTATTACAAAAAAGTTCCTTGGGGCTTTAGAATAATTTTATGATTTCAAGAGACATTTTTGTATTTAATTTCCTTGAATGGGACCTAATTGCAATTTTCTCTAAAAAAACGAAAACCCAAAGGTTGTTGGGTGTCGTTTTACGATTTGGAGATCCTTGAATGAGATAAATGGGCTGTTTGGTGAGCTACGTAAGATGGTGATCATGTGGCTTCCTTGAGGAAGTTTAGACGCAAGAATGAGGATACATACTATGAAGCTAACAATGACACAAATTGCTGCTGCACTTGTTGCCAGTTAGTGACTCTGGTGATGAGGGGATGCCCATCAGCCACATCAGTGTTACACCAAGGATATGAATTCTGGTAATCAAAAAGCAGCACCCGAATTCCAGCTTCAGCGCACTCCACAGCATATCTTGGGTTGTCATCAATCAGAACCTTAGCCCCTAAACTCCTGCTCCTACCACTACTTGTGAGCCAAGTCATAGAAATGAAGCGAGTGAACCATGTTAGGAGGCAATGGCATACCTACAAATCTCTGACTTGGGTCTGGACAAGCCATCCAGAGCAAAATGATTCCCAAAGTGAATCTCCTGAAAGAGTCCCGGATAATACTCCTCTATCCACTCAATTGTGTGATCCTTGATTGCATTCTGCCGAGACCTAACATATATATAAACAGCCCCAGTTAGCTGCTGCCAACCGGATTGCATTACCTGCTAAATAAAACCCCACACCACAAGCATACGTTACAACTGAGAGGCTACAAGATGTTGATAACTCCTCAAGGGCCTTCCGAGCACCTGGGATAGGCTGGATTCCTGACATGAAATATTGCGTCTTAAAAAACTCATGAACACGGACATCCGCTGCACCACAACAATGTATTGACTTTCAATCACCATAACTGAGTCTAATTTGGCACAAACATACCATCTCTTTACTGTTAGTGAGCAGTTTCGAATTTTGTTACCAAGGAGTACATTCCCAAGTCACTGCGAGAATATGTTTCACATTTACTACCCTATAACCAAGAGATCTTTGACATGTTCACCCTCTAGCAAACTGCAGGGGGGGATTCTATTCCATGATTACCCTTCCTCCCCATTGGCATCATACTGTTTTGGGACTCTGAAAGCTAATTCACGGGGCACTTAATCTCAAGAATGTTAGCATCCGGATTTGAAAGCACAAGACACTTCATTGAATTCCATAAGGATTAATGAGAAGGAACAAAAATGAAAAGTAGACTCAGAAGTTACCTACCTTCATCTCGTGAACAGTTCCATATCTGTACCGGAAATAAAGGAGACATCAGATTCCACATAAAAACATTAAAAAATGATAATAAAAAAAATTGGTTGTTTTCAATACAACTCATTACCCAATCATTACTAAGGCGACATTCATTTTGTAGAAATAATGGGGGCAAAAAAATGCAGAAATGAACTTCGAAAAATAACATGCAAGTGATATCATCCAAATTGAAAATCAACAATTGTAAGCTCCAATCAATCATCACAAAAAATATAGAATTATTTAGCAATACCTTGAAAAACTCATACACGTGATACTCAGAAACTGAATAATTAGATGAGTATCGATCTGCAATGAACCGGTTGAGAGCTGACAGGAAGTTGCCTAATACTGCTTATGAAAAATGCAGGTGAAATGTATACGCATTAGAACACAATAGGGTTATACTGGTCTGCTAGACATTCAAGAAAGGCATAATTTATTCACAGTTCGTGCTATATGATCACACGCCAGCTGTGAACTGTAGGGCATTCTTCGTACATATAAAAATTTATTCACAAGTGTATTTAACATACAAGACGAATGTGTTACATTTTTAGCATGCTCTGAGGTCTGAGCAAGCTAAGCAGGGCGCAGATTGTCATCAACCATCACAACCAAATAAAAGGAGGGTTCTTATTTAAGTGATGCAATAAAATATGCTTTCCATAAATTCCATATAAGAACCCTCTACACATATATGCAAATCTTTAAGGCCGTTAAATTTAGAAGAACCAACGGAAGTTTTAAGAGCTCTCATCTCCCCAGTTGAAATACTACCTCGAAACCCATTCTACAGGTAAGGCAATTACGTTTCAGACTGGGCGCAGAATATTTGATCGTATTTAATCAGCACAGGGAGGGAATTTAATAATTTTTCTCTTCCATCTTTTTTTCTTGTGAAAGATAAAATCACAAGAAGAATACAGTCAACAGAGCATGACAGAGAGCGTAATCGAAATCGAAGTAAACGAAAAAAATTGCTAACAATACATGATGTGAGATTAAAAAATGATACAAAATCAAACATACCCTCATCAACGTCAACGGCAACAACAAATTTTTGGGACAAACGGTGATCCTGGAAACTAAGAGGTTTAGCAGGACTTGCAGACGACGATCTATTGTCAACATCAATAACAGCTGCGTCAAGACCATCACTCCGACTAGAAATATCCTCTAAATCAGCTAACAAAGGCGAGTGAGGGAGAGATGTGTAGCCGCGAGCTTTCGTCTTGAGGAAAACACTGTTACTGTACACATTGGAGTCGAAGCAACCTTTAACAGTGTAAATGCTTCTGTTAACTCGACAAACTTTAGAATAGACTAGCTTCTGAAGAAATGGGGATGAACTGTAGTCAGAGGAAAGACCCGGGATTTTAGAAAAGGCCTTGTTGAAGAAGGAGGAAGGTTCATAGCGCATCAAATAGGCCATGAGTTGACGATGGTGGTGGCGATTCAGAGCTTGCCAATACAAGAAGCCTGCAGGGCCTTGCCTATCCCTTAATTTAAGCATAATACTATCAACAGTAGACCCTTACTCTCACATTCCAGCATCACCATCAACCCAAAAAAGTGAATATATTTGATAGAGAAGTGATATTCGCTTCGAAAAGTGAAGAGCTTTCTTGTCTCTGTGGATAACTAATCAACCCAATCAAATCCTGAACCAGCTGCGTAGAAACAGCAAACACGGACTACCTTTCCTCAGAAAGTCTCAAAAGGAGACAATGAGGATCCTCCAGACAGAAACTTAATTGAAAGAAGCACTACAAATAAAATAAAGGACAATCCAATTCCACTAGGGGATAATGTCAAGTCTCCGATTTTAATACGATCATGTCCCTGTTGGGGGAAATCACCTCTTGTTAGTGGTCACACCTCAGATCCTATCAAGTAAGTACCCAGGCGAGGAAGGTTTCGTATGGAGCGTCCGCCTCCACCAATTTGACGGAAAAATCTGACAAAATGCGTTCAGCTTGAGAAGAATTTTCAGAAGAGCCCGTAAATCTAACCTAATATGCGTCAAAACAGAACAATCCAAACCAAAGAAGGGGCTTCGCACTTTTCTCATATCCAACAGTCATGCCTATGATTTACCGGGCAAAATTGTGAACTAGCGACTATTCCCCGGTTAGTTTTTGACTTTTTTGTTTTCGAGTATAGATCCGTCCGTAATATAGAATTTTACATGCGGCCACCGTATGCAAAGAATATATTGAGATGCAGATCTGGAAAATGGCTACGAAAGAAAAGATACCAACCTAGATTCCTATAATCTTGGTTTGACGAATTTTAAATAATAAATAAAAAAATCCGGGCTGTATTTTTCGACTGTCAGTTTCTCTCTCCTTCGAACTTTGCGGCACATTGTCTTTTCTGTGAATTACAATATTGCCATTCCAAAATGTCATGATTCGCAATTTCGCACCGCCGCACGCACAGTGCCGCCCGCATAATTTGCTTTTAAATGTTGGGCCCATCTCTACTCAATTACAAGGCAGTCCGGGAGTTGTTGATTTTTTGGGCCTGACACTATAAGAAGGTCGATTGATATTACTCCGGACATACTTAGAGAGCTAATATTAATTTTAAATATAAAATCTATTTTATATAATTATTAAAAAATTTAAAATTAATTCTATTGATATTTCCTCAACAATAGTCAAGTAAGAGAAAGAGGAATAGAATTAAAAAGATGTTCAGGGTATTTTTTTAAAAAAATTATATTAACTAATTCAACTAACATCTTTAATCTATTCGAATTTGCTAATTAGGTTTTATATTAAAAACTGGAGAAGTTTTTTTTTTGTTACATAAGAGGATCCATTGATACTGTTTGCTAGTCCCACTAATATGGTGAACCAAGATTCGAATGCTCATTGTGAGAGATGATCACATTTAGTGCCCAACAATGCCTTGAACAGTACTACCCTCCAATAGAAGGATATCTGTGCTTACAAAAAGAAAAGTAATTATTTTGCCAACAAATGCTGTGCATTTTTTTTTTTGCATAATTATACTCCTATTAGAACTAAATTTATTCGAGACACTGACGTGCATTACATGTCAATATTTCTCCTAATAAAAATTTGAATATGGATTCGCTTTGTTTTGAGAGAATAACTTATTTCATTGTATCCAAGCCCGTTGATATTGTTCATTAAGTTGAAATTGGGATTTAAGCATTTGATTTGAATAATTATGGAGACTCCATCAACACTGTAACAGGCATGCATCTCAGGCTGGTAGTAGTTTAAGGTGGCCAAGAGCCTTTGATTCGATCTTTTACAGGGGAACGATCCCCTCAGAGCCTCGCCTTGCTCGCCATATTTATGCACCATTTCTTTATATATGTGTGTGTGTGTTTAAACTAGAAACGGGGAACGATGCACATCCCATAAGTGTGAAGAATAAGTCTTATTATCTTTAAAATTTCATATAAACTCAAATGCATGACCAACAAAACCAAGTTTCGTCCTACTTACTGATCACCTCACATGTACGAGTATTTCAACTTTAAACTGCGGAATGAAGGGGAGATTGTGTGCATGACTTTTCGATGCGATACACATCTCAATACTCTCATGCATCATTCACAAATTATTATTCTTAAACACAAATAAAGAATTAAACCATCCCATTTCTTCACATAGTTTCATCCCAGATGGCGTTCAGAATCTAACTTAGAGAGCGCTATAACAGTAAACGATGAAGAGGATGAAGCCTGATGCCAGCACGAGCAAGGGCTGCTCTGTTGGTGCAGACGCAGGAGGGGAGCGAGAGGAGGGTGTGGTGGGGATGGTCCTATTTTGATGCTTCCTTGTGTCGATCATGATCTTGAATCTGCAGCTACCTTGGCGTGGCGAAGGATCTACATTGGTGATGATTCCCAGGTTGTTGAACCGACAAGCATCTCTACTTTGATTCATGGTCTGGAAATAGGAGTTGAATGCATATGAAGCGTTGGTCCTGGGGTCCAATCCTGCACAAGACGAGCCAGGAGCAAGACTGGTGCAATCAGCACGCGCACAGGCTTCGTTTATACTCTGTCCCAAACTGTTGGGGTCGGACACGCCTGCTTGAGGTGATAGCACGCACCATCTCTTTGGCAGATACCTCACTCCTTTGGCACCCACCAGTGCTTTCCCATTCCCCATTCTCAGCGGGTATTTTACGGATCCGTCGTAGTTGAATATGCCCCAGTGTCTCTCAAAATTGCCCGGATCAATACTCTTGGCATCCTCGTCAGCAAGTGCAAATATGTATATATCTGGCGGGGCAGCTCTCCTGGGACTTCCCTCCTTCTTCACTATGCGATCCACAAGGCCCTGATTGAACCTCTGCGCATTTCTTAAGTTGGCATTGGAGCTTCCGTCGCTGGGCCATCCCACCTCTCCGATCATGACTGGCATGGAACCAAAACCATTCTTCTCCAGAGCTGCAATGAGGGTGTCGAAGTTGGCATCCAACACATTGGTATAAGTAACGGAGCCATCCACCACGGGGGGAGCGGAGCCATCGAAGAAGGCGAATTCTTTGGGGAAGTTGGGATCGGCGTCGAGGCTGAGGAAGGGGTAGATGTTAATGGAAAGAGGAGAAGCGTTTTGGGAGAGAAACTTGATGATGGAGATCATGAGGCCGTGAATGTCAGGCCTGAAGTTGCCGCCGGAAGGAAGGCCAGAATCACTCTGATACACATCTGCGTTGAGAGGGATGGTGGCCTTCACTCGACGGCCTAACCCTGCATTTGTCAGAGCCGCCTGAATGTTTCGGAGTGCTGGGAAGGTGGAGTTGACGAACATGCCGTTGTAGCTTTTCAGGAATGGTTCATTGCCCACAGCAACATACCTGCAGCGCAATTGACTCGCAACTTTAACTTCCCCTACTACAACAGAAAGCATAATATGAATGGTTGGATTACACAAAGTTATACCTGATATCGACACGATATCTGGAAACGTAAGAGGAGACATTCTGGGAGACCCAGGCGGCGGCGGCGTTGGCGTCGCTTGCGAGGGATGCTAGGAGGTCATTGGGGATGCCGACCATAACTTGGATGCCAGAATTGCCGAGGGCCTTGAGAGGACCAGGATCAGCTTCAAACAGCTTCACCTTGTCGAATCCGTTGTCCTTCAACAGCCGCACAACTATGTTGGGGGGGAGGGGATGAGTTGAACGTGTTCCCCAGTTGCAGGCGAAGCCGTCCACCCCCTTCCCAAGTTCATTGCTCACTATGGTTACTGCTAATACCACCAAGTATAGGAATCCCATCTTTGCTTTTGCTTTCGGATGGGCCCCTGATCCTCCCCTACAAGTACGATCCGGGCGTCCAATCTCATGTCCCTTTATTCACAACAAAGCTACGTAAAGAATTGCATATTTTTTTTGAAAGAGAACTCGATTCCAAAGCTAACCGTAGGAAAGGGACAACAGCGTTGCAAAGAAAGGAAGAATCAGACGTAAGGAGCGTTGTAATGTTTTTATACTCGGCATTCATTATTCTATGTTACGGCAAATTCATGACCCGACAACCTTGTAGGCTTATACTGAAGCAACGCACTTCCCGCATTCTTCCTAGAGTGGCAACAAGTCCCCTTTTTCCATATTCCTTTCCCTGTTATTAATTAACAGAAATTAGGCTTCGACTCCGAAGCATTGCTCGATCTTGTTATGGGATTTCATAAACCACTGTAATATCAACAGAAAACTCCAAAACAATGATGTGTTCAAGAATTTCTTTCAAGAGCGCCAACAAAAAATTAAAAAAAGCCAGGGCGAAGTACAATTTTCAAGGCCCAACGAAAGCAGGAGGCGGAACAAGAACCCTGTATAACTCACCATTTGTGCTCAAAGGCGGCAAGGAACAGTTGGCTATACAGTCGAGACGTGGGGAGGGTGCATGGTCAATTGGTCAAGAATAATGAGACAATGCACTCAAACCCATCAACGGGGTTCTTCTCAACAAAATAATGGTGCCGCGCAGCTCGGCAAGTAAACAAAATAGAAATGAAAGGTTCCTATCCCTAATCCGTCAATATGGATATATATATATATATATATATATATATATTAATAAAAGAATATTAAATTCACATGAAAAGACATGATAAAAATAAACTCTTTCAACGAAAATATACTAATTTTTAAAGGTAATATTAGAATGGCTATTTTTTGTGTTTTTTTTTTGGGGAAATTATTAGCATGCTCGTCACCGGCCACGGCTGAAAAGCAACATTCATGTGGGATTGTGGGCTATAAAGCAAAATAGACGGATATGCAAGATCTTAAGAATGATTAGCATATAAAATCCATAATATATATTAGTATCATCAGTATTTAAAAGAAAACCGTGTCATATAAAGAACGAATTAAAAAGAGAAACGCTCAATGCTTAAATAACAATTGAAATTAAATCAAACATAAAAATATGCACAAGTCTTTTGAAAAAAGTTCTCTCCTTTTATTGTATGCATTATGGAACAACACCTTTCCTAATTCCCTTACACAGAAATTATCATACAAAAAATAAGATTTAATTGGTAATCATGAATTGGCCATATGCTGAATTTATATGGGAAAATTATACTCAGGTCCCATACAAGACAATTAATTCACAAAAAGTCCCTTGAAATCCCAAAATCACTCCCAAGTTCCCATGAACCTGTGTGTAATAAATTGTAATTATGAAATTACCTATTTATCCCCATTCATTTACAACCAGGGGCACTACCGAGGTTGTTAACCACTTCTCCTCGGGTTGTCAACAGCCACTGTTGAGGTTGTAAATAAATTACTGCAATAAAATTAATGGGGGTAAATAGGTAATTTCATAATTTCAATTTATTACACACAGGTCTCTAGGGGCTTAGGAATCATTTTAGAATTTTTAAGAATTTTTTATGAATTAATTATCTTGTATGGGACCTATGTGTAATTTTCCCAATTTATATAGCGCGAGAAACTGAAGAATTCCATCACGTTTCTATTTGGCCGGCCTTTAATGTTGGGGAAAGCACAAAATCGATCGCCGTAACAACTAACAAGGATGAAGAAGTTGATATTTAGAATACATAAATGATTCCTATTCCTATTATTATTTCAGGTGACTGAAAATGGCGATGGAAGAATGGCACCTCCAGTATCCAGAGATTATACGTACATGGGCGGGCTAGAAGGGTAAAAGTGCCGTCAACTGTTCTTGGAACACCTCACCCAGAGCTCCCCGAACGTCCATCTGATCCAAACCAAGGGATTATCATTTTAGCAAATCACAACTGTTTCGAAATATACAAGAAACTATCCGTACGTGCCACAGAAGAATGTGAGCATATTAAAGGCCCGTCAAGGGATTCCATTATTGTTCTAGGAAATATTTCGATTCTCTCTCTCTCTCATGCAAAAAGCGCATTTGTTTAAAGATTGAAATTCAATCCTCTTTTCCTTGCAAATATTTTCATCAAGAAAAAATTAATGTTTACAGGAGTAACTTCGGTTCATTGAAAAAGATAGTAATCTTTCCAGAGCTGTGATCTTTATATTATTTATAAATATAAAATAAATAAGTGTGTGCGTACGTACTTGCCTCGGCCTGCATGCATGCTGTCTTTTTAATTTTTTTTTTCAAAAGAGAAATTTATATCCTTTTTACTCTGAAATATGGGCATGCATAACTATAGTTTGGTCCCTAATCTGTAGAGCAGAAAGCTAGAAGAACAGTTCTCAATTACTGCAAAAACAAGAAATTACCTGGTCACAGCATACGAGTTTTGTTAGCAAGGGATAGAATTCTCTGATGTGACTTCTGAAGATATTCTTGTTCATAGAACACATGCTTCTAAGCACCTGAATGGACGGGGTTAACAGATTTATCTATATAAATGGAAAAGCAGCAGTATTCAACCTAAGTAGCTATTTAATCAATTCTGGCATTTCCAGAACGGTAGGTTATTAGCATTCTGAATCTGAATCGGGATACATTCATGTGTGTGTGTGTGCGTGTGTGCATATATTGCACTTACCATAACAATGAGGGGGGCACGCAGCTCCAAGACACGGTGAATATCCATGTTTGTGGCTTCTCCAGCACTAGACTGGAGATTTGTTGCATCCCCGAGTACCTGTTCTAAGAAAGCTACCATTTTTCCCTCAGCTATTTTTCCAAATTCAGTCTCTCGGTCCGAATGTGGAGAAACGGTTAAATCATTATCTGATATAGGATCAGAATTTTGAAACTCATAAGTTGATTTCTGTAAGATGTCCAAATATATGCTCATAGCTGCTGACTCCTGGCGGAGAAGATTCACTGGCGGCCTATCCAACATAAGTTTACCAATGACTGAATGCTATTCCATTTTGCATAATTAATTAATAAACGAAATGCCATGGATTTGCCACTACCTTTCACCCAGAACTTGGTGCATGCGAGTCCTAAGGTTAGTGGGTGAGTTATATGATGCAGCAAAATCTAACGAAGACAGCAGAATATCCATTATAGCAATCTTGTGTTGTGCCTTTAATCTGTCCCAATATTTCTTCTGCAAGTTGCAGCAAAAGCTTAAAGGGAGAATTATATTAGGCCACTGAATTGAAACTTTGCAGCCAACAGGCATTGTTATATGCTGTATTGTTAATTTGATGGTGTAGTCCGTCCACGGGTACATTACAAACCTGAATACCATCGATTGCACCAAGAAGCAATAGCTGAGTAACGCACTTGCTCCTAAGAGCTACTAGCCAAGGAGTCTCCAGAATCTTGTCTTCAGATTCTGCAGCATCAGCGACCTCAGCCTGAATGCCATATAAGAGACACGCTCACATGTTCGTCTAGACCAAAAACCAGAAAAAGGTTTGCAGGATTCACAATACCTACCTTATTTGGAGAAGATGGCTGAGAAGCATCTGACGTGGGGATTTTAGGTTTGGAAGAAAAATTTCTGAGGAACAGATTATCCATCATATTTTCCACAATCCGCTGACCCAATGTTTGACTTCGCTGGAGACCACCGGCATCAGCTGGTTTGGGAGTTTTACCAGATGGAGATGGCGGTGGAAGGCCTACAGTAACAAACAAATCATTCATCAGCATGAAACATGCATAAGCATGCAATCATAAGTTTTGAAAATCAAACCTTCAGAAGTATCGACATTCATTTGCGCCCCTAGACCTTCAACTCCAGGAAAAGTATTTGAGCGTGCCAGTGGGGATAACTTTCCACTGTCACTAGCACCAAGCTGATGCTGCGCCTCATGGTCATTATTATCACCTGCAATGGTGTCGGAATTTCTAACGATGCCGCCGTGGTTCCTCAGATTCTCATGATTTAAATCATTGAGCAGCTCTGCTGGTTGCGTTGCGTGTGAAGCATCACTGGAGGACCAAGGACAAAATTTGAATACATCTAAACGTCAGAGTAATTACATGGGATCTTCGTAAGATAAGATGAAATGAACCTTATGCTTTTAAGTAACTGGTCCCAGTCAGTGTCACTGAACTGATGGCCCCCAACTTCAATGAGATGCACCAAAGCTCCCAAAGATATCGAGACCACTGTTTGATCTGTCTTTTTGGCACAATCTAACAGCAAACCCAGCAGTGACGGCAACATAAAAGAGACCTCCTGGAAGGAAGTTTCGTCCCATTTGTTTTTTAAGATCGAGAAAGAATTTATTGATGAGAATAGACAATAATACAAACGGATCCAAAACCAGATGACATAAAAATTGTTGATGAGAATAGAAGGAAAAAATCTAATACTAGGCTTTACCTAATTACCTTGTAGAAAGTGTTGAAGAGGTTGCAAAGCAGCTGAAGCGAATGGATGTTTGTTTTACGAAACCAAGCATCATCGGTAGAAGCAAAGCCTTCCGTTCCAGCGTGTCTCACGAGATCAAAAATAGGAAACAGAACTCGATGGAAGATACTCTCCCAAAAGGACTCAGAGAATCTTCTACCTCTTTCATTCAGTAAATCAAATAAGACCTCAATTGCACAACTTCTGACCTCAGGTCTCTTAGCTGATGTTAGATCAGATAAGCCAGCCAGCATCGGGAACCAATATTGTTCAGCCTCCTCCAACTTTGCAACCCCCACATCAGCATCAATGGCCTTTAGATCACCTCCAGTAATAAGACCCTTGAGTTGGAAAACAGATGAGGACGTTTTCAGTAGAGGACTTGATACATTACCAGGCGGAGAAACGAATTCACGTTAGACCAAAAAAAAAAAAAAAAGATTCCTTTTGCCATAGTGGTATCATGACAACCGAGAGAGGCTGAGCTCGCAATCTATTATGAAAGAAGGATCAAGAGAATAAAGGCACTTATAATATAAAATTGCAATTCTCAACGGGCGGCACCCAACAAACCTCTGCCAAACGGTCTTCGCAAATACGAAGCAGTCCGATTGCCTTCAAACTTATACGATACAAACTTTTATTGTTGGCAAACCTGATCAGACAATTCACGCAATCCATGAAACAATCTCCCACTGCTTGATTAAAGTGTTCTAAGATGACTGCAAAATTTCCCAGTGTTAGATACAGTGAATTTCCCAGAAGATTGCATCGATAAGACCAAAGGACATTATTCCTACCCTGCTCAACATTTTCAAATGCACTCTCAACGATTGTTTCCAATTCATCATCCGCCACAGCTGTGAAAACCATGAATACACTATGCCACCCAGATTTTATGCTTCCAACCTTAGATTTTGTCATCTGAAATAAGCACCAGCACCTACTAATTCTCAGTAAATATGTCCAGTTGTTAACCAAAAAATGAAAATCTATGCACTAATTAAAGAGAATCAACTAAAGGAAGAAGGAAAAACCAAAGCTAAAGGGGATAGGTGTAGGCAGTGAAAAGACACCTGAACAATGCAGTCAAGGATTAATCTTCTTATTGATTCCTTTGGACTATTCCGCATTAGAACAACAAATGGCTTGAGAATGTCATTTTGGAAAGTGAAATTGGCCAGTTCAGAATGCTCCAAATACTTCATCGCAAGCTGCCTTAGAGAATCTATGACATACACAGCAATTTTCTCATCATGGTAACTCCCAACCGATATAAAATGATTTGCCAGAACAGACCATATCCTAGCCCATACCTGGAAGACATATCAACTATAACTTGTAAACTTCTGAGATAGCATCTCAAAGTATTTATAGCAGCATCAAAAGCAGTATCATAACATTGAGCATGCACAAGTTCAGATGGAGTAATAAAAATCTTCTTTATGTTGATGTTGCTCTTAACAGTCCTGATGAAGATCACCAAATATTTATAGCGGCATCAAAAACAGTATCATGAAAATGGGCATGCATAGATTCAAGTAGAGTGATAGAAAGCTTATTCATGTTGGTGTTACTTTTAACTGTACGGAGCCATAGCGCGTTTTCAGATTATTCCATTGTAGACAAGCATATGGACTTTTGCATATATGTGACATAAATGATTTCTCAAATGAAAACAATAGATTTGAATTGATTATTAAAAAAAAAATTATCGAGAAAAGAGAAGAACGGCTTGAAAAGCATACTAAGTGGAACATCCCCCCAGAAACCAACTTATAAAACTAAATATCAAAGGAAGCAAATATGAGAAATATTATTTGATCATAAATATGCCAGACGTCCTCTGGGGGGAAAAAGGATATACCAGACGTATACGAGCCATGTTGTAATAGCTGATCTCAACAAGCTTTTGCAAGCTAAAAACACGAGGTGGTGTTTGCTTTAGTTCTTCCGCAGATACACAACAGAGAGCAGTGAAAAATTCCACAACTGAATCACTAGGTAATTTAACACTATTTATGAAGACTTGCTCAGAAGGTTTGCCAGCCAATTCTTTCAGAGATTGAAGTACTGCCTCCCTGGAGATTTGGTTTGACCCCAACATGACGGTGTTGGAAATTTCAGGAGTCGTTGTTATAAATTCAAGGCGAGAAATACATTCCAGAACTGCAATCCATGAGTCTCGAAGGGCATCCATGTCTGAATCACAAAGAAACAACAGCGTCTGCAGAGCTTCCACATTCTTACTGCGCATTCCCTTTGGAGCATGCAAGAAAGTAAACCTGAGGTATCATTTAGAAATGTAATGAATATGGTAGATCGTCACAAATACTAAGCCATCAAACTGTGTATTTATGCTTCCCTCTTAGGTCAAAATAAAGGAATATAATATAATGGTCAGAGTAATAAAATAAATTCATTCGGGGTAAGGAGAACAGGACAGAAGGAAAAGATCATTACAATACGAGAGATGTCAAAAATGCACAGCGCATGGTATCCATTCCAAGCACATATGTAATGTGTATCCCAGCTCTAAAACCCTCCATACATAGAACAATGCGAGGCTTACTATCACCTTCCTCCATAATAACGGAAAAAGTTGCAAGCAGAGGCCATCCAACAGCTTCTACCATGGGCCTTATGAGTTCGAACTGGTGAGCAGAGTAGAAAACTCCCCTTTTCGCACCTTGATTTCTGATAATAGCTCGTGTTCTTTTTATGATGGCTTCACTCTCAGACTTGGCATCTCCTAATGAATTTCTTTTGGGAAGAGCCAGATTAAGAATATTGACAAGGCGTCCTTCTTCAACTTCTGGCTTTTGTCCGCTGCTTTCTCCATTAACAGAGTTGTCATCTTCCAGTTTAATCTCTTCTTTGACAATAGAATCATAAATCTCTTCCAGTATTTCTGTAGGAGCACATTCTTCAGCATCATTCATGGCATTCATGCGTTTAAAATCTGACTTGGACATTTTAGGCCACACCGTTGGGTCATGAGCATCAATATTTAGTACAATAACAGCATATGCAAGAACATATGCTGCATCTGCATTTTTAAATAGACCTGGATTATCTGCACAGTATCTGCCAAAGACGGGACGCACATGAAAATATCACTAACTAAGCCAATAAAAACGTGCATTAATTTAATATTTTGTATATCTGCATAATATATATGGGATATTATGATACAACATTAAATGAGTATGTTTGAGCTGAGCATATCATGTTATTTATGTTAGTTAATGATATAGAATACAAAAATGTTATAAAACCAACTTAGTATATTTATTAAAATTATATATCACAGAATCAGATAAAAACATATTATCACATATCTTTACATGCGTTAGGAGATATGCGACATCATACATATGAAGAATGGATGAAAACCAATAGTATTTTCTTATCACCTCATAATCAACAATTGAGTGGGCAACAAATGTTACAACTTACCTCTCTGCAAACTTTTCCATTATTCGATCAATCTTTTGGGCTTCCCCCGGAAGTCGGAACCCTCTAAGAAACTCACGGATTGCAATGTCAAACTTCATTCCAGAAAATTTCATGGAATCTACATACGCATGCATTACAGCTAGGGGAAACTCTTCATGCTGACCTAAATACTTGCCAATTGCAGACTGAAACCCAGAAACAATTATATAGTCCAGATCAAACTTTATTCTAATGACAGAATATAAACTAAATTGTACTAGATGAGGGTCACAACCTTGTTCACATTGGGACTGTTTTTCAAGAATTGAGCTACTGAAGCAGGCGAATTTACCACCAACTTATTTGATATTAAACGCTCAACTCCTGTTATTGGTTTCCTGTTAAACTGAAATGATTAAAACCACAAGTCAGTCCCCATCCGTGGTCTACGCATTGAACAGAAAAGCTTAGTAATTCCGCAAATGACCTAGGATTTTAACAGAAAATATGATCAGTTACCTCTGCAATGGCAGCCTCCAACGTGGTTTTATGAGCCTTTGCCCTCTCAAAATCACTAGCAGAATCTTCGTTGGATGTTATTTCAACCGAATCTTCAGCAAATGCCCCTTCGTAGTGGTTAGTCTTTCTGAACTTTTCTGATTCCCTATGTGACTTCTCCCAGTCAATCAGTGACTTCAGCACATTCACAACACTCTGGAAAGATAAAGAGAACTGGGATGAACCAGACACTCTTGTAGATATGGTTCTTCAATTAAATAACGACTTCCGGCAAGGAGAGCAACAACTAGACTCACTTGAAGTGATGAACCTTTAATTGAACCAGACAAAGCAACTGAATTTGGCTCAGCATTTTGAGTCTTTTGAGCTATTTTGGATAGCGCACTAACCTGTGAAGAAAATGGGAATATAATCAATATGTTCATAAAGATCATAGAGACATAAATATAACTAAGTACTGGTTATAAAATTAATGTCCAAGCCTATACCATTCGTTCAAACAAGTTTGCAGCCTCAAGATCACAGTCATAGTTCACAAAAATGTCAGCAAGCATCTGCGGATCCCTGCATATTTTATCTACCATCCTGTAGAGCCAAACTAAATCAAATTATTAATCAAGAAATAATATGGTGAATAGTACGTTGACAACGCAACATATCATGGAAGTTCATGAACACAAAATTATGGCACAGTACAATCAATTTCATATCAATAATGAAGTCGCACTATACCCAAGAACACTTATTTTTTGGTTGACTGGAAATTCTAAACCGTCCAACGGTCTTAGAACTATCAGGGGAAACAAAATGCCTATTTCACCCTGAAAAGAACAGAGTAGAGTGGAAAAATAAAAGACAAATGTCAAATTAAAAGCGTTGCTGAAGGTGACACGCTTTCATAAGATTTGCAAATGACATGCATACTTTGAGACTTTCTCTGAACCGCCATAGCAAAACTGAGAATATTCCAGTTGCGCACTGAAACAAAAGAAGAATATGATCACCAAGAAAGAAAAAAAGAACAGAAAAGAATTGCACATAGTTCCCTGAATGTGAGTGAATGAAGATAATATGATTAAACTAAACCTGAAATATGACAGGGGATTGTGAAACGGAAGCTCGCAATAAAGCATATGAGAGATATGCCTTCACTGAATCAATAAAATTGAAGTTCTTTGTGAATGAATGGCTAAGCCCCACCAATAAATCCTGAAAAACCAAAACAATAAAACAAGAAGAAACTTACAACAGCTGAGAGTCCTGCACATAAAAATGTAGAATGACTAAATTTGATAATATATCGCCCTTCTCGGATCCTGTTCACCTTGTACTTCATAGAGCTACCTGGAGTTCTATTTGCAAATTAATGCCATTTACTCGTGTGTTTTGTATTACTTCATATTGTGGTCTTGCGTTCAAGTCATCCATTATGAGATTAGGCCCATTCAGGCCGCTAACTTAAAGCTATTGTCTAGCTTCGCGAATCGCGATGGACATAGATGGAATGCAAATTAATCTAATCAGCCGCATGAAGTAATTCATGTTGAATATACTTGTTATCTTTCAACTTGTGATTTCAAATATATATTGCTAGGATTGACATATTTTCAAATTCTAGATTTTTGGAAGTTGTAATTCACGATCTCAAACTAAGAGGTTTTGAGTGGGTTAAAAGAAGTAACCCAAGGAAAACTATGAAATAAAAATGGACTTCCGAAGTCTAAATAGACATCAAGTCGTCTGCAAGGTATGAACAGTGGATTAGCGCAGTCCTGCAGTCTTGCAAGATGATCTTAGTTGGGGCGCATCAGTTCCTGTGACAGGACTTTTTTTTTTTTTTTGGAAACAATAATACAGAAGACAGAAGGAATTATTCTACGCCTTGCACCATATGGTTCTTGTGCAAGGCTTTTTGAGACCCTTCCCAGCTTTATAACTCCACTTATCATTCGTATTCTGCCGTGGAGCGTCCATCAAGTAACTAGCAGCAGGAGTTTGCTCCTACAGCAGCATTCTCGTAAATTTTTATAATTAGCTTACTCGTGTTATCTTATTTTCCAATCCTCATAATTTTCATGACAGAACTCTACGTTAAGCTTTTCCAATATGTATTATTTTCATCTGTCTTTCATTTCAATCATCTTTCTTTTGCTCTGCATTTAAAATTAAAATTATTTGAAAGAATACAATGGGAGAATAAACACACACATTCACAGAGCAAAGATCAATGGACAACCTGCAGAAGTTCAAGAGATAATATCCGCGTCCTGGTTGTCACCTCATCATTACCTTCCTTCATTCCCATCTGTCATATTTAAGGTCGAGTATGAGGGGTTGACAAAATGCAATGTCAATTCAAAAGTGAGGGAACCAACCTTGCAAATAGTGCGGAATACCAACAAAGCATCACGCTGCACTATTCTCATGCTTTCCAAATCAATCCCTCTAGTCAGAAATCAGAATAACAATTTGAGCAACTACCCTAAGAAAGAAATACACAAAAGAGAGAATCAATAGTACAATATAACTTCGTACCGTGTTATCTGTTTGCCATATTCAGTATGCACAGCCTTGTCAAGCACAGCCTCTAAGCCCTGTACAATATGATACAATCTTGTCAAAATAAATACACCATATAGTGATTAGACATACAGGTGCACAAGCTTGTTACCTTGATATCAGCACCACCAGCTAGTTTTTGAAGTTCCTCAAGAGTTTTTGCGGATGCATCCTTGACTTGGTTGAGAGCATCTCCTGAAGTAATTGGTTTCTCGTCTAAATGATCTGTGGAGGTTTCTTTAGATTTTGTGCCTAAATCCTCTGCTTCTGAAGCTGCCTCTGTATGTCCCCCAGAATCAAATGAGGTTTCATCCTGGATATTTTGACAGTCATTACTAGTGGACACACTACAAAAGCAATAAAACAAGAAAGCATAATATTAGGGGATTTAAATTTCTAACCAGATCAATTTCCATTCTCTTGAAAATAATACTGATCATCTGTGTCAACATTGCCTTTGATGTTCCTTGGTTTATAGGACTCTTGCTACAAATGAAATAATAACGTTGAGTTCTACAGCCGGTGACTACAGCTTGAAGACAAATTAGGCATAATTGTTACCTGTTCAGTGCAATATTGTAGCATACCCTGACAATTCCCAGCAAAGGTTCACCATGCACTGAATTAGGCATAGGCATTAGTACATTAACATGGATTCAAAACCCATTGAAAAGAAAAACAACGCGTTTCCTCCCCCCGTGGGGGACCCATGGCAGATATATACAACAAAATAAACTCAGCGTTTCTCACAATAAGCATACCTCTGAATTTTGTGGAAGCCACAGCAGTAAGAAGTACCTTCAGCACTTGGAGGATAGTACTGCAGGTTGATTCTTAAAATTGAATACGTATAATTAGGAGGAACATATATTTGGTCAGCATTGCCAGTGACCCATACCTGTCTGGAGATGAATTGTCAATGCAACTGCAAACCTTGTTTAGAATATTTGTGAACAGCATGGCATTTTTGGTGTCATCTAGTCCAGGATCCCCCTCCAAATGATCATAAGCAATAAGTTTCTGTGCTTATTACAATTATGAAGCAGCACAAGTTAACTAACTTCTGAAGATTTACATAAATATAAAGCATAAGAGTTATGTGTGTGGACTATGTTTTCCAATATATTTAGTTCTAGAAACGTTCAATAATGAGATGAAAGGGCTTCTCCCTTTCTTCAACCATGTGTAAGGGCCTCATAGTAGTAAAGCATGCACATACATGAAGACAGTCTAAAGCAGGTTCTAAGATTTTCAAGTTCTTCGTCTCAAATGCAAGTCGAAGGGGACTTAGAACGAGCTCTGCGTCAGCTTCTCCAAGACTTTGACCAGCATTAGCTAATACTGTACTAACATTTCTAATCTTGGGCCTGTTACCCTGCTCTGCCTCTTCAGAAACATGCTCAACCTTCTGTGATTGACTTCCTTCTGTTGTGGTTGCAGCCCCACCTTCAGTTTTGAGTGTACTAGCACAAACCAAAATGATTCAAATGTTAAAACTAAAGGGCTTAAGGTTCATTAATGGAAAGCTTGACTTAACTCTCACCAAATAAGGATGATTCAGCTTCCTGAAACTGATTTAATAAATACCTTGCATCAGTAAAATTGTACAACTATGATACTCATTGAACCAAAAGGTGTTCATATTGAATGTAGCGAAATATATTACGAGAACACCTCACTAGAAGACTCTGTAATGGAACCATCACAGTCAAGTATTTTTACTTTTCCGAGAGGGGTGACAGGTTAAAACTAGAGGCCAAAAAAACCTTTATGGGGAGACCTGAATTTCTGATTTCTAAGAGACTATCTTAAAATCATACCAGCCCAAGATATAGAACCTAGAAGTAAATGAAGTCAGGTAAGCCTCAGAGAATTGTAGTACCTTTAGCAATAACTATCAAAAATAAAACAGGTATGTTGTCCTCCATAAAATTTGTCCAAGGCATTTACCTCCCAGAGTCCGCTGAGGGTGATGCTTGATTGACCTCACTTGGAATGGCCTGCTGTCCTTGGTTAGCTTCTTTCGTGATATCTGAAATGAAAGCAGAGGGCACTAAAGTGACTAACGAAACAACTAGAATATCAGGAGACCGTAGCTTTGATAGCACGTGAGCTGACATGCGAGGCCGTCGGAAATAACGTGGGTAAGGGCCTAAGGGGGGAAATTGTGAACTGAAAAAATAAAATAATGTCGAAGGAAAAAAAAAACGAAAAGGAAATGAGAAATGATGTCTAAAGCTATAAATTGAACCGACCTATGTAAGTCCTAATAGCCTTCTGTAGATCAGAATGCTTCTTGCCGGAGCACTCTTTGAGCATTGACTCGAATGCTCGAGTTACGAAACCACCGGCTGCAGCTCCGACCATTTCTTCAGTCCCTCCAAACCAACTCCACTCTGCCTGACGGAAAAATTTTTCAAACGCCCCAGATCAGCATCATTTGAATTGGACAAAGAAAATGGATCCCATCGAAACAGCGTGCATTTTTTCATAAAGAAACGATAAAATTTGAGTGCTTTGTTAAAAAAAAAGTTTTTCTTGTCCAAGGAATGCGAGAGCCGTAAAGAGAAGGAAGTGGAAGATCAAAAAGAACAGAGCTTTAATTTGCGAAGCGAGAGAAAGATGCACCTCAGAAATGGTAACGGGGAGAGAGCATTCTGATGAAACGCAGATCTGAAAGAAGAAACGAAAGGGTGAACAATAACGGATCTGTTCGTATTTAAACGTCTGTTTTCACGTTCATGCGTCCTTTGTTCTGATCATGCATGTCCTCGGAGCGTTGCATGCAGGATTGCCGCGCGGCCGGTCCTATTCCCACACAAACACGAGTTCACTTTTTCTTTTTGGGTAAAAACACACGCCGACCATAACAAAGGGGAAATGTCTTGCTTCTTTTGGGCTTTGGCCCATTCCCCCTCGCGAAATAAAGGGATGCAATATTTTGGGCCTTGTCCGTCTATTTATGACCTTCTGATGTGAATTTTTATATTTTTATTTAATTATTATACTATAAGCTTTTACACAATTTAATGAGGGTTTAGTTGCACATTAGATAGAAACTACTAAAACAATGTTTTTGATAAAACTAAATACCCTTCAATTATTCATTCAAATAGATTGATGGTAAATTACGCATGAGCTTAATATCTATTATATTTGTTAAATTAGAATTTCACGCGAAGGCAGACTTTAGCTGTTGATTCTAAAAAAGTGTGTGAAGTGTTAAATATGGTGATGCCCAGAAATTTATTATACCATGCAGCCAGAATAATGAAGAAGAGTGACGCGATATCATGAGGGATATGCCCTCATTTAATTTATTATGGCTGTTGGCCTTTTGTTCGTTACCCTTTCTTTTTTTTTTCCCACTCTTTTCATATAAGTGGGAACACTGTGTCATAGTTGGCTGCTTCTCGCCACCGTTGCTTTCTATTCGCTTTTGGTCATCGTCCAAAATGACCAACTCGTGGGAAATGGGAATAATACTGCGAGCTTATTGTGTGGGATTTGACTAGGACTGTAGGAATGAACACATGCATTGAGGTCATTCTTTCGTGCTTTTGAACAAAGCAAGCTGACCTGGATTACTACCATGGTGAGTGGGATGATGATGAACCTCCTTTTCTCACCCAACAAATCTTGTTGCTTTTCGGCAAATGAATCCCAATTATTAGGTTAGAATGAGGAGGGGCCCACGGTAAAGTTCCAAGTGGCCTGCAGGTGGCCTCGGATTTATTTACTGATGTAATTGATCTGGCTAAAAAAGAAGCGCGACAACAGAATCCGAGTATTCATGATCAGCAGCCAACTGTCCATTTTGGCTTTAATCGATTTCTTCTATTTGATGCATACACGCGGAACAGGTTCAATGGCTAGTCGGTGCGACCCTTTATTCCTAATCACAAAAGGACGGTGGATAAACAAATAATTGGGTAAAGAAAGAAAGCAAAAGCACAGGAGATGGAAGTAAGACAGAAGAAAGCAAGAAGAACGGTAACTAGCTTCCACCGCCACCATCCCCATCCCTCTGCTTTATAAACAGACCATCGTGCACCTCTGAACTTCCCCCTTTCCCCTTCTTCCCTCCCAATTTCTCAGTTGTTATTACCTGCTTTCAATTTTGATGGGGTTCTGTGTTGAGGATTCAATCTCAGGCTTGACATTAGGCCAAGCAATATATGAGGCTGCTCTAATAATTGCGGTTCTGAGATGGGTGTTTTGCTGGGTTTCCAAGGTCATCAATGATCGGAGGAGCCAGGCCTCGTCAGAAAACTCTTCATCGTCATCATGGGTGTGCTGCCAGATGATAAGAGACAGTACTCTAACACTTAGGACCTTTGGCGAAATGGTGGAGAGAGTGCCGGAAACACAGGATACGTGTGCTGTGTGCTTGAACCAGCTGACAATGGAGGATGAGGTTCGAGAGCTCATGAATTGTGACCATGTCTTTCACAGAGAGTGCATAGACAGATGGTTGGATCATGATCACGACAATCACAACCCCACCTGCCCACTCTGCAGAGCTCCTCTGCTTACTTCCTATTCTTCATCTGATTCTGAAAGCTCCAGCTGTATGCCACCCTCTCACCCTAGCTGGGCTGTGGAGAGGCTTCTCTATCTCTTTGGGGACGATCTGCCCCTTTGCTAATAGCTGTATTGCCCCCTCATGGATTTGTGCAGAAACAGTTATAGGGCATTCCTTATTTCTACATTTTTCATCTTTGTGAATGAGATAGGTAGATGCCAGGGCGGGTTTTTTGTATAGACATATCTTCTAAATTTTGACGACATCTAGGCTATGCATTCTTTGAATCTCTATAATTATTTACAGGGCTCTCTGTATTACTGGAAGGAAAACAAGCATCCTTGTTGTAATTTCTCTAATTATCCACTATCTGTTTTAGAGCGATTCAAGCTATGCCCAAATTCCAATTGCTTTTTACCTTCTGCACAAGAGTTCTATTTGATGGGAAGGTAAAGGTGGTAATCTTCCCATCCGCTGAGCAAAATTTAGTTGACAGCCTCCCAAAATGATCAGTGTGTATTTTCTGTTACTTGAATGTAAGAAAAATCAAGATGCGTTATGGCTTTCAATTTTTTTTATTTTTATTTGATATCTCTTACAGCTCGCTGGACAGAGGTCACTTGAGTGATTTCTTGAGAAGCGAATTTCCTACCTGCCATGTTTGATTAGTGTGTGATTACAAGGTGTTTAGATGAAAACCAAATCTTCATGTGAGTTTTGTTTAGATTTGCATGAAAGCACTCTTCAATAAACCTAACACCCCCTGTCACAAACAATCATCTGAGGAGTGTGTTCATTATAAATATTCAACTATCTTTTAAGAATCTGGATCCATATGATACAAAATGCAGACGACTTGACATGTCCCAATGAAGATAATAGTACTAGCCATATGTTTGATCATGATACAAAATGCAGACAACTTGACATGTCCCAATGAAGATAATAGTACTAGCCATATGTTTGATCAAAGGCCTAAAAGAAGCTCAAACAGCCAGGCAATAGAACGTCCACACAGCGAAAACCCTTTTTATTAGCAGAGATAGATCTTTCATAAGACATCTTGTCCTTCCTTCAACGTTAATATTTCTAGTGCATGCTACGCATAATTCCATGCAAATACCCACCAGCCATTACAAGCGAAACGAGTGACACAATGCCTGCCGGAAAGACTTTCCCTGTTCTCTTAAAACGAGAAGCCATCACCCCAAGAAGTGCTCCAGAGATACCTGCATATCAGCAGAATTCAGTTGTAAACGCAGAGCATAGGATCGGGCATCTCTACATTAACAACTTAGAAGCATTGATCTACTTAAAAATTATCGATTGGAGATGACTCCTGGTATTTTGCAACTAGCTTGCATAATCTTATGGAGAACTTTGATAGAGTCGGGCATTTACTAGCAATTAAAAATAGAGCTATAAGTATTGTTTCTCAGTGACGATGGTTGTTACCACAGCCACCGGCCACCGTTATCCAATGGCAAGCCAGCTAAAAGCACCGTAGATAGATATAATGCATGCGAGAAAATGCGCCATCAAGGGAGCTACTAAGCATACGAAAATTTTTTAATATATTGTTATGGTTAAGAAATAATTATCTCCTATACTTTCTTAAAGCAAATTAATAAATCCGTCTTTACAACTTCTTGGTTCATATGAATGCCTAAAGAATTAGTGGAACTGCAATCAAATCTATTAACAGGTAATACAGATTCTCTTAGCTGGAATCCTAACCAACATTTCAACGGCTTATGCAGTGTACACGTTCCATACAAACTGATCACTTACCAAGACCCATAGATGATGCAAAAACCGGTCTTTCAGGCAGTTCTGTATAAACATAATACAGCAGAGAGGCAGATAATCCTCCTGCTAATAGTGACTTCTGGCTGCCACCTTTCACGTAGCCCATTACGCCACCAACTGCAGCAAAAAAAGAAAACAACATAAACAAGATTATTTTGCAGATCATCGCAGTCTAATCTTAGTCCAACAGCCATACTACTAGGTTGCGTTTGCGTCAGACTACAAATTACTCTGCACCAAACGCAAAAGCTATCTAAAGCGTTACAAATAGGAATATTAACAAGTTCTGAGATTAAAAGGAAGCCAATTGACGCTATTGATCACCCATATCAAAAAACAGTATCAACGAGATGTTTTTTTTTTTTTTTTTTAAGATCATGTACAGTCCAACATGCTTTTAATAGAACTCGAGAACTATCCGGAAAATGGTAAACAGACAACGTATCTATCTCATTCGGTTTTGTTTTGTTTTTGTTTTTGTTTTGTTTTTGTGTTTTTGTTTTTTTTTCAGTAGCAAAGAGTAGCTACAACCAGAAGGCCAGCAAAGCCATTACATGAGACAAGTTCCTGGAAAACCTATTTCCTAATCCTGAGGCATCCTGAGCTAATATAGCATCAGGACCTAAGAGTGGGAGGATGAAATGACCGAAGTTGCAGGCATTACCTCCAAGGAGCCCAGCATACGCTAAAGTAAATTTCTGAGACGTTAACATAGCCATCTCTGCGTCTCCCTCCGGTTCTCTTTTGCCCGCGCTATGATCCCTTCTTCCAACGTTACTATCACCTTCGCTGCGGGCGCGATTTTGGGCACCCAATCCGTTACCGGTACCGCCAGTGGTATATAGATAGGATCGATTAGCGTCAGCAGATTTGGCCGTGGAGGGCTGGGAAGCGGGTGAAGCAACGGAAGCGGACAGGTATTGGTTCTGCGTAAGAAGATGCGTCGGATAGAATCTGTCCCTCAAGTAATTCAGAGCTTGAAGTAACGGAGATGAGGGATCAGAAAAAGATCGTAGGCTTCCAGCAATGGGTATGGTAGATTGCAGTTCAAGGCGACGAGCACCGCATCCTGGAGGTTCCAAATGAGAGATATGACCATGAGAAGCAGTACTGGTTCTGGGCCCAACACCCGAATGGGGCTCTTCCACCATCACCGCTTCTGACGAAACTTCTCGTTAGCCCCTTTTTGACTATACACTTCTCGCCGCTCTCGGGGCTTTTGTTACGCAAGACTCAGCACTAGGGGTGAAAACAAGCCAGTCAGCCTGTCAAGAATCTATGGCCTGGTCTATATTTGGTCTGGTCTGGCCTGGCCTGTTTTTTAAAAAAGACAGACTCAGGCCTGTTTGAAAGCTTGTTTAGTTAAACAGGCTAGGTTTAGGTTTTTTAAAAAGCCTGTTAAGCCTGTTAGGCCGGCCTGAGTCTGTTAGGAATTTATAATCATAATATATGAAAAAATTAATTAATGCTATTATTGTTAATGTGCTCTTTTAATTTATTTTTTAATTTTAATATATAGTTAATAGCTTAATCTTTTCTTAGATCTTGAAGTTTAGATGACAAGTGATGATAAAAATATAATTTAAAATAATAATATTTTTAAATCTTAAAAATATAAAGAAAATAGAAAAGAAAAATTTTGTTCCAGGAATGATAAATTAACTAACTTACATATTATGTTAATTTAAGTATGATACCATCTTTATTCATTATAAAATTAGTATTTTTTTCCTCTTTATTTATTTGTCTTAACTTTAATTTTTTGTGTGTACTTAAACGTAGTCTTATTTCAAATTTTAACATATAATTACAATTAGTTTTCAATAATATTCTTATAAATTATAATTAAGATTTAAAATAGTACTTATGATACTAAAATTTAAATAAAAGACAAGACTAAAAATTTAATTATTATGTACTTTTTTTTTAATCTTAGCTTTTTTTTTAAAAAAATAATTATTATAATTTGAATTTTTTAAAAATACAAGCCTTTTAACAGGTTTCAGGCTAGGCCAGACCTTTATACAGGTCAGGCTTAGGCTGAAAAATAAGCCTGTAACAGGCCACAGGCCAGGCTCAGGCCAATAGGCTCCAAAACAGGCCTGGCCTGTTTCCACCCTTACTTAGCACCGAACCATTTTTCAGTACAGTTAGGTATATATCTAATATCTCAAGATATTTTTAAGATGCATTCAGTATTTTTAAAATTTTTTTTAACCTAGTACTCAATACACCAAAACATATTTTGAGTGCTGAACAAAATTTTAAAAAATAATTTAAAGTGTTAGATGTATTTAAAAATACTCCAAAATATTAAACGTGTTTAAAAAATGTTTTAGGTGCTAAATGCACCGTAAAATATTTTAGGATGTTTGGGAGTGTCAATCACCTTAACCCTTCTTTTTAATCAGTTCCCAATCTCAAACTTACGAGTTCTGGTCCTATTTATTTTTGGCCTCTGATTTCTAATATTGATTTTCATTCATCATTGATTAATCACCGTAAAAACTTATTTATCCATCATATTACTATCTCTTGTGATACTATCTATCCAAAAATATATTCATTTTCATATTAATATAATTAATTCAACTAAAAAATTTTATATTTCACCAACGGTGATATCATGAGGTTCAAGAGACTATCCTAAAAAATTCGAATGCAACGATTTTGTGAGTAGGAAAAATAATAGAGAATTATTTCATTGGGTTGAGAATGCTTGAATTTAGATATATAATATTAAATATCAAATAGCTGAATCAAAGAAAATTATTAAAATCGCTTATAAACACATTTTATATAAATTGAAATAAAAATCTTCTCACATATTTATCTCATATCTCATAAATTACGATTGAAAAAATGCTAATAAATTATTCCAGACCATCTCTCTCTATATATACACCCCTCTTTTGGGCAAGTAAAATTTTTCATATTCGCTCGTTTGTTGGGCGTCCAATATTAGCTGATTGACTGTGCGGGATAACAAGCACGATCAAACGCATGACAAATGGCAAACCTTGAAGTAGTCGACAAAGCTTGTTAATGTGCAATCATCGACATGCCTCTCCATTCAATTTTATTTATTTATTTATTTATTTTGATAAGTCGGAAAACTCCATTCAACTTTATATACGTATATAGACACATTTTTAACCCCGTTACGTGAAAGAGAAGTGAATAAGATTGTTCGTAATTTTTGAATAGTTTGACTTATTATACTACCTCCGGTCCTAATTATAAGACCCAGTTGATTTATTTGAGGAGATTAAGGAAGTAAGTTAAGTTAGTTATTTGTAATAAATAAGTGTTGTCATTCCTAAAATATCCTTGCTAATTAAGTGTATTGGCTAGAACTATCATTATTAGAAGGACTATCTTGGAAAAAAATGCATAAATATGAGAGAAAAAATGGATTGGGATCTTATAATTAGGACCAAACAAAAAGTCAAATGAGGTCTTATATTAAGGACCGGAGGTAGTATATTTCATTGTAGATTCAATTAACAAAAGCAATACTATAAGTCGAATTTCTTGATGTTGAACTTTGTATTTTCCTCCTGTTTTCAATTCACATATACAGCCTTTTACGGTTTTACCTGACCTTTAAGCACATGATTCATGTTTACATGTCTCTTAATTCTTGCCTCCATTTAATTATTTCTGTTGACAAACTATTCCCCCATGCGTTATTATCTATCCACTTCTAGTAGAAGTGTTACCATCAACAATAAGAATTACGTAACTTGTGCGATCAACGTGCATCCTTAAATAGAACTTTCCTCCTCCTTTTTTGCCCGTGAAAAGAACAATTCGCTTTTCCACAAAAATCAGATAAATAAAACTTTGACGCGTTTCCTTTTTTGGGTGAACAATTTTTTTTTTGAAAAATCTCCCTTCTGTATCACGCACAAATGCATCTCCCTTCACAAGCTGGAGTTGGCTCGTTAAAAAAGAGACAAGGCAAATGGGAGAAATCCAGAAACAATGGCTGCGAGCGAATGCAAAAGAACTACACGATAAATCTTGGTGTGTCTGGAACAGCCGGATAATCGGATACCTCCATCACCAAGGGATGAACATCTTTGGAAGGATTATATTGTTGAATCACCACCACTGATGCAGTGGTGGAGAAATCTGAGGATGCCAGGTAGCTTCCGATAGGACCTAACTCTTTGCAGTCACTGTTGTCTACCAACGGGGCCACGGGAGGCATTCTCCCCACCACCACTAGAGTGCTCTTATTCATTTCTTTTAGAGCTGTTATTACGCCTCCTTTGCTTTCCACTAATTTTTCTTCGTACCTCATCGATTCTTGGTTCGAGCTTTGAGCGCTCATGAACTCCGACCATATTTGATCGTCCTCCTGCTTGTCATAGTCTGAACTAACATCAGCTCCTTTGATAACCTTCTTGTCCTTGTCCGCTGTCACAGCCACTAAATTACCCCCAAATGTGAATGTCTTCCCGGGAGGAGCTGCGAACTTCACCACCGTTAGCAAAATTCCAGGGTGCTCCGCCATTCTCATCCCGTAGGCCAGTGCTTCTCGGTCATCTCTCCCTCCGAAGAAGGGTACCATTACTTTATAGGACACGTCGCTGGCTTGTACTTGGCTCGTCCCTCCGAGCCCACGATCCACCAAAATGCCCACGGAGCAAGGAGCATGGGTGAGCACATTTTGGTTTACCAGACGGAACGAATGTCCGAGGGACTCCATGGATCCATCAGCACGCTGGTGCTTGTGGAACGGGAGGATGATCATGGCTGCTCGCTTGTGGTGAGCACTGGTACATATGTCCTCGTGGATGGTGCTGAGAGCAGAGATGGCCGTCATGGGACGAACATTCACGCTACTCAGCTGACCGTAGGCTTCAAATGGGATCACCATTTGATCTCTGTCCTCCTGGATCTTGTTCCAAAAAGGAAGGCCGTTGTTGCGTGCCTTGTGGACCATTGAGATGGCTGAAGATCGCTCTGAGAGCTCCATCAAGTGCATTGCATATATGCAGAGCTTTCCTCGCTTTCGGGTTCCGCGAGAAGATTCTATTAGATTGATGAGAGTAGGAATATTGCGCGTGCTGTGGAAGCAAGCAAGCACTCGCAACTCTGTATCTCGGTCCTTACGTTGAATTGTTTTGTGCTTGTAAGGCGCTCCCCTGCGAGCCGGCTTATACACGGCCATCACTATCGGGGTTGTGATGAAGGTGGTGAACAGTGCCATTAGTACACATATGGCAAATGTCTGGTCATTCAGTACCTGCACGCAAGAGCGAGTTTCATTCATTAACGGGACGAGCTGAGCATTGTCAGATTGGGACAACAAGTTGCGAGGGAGATACCTTGCGATCCTTGCCAATGTTGAGAACAATGAGCTCCACCAAGCCTTTGGTGTTCATGAGAAAACCAAGAGCAAGGGCTTCTCGGAAGGGCATTTTGCATATAATAGCCACCACAACGGTGCCAACAATCTTTCCAAAGCAAGCAGTAAATATGACCAGAAATAATAACCCCCACGAAGTTCCGCCGCTTATGGTTGCCACATTTGTTTTCAACCCACTGGACACGAAATAAAGTGGCAGAAAAAGGCTAGAGATTATGTCCTCAATCTTCTCGATTAAGACCCCAGCAAAAGGACCATCTTTGGGCATGACGATGCCAATCACAAATGCCCCAAACAATGCATGGATGCCAATGGTGTCTGTGGCAAAACTAGCGGCCAAGACTATTGTCAGCGTGATACATATGTGGAGCTCCTTAACAGGCTCACCCTCGTGGGAACGCTTGGCCATCAGTGCCAGAACAGGCCTGACGGCGAAGACGCAAAAAAGGACAAAAGCAGCACCACAAAGCAAAACCCACAGGGAAATGAGAGGAGAAGTGTTGGAGCCGGAGAGGGCAATGGCGAGAGCGAGAAGAATCCAGGCGGCAACATCATTGACAGCAGCAGCAGACATGGCGATGCGACCAACGTCGGTGGTGAGGAGTTTGAGCTCGGCGAGGATGCGAGCGAGGACGGGAAAAGCGGTGATGGAGAGAGCAACACCCATGAAGACGAGGAAGGCGGTCGGTTCGACGCCTTTGGAGATGGTGGATCGAAGAACAAAAGAGGTACCAATGCCGAGAATGAAAGGGACGGAAATGCCGGCAAGGGCAATGCCCAAGGCCTTATGACCCGTTCGGCGTATGGAACGCATGTCCAGCTCCAGACCAACGAGGAACAAGAAGAACAAGAGGCCAATGTTAGCAAGGGTCTCGAGAACAGTGGAGCTTTTCTTGGGGAAAACGGTGTTGAGGAAAGTGTGGCTTCGCCCAATTGCAGAAGGTCCAAGCAGAATTCCTCCCTGCAGCATATATATGGAGGCATTTCATGCATGTTTGAAAAAGAGGGAGGGGGGGGGGGAGAGAGCGGGAGACTTACAATGATTTCGGCAATGACACGAGGTTGGCGGAGGGGACGTAAAAGGAAGGCAAGGAAGCGGGTGAAGGCAACGACGAGACATATCTGGAGGATCAAGAGGGGAAGAGCGTAGTCGAGGGGGTTTTCATGCTGGAAGGCGCCATTGGAGGTGGCCTTCATGGGGGCAGGGCATGTTGGAGGAGTGGGAGTGGCCATTTTATGAAGAAGAGATTAGATTAGGAGTTGGGGGGGGGGGGTGATAGAATTAATCAGGCCTGCGTTTTCAAGTGAGGGAGCATGTTGATGATGATGCATGCATGCATGAAGAAGAAGAATTGGGGGGCTTGCAGAAGAAATTAAAAAAGGGGAAAGGGGCGAAGAAACTGTGGTGGACAGCAAAAGATGCTAAGAATAGGAGTCATGGGGCGTTAGCTGTAGCGAGTGAGCGTTGCAGATCAGAGGAGGGCATGCAAGCACACATCTATGCATGCGCTGCTCTCCCAATGTGGATGTCCCCCCTCTTCCCTTTCCTTTCCTTTTATAGCTGTAGCTCTCGTTTTATGTTTTATTAAACTCAACTATTAACTCCGCCTCTCTACCTGTAATCCCAAACAAGCCAAACAAATATTCCACCAAACTTCTTATTTATTCAACCAACGTAACAGATTAAAATTAAAGGCTCTCCTACTGGAGATCAACCGACTCTTAACCTCATATTCTTTAATTATGTTTAACACTCTCTCCGACACCTACTGATTGCCATGTATGATCGATTAAATCCATAAACTAATTAACAAATCCTCCCAAGTTTAAGTGATCAGCTAATAATATAATTCAACATTTTGTTTCATAAGCGAAGATATTCAATAATCTATGCGCAGATAGTCATAAATCTTAGAAAACGAGCATTGTTCTCAGTGCCACGCATGAGATCAATATGGATTCGGCACAGTTAAATGAGAATTTGACACGGTAGAAGAGAAATAAATACAGTTAAGAGGGAAGAAAACATTTGAGGATGCATACAAATATCACCGTCATTATATGATAATCTACTACAATGAGAATGGTGCGAGAAATCAGACTCAAACCTATTTTTGGTAAATATGAGGTATGAGCATTCATCGCGCGATATGTGGTGCATCTAGACATTGTCACTACTCATGATATGTATATTTACCCCATGCCTGTTTGTGTATTTTTATCTCCTTCAGTGTGGCTTCGAAAGATTTTTTTTTTTTCAATAAACACTTGCAAAGGATATTCAACTGGCAAGGAGGTCAGGTTTGACCAAACCACGAACACTATTTTTAATTGAGATCGGTTTGTGTACAGGATAAATATAAATGGAGTGGATAATAAAATTTAAAAAAAATTTATAAACTTTTGTTGTGTTTTTCTTCCATCCTGTATATAGAAGCATTTAAAGTAATTCTCAATTAACTAGCCGTTATTCTGGGTTTGCTTGTTCAAACTAGAATCCGATCTAAACAAGCAAATGCGTTGACGGAATATCTCCAATGTGGGGATCGCTTTCTTCATTCTCAGGTCGCAGGTTAAATGGCTTGAATCAGAAAAACAGAGTATGATTGAACTACTTCATTTACACTCCTTTATGCTAAATGACACTACACTCGTCCTTTCCGTTTAAGCCACTCTTTGGAAAATATATCGTCTAGTTTGTGATCTTGACTGGTGCGTCTTAATTTCTTGATAGGTGATAGGATTATTCTGGCGAACAGTTTGAATGCTTCCTTTGTACTTGCGTCCAGTGAGAACCAAAGTATAATTAGGACTTCATTCTATCTTTTAGGGGTTAGATCAGGGTATATGGTTTCCTCAGAAGCATGAAATAGGCAGCTGCTAGCTGTAGAAGAGACCTTAAACCAGAGACAAGGCAAAATCTGGATAGCAGAGAAGGAGATGCGGAAGCCTAGAGAAAAGAATATGATCTAATTTCCATTAAAAATCTCGCCATGACTTTCCTTCGTCTGTCATGGGGATTCCCTATAAATGACATTAATTTCAACGTTCAAAACTCACAGAGTGAACCTCCCACCACCGTCTCAGGAGGTGAATCCACTGACCCAGTCCTACCAATCGCCTACATATGTATATCAAACTAGTTTTCATTTTCTACAGACACAATTACAATCATGCCGGATCCTAAAAGCCAGCCTGTGATTCCGAAATCATACGCTGATCCCAGTGGGGTGGGTCATGAAGAGGTTATATTGCAGGCCGTGGATTTGGACTTGTCCAAGATAGACCACATAACTTGAACATCTTCATAGCCACACGCCATGACTTCGCCTTGCAGATCCATTATTCTGTTATCTTGCCCTGCGCGTATGAGAACAATGAAATTGACACATGATCATCTGGGCCCATATATAACAGGTGAGGACATTGTGTAGAATTACAAACCTGGCTGAGACTTCTTATGATCCCTGGCGGGCTGGTTATTGAAGAAAGTGCAGGCTTTTCTGAAGGGGGAGGTGATGGTCTTCTTCCAAGAGGCCATGCGTGATTGAATGAGCTTGTTTGCGTATGTGTATATGGAGAGGCGTTGAATGTCAATGAGGGAGAAGACCAGGGCTTATATACAGAGGGCACAAGGACCCGAACGGAAGAGAATATAAAACAGAGGGAAGTGGGGGCCAAGAGAGGCAAGATCCGCGAGATGAGGTTGTGGAAGAAAGGAACATCTCTGCTTTTGATTTTGGGTTTGCTTATTAAACAAACAGTCCACCCACTGCACACAAGCACATGGTGCACGCTCTTTCACACATCTCTTCCTGCCACGTGATTTCTTTTTAATTCCAATCCTAATTCTCATCATACGTACCCTCATACGGTACACCCTCTTCCTCTTTTCTCATTTGAACCAAACCACCCCCTCTCATTCACCTCTCCCTCTGGGAATCATTCCCTGATGTTGACAGGGTTATGTAACTGGTATGTTTAGCTATTTCCATGTAACCAAACAAAAGAACTGAGCTATCTGCTTGGCCCCTGAATGTGGGTTTGAAGGGTCCCGCCAATATGGAAGTTGATAGTGACTGTGATGGACAGAGCCATACCCATAGCTCCCCGTTTCATGGCATGTGACGGCCACACGCTTTCAGCTGTGGGGCTGGGGTGGGCTCCCTCAACTACATCAATATTCTGAGTTGCATGCGATAGCCTCCCAACTTTGACCCACTTCTAGCTTTGGGAATGTGGTCTGAGGATAAACCCCGCATAGTTTAATCTCAACACAAACTGTGACGGTGGGTGCCGTTGATTCTAATCATGTCTTCACAGAGACATTCACTTGTATGCATCCAAGCTCTAACCCGTACGTTCCCATTGGCTTCATTTATAATTCTTTATTCGTTATTAATCATGTACTGTTACCTTCCCTTCAAAGCTTGTCTGATTTAATCAGTATATGTTAAGGCCATGATGGTGGTTGCATTCGAAGCAACAGTGTGAACGGAAAGGCGAGAATAATATTACGTTATCTCTGGGAATCTGAAACCCCATAAACAAGGCGATCTTCTGACAGTGACATATTTGTTTTTTTTTTTTTGGGGTATTTGTTTGACGATAAACATGGTCAGAAGTCAGAAGCAACCCCGATACTCGATAGACATATTCGATTTCGAAGGGCGCGTCGTAATAATGCAGAGGATAAATCAGTAGAACAGTGCATCCCCCTTTGATGTGGCATTTAGTAGTGGTGAGCAGAGACGTTGTTCAGCTAAATTTTATTCGCTTTCACATGCAGGGGCGACTGACAGGGGAATACTCATAAATTATTGCTTCAATTATTGTTTGTAAGGAAACTGAAAATGTTTAGCGTTTGATTGGCAATGAATTGAGTGAGATGATTACTGATTGGTGCCTGGGTCTGGCCTCACATGTATCCAGACTGCATGTTTCCACGTTCAATGGGATGGTCGGCCGCTCTTCGCTTTCTCTTTTTAAAACCCTCTCCCTCTCTCTCGCTGCTTTACCACACTTTGATTCCACCTCCTTCTTTCTAAAATCAACGCCTTTATTAATTCATGCCGTGCCGGTGGAAGTAGTAAGTTATTGACCATGGCACTTTGAGTTTGAATATTCTGAGGTTCCTTTGGATTAAGAGGAAAGATGAACCTCTTTTAGGCTCGAGTTTCGAGCCCATTTTAGTTTAATCCCCATTTTACACATTCATGAACCTCATCACCAAATCTTTGGTCAATTCAATTCAACTTTATATAATACTTTGCGTTTACTATAACCGACGACGACGAGAGGCCCTGCAGAAAATGATGCCGTTTTTTATGTGCAGCTTAAGTTTTGGCTTTAATTCGCTTCATAAATTAACAAGCAGTATCTTTTCCCCTCGTGTAATGAATAACACATTACTTCAAGTTTCTATTTGGTCGTCACTATTTTTGAATTTTCAAATCCTACTCAAATATGCAAGAAAAATTGCACAAAATACAATAACAACATATACAATATCCAACCAAAAAAAAAAACTTAAAGAAAATTACCCCATAGCCCAAAAGAACACGCATACTTCACATAGCTTATGATTAAGAAGACTGCTTATAAATTTCGTATCTTGTGTTGATCTGAACAGCCTTTGCATATTAAATTGGAGGTTTGACAAAATGTAAACATATAGTTTTTGATTTAATTTGTTTTAATTTAGTAATTAGATACGCGGAATGCATCTAAATAATCCTACCAAACAAAATGGAGAATATTTTGTAGTCTTTTTTTCCCGTTGAACATGCAGTGCGCGATGACAAAGAGGAAATGAGATAGAAAACAACAAGGGGGGTTTGGTGGGGGGGGGGGGGGGGGAGGGGGGGTGGGCATTGGGCAAAGTGGGCGGTGAGATCTGAAGGGGCAAACATCGTGCCCCTAATTAGTCAAGTAACAAAATCCGGGTGTTGTATTGGATTCCCTGTTTCAATATTGATGCTCCCACTTTTTCAGAGGAAAGTTTATCTGTGGGTCACAAGTGCACCAATTCTGTTGTCTTCTAAAGCAGCCGAATTTGGCCCCCCACTCAAAAGAGGGGGAAAAAAGAAAAAAAAAACTTTATTTATTCTTATTGCGCCCCCTTTTTTATTGCATTTTCTTCCCGTGCCTTCCATCAATTAGTCATGCTCCTTTTTTTTTCTGGGTAAAAATCAACTATCATGTAATATATATTACGAATTAACGGGTCTATTGTTATTTCAGCCGAAGTAAATGTTCACATGGTTTACATATCATGTGTACAAATAATTAATTACACCCTCTTCGTTCCAACTATAAAAGTTAACTAGTTTGAATTTAATCCTAAATATGCCATCTAAATTTTTATTCCCCGAATGAATCTAATACATATATATATTTTTAATATCACAGAGAAAATATTTTAGGGATATCAAGTCAATTTATCTAATTTTTTTTAAGAAAGAGTATATTGGAAGCAATCCTATTTCACAGGCTATGGGCCCTAAATATATTCAATATTCTCTGCAAACCTGCAGATGAGGGCCTCATCTCCTTACTGGGCCAAAATTGTGGTAAAGCCCATCCGATAACCCCACAAGAGAGAACTGAAAACCGCAGTTCGTCTTTTTGATCATGTGATCCGAAAAACCGTTTTCTTGTTGGTATGATTTTGTTTTAGTTTAGCGCAGCAAACGATCCCTGAGAACTTCTCCCATCGCATTCAACATTTTAAAAACTAAACCGGGCAACAACGGCGGTGAAGTATGATTGATTGGGTAATGGGTAGTATTATTATTACCAAAGGCTACAGTGAAAGCAGATCAGTACTTGGAAGCAGAACAGAGGCATTTGGATGTTAGCGAAGACGATGGTGAGATCATATGATCCCCGTACAATACAACGAACACTCCAAACTGCATTTAATATACTTGATACATGCACCCAATAAAGTTAGAGGCCGTACTTCGTACCTTGTTACAATTCCAAAGCGTGCCTTCCTTTCTATGTGTGATTGCTTTCCAGAGCAATATCTTGTGATTACCGGCCCCACTCTCACTCTTTTTTCGTATATATCAGCGATCGTCAATAAATAACACAGTATTTTCAGACACAAGCTCGCTGTTGTGATAATTAATTATAATAAATTCATAATGAAGATATAAACATCCAGCGTGGATGGACCCGGATGTACCCCCTCATATTTCCAGAACTCGTTAATTTTTATGCTTAACTGGCGTGATCCATGCTTCCGGTTTCTTTTAGTTTATTGAGTTTTGAATAAAAAACAAAAGTAAATTTTGATTAACTTTTAAAAATTGACATGGGAGCAGCTGATGTTGGGTGTTGACTCCCCTAAACAGGAGAGCCTCATGTTTCCGTGGCTGTGAATGATGGATGTGAAGTGAAATGATGAGCAGCATGATCTGCGACTGCCTTCGTACATTACGAAATCATTTGAAAACAACAAAAAGGCTTGAATTTTTTTATGGTTTCGTGCCCCATCAACGGTGTCTGGCCCTCCTCCCCCAAAACTTTCTCCACGTCAGTATCAATTTCAATCCCCTTTGTCCTTTTCCAACTTATATAACTCCCTTTTCTTTTTCGATAAGACGTTTTAATAGCTGCTTACTTGTCAGTTGTTATCGCCAAGAGATACATAAGAGATTTTCATTCTTATAAAAAAAAAAAAAAGAATCGCAATTTGCATTCAGCAGTTCTCTTTTTTAATTTTTTGGACCTGCTGAGAATGTGCCAAAATCATCCTCGCTTACTTTTTAAACTGAGTACTTTACCTAGTTTATATGATTTGATAATATAGTGAGATAACAACCATGAAATTACTCGACACTGCTCAATAATGAAATGAACCCAATCAATTCTATGCAACAACGTTGATTGCACGCTTACATCTTAATATTCTGGGGGAGCAGCGTTTAAGTTTTACATGGAAGGGTAGGCATCTGTGTGAGTTTTAAAAATCCAGGCTCCTTGATTACCTTAAGATAATATATGAATTTGACCTTTAATTAAAGGATAATTATAAAATGGTTAACATACAATGCATTGACTGTGTGAAGTGAAGCCTCATTGTTGTGGCCGGCTGGAAAGATCAGACCGTCCAGGATCCGTCGCGGGAGTTTCCCAGTAGAATTTTATTTTATTTTATTTACGAGAAAAAATGTTGTCGCCGTTTTTTGGTAATGGGCTTTTTTGGCCGCCGACATGCCCTTTTTGGCGAGTCGATGGGGCCGAAAAGGAACTCGGTCTCCCCTTCAACCCTCTTCATTTCTGCCAGTTTCGTGCCATTTTCACATTTCTAAGGCTACCTAACATCCATCATCAGCATGTGCCGTTCAGTTATCGCATCCCATACAAGAACAATTCACATGCTTATTCTTTTGTTTATTTCCCCGTCCTTCACCGCGTCCTCTCTTCTTCCTTCCCTCTCTCCCCTTTTTGCTTCATCCGGATACCTCATCAAGTTTCCTTAACTCTGTCCTTTTCCGGCAGCAGTCTCTCTTCCTTTAGTCATTCACATCCACGCATTCATGGAGGAAGCTAACGGTATGAGCCTTTCATCTCTGTCTCACTTTCTACAATTTCATTCTCATATCTTCCTGAATTCATGCGTCTCTTCTGATTTTGTTTTCTCTTTCTTCTGGAACACCCTCGATTCGGTTTTCTGATTACAAGTATTGGTCATTTGTGTGATTATGAGATCGTCTTTTTTCACCATTTTATTCGCTCTACATTAATATGAAATTCAAACAGTCCTGTTCTTGACCATTCTGAACGAAGTTTGGTGCTTTTCTAACTGTTCTGTGCAATATGTATGCCTGGGACACGTATTTTCTCACCCTCCTTCCAATTTGATTACCATGTGCTCTCTATGCCTCGGTACTTTTGCTTGGATTGTATTTACAGTTCTTCGAGAACTTGTTTTGGAAGCGATTAAGGTATATGAATTTAACACCGAGTACGGACTGGTGATGGACTTGTTCTGGGTCTATTGATCCTTGGAATTTCGGGCCAATTGAATACCTATTATGTAGAAGTCGATGTCCGATTTGGTTTATTGAACTCGTTCCTTCCCTTCCTTATTATGGCAGTGATCGAAGCTAAGGATGGAACTGTATCGGTAGCCTCTGCATTTCCTGGCCACCAGGAAGGTAATGCTAACCTACTCATGCATTTTAGTGTTTTATCCTATTCTGGTTGATATGGTCATTGCTTTTTAGCCTAGATATGCCATGCTGCTCGCTCCATATTGTTCTAGAATCTTAATACCTTTCTTTTGGCGTTGCATTTTGCTTCATTAGCTGTACAGGATCGGGACCACACTTTTTTAAGAAAGGCAGTTGAAGAAGCATATAAAGGTGTGGAATGTGGAGATGGCGGCCCTTTTGGTGCTGTTATAGTTTGCAATGGTGAAGTAGTTGTTAGTTGTCACAACATGGTCCTGAGGCACACAGACCCAACTGCCCATGCGGAGGTGACTGCAATAAGAGAGGTTAGACCATAAATAGAAGGAAGTGTTGCTGATGGTTTTTAGACATAATGCGTCCTTTTCTTTCAATTTTCACTTGTCTCAGAGTTGTGACATTCAGACTAAAATGGATGTGGTCAGAAATTGCATGCGTGATTTGACATGACTGCAGGAACTCTAATCGAATTGGTGGTGATATTCCAACTTACGTCTAAAGCTTGACATAACATTGCGACACTTTCATCATAGGAGGATATAACTTTCTTATTTATTCATGCAATCTTTTATTAAGCCTTATTTTTCCTTTTGTTCTTTTTCATTCTGTTCCATTTTAAGGTATTCCAAACTAATGTGCGGTTGTTCAATGCTACAACTTAGCACAATTTTTGTGGCATAAGCACCTTCTTTGAAAGCTAGCAGTCAAAAATTTGGTAACCTCTATTGCTCTGGTTTATTGGTAGCAACTGTGAAGCCTTTCAAGATTCTTCTTGTGATGGACAATTCTCACCTCATAGTGTTCTCTAGTCCTGTGGATGCAGTGGTAAATAATCAATTAGGTTTTGCTGGTGGTAAAAGATTGATATTTGAAATTTTTAATCGCTTCTAGTATTAGTTATTCTACAACCGGCATCTGATTGAACATTTACAGGAGTGGCTGCAATTCCATATGATTCCTGCTATAAAGTGGCTGCAATTCTTTTTTCCCCCCTTTTCTTTTTTGTCTTTTTTATGTGCTTACAGATGCTGCTGAAACCTCTTAACATTTAAGAGTCTCGAGACAATGCTTTAAGGCATTGGTAAATATTGAACTTTACGATCGTCATGGTGATTCAAATGATAATATTTTTTTTTAAGGGTAATTTAACGAAACGAATTTATCAGAAAGGAAAAAGAATGCAAAGAGAGAGTATTAGAGTGAGAAGACATTTTTCGAGAACATCAGTGAAAACAGTAGGAGGAGAAGAAGTCCTGAAAATATATTCTGCCAAACTTCATGAACTGTTGCCTCGCTTTCCTTATGTATCTAGCAGCAGGTGCATAATGGGACGAAAAAGTGATTCTTTGAGAGCTGGTCGAATCTTTTTCTTTCCAGAATACAAATAACTGATTGTATTACTCTATGCCTAATTTGATGTTTTACAGGCTTGTAAGAAGCTTAAGCGGGTAGAACTCTCAGAGTGTGAAATATATGCTTCCTGCGAACCTTGCCCCATGTGCTTTGGCGCCATCCATCTTTCACGAATCAAGGTTGGAATAACCTCCTTGTCTTATACCTGACAAGTCTCTGTTGTTTTGGAAACTTACGATGGAAATGTTAATTTTGCGGAACAGAGGCTAGTTTATGGAGCGAAAGCCGAGGCAGCTATTGCTATTGGATTTGACGATTTCATCGCCGACGCATTACGGGGTACTGGATTCTATCAGAAAGCTCAGCTGGAGATTAAAAGAGCCGATGGGAACGAGGCCATCATCGCAGAAGAAGTTTTCGAGAAAACAAAGGAAAAATTTAAGCTGTACTAAATCTCACGCATTCCTTCAACAACAACAACAACATTATTTTACTTCCACAGTAAATGTCTGTCCACGGCCGTCTTCATTTGAATTATTGAAAGTGAAAATAACATTTGACGTGTACAAGTTGTATTATGGTGCAATAAGGATTGTTTCGGCTGCTCTTGAGGTGCTAGTCCCCAAGCATCACTTTGTCTTAATTACAGTGTTTCTAAAGGTTTTCATGAGCGGTGGGAGCGAGGATCATTCCTTTTGAACAGTTGTCTCATAAAATAAAATGAGAAAATGGTTGATGGCATTTTAGGGAAGCGGGGGGTGCTCTTGGATTTCTGCTTGCTACGTCAGCCTAGTTGGGCTTGGGCCTTTCTCATTTTTGTGCTTGTGCACGAGTAAGTTGTTGATGTTAGGGGTAGGGGGGCAGGGTCAAGTCAAAAGGAATGGCGAACACCAACCGAAAACAAAGAAAGTCAACAATCGGTGGGTTCCCTTTCCTTCCTGGTATGGTTAAAAGTGCTACTTCCGGCGCCGATTTCCTTTACCACCTTTGTCCTTCTTTCTCTCAACCTCATGCGACTTTGTAGCCATGGCTTGCCTTCCTGTCAGTTTCACACCCCCTCTTTTTCCAACTTTGCTCACTCTCTGGACCCTGATCCCATTTGTCAAGTTGGATTTATCCTTACCGTTTACATATATTTCTATATTGCCCCTTTTGTTTCCTAACTAATCCCCTCATTGCATTCTGTTCAAAGCCAGATTCTTCCACAGGTGAACTCCACGCGCAGATATTATATTTTCAACTCCTCTCTCTACCACGTCATCGCTTATTTTATCACCGGTTTGATTAGTGAACTTAAATCCCACGCATCCATCGCAATTTCGAACGCTAACTTGGATTTATTTTAAAGGCTTGTGGAATTTTATACGAAATTGTAATGGCAGGGCCAGTTAATGCCGCAAGGTTTGAACAGTGCGTCCGGAGGAAGTTTCCGGGTTCCTTCCTGTGCAATACTACATATAAAGAAACAGTTGGGAGTCAATTAATTAAGCTTAAATAATGATTATGACGCGCTGCGATTGGTACTTTGTCCATTTTTGACCCTCTGTCAAAGCTCCTCCGCGGAGAAAAATATTCAGATTTTTTCATTATCATATATTTTCGCTGACTACAGCAAAACTAACCTCATATATACTATACCAAAATTTTCTTTCCCTCAGGCTCGGGTCTCATATATTTAATTGAATAATCAACGAGACCATATTATGTATTACCTTCTTAGAATTAACTACCTGCGAGTTCAACATTCCCAAATTGTAAAAGCCAAGCCAGAGGTGAAGCATTTATCCCTTTAATCTCGTCGATAAGAACAATGATGTTTTCTATGGTTGACTTCTCACACGAGAAGCAGCATTCTTCCTCAGAAATGGTTGGAAGCAATCTGTCACATAAATAGGCAACCTCATAAAATAAATGCGGAACATTTTAATCAGGGACAAGATCCTCTTTTTCTTTTCATTACAACCAACAATTAAGTTTGGAGCACATGTTTGTAAATTACAGCCTCATTTTTCGGACAGTAAATCCAAAAATTTTAAGCAAACCTTCTCTTCAAAATAATGATCTATTACATACAAGTGTGTGTGTGTGTGTGTGTTTTCCTTCCTTTAGTACTCCTTCCACGGAGAGATCCTAATATAGAGTAGTACTGATTAATTAGATTAACAATAGACTTTGTTAATATGGGAGAAAAGACTACTATCTAGAAAGCTAGGTAAGACTTAACCAAGACTAGACTAATTAATTTTGTGGACAAGCATCTCAGTTAGCAGATCTCATCAAGCTGCATAATCCATTATATAATTGTGCCCCCAAGTTATAACACCATATGAGCAGTGCATAAAAAATGGAAGGAAAAGTTGCAGCGGAAGAATTGGTGGAAGCTGAGGAAAAGCCACGGCACACATGTGATAATAATATTACAGATGCATCACAGAAGAATGATATTGTAAGTCTCCCTGCTGTGTTTCGATTTTCAAAAAACTTCAAATTCCCACTTTTGACGTTGTTTAATTGTATTGATGCGCAGTTGGGATCCAGTATTCTCAGTTTGAGTCTGAACAACCCAGAAGTGCATCGTCACAAAACTGATGAGCAGCCGGCAGCCCAAGTGAGCGATCTTTGATTAGTTAATCCTTGCTACACAGTAATCAGCAAGAATCTGTAATTCTAGTCATACTGTTTTTCGTTGGAATTCACGTGATGAATGATTTGTATTTGGTTATGTGCCTTTTAGTTGGGATTGCTGCGAGAAAAGCTGGAGGAAATGAAGAAAGAGAATCAGAATCTAAGAGCTATGCTGTGTCAGATCACTCAACGTTATGCTGTTCTTCAGAATCGCCTACTTATGACGACGCAGCATCAGCAAGAACAACCGCATCTAGAGTGTCATACTTTTCAGGTGAGTTTGACTCAACTTTTTCTGACATGAAATTTCTGAAACACAACTATCGTCTTCAATATGCTGTGGGTAGATATTTATATCTCCCTCTAAAGCTGTAATATTGTCACTATTTAGATAATGGCAACACCTAATCACGTAGACTTTCGTTTTCCTTTTTTTTAATTTCTAGTTTTCTACGATACTGTGTTAGATCTTCAGAAGCTAAAACTGAAACTAATTTCTGGAAATAGGCGTAGAGCTTTCTCATAATTGAGTGTGAGAGAATTCGCTCCAAAATCCATCAAGATTCAAATAATAGTCTGCTTCTTTGTATACACTGGAGGAGCTAAAAAGAAAATCGCAACGGAGAGAAAGCAGCAAAAATAACAACTTATTTTTCTAATAGCTTCTGCTGAAGGAATATTTTCTGACAATCACGCTCATTCCTTGGTGGTGAAATCAGCTAGCTAGCCATCTGGTTTCCTCCTGATCCTCTTAGGCTGTGCCTTTGTTTCCCCATGAGATACTGATCCCTTGACCATCAATTTAATTACGTAATATTGGGAAATCATTGGTGGTTGATTAAACTTTAATGCCTAACTTACGGACTATGTTTTGAACCCAAAGATATTCACAATGCTTAGCTTTCATTTACATAGAAAGACAATAAAGGAGATGTCGGGGAGGAAGCAGCGTTGCCCATCCGGCAGTTCTTGGATATCCATGAGCCTTCTCCTTCAGAAAGCAACAAATCAGAAGGATTTAGTTCTCACAGGAACAGCATCATGTGCAGCAAACCTGCATGTGAAGCGAACAGCAATAATGCCAAAAACATAGACGACGATCAAGCATCTTATCAGGCAAATTCTTGCAGAAAAGTTAGGGTGTCCATAAGGACTCGTTCGGATCTTTCTTTGGTATGAATTAATCGTAACCCATCATTTCATGCATTCAAGAACCAAATATATGTGCTGAAATTCCTAATTTCTTTTGTTTAGATCGGTGATGGGTGTCAATGGAGAAAGTATGGACAAAAGATAGCCAAGGGAAACCCATGTCCTCGGGCTTACTATCGTTGCAACATGGGAACTGCGTGTCCGGTCCGTAAGCAGGTTAGTGCTGTATTGTCATTACTTGAAAAGTTTTTTCTTGCATTAGTCAGAATCATCCAATATCTGTAGCTACAGACACACACACACACACACACATATTTGATGGTAGAGGATGGAATCCACTCGTAGTTATAGGAAGAAAGAGTTCGAGGCTAGATGCTTGTCCATAATTTCGAAGTAAATCTTTTGTTTCATCATAACGTAAGAGGAATGAAAGTTTAAGATTATATATGGGACTTAAATATGACAGGTGCAAAGGTGTGCTAAGGATAAGAGTATTGTGATTACAAGCTATGAAGGGAAGCATAATCACGCACTCCCTGCGGCAGCCGCACCCATGGCTGCGGCCACGTCAGCAGCATTGAGCATGTTCCTCTCTGGCTCAACCAGCAGTGCACAAGGAAGCAGGCAATCAAACTCAGGCCTCTTCTCTTCTGCCTTTGCTTCCTTGTCTACAACCTCACCATGTCCTACCATAACACTGGACTTGACCCATCCCTCCAATCAATTTATGCAATTCCAAACGTCTGCCGCATCAACCCACTCCCATCACCCATTTCCTTTTGCTTTGGATGGTTATGACACTCAACAATCTCACAAGCTTCCCACAACGAACGTGTCCTTGGTGGATGTCATCAGTGCGGCTTTAGTTAAAGATCCTTCATTCAAGGCGGCTTTAGCTGCGTCCATTTCTTCATTTGCCGGAGCCACCTCATTGCAGCGTTAATAAGCACAGCAGCAGAGCGGGCATGATTCTTCCCTTATGATATCCTTCATGCCTGTGCCAAATAAATTAAAAAGCTTGTGTGCCTTACCTGCTCGCAGCAGGGATTAACGTGTTACGTAAATGAATGATCTCAAAGGTTGGTTTTAATGGATATGTATATCTTCCATTCGAGGAAAACATCGATCTTGGCAAAGGTTCCTTTTTGTTGTTGCTTGTAATATAGGGTTTACAAGAAAAGTTTAGGTTTTAGGATCATGCCAAACTCGGCCTCAATGTTACATGAATGAAGATTGAAGGCAATCAATGGAATTGGCTTCATGAAGTTACCAAGTCAGTTCTGTTTTCTTCCTCTGTCTCGTTTACTTCTAGTCATTTTTTAACAGGGAACAATTATGCGTCGCAAGTTTATCTTCCGGCAAAAATAAAGTGAGAGTGAAGGGAAATAGTGCTTGGATTTGGCATTTCTCGTCACCTACGGGGCCGCGGTAATTAAGCCACCCAAGTTACAAGAAGCTCACAACACAATGATTTCGTGCTTCAGTTTCTTTTCAGGCATTTCAGCCCATTTCTTCCACAAATGGTCTTCAGCCATCTATTTTTGCCTTGTGTAGCTATGGAAATTTAAGGGAGGGCATTTGAATAATTGGATAGTTAAGAATTGAAACATCATAGATCTTATTGACAAGACATAGCAGGCACCATTTACAAGGGGATTTATTTATTTATTTGCTCTAAATTATGTGTATCTCTTCTCAGCTACCCTGTAAGCAATTTGGATTCATAACGACTATGTAGCTTTTGCAAATCCTATACGAAGATTGCCGAAGTCAAAGACAGAGTGATATGCTGCCAAGAATATATCTCCTAGCACCCTGCAAACATGTACCGCTATCTCACGCTACGATTCAGAGAATTATAAGGGAAAAAGTAGTATCGAGCACACAAATATGCATTACCATAGGGGACCTTGTGGAGGAGGCACATCTAGAGCAGTAAAACCCACATAGCACACAGCAGAGTGTCCTTGTGCAACTCTCAAAATATACTGTCAATACAAAGGGAGGATTCAAGTGGGTAAATGGTCCAGAAACAAATAATCAGATGGGTTTTTACTTTTCATTTGACCTTAAATGGGATCCTCTCTCACACAAAAGCATCACAAAACTGACCTGTTCCGGAGAGAGAGAGTAGGGCCTGTTTCCAATTGTGAACGTTATGGTTGGCATATCTGCAACATCGTTGCAGTTTATGAATGATTGTCCCCCCGGATTCGGGAGCCTCTCACACAGCTAGATGACAACAAATAAAAACAAATGATAGCATAGGTGATTAAATACTCAACATGTATATCCCATAGCAAAAAATACATAAATAAAGAAATAAGTTCTTCTTAAAACGAGTACCTCATCTATATACTCAAATATTCTTTCCTTTGCATTCTTTTGCTTAAGCTGAACTTGGATCCAAAACACGATCATCTCACAGAAAGTACAAAGTGGCTTTCCCCTGCTTGATGACGCATCCGAACTTTCATCATGCACTGCTGTTTCAATAACATTGCTGCAAGTCACAGTTGGGCTTTTGTTAGTATAACTGGAACAAGGCCATGAATCTTAAGAAAACTCGTGAAATAGAGGGGGGCTGATATGAGAGTGGGAAAATATCTTACTCCGCTATATGAGATTTATTGTGTGAACAGAGTCCTATTTCAACACATATGAATTCAGGTTTTAACTGCAGATATGAGAAGAATGGTTGGTATTCCAATAAATTGTGGATAATCATTGGAAATAAGGGGGAAAGGAAGAAGAGAACAGACCCCAGAGGTTAAGAATTCCCATAGCATATTTCCATAGTAATGGATCACATTTTTACATTCAAAACTCACATATCCTGATGCTCCAATGGCATGGTTGATTTGAGTCACCACAGCCTGCAAGCACGAACTCAATAGAAAATATCAATATCATCCAAAGAAAGGGGAACTAGAATATTGCATCAAGATTGAGATGATACCGTCGGACCAGCGATGAAGGATAGCCCTGAGTCTACAATGGCAGCACAGCCACCCCGGCATAACCCTATCAATTGTAGATATGAATATTAATAGGTAACATAAATGTATGAACTGAAAACAGCGACCTAAGTACCAAGAATGGCAATGGCGCATGCTGGCAGTTGACAATATTACAATACAATATGAACCATGAGGACAAGGTGAACCAAAAATAAACAGCATATGGTAGATATGTATTTAAAAAAAAAAAAAAAACCTGTTGAACTTTTCCCAACAAGAATATCTCCCACATCAATCTGGAGATGATTACACCAAATGTTAATATTGCCATATGGCAAGGGTAGCTATAAAGAGGCAAATGAATCTGCAAGCTTTGAATAGAAAGGACCTGCCAGTAACCCTTTTTGGTAACTGGTACATAAGTGTGGTCACCCCTAAAGCGCCTCCAGTCAACACCACCAAAGACAATCTCACCCCCTATCTTTGAAGTTGAATCTTTGTTCAGCCAAAGAGAGAAAAGTGGTTGACTTAAACGCCCTTGTTTAATCATGTTATACCTGTAATTATAGACATAATCACTGTGGTTTTTCTTTATTTTTAACCATCTAAGATAAATTAATCACCCAATAAATAAGAGAGAGTATGGTAAGATGAATAAGAAAGGGGAAATAGAATGATAAAGCGTGGGTGAGGTGGAAACGTGTACCACACTGGTGTGGCTTGTCCAACCGCAATATCCTTGAATCCAAGTCCAAGTATCCCGTCAAACTGATGAGCCAAAAATGCCAAATTTCCTTCTTTTGTTATCTCAACAAATTCCTGGAGGACGGGATGTAACTAGCCATCAGTGCAGCCAAAGAAGAAACGTATTTGAAGCATGTAAAATTGAATTAATCACAAATCAGACTTCCCTGACCTCAAAACAATTTTCTTCTTCGTTTTTTTCCTTAAAAAATTATCAAAACGCTGACCTGATGTTTGACGGTGATATCCCCAACTCTAACTCTGTCTTGGCTGAAGAAGCCTGAAATGGATCCATGGCCATAAGGAATTTTGCAAGGTGTTCCTGCATATTTCGCCAACAGCAATTTTAAGTATGATCATAACGAATAAAACAGCGGTAAAACTAGACATAATCAGTTCCCCAAAAAAAAAAAAAAAAATCAATATCACTGCCACGCTGATCCAAAGTTACCAATTTTGGTGTAAGTATTAGAAAGTCGCGCCCTATACTTGGAATGAAAATAGCAAGCAATCTGCATGTAGACATTTTTTGTTTTAAATGAATAGGCTCAGTCAACAAATGAAGGGAGCATCCAATTAAAGTGAATGATTCATAACTTACGGATAGGATACATTTAGAAGATGGGACCCAAAGGTTGGAGCTTCCAGTGTCGAACACAACATTGAAGCTTTGCGGAGGCGAACCAATACTAATTTCCCCAAAATATTGAGCATCAAGATAGTTTTTTAAATACACTACAGCTGCTTTTTCTAAGTTATTATTCTCATGGAAAGTCCCTGGAGTTCTGGGATGAAAAGCCCCCTGGATTCTTGCAGCACGAAGATTGTTAATGTCTAAGCTTCTTCTTTTCAGACTAATCCTCAGGAGACCATCATCAACAGTTGTAAAAGCCAACGATCCAGACCAGGTCCACAGACAGATCAATACCATAATATATTTGATACACATGGTTACAAGTCATCTGGTTCAGCAAGTAAAAGGCAGTTTCAGCAGAAACAACATCTCCACAAATGAGGTCACTATTATCACAGCATAAAGAAGTTTAAAAAGCTTTCAAACTCATCCATTTAGCTTAACACCATTAGTAAAACATAATGAAGTCCACAATGACTCACAAGCAACAAATTCAACTTAGGCTAATAATCAATAAGAGGTGAAGACTTGAAAATTAATACCTGAGGGCCCTCAGGGTAGGAAGTAGAGCAACTGAGACGCAAAGATTATAGCACAGGGGAATAACTTGCCTTTAATATACAAATTTGCATGGAAAAGCACGAACCAAGTCCCTTCCACGATACGGCTAATTCGATCCACCACGAACAATTTATCCTTCTCGCCTTCAATATCAAAGCTTTACGTGCTATTTTTTTTTTTTCTTCTTTTCTTTTGATGAAGCAAACAAACAATTAATACTTGCAAAGAAACAACTGCGCAACTTCGTGGAGGATGATGCAGCTTAAGGGTACGGCAAGGGAAGGAACTAAATCAATGAGAAGTATACAAGGAGGGTGTGTGTGTGGAGAGCTATGGAGCAAGCAGTTAACCGAACCAGTTTAGGAGAAGGTTCCGACTTGATTATTTCTTGTCCCCATCAATGGTGCTTGACTTCATTGTGTAATCCTGTCCGTCGGGTATTGGGTTTTGTGATTTCAGGTAACTACTCGTGCATATTTAATGCGCATGTTTAATTTACAAAATCAAATTTTCACCGCTAAGTCAAAAGCTTTTTTTTTTTTTTAATAACAGTCAAAAGCTATTTTATTGTTTTGATAATAATAACTTGTGGCTTGCCATGAGATCCAGTTAAAAATTTAATTTAGTTCAAAATATAAGTTGTCAGTTAACTTTATTTTTAATATTTATTTATTTTGCTTTAAATAATCCCCACAATAATTATTGATTACACATGTTTTATTAAAAAATATTTTCAATACACATAATTAGTAGAATATTTTAAGAAATACATTGTTTATTTATTATAAATAATTAATTTAATTATTTTTTAATATTTATAAATTAGTTATCTAAATGTTATCTTAAGGATAGGAGGTGGTATTAATATTAGCTTACTCGTATTACAAATTAAAAAAAGTATCTTCTTAAATGTGTAAAAACTATTTAAATATTTAAATTTAACTAAATTTATTTTAATAAAATAGGTGTGTGTAATTCTTTACCACCAAGTTAAATTGTAAACAGGTTTTATTTTTCTTTCGCGTTTTGTTTTCAGTAGCTTGCACACATAGTATTACTTCTTTTGTTTTTTGTAATGTTTTTTTGAATATTAATAAAAATGATTTTTTTCGGTAAAATTAAAAAGCTAGCCCTAATTGCTAGTGCTAAATTTCTACCTAAGCATCGGTAATGCAGTTTTTTTTTTAAAGTCTTGTGTGATACGTTGGCCTGCATGGATGTTTAAGAGATGCAATTTTATTTATAAAAATGAGGTCAAAATATTAGCAGATAAAGATTATTGTGTTTGTGGGCAAATTAAATAAGAAAATTCCATCAAAAGCAAGATTTTCTTAATAATTTTTTTAATGTGTTTAATATTACGAATGCTCTGAATTTTAGAAATATTACATGTTTTGGGTTGCAATTCACCTCGTAGAAACCCAAACTAGTCATTTTGCCATGTTAGGTAACTAGTGTTGCATCCATGCAATGCATGAGTGTTATAAAATTTAGGGAAAATTTCGTTCAAAGACCGCTGAAGGCAATTAATTTCTAAGAGCCCCTAAAACAATCTGAAAAGCCACTGCAGGACCATAGGGGTGAATTGAAATTAACTTCAAAACTAAAAATACAGTGTTGCCCCTCAAACTATTACTCTGAAATTTGAAGTCTTTTCTCTCTCTCTCTCTCTCTCTCTCACAACTCCCGATATCTGAAGCCCCTCTCACTCACTCTCTAAAAATTCCAGTTCATGCAGTGAAGGAGATCGTTCACCTCACCGTTGCTACTGTTGTGGTGAGGAAAGACTTTGCCATCGTCATTGCTCTGCTGCGGAGAGCCTTTGTTGTCGCCCTTGCTCTAGCAACGAGAGCCTCCATCGCCACTCCTGCAAGTGTTGGACGAGAGCCTTTTGTGTAGATATGAAGCTGGTTAAACTACAAAAGCTTGCAAGAACGCGAACTCTACATGACTTTATTGCTGAATATAATTTGTTTTAGTTTTAATAAACAGCTATTTTTGTGTATATATGAACCTCAATATGTATTTTTGGAATGGTTCACGAAGTGGCTATGACAATCCATGAGTTGAAATCTATTTTGTATGGCGCTATGAATAGATGGAGAATTTCATGCTGGTACTTAGAGGTAAACTGCCCCAAGTACTGAACTGAAACTAGCTAGCAACTATATAAACGTGTGAACAAATTAATCGACTTGCAAATAAACGTATTTTTATTGTTAATGCATGTATTCTTATTGCAAAGTTCCTAATTCCACTTGTAAACAGTCACTTCCAGATTTGTGAATTGACGTGTTCAACTTTTTAAATGAAATAAATCTACTTGCAAAAGGATGTATTTCTATTGTTAACAAGTGTATCCGTGTTGCAAATTTTCTAATTTCACTTGTGAACCCTCACTCCCAGACTTGTGATAAACTTTTTCAATTGAACTAGCTTATTTGTAAATGGATGTGTTATTCTTATTAATATACAAATCCTATTTGCAAATTTTCTAATTTCAGTTGTAAATGATCCCTCCCAATCTTGTGAGTAATTATGTTCAACTTATTGAATTCAACTAGCTCACTTATAAATGGAAAAATTCTTGCTGTTAATATACTTATCCTTCTTGCAAATTGCCTAGGAAGCACTAGTCACAATATCCCTTGTGTGATAGTCATTTTCTATTACTCATGAGTTCATTCATTATTTTGAGTTTGCATTGATGCGCCTGTCTTAATCTATTGACAGTACTTATTGTTGTGTCATAGGAATAATAGACTTCACTAAAGTCTGAGTCGTGGTGACTCATTACTCCAAAAGAAATACGCAATCAGCTGCTATTGCAAACTATTTCAACGGATAAAGACAATAAAAAACAAAACAATGACATAATGTGTTAAAATTTGTGTATGGAGAATTTGCACAATTTCTGTTTTAGGGAATATACTATGAGTAGGTTACATGTCAATTAATTACAATTTGATGTCTTTTCCCACTAACTTGCAAGTATGTGATGTACTATTGACAACTCGAATTAGAAAATTTACAATAAGAATATGTTGATTAACACTTTGATGTCATAGGTATTTGGTTGTCATATTGGCAATTAGAATTAGGAAATTTGCAACAAAGATACATTGATTCACAAGAGAAACTTGTCCATTTACAAATGGACTAATATAACTAAAAAAGTCATACATGATTATTCACAAGTCTGAGGAGCACTAATCACAAGTGGAATTAGGCAATTTGCAATATGAATATGCATATTAACAACAATAACCTGTCTATTTGCAAGTGATCTAGTTGAATTCTAGAAGTTGGACATGATAATTCATGTCTGGGAGGGACTATTTGCAACTACAGTCAGACAATTTGCAAGAAGGATAAGTATATTAACAATAAGAATTTGTTTATTTATAAGTGAGCTAGTTGAATTTAAGAAGTTGAACATGATTATTCACAAGTCTGGGAGCGATCATTTGCAACTGATATTAGAAAATTTACAAATAGGATATGTATATTAATAAGAATAACACATCCATTTGCAAGTGAGCTGGTTCAATTGAAAAAGTTTATCACAAGTTTTGGAATAAGGGTTCACAAGTGAAATTAGGAAATTTGCAACACGGATACACTCGTTAACAATAGAAATACGTCCTTTTGCAAGTAGATTTATTTCATTTAAAAAGTTGAACACGTCAATTCACAAATCTGGAAGTGACTGTTTACAAGTGGAATTAGGAACTTTACAATAATAATACATACATTAACAATAAAAATATGTCCATTTGCAAGTCTATTAATTTGTTCACACATTTATATAGTTGCTAGCTAGTTTCAGTTCAGTACTTAGGGCAGTTTACCTCTAAGTACCATCATGAAATTCTCCATCTATTCATAGCCATACAAAATAGACTTCAACTCACGGATTGTCATAGCCACTTCGTGAACCATTCCAAAAATACATATTGAGGTTCATATATACACAAAAAATAGCTGTTTATTAAAACAAAAACAAACTATATTCAGCAATAAAGTCATATAGAGTTTGCGTTCCTGCAAGCTTTTCTAGTTTAACCAACTTCATATCTATACAAAAGGCTCTCGTCCAACACTTGCAGGAGCGGTGATGGAGGCTCTCGTTGCTAGAGCAAGGTCGACAATGAAGGCTCTCCTTAGCAGAGCAATGACGATGGCAAAGTCTTTCCTCACCACAATAGTAGCGACAGTGAGGTGAACAATCTCCTTCATTGCATGAACTGGAATTTTTAGAGAGTGAGCGAGAGGGGCTTTAGATATCAAGAGTTGAGAGAGAGAGAGAGAGAAAAGACTTCATATTTCAGAGTAATAGTTTGAGAGGCAACACTGTCTTTTTAGTTTTGAAGTTAATTTCAATTCACCCCCATGGTCCTGCAGTGGCTTTTCAGATTGTTTTGGGGGTTCTTGGAAATTAATTGCCTTCAGCGGTCCTTGAATGAAATTTTTCCTAAAATTTATTCTCATCATGGATGTCCATAAATATCAAAAGAGAATTTTCCATAAAATGCAAACGAGATCAGGATATTTTAGTTTGCAATCAAATTGTGGATCTATTTTTTTAATATAATTTTTGGTATTTTAAATTTGTCCTCATTTTAGTTTTAATCGCTCAAGTTTTAAATAATAGGTTTTGGTCCTTTAAAGGATAAAATGATTTAAATTTTTATTGGATTATAGATATCAATACTTTAAATGAACAGAAATTTGAGAGATTAAAACTTAAGAAACCAAAATCAAAATAAGAACAAATTTGAAAGATAAAAATTGTATTAATTTTTTTCTTCCAGAATTTAGAATTTTCCTTTTCGTGATGTCGGAAGCGCTTCAGAATTATGAATTATCTCGTTGGCCCCGTCTACTTGTCTTGTGATGATTGAAGAATCTTTGGAGGATCACAGGAACTGACGAGGGCAATACGTCGTCGTAACGCTGAGACACTCTGTGGTTTTGACTTTTGGGCCTTTGTAAGCCCCACTCGTTCTCCGCGTTTGGGTCGGGCATGGGATGCGGATCAGGGGAGGAGGAAGACGACGACGACGACGACCGAGAAGAAAAAGTTTGATTACCTGCTTTTCTGTTTCACGCTGGCTTCTAGGTCAGTATCTTCATCATGCCCTGCTCAACCTCATAAGCTTTCTTTCTCTTCTCTATTGACCATCAAACTTGTTCTACATTAGGGCTTTCCTGCCCTTTGACGAATTGTATCTTTCTTCCCTCGCATAAGGCTTGCCTTTCATCCAGATTGCACATCTATTCTGCGCTTTTTGGTAAATAAAAAAAATAATGTTCTTTTATACTAATGTCTAGCATAAATTATGATACGGCTTAATTTAACATCTCTCACCGCCTTATATTATTCCTCGTCGCTGGATAATAGAGGCTTACACTTTGGATTACATTCATCTTTTTCTTCTCCTTGTTTTATTCCCCTTGATTATTACTTGCCATAGAAATTTTGGAGTTTTCATTGCAGAGCCCTTCACTGCTTGTCTCCTTTGAAATTGAGGTCTGATACCTGAGAGCCATGCTTACCTCACCTATACTTTTTTTGAAAAGATAAATTGCCAGGCTATGGCTACAAAGAAAGTTATAGCTATATGTCAGTCGGGAGGTGAGTTTGTAACGAGTACAGACGGATCACTGGCATACCAGGGGGGCGAGGCCTATGCAACAGACATTGATCTGCAGACAAAGTTGACTGATTTAAAATCGGAAGTGGCAGAAATGTTCGGTAAGACAGATCCAATGATTATCAAATACCTCCTTCCGAGCAATAAGAAAACTCTCATCACGATAGCGAAAGACAAGGACTTGCAGCGGATGATCAATTATCTTGGGGATGCGGCCACAGTTGATTTGTTCATTATCTATGACGAAGGAGCAGCTCAAAATCCATCTTCTGTGCCCAAGAGTAGGTAGTTATTCGCACCTTTTGCCCATCACTTGTGGACTGCCCTGAATAGAAAATGATTTGCCTCTTTACTTTGATCTATAACACAGAAAACACAGCTTAGCTTATGAGATTTGAGAGCTTCACTTGAAATTTTTGTTTTGATGTTTCCTCGTATTGTCCAATTGGAGAATATGCCTCTCCGTGGCCTGCATTATTGTGATACTGTGTTTATGATCAGAATGAATGGCTGTTGTGTATGCTAGAGTCATAAACATTGTATGTTCGCTTTAATAATCTTATAGAACCCTTTTTCATTGTAGGCCAAGCAAACAAACAGTGTCAGAAGCCCCAACTGGTCCCCCTGTCGATGTTCCTGTAGATACTGTCCATCCCACAAATCGACTTGATGTTTCTGTAGTTGCTAGAAAACGTGTGCCATATGTTCTCACTGGAACCGATGATGAGAAGCTTCGTAAAGCTGCCCAACAGTGGGAAAATACCATCACTGGTGTCAACCAACGGTTCCGTAGTTTAAGTGAATTCCGAGAAGCATTGCATAAATACTCTATTGCTCATGGGTTTGCTTACAAATGCAAAAAGAATGATGCTCATCGCATCACTGTCAAATGTAAATCTGAAGGTTGTCCCTGGAAGATATATGTCTCTAAGTTGGCCACCACCCAATTGATTTGCATTAAGAAAATGATTGCAGAGCATACCTGTGAAGGGGCTGCTAGGATAAAAGCTGGGTATCGGTCAACTAGAGGCTGGGTGGGGAATATCATAAAAGAGAAATTGAAAGTCTCCCCAAACTACAAGCCAAGGGATATTGCTGATGACATTAAGCGGGAGTATGGGGTTGAGTTAAATTATTCTCAAGCATGGCGTGCTAAAGAGATTGCTAAAGAGCTGCTCAAAGGCTCCTACAAACAGTCATATACGCAGTTACCCTCCTTCTGCGAGAACATAAAAGAGACTAATCCAGGGAGTTTTGCAACACTTACAACTAAAGAGGACTCTAGCTTCCATCGTCTCTTTGTATCGTTTCACGCCTCAATATCTGGTTTTCAGCGAGGTTGTCGCCCTCTGATTTTTCTTGCTAGTTCTTTCTTGAACACAAAATACCAGGGGGAATTGTTGACTGCAATGACAGCAGATGGAGAAGATGGCGTATTTCCTGTAGCCTTTGGTGTTGTAGATGCTGAGAATGAGGAAAACTGGCATTGGTTTCTGCAGGAGCTAAAATCAGCAATATCAACTTCTCAGCAAATTACATTTGTTGCAGATTTTCAGAATGGTTTAAAAAAATCATTAGCTGAGATATTTGAGAATTGCTACCATGGTTATTGCTTACGCCACCTTGCTGAGAAACTGAACAAGGACTTGAAGGGTCAGTTCTCTCATGAGCAAAGGCATCTCATAATAAATGAGTTTTATGCTGCTGCCTATGCAACTAAACCGGATGCTTTTGCACGTAGTATTGACAACATAAAGAATATGTCTCTTGAAGCTTATAATTGGGTCCTACAAAGTGAACCAAAGCACTGGTCCAATGCATTCTTTGGTGGAGCAAGGTATAACCACCTGACCTCCGATTTTGGACAGGAATTCTACAGTTGGGTGTCCGAGACACATGATTTGCCTATTATTCACATGGTTGATGTATTACGATGTAACATCATGGAAACAATTTACTCAAGACGGGTGGAGTCCAACCAATGGACTACGAAGTTGGTGCCGTCAAAGGAGGAAATGCTTCAAAAAGAAACTTCAGCTGCGCAGTCGCTTCAAGTGTTACTCTCACAAAGTGGCACATACGAGGTCTGTGGGGAATCTATAGAAATGGTTAATATTGATGCTTGGGAATGTGGTTGCAAGGGATGGCAGATTACCGGGTTGCCTTGCTGTCATGCTACAGCGGTTCTTGAGTGCATTGGTAGAAGTCCTTATGATTATTGCTCCAGATATTTCACCGTTGATAGCTACCGATTAACATATGCAGAATCAATACGCCCTGTGTCAAATGATGACGTGCTATTCCTGGGTGAATCAGGTCGATCAGTAACCGTAACGCCTCCATCAACTAAGAGGCCTCCGGGACGGCCAAAGTTGAAGCAGGTTGAATCGGAAGACGTAACGAAGCGTCCGTTTCAGTGCAGTAAGTGCAAGGGACAGGGCCACAACAGGAAGACGTGCAAATCGTTGTAACTGTCGAAGTTACAGTAAAATATTCATGTAATCTTTCCCCAGCACATAGGAGTCATTTAGACGCATACTAGAGTTTCAGAGCTTGCGTGAAGGGAACCCTTTGTAAAATTATTGTGACTTCTCGTATCATAGTGGAAGGTATCTATTTTGAGAATTCTGGAAGTGTCTTCTTCTGCACGTTGCAAGGAAAACTCAGGATCGGGATAGATGGCAATGTTTTCTTCAGCCAAACTCTGTGTATGTTGTAAGGTGATGCGGCTTTCGTTACCACACGGTGTGGTAATTGTCAGGCTGATAGTTGACATCGTTGCCTCATGTGGCGTGAACGTTGGTTTGCCAACGTTCATCTCGTTGGCTGTAGTACCTGCACGATCCGGTCTGTTTTTGCAGGATCCCACGATGGCATACGATATACCTTAGGCCTCCCTCTATTGTAAATTTGTAATTAGAATCTGGGCCAACCAGATCGGAGCGAAAAAAATGAGTAAATTAGTCACTGGCCCAATCCATCTAGACAGACATGGTTTGCTCCCTGAAAAGAGAACGGATGAAGACCCAGTCAAAGTAAAACTAGTGATTCAATCTATATCTTCTAACAAGTATTAGGAAAAGGGAGACTATTAGGCAAATTGACAATGTATATAAATTATAAAATGCATTATAGATATAGCTTGAAAGGGGCTCGGGGGCTCGACATTCACGTTAAATGCTAACGGTACATTTGAAGAGGGAAGGAGAAGAGGGGTGATTGGCTCTATACGTAATTATCATTATGGTCATTCACTACCGTATAAGCTGAGAACAAAGCCAAATCCTGCCTGCCAATACAGTTACTATTGCTTAGTTGATAAAGTGTGGTTTGAGGTTTAAATTTCGAACTGAAAAGAAAACCTGCGCATTTGTAGCAGAAGGATTCTCCGGAATTACTCAGCACGGAGTCAAGCTATCAGTGTCTTTGATTCGATTACATCATGGATATATAACAACGAGCATTCCAAAAGGGACATTGTCGGTTGGTTTTCGAGTTTTGAAGATTTCCTCCGCTGGTTACATGGGCTATTATCATCGTTACCTTTTATTTATTTTACAATAAATTGAATAAAATTTTATAATGACATTATATTATTATTTGCCATAAATCAGCACTCTTGAGAAAGAGACCGTGATATATAAAATAAAATAATTTGAAAAATATTTTTACTATTTATAAAATAAATATATAAAAAAATTTATCTTAATTTAATTTGCAGAGAAGTATTTTTTAGAACTACTTTTTAACAACCCAAGCACCCTTCAGTTCCAAAGTGTCCTGAACATGCGAAGCAGTCACAATAAACTACGGATTACTTATCCTCTTACTCATTCGGTGCATCTCTCTGTTCCATCCACTCCCCGACACGCATCCGTTCCGGAAACAGCCGTACTAAAACAAAGACATGAAAATGTGACACCTTGCTTCTTCAAAACTGCCACGTAGTTCTTCATCATTCTAACCACTCCACGTGGCGTAACCTCCTCATCGCCCCCACCATCTCCCTCCCTTATAAACCCGTTCGCCAACTGCATTTTCAGCGGACAGTTTTCAAATTAGGAGTCTCCAACGTTAGATCTTTGATTGTGTTATTTGGGTGATTCGAATAGGCATGGGCTCGAGGGTAGTTTTCCTGGTTCTGACGGTGTGGCTTCTCATGTTTGGCTTGCATTGCAACTCCTCCAGTGCGGGCCACATGCCATCCAACAATGAGGAAGCTCATGATTATAAGGAAGCCAAAGCCAAGACTATGAAAACTGGGGAGAAGGTGGCCGAGACGGCCAAAGAGGGAAAAGAAGCCACTGAGTCGTGGACTGAGTGGGCTAAAGAGAAAATCTCTGAAGGCCTTGGCTTCAAGCACGATGATCACACTAACAAAGTTTCTGATTATGCCACCGACGCTGCACACAAGACCAAAGATTACGCCGGTGACACTGCTCACAAGACCAGAGATTATGCCGGCGATTCTGCTCAGAAGACCAGAGATTACGCGGCGATTGCTACTCAGAAGACCAAGGAGTATGCCGGCGATGCTGCTCAGAAGACCAAAGAATACGCGGGCGATGCTGCTCAGAAGACCAAGGAATACGCTGGTGGTGGTGCTCAGAAGACAAAAGAATATGCCGGGGACGCTGCTCAGAAGGCCAAGGATTACGCCGGCGACGCTGCTCAGAAGTCCAGGGAATACGCCGGCGATGCTGCTCAGAAGGCCGGCGATTACGCCGGGACGCTGCTCAGAAGTCCAGAGAATACGCGGGCGATGCTGCTCAGAAGACCAAAGGATACGCGGGCGATGCTGCTCAGAAGACCAAAGGATACGCGGGCGATGCTGCTCAGAAGACCAAGGATACGCAGGAGGTGGTGCTCAGAAGACAAAAGAATATGCCGGGGATGCTGCTCAGAAGACCTATGAATATGCGGGCGATGCGGCTCAGAAGAGCAAAGATTATGCCACTGATGTTTCAGACAAGACGAAAGATTATGCGAGTGACGCTGCACAGAAGACCAAGCAATATGCCTCTGACGCTGCTCAGAAAACCAAGGACAAGGTCCAAGACGTCGCTTCTGGTCGGTAAACTCGTCTCTTTAACGCTCGATGTTGTTTCTAGAATGCTCGTGAAGAGAAAAATAGATATAATATTCAAGCTTTTGATGCATGGTAAATAGGCATAGTATGAAAAATATTCAGGGTGAACTGACACAGAGTCTGCTTGTTTGTGCGAGTCTGAGTACTTGGAATGCAAACTGATGATAAATCCGACTTGGCGCAAAATGGGCTTTTGATGAGCAGGGGCAGGTCAGTACGTGAAAGATGCGGCGACAGAGAGGATGAGGGACGTGAAGGAATACATAAAGAATGTAGCAACGGGCACTGGGGATTCTGCAAAAGACAAGGCCAGTTCAGCGGCTGAGAAGGCGCAAGAGGCTGCCAATAAATCATCAGAGAAAATGAACGAAGCAAAGGGAAAAGCGTATGAGATGGCACAAGAGGCGAAGGAAAGAGCGTCGGAGAGGGCAGAGGAAGCCAAGGAGGCTGCGAGGGAGAAGGGAGAGAGGACAATGGAGGAGAACAAGGAGAGGCAGGCAAAGACGGAGGAGAGGAGCAGCTGAAGTGGGCAAAGGAGAAATCTAAGGAGGGCTATGAGACGGCAAAAGACAAAGCAGAGGAGGCACTGGAGTCTGCTAAGGACAACATTGCCTCCAACTACGAGGCCGCCAAGAAAACTTCCCAGCAACTGAAGGATAAATTTGGCGGCAAAGGCCGTGATGCCGAGCTGTGAGCTGCTTGTGCCTCCAGAATTGTCCCATACCTCATAATCCTTCTTTTTTGTGCATACCAGTTGGTTAAGCTGTTTGCTTGGTGGGTTTGACGTCTTATTAGCTATACTATACTTCACTCGACACGTGCTTGTATCTTGTATCCGTTTGATATGTTGCATGGTTTCTAAAACATTTGAGGTAGCTGCAATAATCACCGACCTTTGCACTTCTCTTCCTCCTGCTCTCGTTACTGATCATCGGGGCAGCGTCTTGTGTTGCATAGCCAGATGGGGATTCAGAGCCAACTACGGTTCTCCAGTAATGGCATCGCAGCACAAAAAGGGCCAACCAATCCGTCAAAACCCCTGGCGGCAAAGGCCGTGATGCCGAGCTGTGAGCTGCTTGTGCCTCCAGAATTGTCCCATACCTCATAATCCTTCTTTTTTGTGCATACCAGTTGGTTAAGCTGTTTGCTTGGTGGGTTTGACGTCTTATTAGCTATACTATACTTCACTCGACACGTGCTTGTATCCGTTTGATATGTTGCATGGTTTCTAAAACATTTGAGGTAGCTGCAATAATCACCGACCTTTGCACTTCTCTTCCTCCTGCTCTCGTTACTGATCATCGGGGTAGCGTCTTGTGTTGCATAGCCAGATGGGGATTCAGAGCCCAACTACGGTTCTCCAGTAATGGCATCGCAGCACAAAAGGGCAACCAATCCGTCAAAACCCCGCAACAGGCCCCAGTCCAATAGCCCATTCTGAGCCCTACCCACCACTGGCTACTCCCGGTGATGTTGGCCCATATCAATATTTGTGGCAATATGCTGCAGTCATGGATGGATGGATCTTAGAAAGGAAGAGAGGAGCATAATAATAATAATAATAATAATAATAATAATAGGAAGCAGTACAGTTTGGTAAGATATTGAGAGACAGGGAGGTGTGAGAGTAATAAAGAAGGAAAGGAAAGAGGTAGGGTGAGAAAGAGGCAAGCATCCGGAAAGGAAGCTTGTGATGCAAGTGTGGGTGTGGTGGTGCATGCATGGGCCAGATGGAAGAGGCGTTCAAACCTGATCCTTCTATCAACAGTTACGTTTGTGGAGCTTGGCAAGTTGCAGTCACGAGCATTATATTATTGGACAAGAGCTGAGAGTATTTCATTTTCCAGCCCTGGCACTGCACCTGCCTCCTACACTCATTCTTGCCCATACACTTACGCTGCTTGTCATCTTCATCTCGCCTCCTTTCCCCTCAACATTTATTGTACTCCCCCGGCCCCTTCAACAAATCTTCGCCATATCTTTTTCGCTTTTCCTGCCTTCCAAACATTTTCATCAAATCAACATCATGCGCGTCGCTATATTCTATAATTTACCATATTTATTTGCTGGCCATCATGTAAATTTGATGAGTAAAATATTTTTCCTTAAACGAGAGATGTTAAGACTAGATGGCCGAAAATACACTTTATAGACTGAAACTGAACTACCAAATATATATTTTAATTAGTCTGCATGATATTACAAACTCGGTTGACAAACCAAATTTCAAGGTGTGCCTATTGGTTTCCCGCCCACGTGAGGAATCAAGATTTTCAAACTCTACATGAGATATAACAGCATGCTATAAATACAAGCCTCGACAAGAATGGTCATTTCACATTATCGATCGATTTTCATTTGGGGAGGTTCGGACGAAACTTGATTGCCTGGATTGGCAAGAACGATTTGGATTGCGTAGGGCATTCATATCTATAAGATGAGATTAGTGTAAATGACCATTGGTAAACTAATTATTTTTTAAAATCACTAAAGACGTGACACGATTCAATTAATTCCCTCACATCAGTTTTTTTTTTTTTCCTTTCTGGGTGAAAGCCAGTTCCATCAGATTCATTGTGCATTTTTTGACCGGGAGATTCATTTCGTATTAATGAATATATAATTAAGATTGCTTGTCAGCTATGTGCATCCAAATGTAGGATGACGAGTCACGCAATTAACAAACTTTTTAAAATTTTACCTAATCAGCTATTATTTGCGCAATTCTCTAACTATTTGCAAACGTCAAATAAAAATTTGGATAAAAAGTCAAATGGCAACTGTTGATTTGTTATGCGTTACTGCAAGTTAAATGCGCGTAATGGCTAAATCAACGAAAATATTAATTAATGAGAAAGATGGGGAAAAAATAGTACGTGGTTCAGTTTGATCTAATGAAAACCAGCGAAAATAAATCTGTCACAAGAAAAAATTCAACCAACCTAATTAATAATTAGTTTAAAATTATAAATATTAAAAATGCAATGTAAATATATTTTTATTCAATTTTAGTCAACATACGTATATTTGAATTTTTAGCCTTTCCTTACGTCTCACCTTATCCTTAGCACTTGAATTAACCTTAGATGAGCAGTCCTACTTTCGGTCTACGTACACTTTCAATACCAAATAGGAAAACCATGATAACGGTCCGGTGATGAAACGTCGTTCTAATTATTTATTAACATTCTAACCGGAAATCATTAAAATTTTATATTTTGAGCATTAAAAAACGAGAAATTTTACGTAGTTACAATTAAAAATATTAATGAAATTTAAGTAAGTAGAATCGTCAGCTATGAAAAGATGATTATTTGGGGGGTAGTTAAAAAAAAAGGGGGGGGATGCGGGGGGAGAGTGGAGACAAGTGCCCAGGAAAGAAGGGCCAGCGCGGCAAAATAAATAATAGTAGTATAATGGATCAAAAAACTGAGAATAAGTAAAAGCCACGATAGAAATTGGAGAATAGTAAAATTGTGGCCCTATGACTATATATGTAGAGAGGGAGGGAGGGAGCGAGGTGGTGTAGATTTGCTTGTTTGACGGAAATGTGGTGAAATAGGCAGGAGGCGTCACAGAGGAAGATAGCTGAATCAGCAATCACGACAATGGTCATCTTAAGACTGGGCAACACCCGCAAGGAGAAGGAAGAAGGAATGAGGCTTGCCAATTACGAAATCGGCACAACTCTGGGCAGTGGCAGCTTCGGAAAGGTGAAATTGGCCAAACACATCGATTCTCATAAACTCTTTGCCCTCAAGATCATCGACAAGACCAAGATCATTCACCTCAATATCGCTCATCAGGTCTCCTCCTCTCATTCTCTTCTCTTCTGCATGAGCCCCTTCTTCTGGGTTTTCATTCAAATTTTAATAACAAACACATGTTGCAGATAAAGAGGGAGATAGCCACCCTCAAGCTTCTGAAGCATCCCAACGTCGTCAGATTACACGAGTGGTACCGTCCTATCATCTTCCCACCCCCTCTTCTGATGACCATTAATTAATGCCTTCCTGTCATCCAAATCTTCCTTTTTCTTCTCATCCCACTCGGTTATCCTGTTCATGGACCGTGCAGAGATGTTGAGTAAAAGCTTTGCTCTAATCAGGCCACTAACTTGGATTATCCCAGTTCTTTTTTTTTCCCCCCCAAATAAGTTTTTGCCTCCTATATCTATGTTTGCGTGAATCTCTGCCTTGAGGAACATGATTTTTCTGATTTCTAGAGTCCAGGCAAAATCAAAGACAAAGCGGACTTTATGCTTTCCGTTTAATTTTCCGTTTATATTTGCGTCCCTCGGGAGATTAACATCCGGAATATCCCTTTTCACTGTCAAATTGATTCTTGATACTTATTTCCAGGCCTTCTTTACTGTATGCTCTGTATCAATATAAACAACGAAATAACTGCACATCATAATACTCAGCAAGTCATAAATGGGCTCTCTGTCCAAGGTCCAGATGTTAAGTTTTAACAATTAATGGTTTGTGGGAATAACTAATTGGTTATGGAAGGCTTACCGTGTGAGTTTCATGTGGCAGTTCTGCGAATGAGGTTATATGTCTATAACCCCTTTCCGGGAGTGTATTAATATCTATCCTTTATATTATGACCATATTTTAATTAAAAAAAAAAAAAAAGGCTGGTGGCCCCCGACAATTGATTTAGTTAGAACTATTTATATTTGCTCAGAAAAGATGAATGCATTAGTCTTTTGCTTAAGTTGCTACAAGCCCTCACGTAACTAGAAAGGGCAATAAGTGCCATGTCGCGTTTGCAGTTATCTTATCAAATATCGAAATCTTCTGACAATGATTTCTAACTGATTACGCAGGTTTTAGCTAGCAAAACGAACATTTACATGGTCTTGGAGTACGTTGCTGGAGGAGAGTTGTTTGACAGAATTGTAAGGGCCGTCTGCTTGATTATTTCTATGTTCACCGCATAGCATTGGATTAATTAACACGCTATTTGTGTTCGCAGGCATCCAAAGGTAGGCTTAAAGAAGCTGAAGGCAGGAAGCTTTTCCAACAGTTAATTGATGGTGTGAGCTACTGTCACAATAAAGGTGTCTTCCACAGGGATCTTAAGGTTCTTCCTCGTTTCTCAGTCCTCTAATTAGCAACATGATTGTGCAGCTTTAAACGTTTTCTCGGACTACATGGATAGCATTTTTAAGAAATACGATGCTTATGTTTTGTTGCAGCTGGAGAATGTACTGGTGGATGCCCAAGGCAACATAAAGATAACCGATTTTGGCCTCAGTGCTTTGCCCCAGCACATTAGGGTATATGAATTTGATATTCTTTCAACCCACAACTGAAGGAAAAGTCAAAGAGTATCATATCTTGTGTGAAACTTTCAGGCCGATGGGTTGCTGCACACAACCTGCGGAAGTCCCAGCTATGTTGCTCCCGAGGTCCTTGCTAATAGAGGCTATGAAGGTGCAACATCAGATACATGGTCATGTGGTATTATCTTGTTTGTAATTCTAACGGGATATCTTCCTTTTGAAGATCGGAACATGGCCGTTCTCTATCAAAAGGTATTCAAATTCTGCCCCTCCGGTTCTTCCGATGATATGGTTGCTTCAGTGGTCCTCAACTGACTTTTATATTTGGAGGGAATATAGATATCCAAAGGAGATGTCCGGATACCAAAATGGCTATCACCTGGTGCCCAAAACTTGCTAAGGAGGATTCTTGACCCCAATCCTCTTACCCGGATAACACTGGCCGGCGTCAAAGAAGATGAGTGGTTCAGGCACGAAAATGTTCCATCAAATCCTGAGGACGAAGAAGAGGGAGAGAAAAAGAATGCGTGCACCGACGATGAAGCCTTTTCAACCCGTGACGTGGTACACACTGTTAAATTATTTACTTGTCAATTTCTTCTTCCTGTTGTTGTTTGGCTGTATCTCAGAAATACTCCCTTTGTAATAGCCACGTGAAGCAGAACAGAAGAGTCCTGATTCATCAACCCTTATCAATGCATTTCAGTTGATAGCAATGTCTTCATGCTTAGATCTCTCAGGCTTCTTTGAGAAAGAGGTGAGGATCAAAGCTAATTGGTTAGATATTTGTTATGTTCTAAGCATTGCTTCCTTGTGTCATTTGATGCTTGAAAAACTTTGTGAGAAAATTTACACATCATCAATCCGCAATATGCTTTGAATCCCAGGATGTTTCTGAGAGGAAGATGAGATTTACATCCAATCATGCAGCAAAAGATCTGATCGCAAAGATTGAAGATATTGGAACAGGAATGGGATTTAGAGTCCAGAAGAAAAATGGAAAAGTAAGTATTATTGCCTATTTTTAGAATTTGATTCATCAAATCCCACATAATACGAAAGATAGACAAGAAATATCGTCCTTTTCATTCCGAATATAACGACAACTTGGGACTAGACATGCACGAAATATTATTATTTCCACCATAGGTAAAAATAGGGGAAATATTGGCTGAGCCAAATTGTTAATATAATGCCAATGTTTCAGTTGAAAGTGATACAAGAGAATAAGGCGCACAGAGGTCTGGGTGGCCTATCGGTGGCAGCAGAGGTAATGATTGTTTAGACTCGAGTATATAAACGTGCTAAACTAATGTTTATTAATCAATATCTGTTCAGTTTTTCCCACATACGAAACCATTCACATTTCAAACATGACAGGTTTTTGAAATAAATCCATCCTTGCACGTGGTAGAGTTAAGTAAATCGTACGGAGACTCTTCTGTGTATGGACAGGTGATTTTTTTTGCCCTCTCACCAAGTATTACTGTTTTTCATTTTTGACAAGTAGGCCTTCATCGCCGAAAAAAGGTCTAGTTAATTCAACCATAACTTGAAACAAGATTATGTGGTTTTTTCCCTAAAATAAAATAGGCTCCACGGCAAAATATCAATAACAAAAGTGATCAGTGCTAAAAAACTGTATTGAAAATGATTTCCCATGACAAAGCAAGTGTTGATGCCTATGTAAATTGGCCTATCGGTGGCAGCAGAGGTAATGATTGTTTAGACTCGAGTATATAAACGTGCTAAACTAATGTTTATTAATCAATATCTGTTCAGTTTTTCCCACATACGAAACCATTCACATTTCAACATGACAGGTTTTGAAATAAATCCATCCTTGCACGTGGTAGAGTTAAGTAAATCGTACGGAGACTCTTCTGTGTATGGACAGGTGATTTTTTTTGCCCTCTCACCAAGTATTACTGTTTTTCATTTTTGACAAGTAGGCCTTCATCGCCGAAAAAAGGTCTAGTTAATTCAACCATAACTTGAAACAAGATTATGTGGTTTTTTCCCTAAAATAAAATAGGCTCCACGGCAAAATATCAATAACAAAAGTGATCAGTGCTAAAAAACTGTATTGAAAATGATTTCCCATGACAAAGCAAGTGTTGATGCCTATGTAAATATCATATGCAGCTATGCAACAAACTATCAGATGATTTGGCAGTAGCCCCGAGACAGGCGCATGTAAAATCAGAAGCGAGAGACATCGGAGAGAAGACTTAACAAAGTCATATGATGAATGTATATATAAGGATTTTTTTCTAGGTCAGTTGTCTATGTACATAGTTGCATAACTCAGATGCGAATAACGAGCTGGTGGTCGACCCCTCGAAAAAACGAGGCAAGCTAGTCGTGTAAATGCAAGTTGCATAGCAAGAGTACCAACTCTGAAAATAGCGACCCTGCACTTGTTCTGTATACTTGAAGCAAAAATTTTGCACACAACTTCTGGATGCCAACCAATTAAAGAAAAATACGGCACCATCGAAGCTGAGGTTCATCCATGTATCAATGTATTGAAATACAGGCGATATTACGAATGAAGTGAAAAAATCTATAACACAACATGATGCGAGCCAAGTTCTCTCTTTACTGCAGTTATCCCATCATTGAAGCTTACTGGTGCTCGAACGACGCAATTCACTGACTCAGCAAGTTATCTATCAGATTCCCATTGTGACATCTTAAAACAATTTCTCTATCACACAGGAATTTCACTGTACAGTTAATTTTTATACATGAAAAATAGAGGACTTACAAATGGGCCACTCATCGTTCCCAGTTTCCAAGGATAGGAGGGTTCAATCACTGTAGATCATCCAAGCCCGAGCTCGAAAAGAAATAGCAGCCGAGGCAATAAATTGCTACATGAAGAAGGGGAGGGGAAGAGGAAGAGGCGGCACTAGCTGGCAAGCCTGTTGCCAAACTCCTTGCTGTATGCCTGAATCAAACCACTTTCATCCGCAGGATGAAGCCTCTCGCCTAACATTTTCTTGTATTCTTCGTCTTGAACCTCTAAACTCCGCACAATCTCAACCTACAAAAAATTTGGGCACTCATAATCCGGCGACAGACTCGTGATCAAGAAAGTACCTACAACTACGTAAAAGTTCTGACAAAAAGCACGTAGATGTACATAAATCAATCTGGAAAAAACTAAATAAAGAAAAAAACCCAAGAATGATTTATCCATGACAAAACTTCTAATCACCTGTTGTTGGAATTTATCGAATTCGTCAGAGCTCAGGGAACCGTCACTGTTTGAATCAAGGAGCAGCATCATCTCCCGGGCATCTTCCCCTGGGGCACCAAGCTCCTCCATTACCTCTGTAAGTTCCTCAATGCTAATTCTACCATCACCATTTTTGTCGAGAAGGTAAAATACTCTATTTCTCTGGTCCATCTCTATTCCCTTAAGATTTGCACTTGGAAGATCTCTAAGACGCAGAGCAGCCAGCTCAGCTGCGGCAAGCATAATGGTCTTTAAACGTTTTGCCTATCATCAACAACCAAATAACCAAAACTTGATTTACTTTTGTCTTCTCTTTAGATTCGATGGCATGTAATTTCCAGATACAATTATAACAGAGCATATTTATAAATAACCTAAAGAAGATAAGTGTACACTGACAAATGGACTGATATGACTGACTCTTCCCACACCCAAATTCAAATTTTATCTATGTAAAGAAGATATTGCTTCAAAAATTTTCTTATAAAGCCATAAGATAGGGGCCATCTCAATTCTAACCACAGCTGTCTTTTCATTGATATTCTTCAATTTTAATTCCAAAAGAACACTTACCTCTTCTGGATCAGTAACGCCCCCCTTGTATAATGAATGGGATGCTGTTCCGCCAACAGCTAAACTGTCCATTTGAGTTGTTCTTATTTGTATTTCCATTAGTGGCCTGGCCCTCCCGTTGTCACTCACATCCACTGCCATATGTAAGCTCCTATACCCGTTTTCTTTGGGCTTGGCAATATAATCTTTTGTCCTATGAGGAATTTCCTTCCATAAAGATTGGATGATTTGGCGAGTCCTGTAGCACGCTTGCTCTCCAACTTCCAGTGTATCATCTCCAGGCCTGGGATTTAATATCACTCGTAGTCCTAGCACATCGTTAGCATCTTCTGGTTTCCGACCATCTTTCAAAATCTTCTTCATTGTGCTATATCGACTCTTATAGCGACCCTTAACTGAGATATCATCCACCATGGCTGCAAGCAACGCATCAGCTTCTAAGTTTTGCAGCAACTCGTCCCTATATATATCAATTAGAGATCTACCCCCAGCCTCGTGACTTCGTAACCATGCATCCACATAAAGATAAGAATAAGGAAACAAATAGCGAAATGAGAGGTCTTCCAATTCCAGTGATAAGTACTTAGTTCCTACTGCATGAGCTAGTGGAGCATGTATTTTCATAACTTCTAGAGAATGGATCTGTTGCTGATATCTAGGAAGGTAGTCAAGATGTCTCATCATGTCAAGATTCAAAGCCAAGTCTAAAATTAAAGCCCTAATATCGTAATAAGTCAGGCAGAACTTTCTTAATGCTGCGGCGTTATCATCATCTAGAACATCTACGCTGGATGGAATGTTCCTCACACGTAAACTTTCATGCAACAGATGAGCAGTACCGGCACCGATCTGATTTCGTATTTCAATTATAGATACTGCGCCTGCCTCCCACACCTCTCTCAATATTCCAGCTGAGATCACTTCGGCATCCATCTGCAGTCACATTTACCATAAAGAAACAACAGATGGCAATGAAATAACAATGACAAGCAAAACAGTCTCAACAAGTGCGTTAAAGAACCAGGTCTCAATATAACTAGAAAAGAATTTATCCCTCCATCCCTTTTCATGATACCCTTTTAATGGCACAGATTAAGGTGTAATTAAATTTACTTGACGAGATTCTTGATTTATACCCCAAAAAAAATCATTAATTTTTCTTGTGAAAAAGAAAAAACGGTATTTGTAGCGCAAATTTATGAATGGGATTTTTTGAAAATGCTCATAAATACTTTATTATATTCTATATAAAAGAAAATATTTTGAAAAAGGTCTTGTGAAAATTTGACGGGAGGATAATAGATAGCATAATGAAGCTTTTGAAAGGTATACTGTCCAACTCTGGAATAGAAGAGATGCGACACATGTTAAGCTGGGAACAAATTTCCAGAGGTTTTAAGATAAAACGAGACTCTATCTGCTCCAACCCACAGCCAGGGAGTCGAAGCTGTAGAAATCCGAAAGGCTATATCAGACGAAAACAAATCACCAAAACATTATGTCATTTTTTATCTGGGGGCGGAACATCGGCACTATAGTACATATCCAGTAAAGCTAGTAAATTCTCATCTAGATGCACCTATAATTTGTATGAAGAAACGTATAGAAAGAGAAGAGGAGCACGGAAGAGTAGACCCAACAAATAGCAAAGGGAGCGATGAGCCAAAAACTAAAGAAGCCTCAGTAGCTAACATTTCAGGGAAAATCATAGAAGCAGAAGTAACGACAGCCAAGACCACCTGCAGATCAGCGAGAACCATAGCCACAGACAAGGCCTTGGAAAGTGGAGAACGACCATCCGGAGCAAGAGGCAAACTTTGCAAGATGGGAATTGACAGCTTGAGAGACTTGAAAAGAAGACGAGAGGAGCTGGTAGACAGGACATTCATCCTTTCCGTGAGCTCGTTGAAAGCACCCACGAGCTCCATCACCATCTTGCCGCCGGCGTGCTCCGGGGCAGTGATAGCGACGGGCACTGAGGCATCGGCCTCCACCACGCATGAAGTGGGAGGCGAGAATCGTAATCCGGAAATCGGATTCTTGATGCGTCTGCGACGGGGAAGAGGGAACAACAGGGTAAGGAGATGACGATGATGAATGGAGAAGGTGGGTGTGGATAGCGAGTGACGAAGTGGAGAGTCGGGAGGAAGGGAAAGCTCCATTAGCCTCTCAAATGAACCCAGGCGCTGCCTGTGGTCTGCGTTTGAGCTTAAGGCCTAGTGAATAGTGAGATCAGTGGCGTGCTTGCGGGGATATTTTTGTTTTTGTTTTTTTAAAAATAAGTTCTAACTAATTTTTCTGGCTGGAAACGTGGCCATTTCAATTACTAGTAATATTTGCTGCTCCTTTCTACTTTTGTGATTACCGTTGAGGCGCGCAGGGACTGGGGGTTCATGCTAAATCATTGGGATCCTTTTTTTTTTTTGGTTTTCGCCAACTAAGCTATTATGATCGAAGTACTCCGTCATTTTGACAAAAAAAAAAAAAACAAGAAGTACTCCGTCTTTTTTTATAAATGATAACTATCATTTTTTTTTGTTTTTAAAGGTATTTTAGAAAATGATTTTAATTTTTTTACATATTTATTCTCTTTAATCAATTTTAACAAATTTTTTAATCTATGTTTAAATTTGTTTATAAAAAAATGAAAAGGGTGTAATATCAAGGAGCTTCAGATTTAAGAATAGCCCCGCAATTTCCATTCATGAAAGTTATATCAGAATCGTGATTTTGGATCAACCTTAGGGGTATTTGAATTACTCAAAATCATTTTTAAAAAATACTTTTATAAATTAAGATAAAAAATTTTTCACATATTTATTTTATATACCATAAAATTACTTGTAAAATTATAGTTTAATAAAAAGTGCCATTAAAAGGGAATCATGAAAAGAGATGAAGGGATTACTTCTTTTATAGTAAAAAAATATTTTTTATTTAACTTTAAAATTGTTAATAAAAAGATAATCTTTGAGATTTTAAATGTTGATAGAATTTTCTCCAATGCGGATATATATTTTTATAGAAAATTATTATCTCTAAACCTAATTATAAGACCTCCACAGGTCTTATAATTATGACTGAAAGTAGCATTATCATTTAAGGTTAACAATTTTAGAGTTAAAAGATTAAAAATATAATTTTTAAAGTTAAGGGATCAAATTAAAATATTATATAAAATTTTTATTATAAAAAAATATATTTTCTACCTTGGATCCTTACTTTTTTGACATTTTTACTCAATAATTTTTTGTCTTTCCATTTTGCGGCATTTTAAATATCAAATTATTGAGAACCCCTTTAAAATTCCAATAATTCTTTTAATTTTATTCATATTTAATTCAATTTAATAAAATGTGTTTAATTTGGAGGGAAATAAACAATCTGTTATGTTCTATTATACTACCTCTTGTTTTATTTATAAAATTTTGTTTATAATTTATAAATAAAATCTTATAATTAGAAATTAACATGGCATAACCAAAGAGACTAAAAACCAAAAACGAAAAATCCGCTTTCCAGAGGTTAGAAGTTAAAACAATAAAATATTCGCGCGCTGTCCTGTGATGAGTTGGCATGGCATTTCCCGCGCTGTCAAGGTCAGTTGTGCTGTGATGACACATCCTTGGAATCTTAAAATCATTTTCTCCGATATTAATTAGGTTCTTATTCATTGATTGTGTTAGTTTACTGTAGTATTTTTTTTTTAATAAAAAAGGGTCATAAATTTGAGACAATGATGTCCATATTAAGCAATGAGCATCCGTGTCCTTTTTTTTTTTTTGGCGAGGTAAGCATCCGTGTCTTTAAACCAGCAAAAACTGTTTTTTCATTTCTTTTTCAAACGAGTTGCACAGGCTTAATCCTAAAGAAATGTGGGAACAACTAACAAAGCGCCCAACAATTGCTTATTGCCACCGGACACCATCCCCCCTTCTGTCCTTTTAACTCAACGTCTCTCTCCTCTTTCAATGTCGTTTCTAAATATTCCTTTTGGCACATTCTCATCTGCATTCTGATCCCAGCCATCTACTATCACCTTGCCTGGGAAAACAAGTATGTGCTCCGTGTAAAGTTTCGTTAAATCAACAACTTAGGGTTTCTGTCAGACATTAGAATCGGTTTTTGCCGGGATTTTGGTGGGAGACACAGTCTCTGGCAGCCATGGCCACTAGCTTGCCTATGAGTCCTCGGCTGGAGCAGATCCACGGTGAAATTCGAGATATTTTTCGAGCCCTCGCGTATGTATACCGAAAAATAACTCTTCTTCAAACTTATTTCGACTCCTCTGGACATTGCTGCTTTCTTTTGGTTCGGCGGGTTCCTAGTTGATGTTATATTTGTTGCAAGATGGGATCCCTTGTGATGAATGCAGCTTAGGAAGGATAAAACTTTTGGGGACATGTATCATATTCTTCACTTCGTAATACGAGTTATATGTCATGATTTCTAACATGGCGACTTTAGCATTGAAATATCTTGGATGTTCTTCAACTTTGGTCGATATGAGTTGTGGGTGGCTTGCTTATTTCTAGGAAAGTTCATCCTTGTAATTCACCAGTTACTTTCGACTGTGTCATACGGTTACATGAAGATTGTTTGGCTTGGTTTCTAAAGTCGCACCGTTACCTAATACCCCTCAATTGTAAACGGAGGTAGCTCGTTACACTTATATGGAAGACAGTGTTGATACAAGGCGAAATGAATGGGTTGTGTGCTTGCGGTGGAAGTAACATGGAGTATAATAGTTGCACTAGGCCACTAGATATCATGCTCATGGTGATGATGGAAACTGGAAACAGTGTATAGAAATTAAAAAGGAACCCAATTTTATGTCTACAAAAGCTCAGACAAAAAAGTTGGTCACTTAATTGTTAGCAGGATATACTTTAACGCTTAACTGTTGCAAATTTGTGTGTTGAAAATATTTATTTTGAATTGTTAGACTCAGCTGTTAGCATGGTTCAAATCCTTTTTCTTACCCAGCATTTGCCCCTATGAGTCAGGATAAAGATGTTTTTCAACTTCGTAAAGTTTGAGAGTGTCCCGCCTATGCAAATAACAGCAGTTGATTGCTCTGTTTTTCTGCATATTGATTATTTTGAAGAAAAAGAGTATTTTGCTGGAATAATCAGTTTGTATACTTTATTCACTTTAGATTTTTAAGTGTTTTGCAGATACATTTAGTTTCTTCATCCCTTTCATCGATTTTAAATGTTTTCATCCATTGAATACAGTAATGGCTTCCAGAAGCTCGATAAGATTAAAGATTCCAATAGACAAAGTAAGCAGCTGGAAGAACTCACAGGGAAGATGAGGGATTGCAAAAGGCAAGTCTGGCATCTGCTTAGAATTTAATTTTGACATCTTTTGGTGGCAAATTTAAATCTATTTGCATGAGAAGGAAAACTATAAGTTCTTTGCAACATGTCAACTGCCTAGTAATTTTTTTTCCTTGACCTTTTACTTGATTGGTACAAGACATTTTCTAGTTGCTGCATGGCATGGAGATTATAGAACAAGAAATGAAGTGTTATTGTGATTAATTGTTTCAGGTTGATAAAAGAATTCGACCGTGAACTTAAAGATGAAGAGGGCAGAAATACCCCGGAAGTGAACAAACAACTCAATGATGAAAAGCAATCCATGGTCAGCATCTAGGACCCTTGTATTTTTCTTGCATATATCAGGGGTCTAGTTTGCTGGGTTGGGAAGGATGCAAGATCTACTATAAACTGTGAAGGATTATCGGCTCATCCTGTATTCAACTTTTGACAACTTATCATATAATTTGCATGATTGAGTATCCAAGGCAAATTATGGCCACATTTGAGGGGTTAAAAAACATAAAATATTGTTTCGTTTTGGAATTCAGTAGTTCATGCCATAATATCTTAGCAGAAGGTAGAAGCACTGTGTATTTTAAGTTGGAAAATGCATGGGTCATAAAACGTGCCTCAAAAGTTAGAGTTTCTTTTTTTATCTGGTTCCTTGGCAGTGACAGATTCTTTTTGAGAGGTTTTGGTATATGGAGCACTCATGCAACAACTACCTGTCATTTTCTCATTGACCAATGTGATCTTGCGCTTGTTTGTAATATTGAAATCACTTGTTCTGAGAGATAAACAGTATGTCTCAATTAGCTGTACTGTTCCCTCGCTGTGACCGGAGTAAAAATGCATATATTGCTGATGGGTCTTAGAGTGATATTGGGCCTGATATGCCAGCCTGGGTTTATAAGAGAAAGAGAAAAAACAAATGAGAGATGTGAGCTGGCAGAGGGAAGGGAGGACCATGTAACAAATTCTGACACATAGTGGTGATGTGGGAATGTAGAGAGGCAGGACAGAATTGCGAGGAGAGTGCTGACCTCTCAAATGCTAGCATGAGGGCGAGACCAGCATGAGGTTTCCTTGTGTTTGTGTTCTTTTTTACCGTTTCAGAGTGGCAGGCAGCTAGGCTGTGAGACTTCGGTTAGGCTTGACAATCTCCCACTGAGGTTTTGGTTTAATCAGAATTTTGTTTCTAAACATAAGTATTTTACAGCCTAGAATAATATAACAGTCAAGTCCCATCAATTGCACTTAGGACTTGTTAGTTTGAGAATCTTAAATTTCATTTCTTGCATCATTGTCTCATCATTGTCTCATTTAGTATGTGGCATGGACACTTAATATGTATCTACAACGACAATTATGGTAAGTTTGACTCAGTTATTGGTATTTTGTGCTTTCTGATTGTATTTGTTTGTTGTTTGTTTCTTACATTAGTGTCCCTGTCAAGATCTTTTTTTTTTTTTTTGGCTCCTTATCAACCATGAAAGTCATGTCAATTGCTGTCATTTAATGGTCAAATAAGTTTTCTTCATGTAGTCTTGAAAAATATCTGCGGATGGTCCATAGGCTTTTGTATACATGTGTGTGCAATAACCAATAAGCAAACAGCCAATTCTTTATGCTTGCTTGTATTTCCTTGCAGATCAAGGAGCTAAACTCTTATGTGGCATTGAGAAAAACGTGAGCTCCTTCATATAATACTATTTCTGTAGCTGGAATACCTTTTTCCTTTCATTAAGTTGGTTCTTGTGAAAGCACTGGCAAAACTTGGATAATTTATACAAATTTATCCTATGAGCATGTTCAGCTTGCAACTTAATTGTAACAGTCTGCTGTCAGTGTTAGTAGAATCAATTATGGAGAGTTAAGTAAATGAAATTATATGTTTTTTGGACAATTGGCAGATACATGAGTACCATTGGTAATAAGAAGCTTGAACTTTTTGACATGGGAGCAGGAGCCAGCGAGCCTATTGGTGAAGAAAATGTTCAAATGGCATCAGGTAAGATGTATACATGTGTTACAGTTTACTGATCATTTTTCCATTATATGCTTAGATGATTTGTCATTTTTTTAGTACTCATCATATTCCTAGAATTCTGTGTTATTTTCCTTGCTGATGCAGGTGAGAGTTCCTGTAATTTTGATGTTTTCTATTGGATCCCTTAAATTTCTGCTGTTTTTTCCTTTTAATTTTGAATCACATTTTAATCCATTATTGCCTTAAAGCTTTGGGAGTTTGCTAATGCATCTGTATTCTTGGTCTGAAAAAATCATTACATAACATCATAATCAACACTGACAAAATTATAAATATGTTTATTATTAAAATGAAACTTTTGTCTGTTTTGTTTCAAGTTGTTTTAGAATTTTTATGTTTTTTTTTTTTTGTCAGTTTAAGTTTGATTGTGTTTCAAGGGCATGTCATTACAATTCTAAAATCCCATGTCATATTCCAGAAAAAATTTCAATATGTTTTTGTAACACTTTGAGATGTATAAAGCGTTTACTCAAACAAAAAAAAAAAAAGCATAGTGCGAAGGCGAATTGGGACTAAGGGTTTTTTTTTTTTTTTAAGTGATGTGCCGTTATTTGTGACAAGTAACGTATTTACCTCACCCAATGCTGGCTTGGCTTATATCACAGCAATGTCAAATCAAGAACTCATCAACGCTGGGATGAAAACAATGGATGAAACTGATCAGGCTATTGAAAGATCTAAGCAGGTGTCATTTGATTCTTTAATTGCCATATTGCTCTTATGCCTTTGTTCTCAACTCCAGGGATCAAATTGTAGGTTGTGCATCAAACAATTGAAGTGGGCACTCAAACTGCTACAACCTTGAAGGCCCAAGTAAGTGAACAATTGCTATACCTTTGTTCTTAACTCTTATGCAGCTTAGTCTTGTCACCCAGCTTGACATCTCTCCTCTTTTTTTTTTTTTTTTAATTGTGCAGACTGATCAAATGGGCCGTATTGTTAACGACCTGGATTCAATTCAGTTCTCAATTAAGAAGGCCTCCCAACTTGTGAAGGAGATTGGGAGACAGGTTGGTATATCTTTATGACCTAGCACCTATATGCGCCATTTACATTGCTTGTCACGGAACTGAAGCTCTCCCTCATTGTCAGGTGGCTACGGATAAATGCATCATGCTTTTTTTGTTTCTAATCGTCTGCGGTGTAATTGCCATAATTGTTGTGAAGGTATGTCCCTCCCAGTTAAGGTGATATGATAATACTCTAATTCAGAAAAATTATTTTACAAGGAATTTTTTTTTTTTTGGGGGAAGGGGGGATTCTTTATTTATGTTGTATTTTCCATAGCACACGCATAATCACATTGTGCACCAGAGTGCTTCACCGTACGCCTCTGTTTTAACGGCTGGGGGTCTCGTGCAGATTGTGCATCCAAGCAACAAAAATATCAAGGATATTCCTGGGTTGGCGCCTCCAGTTCCCTCTAGGAGGCTTTTGTATGCAAGGAATGGACAACATTTACGTTGATTAGTAGTTCTCAGTTTAATGTTTCTCTCCATCCTAACCCCCTGATTCTTGTTCTTATGGATGGGAAAGTCAAAGCTTTGTTCATTTATTGCTGTCTGGGGCCGTCATTCGGGTCTCTCCATTTAATTCAAATTTTTTTAAAAACAATTCTTGCCGGCCTGTGCATATCCTGTTTGTGATTTAGGTAAATCATACGAGAGCCTTTTGCTTTATTTTGAGTGGCTTGCTATTTTTATGTAACATTTCAGATTTGTTGTAGGGTTAGAAAAAATGTACCTTCCTGTGAGATTCCACCTTGTACATTTTCCATTCATTGATCTGTGGCCATTTTCCATTTTTGTTGATGACTGTACTTTTACCTGTAATCTACTGTGGGTTTTGCGCATCATTTGGCTTCATAACGTATTTTTATGTAATCTAATGGCAGAGCACATGTTTTGCTTCAACTGTAAACTGTAAAGGGATTAATTTTTTTAAATTTCAGTTTTTAAATATATATGTATTTACACTTGATTTTTTTTTTTTCCCAATTGAAACACATCCTGAAGATTTTGTAACTGCCGCGAGACGTTTCCGCACGCCAAATTCAAAGGGATAAATTCTAACATTTACGACGATCCAATTTACTCCTGGTAAAGAGAGACGCACGCATCATCAGTATCTGCAATATGAATTATAAAAATAAAACATAACACTCTTTATTTTTATTGCCGGAAAAAATAAGATATAACATTCACAAGCTATCAACAATACAATTTATTTATTGTTGGGAAAAAAAACAACACAATTTATTCTTGAAAATTATTAAATAAGAATTATATCGGAAGGCTGTTTGGCCCTCACCTCTGATAAACCGATAAACATGAGCCTGGAAAAGATGCGTTCTACTCCCAGGACGGCAATTGCAAAGGAACCGAATTCGGCTCTCGTTACGAGGTACGAACCCGCTGTTGCTTTTCTTGGGGCAAAAAGGTGATAAGGTGCATTTGGGTCAGCTTCCTCTTTCTTTTACTTTCCACCTACCGGTTGCATGGTTAATTGGTTGCGTTCGTCCAATATGAGATGACCTGGATGACATCAGAGGTGCTTCTTCATCAACGCTCATATCAGAGGTGAAGCCATTACCTCCGTTGTCCCCCTCGTCGTCACTAATGTTATCAGGTACCTTCATATCTGATGACTTCTCAAATTTCCAATCCTGTATGAGTTACGATACAAGGATTTCGGTAGGTCGTCGGTGGACAACATTTTGACAAGATCAGAATGGAGAAATCAACGTTGAGACAATGTCCAGGCTAGTTTTTTATTCTTGTGAGGAAAAAAATGATTCATCTACGACATATAAATTATTTGACTCTGAAGCATTAAATATGAAGATATCAATTTCGTCCCCCCCCCCCCAAAAAAAAAAAAAAAAAGGCATCAGGAGAAAGACCTTTATAGTTCGGTCTGCAGTAGTGTCCCGAGGCAATGGAGAGGCACGGACATCCTTAACCTTTATGTAGTTGTACATCACGACTCCAGATAGTGCTGCAGGTAGAAGATATCATGACGACATTGACGAGGCGGAAGAGAGAGACTGACATAAGCACTATGCTTTAAACAAAATCTTACCGATAGCATATCCAATTATATTCAACCCAGTTATTGTCGATTCTGGAAATAACACAGTTGACAGGGCTATTAATATCCAGTCTTTTAGCACGCCAGCCACTCGGATGGTCACAGCACCAGTTCTGCCAATTACTAAGAAAATGGAGAAGTTCAAGGCCAAAGCACATAGAGCATTTGAAAAGAAGATCCAAAAGTTGAACCGAATTTGTGGAACTTCCATCCCAGGCTTCTCGAGTAGGTACCAAGGTACAAAGAGGAACACAAAGCTGCACATAACAAAATACATGGAAGTTAGAACTCAAATGGCAGGCGGCATGTGCTGATACGCATGAACAGTTAATCCCAAATTCTGTGTGCTCCAGTTACATTCCCAAAATTAGGATCAGTGCATGTATTACTTATTCAGTGAAAATAGAGAGGAGCATATACACATGAATAGAATTTAAACTCAAGTCAAAACTAGTACAAAGAAATTGGACATTTATTTAATGAAAATAATGCCAGTCTTATTCAGCTTAACACGAATAGTTTAGATTCATTCGAATTTTCTAGATAAAACTTGTCGACAATAGTTTACCTGCATGGAGCTATGTAATACAAGCTTGTAATAGGATTTAAGGCCAGGCCCTTCTTCTGCAGAAGGGCTTGCGTCAAGACCAGTCTTAAAGCCTCTGCAAAGATGCCAGTGACTTGATAAACTGTACCAATTACATTAAAATGAATTTCCCCATAGGAGGATATGACAACTCCAACACTGACCAGCACCATGTTCATGAACACATCACACCTTGCTTTGTCAATGCCACACAAGACAGCCATGAGAAATGTTGCCACGGGCACTGAAACATGATGTTTTAAAACTATGTAAGTGTTGCCGAAGCAGTAGAAATCAGATAAGAAGTTCGTTAAAGCATACTTAGAGCTTTGAGCATCTGGATAAAGGCAACAGAGATGTGCAAGAAAGCAGTGTTACCAAACCTGTAGCAAGCAAAAATATAGTTCTTAGTTACTTGTTCCTTCTGAACTGCTGAGATTAAATGAACTTCATGCACGAGAAGAATAGGGCATATGTAAATAATAAACTACTCCTTAGAAGCGTCTAACTTTAAACAGTTTCAGATGATCAATTTCAAGTTCAAGTAGTGATGGACCAATAGTATATAGTAACTGTAGTACATGTGATTAAATGGAAAAAGTACAACTCGTTATAAATTTTATATGTGCTGTTCATGGCTTCAGACTAATGGTAATTTTTTACACCAAAATGAAAGCATATGCACTAAGCACGCATATACTAAATGGTCTACAGTTCCATACTTTACATTTTAGAGGTTACAGATTAAGTGGAAGAGTCTCGAGAGACTTCACTATATTGCAGTACTCACCAAAGACTAGAAGCAAAGAAGGCACTTATTGGTACCACACTTGTTGCATATCTGCCATGGAATGAATGTATTAGTAAGAAGTTGGACAAAAGAAGAAAAGGAAAGGTTAAGATGGCTTAAAATCGAATGGCAATAGAAAGACAAACTCACATTTTAAACGTCATTTTTACAGGAGTCACAACCTGCATGTACAGAACTAAGAATATCACTCGAGGTGGCATAACAAAATCTGCATACAGTCTGCCACCTTTCTTGGAAAAGTAAATGTTTAGCATGTGCATAATATTGAATATGAGAAGCGCTAAAAATGCCAGGACAACGAGATGTGGCTGCTTATTTCCACCTTATTATTATTATCTGAAACTAGCAGTATAGATCAGTGACAATAGCAGAAGTCATGACCCATCAGCTAGAGAAAGTAAACAAGCATGTCAAAGAATAAATTAGAAACAGACTGAGCAGATCAAAGAAGAAACAGGATGACATACCTTGAAGACCCGGACAAGAAAAAACGCCACGACCCCGGAAAAACCCATATGAATCATAGTGAGCGTCACAGGAAACGGAAAATTAAAATATTTGGGAGAAAGAACCCACTGCAGGGGGAAAACAAGAAAGATAATGTTACCACACAAACTTTGCAAGAGAAACACAAACCAGAAAACAAAGAAATGAGCTGCTACCTTGTTGTACAGTATGACTCCAGATGAAAGTAAGATGTATATTGACAGGCAGAGACAAGTGAGGAAAAGCGTCTTGTTGATCATTTTCACGGAATGCGATCCAGCAATGCAAATTCTCCCACTATCTGCAACATCTTTTAAGATAATTTAGTAATAGTAATCCACCCAAAAGCAGAAGGCGGATTCATTCTCTCCAGCAAAGTCAACACCTTCACAAAGGCGCGAAACAGAGTACGGAGAACCGCGTCCGAAGACAACAAGCAGGGGATGTACAAGCGGATATACCGGCTCCTGGGGTCGGAATCTGGAGAAGGACGAGGTTGTAGTCGCAGAGAGTGCGTGTGTGGGGGTAACACAGAGTTTGTCTCAATCGCAAAAATGGGGTCTGCCTTCGCAACTTGTCAGACCAGTGTCAGTAGTTACAGCTCAGGCGAAGCGAGTGGCCAATGGCAGGCTGTGTTTGGCCTGAAGCAGGCTCTATGGATTGGAGCATGTGCGGATTTAGTTACTTAGCTTAGCATTGTGCTACTAAATATCACGCGCCGCGCTAAACACTTTGAATTCCAAATCCATAAACATTACCTCCATTTCGTTGCGAATCATGTATTTGCATTTAGTAGTCGATAAAATCGGCATAAATATCGTCATTTGCTATAAAATATCTAATTTATATACTCTTCCGGTTCTTAATATAGGACCTAATTGTTGAGTTGATTTTGATACTAAATATAAATCATATTTATTATATTTATCATTTTTTTAAATTATCCCTAACCATAATCAAGTAGAAGAGATAGGAAGGATAATAAGAAAGATGATTATGGTATTTTAGAAAAAATATATCATATTTCTTATAATTAACTAACTTACCTAACTTTCTTAATCTAGTTAAATTAGTTAAATAAGTCTTATATTAAAGACCGGAGGGATATATATTTATATAGTGCCACAAATAGTGTGAGTTTTTTTTCCCTTAACATTGTATAATTTTTCAATTTTAATTTTATTATTCATTATTCATTAGTCATACAGATTGTAGCTTTTTTTTTTTAATTTTATTGTGTTTCATACAATTTTTTCCATTAATTTATGTCAGGCTAGTTTATTTTGTTCTGCTGTCTCGAGTAGTCAATTTATTTTTTATCAATATCAATATATAAAATGAAATGTATAGAAAATATTATATTGTTTGCCTCAAAACAAGCCAGATACCACAATTTAGGTTTTACCTCAAAATTAAATTAATAAAATATTTGGCATTCAATCCAAGGTCAGCAAGACACCTCCTCCTCTGACACCACATTATTTGTCTTTGCTCTCGCCCGTGTCCAAAGATAAGAGTCATTTCTAAGAAATCCTAAGCGCTCTAATTTATAATAATAAGGGCATACCTGGTCTTCAAGAAAATGCTTTTTTAATTTAAATCACCAAGGTAAATGAAACATAACATTAACACATAAAATCCATCCAGCACATTGGAAAGAGAGACAGCTTCGTATTCGATCATAAATAGGTAATATTCTCCTCGTCCAATCAGGACATTGTTTTCTGATTCAAAGTGGGAAAATTTCCAAAGAGATCCTAATCAAACTTTAAAAAAAGGGGGGGGGGAGTATGTAGATATTATTCCGTCATAAAAGGAATATAATCATTATCGTAATCAAAACAGGAGACTTTTCCAAAACGACATCTGAAGCCACCTTTGCTGGGGATGAAGTACGACATCTGAAACTGTATCGTGGGGAAATGGGAGTTGGGTCTGTTGTGGCAGTGAAGCCTCCTCGCCTCGGTTCCAAGAAACAGGCGCAAGCAGCTTCCTATGCACAGTACCGTATTGGTCTGTTGGTAACTTGTTGGTTCGGACGCTCAGAAAAGGCCAATCTGTGTCTGATATTGTCTCGTATATAAAATCACACTCTGTTGAGTCTAATTTCCCTTGTAATCTGGTAAATTAATATTTAAATTTTTATTGAGAAAAATACTCACGTTTAGTACTCAATAATTTTTTGAACAGAATTATTTATAATAAAAGAATATGTGCACTTATTTTGAGGGGAAAAAAGATCACACACCAAAGAATACAGTGAAAAAATGTGGCCCATACAAGAAAATAAAATAAAATGATGATAAAAAAAAAAAAAAGAGCCAAGGTCTTACTTACAGAAGAGGAAATGGGAGAAAGGTGGGGAGTAAAAGGCAAATAGAGGAGAAACGTTGCATTCTATCATAACCAGTATGGTTTTGCTTGAATGTAATCGGGAGATGCTGAAAGAGAAAGACGCAAGAGTTGCAATCCAGTGTGAGGTGAACATCATAGCCAGGACGTGCGTGCCTTTATTACTCCATATTATATTTCTGCGATAATATAATGTGATGTGCTTAATCTCACAGTTTGAATATAATGCCAGCAAGATTGTTTTACCAATGCCAGCCTGTAAAGGTCGCATCAGCAACTGTCGGCTCTTTTCTTTTTCTTCCATTAATATATACTTGTCCCTCCCATCGTGCCGCTGCTTTTAATTGTTTTTATTTATTTAATGTTTCCGTCGTACGGAAGAATTTGTCTCCCGCCTTTTTTACTTTTCCAGAATCTGATCTAACGCATACTAAAATAATGATAAGATAGAGTTCTTCAGAATTTGAAGGCCTCTGTCCGCCGTGCGAATCAACGCGGAACCTCTCCTCTCCCTCGTCGTCTTTTTATCGTCATCTTGTCCAATCCTCACTCTCCAATTCATTTTAGGATCATGAGATACTCAATATGAACATAACATTTTACTGTTTCATGTTAGAATGAAAAATTATTCTCGCATATTAAATTAAACTCGGGACAAGTTGTGTTACTCACATGGTTGTGTTGTAGAAGGTAGAGTATTTGGGAAAATGGGCTTTTTTTTTTAAAGAGAAAAAAAAGGTAGTGAGATTTAAAATTGAAGATTTACTGTCTTGATGATATTTTACTGCAAATCCCAATATTTTATTGAGTGTTGAGATAAAATGGAGAAGGAGGATCATAAATATTGTGGCATTGATGAGGTGTGTAATTGCAATGGAGACCAAAGGCAAAGCACGAGAGCGCACAAAAGTCAAATAATATGATGTGCTCACGTTAATAATTAATTAACAAGGGTGGGTTCCGTCACTTTTATGCTGCAGAGCATATGCCTATAAGCGGTCATCATCTCCTTTATTGAGCCACCTCTTGGAATTGGTCTGGTCAAACTCCTATATCTCCGACACACACATACACCCAACACATATTGGACGCCCTACTCTTTCTCCACTGGTTTATACATACGATCATAAGATCGATCGTCAGTGATGAAACAAGTATTCCTCTTTTCACATTAAATAATTGGAAAATTATTGGAATATATATATATATATATATGTGCACGATCCATCGGACCATCAGATCTCGATTTGTGAATAGGAGCACATAATTATTGGGTGGGACACTGATCACTGTATCAGAACAGTAAACAGGATGATGGGATGCAGCATGTGTATTTATTCGCCGGTTAAGAAAAAGAATCTGTTTCCTGAAGTGAAAGCAGAAAAGGGGATAATAGCGTTGAGAGATCATCACTGTTAATTTGGTCGTGACTCCGAGACATACATGCACAAGGCGAAACTACACACATCGCACACAGGCCACCCAAGCACAGTACAAAGAGCCGATCGAAATTAAAGAGAGAGAGAGAGAGAGAGAAAAACTAGTGATCACAAACAGTATGGTACATATCGATATAACGCGGGAAGATCGAAGTGGTTGTGCGTAAATATAAAATGATCGATAACTTAAGTATCACTGCTGGATCCAACAATTGAAAGAGGACTGAATTCTTAGTCTCAACGTAAGGAATAATGAAGCAACGTACTTGCAAGGAAGAGGGTGGCTTCCGGAGGCACTTATCCGTGTACCGCCTCAACTTTCTTCAACAATTGTAATTAACTAAGGCTCTGTTTAGGTGCTCCAAAACCGTGATTTCAGAAGCACTTTTCCGCAAAACGAGATAACCTCCTCCATATATTTACTTCGTAATCCGTAAAAACACTTCTGAAAACATAGTTTGGTTTTTATCCAAACACTCCCTAAATAATATTGGGTCGGCGTTGCAATATCTGCGCTCTCCGTACTTCGACCCAGCCATTACTTTACGCGGAGAGATGGGGTTAAACCACATCACAATAATTCTCCACGGGCATGCTTGGATAATTATTTCCACAGTAGGGGTATTATGGGGTATCAGAAAACTCTTGTGGTGCCCAGTCTTTTTCTTTGACTGTCCAGCCCATCGAAAATCAAGTCTCATTGAATGAAGTCCTTAATAAAATATGAAACCTAGCAATTTACGCCACTCAATACTATGGAAATTAACAAAAATGATGACTTTGGGCTCACTAGCTGCGCGCTCTGTTGTTCATTTGACCTTTCAACCTTTTCTCTCTTTCTTTCTTTTGTTTTTTTTTCCCCCTCCAAATAATTGAGAACGTTTGCATATTCCCGTTCCTACCCCTCGGGTTCTAAAAAGGACACATTCTAAAAACAATTTCCAATTTAAAACGGAGGACGTCTTGGTATTATTATTTTACCTCTTCTCGGTTAATTTTGCTCATGTTCATTACTCTTCATGTTCTTGTCAGGTCATAATAGCTTAATAATAAGACTATAGGCCCTAATTTGATTAAAAGTAAATAACTTATGTATATGAATTTTAAGTATAGCAGTTTTTTCCCCTTATCTTTTTTTATTACTATGCACTCCAGCGTATTTTTTAACAGCGCACTAATTTTCTCGCGCAGTCGCAGCAATAATGATAGGAAAATATAGAATTGATGTTTGACTTATAAAATGTGAAAGCTTTTTTTTTTTTCCTTAACCAGCAAAAATGTGAAAGCTCTAATGAAATATTCCAATAACAACCTAATAAATACAAATTTGTTAATGTAATAAATATATTAATCATGATTAGCTCAATATAATCGAAAGAAAAACAAAATCTAAAATCTAAAATCTAAAATCTAAAGTGATTAATTTATATTTTAATCATATTAATAATACTTAATTATAAAACGCAAATGGGATTTTAGCTTCGTACGTGTGATTATCTGTCACCTTCTGACCAAATTTCAGGAATAATAGAAAACAATTTTAAAAAAAAGGACGTAGACAGAGAAGGGGAGAAAGGGGGAAATTTGAAGAAACAGCAAAGAAGGTTTCCATTGTCATGCTTCACTTTTACTGGATGCATTGTCCGTTGTGAGCCGTGTCACTGCTCATCACCTACCGCTGATAATTCCGCGCCTTCTTCTTATTAACCCCACCATTCCCTCTTCTCAGAATTTGATGTCCTTCTTGTGCTCTCTAATTCTCTCCAGCTGCACAGCAGGGTTGGTGCCTTGCTGCAACCCCCAGTTGTTTAGCGAAGAAGGGGTGGATTGGTCTGCGAAGGGTAATTTTAGATTGGACACAAGGTTTCATTTATGGAATTGAGAAAACTTATTGAGGAAATATATATACATTGGAAGATTTCGACAATGGCGTCCAGCTGTAGTTTGTTGACATCCGAGAAGGTTGCTGGCACTGAATAGATTTAGTGTTTCAGTTGCTTCATTGCAGGATTACGCCATTAGGCTCGTCGAAAGGTATTAATTGTGACACTAAGATTTATTTTTCTCCCTTATACTAATACGCTCATTGTTTAATCTCTGCCCAGTTTCTGGGAATCTCAAGGAGACGTAAAGAAATGACGGTTCTCGTTATCAATCTTAACAACTTGGCCTTCTGGCTAATGTGAAACCAAATCCATCCGTACAAGCTTGTTTTCTTCATCTTGTTCAATCTCCCGAGGACAAAATGGACGAAGTTTCAGTCTTTCTTGCTTGTTGAGTTGTTATTTGTTCTATTTTGGCCAGAAAGATGTGCTTGATTTGTTTTGAATGTGAATTCTCGGACTGTTTACGCATTTTCTGGAGATAACCCGCTGTTTACCTCAATAGTACTTGCGGATTAAAGCAATCTTGCGGATTAAAACCCAGTCATTGTTACCCACTGCTTATGACCTTGTCATCTAGGCTCTTGTATATTGCGCGTTTTCTCGCTAGAAATTTGCACGGTGGGATGTGTGAGTTTCGTTCTCAAGCCTGGCGATGGGATGTAAGAAAGCCCTAGTGGTTTGATGTGAGGGACTTCGTTTTTGTTTATGGTTATTTCTTTTTCCTGTTTTCAGCAACCTCAGTTTTCAAATCTAACATCGAGTTCGTTCAATATTTCCTTGTTTTTAATAAATGTTTCATTAAATCCTTTATAAGCATATGTCGGTGGACTTTTGTTTTGAGATTCATAAAATGTGAGGATTTTTCTTCCCCTCCCCCTAGCTGATTCTACATCAATTTATGCCAACGCTTTATTTTAGACACAATTGCATTCTTAATTTTCAAATTTTAAATTGCAGATATTTGACATCAGCAAAATGGCATCGGGTCTAAATTCAGGACTGTCCAAGAAAACATTTGTTTTTGGTTTGAAATTGTGGGTGTTAATGGGGATAACAGTTGGTTTGTTCATTGTGATAATTCTTGTGGTGTTAGTATGTCTTACTTCACGAAAGCGATCCAAAAGTGTCAATGGCAAGATTCCCTTTAGCCACATGCTATCAATTTCGGAAGAGATCAAAGAGATTAGAGTTGATCAAGTTTCAGCTAATAACCATATGCAGAGTGGTGCTTTCATGAGTCTGAATGACAAATTTAGTGACAGGGATTCTGAGAAGGTTTTGATCCAAACAAAAAATGGGGATACTAGCAGTCAATCAGGTTCATTTAATCATATGGACAAAGATGCTGCTGGTTCTCAATCTGGCGAAGAAAGTGGTGCTATGACCATTTCTGCCTACAGGTCATCTTTGCATCCTATAACTGCACCATCACCATTGTCTGGTCTGCCTGAGTTCTCTCACCTTGGCTGGGGGTACTGGTTTACATTGAGGGACCTAGAACTTGCAACAAAAAGGTTTTCAAGAGACAATGTTATTGGTGAAGGTGGATATGGAATTGTTTATCGTGGTCAGCTAATTAATGGGAACCCAGTGGCTGTTAAGAAGCTGCTCAATAATTTGTAAGTTTTGGCAGGAACCTGCAGAACCACCCTCGCTGTTAATATTTTGAGCTCTATTTTCTTTTTCATTTTAATTTTTTTCAGACTATCTGCAGACTCAGCAAGTTTTCCTGATAAATGTTAATGTCCATCTTGCAGAGGACAAGCTGAAAAGGAATTTAGAGTGGAGGTTGAGGCTATTGGTCATGTGCGCCATAAAAACTTGGTTCGACTTCTGGGTTATTGCATTGAAGGGACTCACAGGTACCGCACATTTTTTTCTGCGGTTTGTTTGGGTAACAAGCTACATTTTTTGTTTTTTAACCTTCAAGATTACAAGCTACATTACTTTATGTCTTTGCTTTCATCCTCATTTAATGATTTGATTGACATGCCCCACAGGCTCATAATATTTACAATGTCTCCACCAGAACTATCTTATAAATCTGAACTGTCACAAAATTGTATTTGAAACTATTATTTATTCTTGATAAATCCATTATATAATTTCAGGTTGCTGGTTTATGAATACGTTAACAATGGCAATCTAGAGCAATGGCTTCATGGAGCTATGCGGCAATATGGGTATCTAACTTGGGATGCACGAATGAAAGTTTTGCTTGGCACTGCTAAAGCGTATGCTCGTTGTTGCCTAAATAAATTTACAGCATGACCTAAGTTTATCTTCGGCGATCTGAGATTTTATGTTGCAGGCTGGCCTACTTGCATGAAGCAATTGAACCTAAAGTGGTGCATCGGGACATTAAGTCAAGCAATATTCTAATTGATGATGACTTCAATGCCAAAATATCTGACTTTGGGCTCGCTAAGTTGCTTGGCGCTGGTAAAAGTCATATTACAACTAGAGTAATGGGTACTTTTGGGTGAGATGTTTTCTCTCTGATAAAATCGTATTAGAAACTCTCTACAAATTGGAACTCTCATTTCCACAGTAATTTTCCTTTTACATGTTCACTTGGGTAGCCACAGCGATGTTAAATTCTTGTTCTGCATTTTTAATCTAACACTCTCTAGGTTAACTCACCTCTTCATGGTCACCTCTTGCTCATAATTTAATATAAAATGAATTATAATATGTGCCTACCAAACAGAATATCAAGTGATTCATTTTGCTTGAACATCAATTTATCAAGTCTCTTTTGAAACTGAATACTACCTTAACAAATTACACGTACATATTGGCTTCTAAAATTGACACGGTCTTTGTTTTTGTTGATTAGGGTGGTAATATTGTACTTTGAGAAATTGTATCTTGTCCTTGTCAGTTAATTACATTCTCCTTTTTACATATGCTTTGTATTTTTCAGATACGTGGCTCCTGAATATGCCAATTCTGGCTTGCTAAATGAAAAGAGTGATGTTTATAGTTTTGGGGTATTACTTCTTGAAGCAATTACTGGTAGGGACCCAGTGGATTATGGTCGACCAGCAGCTGAGGTGGGTCATCAGTGGGATATTGACATGCATTTATTTCTTTTAAGTAAACTCATTGTTGAGCACCTGATAAGAGCTAAAGAACTTTTTTTCACTATTTCATGTATTAACTTGTAACTTAAAAATTAGAACTCGTGCATAGAAAATTTGTGTGGACTTTTTGCTTAGTTGGTTTCTGTAGCTCTTGTGCCATTTTTTCGCTGAAGACTTCCCTTAATATCATGTGAAAAATGGTCTTAGGTAAATTTGGTAGATTGGCTCAAAATGATGGTAGGGAGTAGGCGTTCAGAAGAGGTGGTGGACCCCAACATTGAGACTAGGCCATCAACAAGCGCCCTTAAACGAGCCCTCTTGACTGCTTTGAGGTGCGTTGATCCTGATGCTGAGAAAAGACCGAAGATGAGTCAAGTTGTCCGTATGCTTGAATCGGAAGAATATCCCATACCAAGAGAGGTTCGGTTTCTGATTCTCATATTGTGTGTTTGAAGTTCCCTACATGGCGTGGCAGTTTCTGAAAATTACATTTATCGTACCTGGTTCCTGGTAATGTAAATCATTGACGCCTGGTGAAGTGCTTGAAACTAAATGGTTGCAAATATTGTGGCTGAATTCAGGATCGAAGACGCCGAAGAAGTCAGGCAGGAAACTTAGAGGGGCAGGAGCAGAGGGAGACTTCTGATACAGAGAAGAGTGACAATCCAGATTACAGGTCCAATGGCAGAATGAAGCAACAGAGTTAGAGGCAGGCTGTGGTGTTCAAATTCCAGGATTGAAGGGCAATTTTCGCATTCTTTAGGCTTCTATGAGCTGTGATGCCAGCCACATTTAATGACAAAGACAGCAGAAAATAGTTGGTCTGTAGATTGTTAAAATACTTACGTGTTATAGCGTAGCTGTAGTGTAGTCTGTAGATGTCAGGACGTGGGATTTTGTACTCTCCTGCACTTTTGTGTACAGTCTCTTGCATGATTTCATTTGTTCCCATCACATATTAGGAGGACGAGACAGTTTGTGAAGCAAAAAGGAAAAAGCATGTGGTGACTGTCTTTTATTTTATTTTTGTTTTCAAAGGACTGTATTCTAATTACCGCAGTGAAGGGGGTTTTTTGTGGTGACATTTTCGAGAAGCTCGGCAAGCCTTAATTTGGAATTTAGACTGCCACGGAATGATAGTAAGGCATTCCCTACCCTCGCTCATACCCCAAAAATTCCCCCGGAATTTGGAATTTTGATCTTCTTGACGAGAGTAAATCGTACTCCAAACTTCTTTACCACTAACAAAGGATGCCACGTATAACTGCGACCCAAAAAGTGAAACAACAATAGGAGCGAGGGGCAAGGAAAATGACAGATCCTGGAGATTTCAATATCGGCATTTGGAATTGATGAGTCGAGTCGTCATCTCGCATGATTTATGGCGGGATCGTCAGAAATTTGCCTTCCATGCACCAAAATAATCCGTCCATGTGAACTTAGCAAGTCTGATATACCCTAACACCTTCGACCGCGCGTGAGAGAGGGGAAGTTTAACTCGATTTCTTACCTATATTTCGTCCCATCCTTGTGAACTGTGATGAACTAGCTCTAGATGACAGTGCCCTAGTTCTCGAACTCGCTCAAATGATGATGACGGTGATGAGTTCATGCATAGATGCATCTTAAGTTGAAAGGATGAAGCATGAGACTTGTTCGCTTATTGAGTTCAAGGGGGCTATGCCGTCTTAGAGGCCTACTAGCATAAAAGTCGTGGACACTGATGTAACGAGCGCATGCGTCAGTAGGAAGACATCACAATTCACAGTAACAAGCATCGGCGACGCAAAAGAATCCGATAGACATTTTTTAATTGCTATTTATAACCCATTGTTTCAGTTTCAAAGGCGCCGCCCTTCCAACATTTCCGTTGAAAATTAGAGCTATCTGCACTGTATTTCTCCGGTTTTTAATATAAAAACTATTTAACTAATTTAATTAGTTTAAAAAAATTAGGTAAGTTAGTTAATTATAAAAAAATATAATTTTTTTTATAAAACACTATAATCATCCTTCTTAATATTCTTTCTTCCTCACTTACTTGATTACAATTGATAAAGTATTTATATGGATAATTTAAAAAAATTGATAAATATGATAAATAAGTTTTATATTTAGAACCAAAATTAACTTAATAATTAGTTCCTATATTAAATACCGGAGGAGTATTACTTTCAGGGAAGTGCCATCCACAGAATATTATTATTTTGAAAATTCTGGATAATTATTGCCATCAATTTCCAATATTACACGCAAGGACTTCAACAACATTCACGCAAGCACTTCAGCATCTCTCCTAAAACAATTTTACAGCTCCAAAAGCGGGAAAAAAAAAAAGGAGGTGATATTAAAACGTACGGGTTAAACCCTCGGATGATTTTGCCTAAAAGTATGAAAAATTAGCTTAAATATTCGTCAGAGGAACTAGCAGACAATAACAAAGTTTTATTAAGCATTTAAAACCAGTAGCTTAACTATGATTGCATCTTTCCCACCTCCTACCTAGAATAGCACAATCTACAGAATGCTTCAGGAATACAGTACTTTGGGGCCAATGGAGCTGAACGCCACCGTCAATATTTAGTGGCACTAGTTACAAGGCAATTCGTTGCATGATAGATCAAAAGAATTTGGGAATTTAAAAGTTGGGAGGCCGCTTTGTGTGAACGGAAGACCGAGGATTAAGAAGAGGCTGTAGAGCTTTCACTACAATGCTCATATTTGGCCGAAACTCAGCTTCATATTGCACACACAGTGCAGCAACAGCAGCCATCTTTCACAAATAGATAATATTTGATTTTAAACCCTAACGTTCATCTCAAAAATATTTCATCTCCATAAATACAACATATATAGTCTCAAAAATATTTCATCTCCATAAATACAACATATATAGTTTACCTTTGCAACTGCCTTTGGAGGGTATTCTCCCTTTAATTTCACATCCACGCACTGCTTCACTTTGTCTTCACTCAGTTGTGGCGTTGCCTAATTCACACCAACGGACAAGAATCATTCAGTCCAAGTAAGTATCCTGGATACGTCCATGATGTCAAAATATAGTGTTTGTGTTTGAGCCTTATAATTTAAGATGTCTTTTTTCAAAGTATGAGTTTTGGAAATCACAAAGACATTATCATCATGTTTCATAAGTGGGGCTGTTTTATACCCAGGTGACAAGGCTCTGCTGCCCTCGCGGCAGTGTATGATCAACAGGTTTGCGTCCGGTTAAGAGTTCTAGAAGTATAACCCCAAAACTGTAGACGTCGCTTCTCGAAGTGAGCTGACCCGTCATGGCATATCTGTCATCCAAAATGTTAAATTCAATAAAAACTTTCATATCCAAAATGTTGTGATTTAGGCACAGAAAAAAAAAAAAAAATCAGCCTGATTACTCTGGAGCATAGTAACCGAAGGTTCCAAGAACACGAGTAGAATGGAGACGAGCAGCAGCATCAGGGGCTTGATTTGACAAATCAAAATCAGCAATCTTTGCAACATCATCTTCGAAAAGTAGTATGTTGCAAGACTTGATGTAACGATGGATGATGTTGGTCTCTGCTTTTTCATGTAGATATTCAAGTCCTCTAGCTGCCCCCACTGCAATTTTAACTCTTTGTGCCCATGACAGTGTTGGACCTGGTTGTGCATCCCTCACGCCTTTGCGTCCTATATATATTTCAAACAAATTTCTAAGTTGCAAGTTTTGATGACTTTGTTACTATAAACTTAAGATTTCACAACCGTATACATAAACTGAGTAAGAGAAAATACGTTTCTATAGGATTCAATTGAAGGGTTTTTTATTTGCTACTTGTTATTCTCTCAGTTGTCAAAAACAGGACAAATGTGTATGCCTTAAGGGCTAAGAAATAACAAATCACAGATTTTTAAGGACTTTTAAACCTGAATGAATGGTATAACTGACCATGTAGAATATCATGAAGAGTTCCTTTAGGAGCATACTCAAAGGCCAGGGCTCGGAAAGCACCATCGGCACAATAACCAAGAAGCTCAACAACATTTTCGTGCTTTAGCCTTGATACGATTGAGACCTGTGAAGTGACAAATCAAAGGTAATGGGATAATGATCCAAGAAATCACACCATAGAATTGTATTGCAAAGGTTATAACAATAACAGAGCACATTTGAACCAAACCTGAGCAAGGAATTCGCTCTCTGGTTGCCTGCTGGAATCTAACCTCTTAATCGCCACGTGACGCCCATTTTTCAATACACCGTGGTATACCTTACCGTATGCCCCCTCACCAATGTAAGATTTTGCGCCAAAATTATCAGTCAGGGACTTCATTTCATCAACTGAAATGGAAGGGACCGCAATGGGTTGAACATTAACGGTGTGTGGAGTGGTCGTTGAAAATTGTCTACCAGTATAACCACTGACCCCTGCATCGTTTAATAGGATTAAAACAACAAGAGGTATATAAATTTTATGCAGATGTTCTTTTAGGAAGAAAGGATCTGGGCGCTGTGGATTACCAGCGGGATAGGTTGGCTTTGGGACGAAGGGCCCATTATCAGGAGCCTGGTGATCGTCACCTTTTTTGCAACAGCCAAAGCAGCTCATGATCCTCTAATCTGGAAGAAAAGTCGACAACATCAATAATAAAAATTATGGCGATGATTTTCAACGGACCTAGGAACTTATTTTCGATACGAACCATCCTTACCTTCCCTGCAAAGATAAACAATACTACATAATAAAAGGAACAACCGAGAGTGAATATCAGTCCTAGAACCAGTAAAGGCGGTGAAATCAACACCGGAAGAAACTCAGATAAGAAATGCTCTCAGTTATGGCGTCTCCGTGACTTGACTGAAGGTTTTGAAAACATGTTTTTGATTGCTTAAAACCCAGATACCACTGACCAGTCAACCAAAGAAACGCTCAGAACAGGGTAACTAGTCAAATATGCACCGAAACCAACAATCTGAGGAGCCAAAACCGAGAGCAAAGGGGCAAAAGAAGAGAAAAGATTGGGTTTCGGAAATTAAAAATGTCACCTTTACGAAGACTCAGTGATTGCTCCTGTGTTGGATGGATAACAGAGCCGACCGAGTAAAGTGGGCAAAAATCAACGGATGAAGGAAGGGAAGGAGTGAGAATAAAGGCAAAAACAAAAGGAATCCTTTGAATTCGGTTGGTGTATTCTTTGCTTGGTTTGTTCTCAGAGCGATGGTGGAATAGGAAGGGCAGGGCCAGCCAGAATAAACGTTATTTTAGGCAAGGCCAGAAAGAACTGCGTTCGCTCTCGATCGTTAAAAAACAAGAAAGCGGGATACGCAATTATAATTATAATTTATGTTATTTTCTCTCCGTTTACTTTTGTTTTCAATAATGAAGTATAGGATTATGATGAGCATGAGTATGAAATAGACATGCTCCCCCCTCGTTATTAACGAGCAAGATCTCCAATTAGTATCCCAACTCCTCATTCTTCTTAATTTATTCCTCTGTCTGCGCGCCTTCCCTTTCCAGCGATCATATTCATAAACAGCAATCTTCAAGCTCTTCATAATTCTTTCCACGCTTCATTTGAAAGTATGCGTAAGTCCAATGAATTTCCAGAAATATCACCTCGAAAATTGTAATCCTTTAAATGCTTAAGAAAAAGAAAAAATCGGACGACAACAACGGTGTGGTCTTGCAAGAAAAATCTGCATGACAGATAATTAAAGTTATGCTTTAGTTAAAAGCTAAAAAAAAATTATGAGAATATTATCTTTTGGCTTATTAAAAAGACAGCTCCTAAAGTTACACGGCAACAATTAATTTATTTATGACACGCTAAATAATAGTGGACCGAAAGGAATACAACTCTGAAAAAAAAGTTCGAATTTACAATTTCTCTGTCTTTTTTTTTTTTTTGGTGGTCAGTAATTTATAATTTCTCTGTCAAGATATAGTAAAGTTGATTATTGATGATTAAGTATTTCTTTTTGCCTACTCTTCATCACAAACCTAATCCATCGATCTGTCTAATCAATGCTTCGTTGTTCGACTTAGCCAGCACGCAACTAGATTAGTTTATCCACGTAATTTGTCAAAGCCAAACAACCTGCATTAAAGATGAAATTTTCATGTAAATCTCTTAACTAGAACTTTTAGTAGATGAAATTTTTAAAAATATTAGTACTTTGATAAATAAATCAAACTATTGTTCAACAAAAAAAAAATAAATCAAACTATTTGTTAAAAACTTTTATAGTTTATATTAATAACGTTAACATAATTAAAATTTCCTAAATAAAGTTAGATGCATTTTTTAAACTCAACTTGAAATTTACGCCAATTGAAAATGAATATTACATATTTTGGTGCATGCAAGTGGAAATTAGAGTATATAGTTTTTTGTGTAACTCATTAGCATTAGGTTAAAAAAAAAAAAAACAAATACTACCCGATCTATATATTTCATATAGGCTTATCGCTTCAGCATCGTTCATAGGGATATCCGTGCATGCCTGGTTCGATTTTCAAAACGAGCACGTAGAGTGCTCACACGCTTGAGATGATAAGGCGATAATATAATGCGGTAAAAAAAACAAAAACAAAAACAAACAGACAGACACATATGGATTGGATTAGAGTTTTAGTTGGTGCTTAAATTTCAAGTGGACCTCGGTAGGACGAACAGTGTTGTTGGTGAACGGCCCAACATGCATTACATTAGTCTTAAAATTAAATAGGTCTTGTTTGGCAGAGCAGTGGAAATTCTTCATAAGCACGTTTTATGTAAATTGAAATAAAACTTTTCCTCGCATACTTACCTCGTATTCCATAAATTACTATTAAAAAATAACTTATAAGTTACTTATAAACTATTTTAAATGGGCTCATAATTAATACGCATTTGTTGAGACTTGAGGGAGAATGCAAGGGGTCATAACTCGTAACTGGTAAGCGATTGATCTGTCAACTTTTGGAATGGAGGGGAAGCTGGATTCAGCTGGCCTCTCTTGTTTGCCATCTGTCTCAAATATTCCCATCTACATTTTCTCAGTTCCTCTCCCCTATTTCTTTTCCTACTTTTTTTTTTTTTTAAATAAACCTGTCAAAATTTCACCAATTTATCAATGGGCTATATTGGTGGGCAGGTGTAGGGTATTCTTAAAGAGCAGACCCATTACATTGGGACTAATGTATCTCTTTGCAGTCCGATGTCCGTACTTCTGATTCGCGTTTTGTCAGCTCATATATCCGCTATCCGCAAGGAAAATTCTTTATCATCACATTCTCCTCCGGCCACCTCCACATTGCGTTGTTTTGTTAGTCTGTGGTTTTGCTGCTTGTGCCCAAAACAAATGTGCACCTGACCACTCAAATTCTATTTCATCGGATGATTGCTCAACTCGATGAACTTTAACAGTTAAAAAGCGTCTTCATAAAACCTTGCGTTGCTTGTTTTCTGCCTTTTTTCTTTCTTCAGTTAATTACAATTTGTCAGCCTTGAGTTGGTGCAAATAGAAATTGAATAGAAAAACGCATACAAATTCAGTGGAAAAAAAATCAGAAAAAATTGTATATTTTCTTCAACTTGAGATGATTATTACATATATTGAGCATATGTTGAGCATATGGTTAATGAGTATAGGGGCAAAAAAAAAAAGAAAAAAGAGAGTGCTGGACGAACACAATACAACTCCTCCGAGGGAGAGGGGGGGAAATCCGAAAAAGAAAAGGCCAGGGACAGGGGAGGTGAAAAATCAAATCAAACACCATGGAGGCATAGCACGCAAGGAAATCATTCAAGCCGTAGGCTTCTCCCATTTAAGGGGCTTGACCACCTCCCATGTGAAGTCAGCGTCATCTCTGCCGAAATGTCCATAGGCAGCAGTCTTCAAGAACCTGCCATTGCCGCCCCTCTTGAGATCAAGATTAATGGAGATCATGCCTGGCCTGAAATCGAAGTTCTCCTTCACAATCTTAAGGATCTCCTTGTCAGGAATCTTTCCGGTCCCATATGTGTCCACAAACACAGACAAAGGCTCGGGCACACCAATGGCGTACGACACTTGCACAATGCACCTCCTGGCAAGTCCATTGGCAACAATGCTCTTTGCAGCTTGCCTCACAATGTAAGCTCCGCTCCTGTCAACCTTGGTTGGGTCCTTCCCAGAGAAGGCACCGCCACCATGGGCACCCCATCCACCGTAAGTGTCAATGATGATCTTACGCCCAGTGAGACCAGCATCACCGTGAGGGCCACCGATCACAAAACGGCCCGAAGGGTTGAGGTGGAAAATTGTCTTCTCATCAAGGTACTTCTCAGGAATCACAGCCTTGATGACATGCTCTTTGAGATCAGCTGCTATCTCATCGTTAGTCACAGTCTCATCGTGCTGGGTAGAGATAAGAACAGTGTGGACACGAATGGGAACCATGGCACCCTTGTCATTGTAATACTCAACGGTGACTTGGGTCTTGCCATCAGGCCTCAACCAGGGGCACGTTCCATTCTTGCGCACCTCAGTTAGACGAGCACCGAGCTTGGTTGCGAGAACGTGGCTCAAGGGCATCAATTCAGGGGTCTCATCAGTAGCATAGCCGAACATGTGACCCTGGTCACCGGCGCCAATTTCCTCGGGTCTTTTGCTTAGATGGCCATGCACACCCTGAGCAATGTCGGGACTCTGCTGCTCAATGTTGACCAGGACCTTACAGTTGTCAGCATCAAGACCAACATCATCCGAAACAAACCCAATGTTCCTGCAGGTGTCACGAACAATTTTCTCGTAGTCTACATTGGCTTTAGTTGTGATCTCTCCGAAGACCATAACCATGTTGGTCTTGGTGCAAGTTTCACAGGCAACTTTGCTATCTGGGTCCTGTTCCAGACAGGCATCAAGCACTGCATCTGAGATCTGGTCACAGAGCTTGTCTGGGTGTCCCTCGTTCACTGATTCGGAGGTGAATAGAAAAGTCTCCATCCTTGTAGCTGCAGCAATACGTTAAATGGAAAAGGAAACAAATATTAGCGCAATCATTCACATAAGACATATAGCCATCATGCATAAACTTAGCAAACAGAACACTACGGCCGTGACATTATCAATTTACGGCTGAGTTCAACAAATAAGACAAAATTCTAATCACAAGATGCTAATTGAGTCCAAGGTCCAAAGTAAACATCCATTTACCAAATCTACCGGAAGTCTAGCACAATAGCTACACTGCCATGAATTTGCCCAAAAGACGTCTCACTCTTACAAGTTAGATGATAAAACAGAGCCACAAGAATAATCCATATTTTCGTCCCAAATCTTAACATGCTATTAAGAGAACTGCGATTAACATGCATATTTGGGCAGATCTGCAAGCACACAGTAAATCTCACCGCAAGTGCAGAGTAATCATCTTCCTACAGTGACAAGTCCACGAAATGGAATCCAGATTTCAATTTAACAGACCGAAAGGCGACTAATACAACTTAATTAGCACGAAATCGGTTCGAATAACTAAGATCGACCATGCTGAAGGAAAATAAGAACGAAACAACCCATATTGCAAAATCCCAAAGTGAATCGCAAGATCCGTCATAAGAATTTACTTAAAATATTCATATCAAGCTGCACATTACAAACTGAGAACTCTTCGAAGCATGGATGGACAAAACTTAAATGAGAGGAAAGACAAGCTACCTTGCGAGGAAGAAGCAGCAAAGAGACGGGAAGAAGCAAGTCCCCAGAAGAGAAACGAGGAGGCTGCCTGAACACTGAACAGAAGGGATTCTCTTGGGACTGCTCAAGCTGTGCGAGTCCAAATGAGGCAGAGGGCATGCATTTTATAGGCCAAAGATGGCGTGTTCTCGGACGCGCGAAATCCACCAAGCTGTAATCGGCCATTTCCGCCACGCGCGATCCGCATCGACGGCTGAGATTGGCTTTTCAAATTGATCTGGTCCGTCTGAGGATTAGGGGGAGTCGGTGAGAGGAGATATTTTTGCGTACACCGCGGGTAACGTACGGTTCGGCAGACCCACGCGGACTTCGATTGATATGGTTATGGGCTGCATAATAATTCCATAATGTGAAAGAAAAACTGGGGGAAAATATAGTTGCCAGAAAAAGAAAAATGTTATGGTGGTACATTACTTTTTTTTCTCTTTAATATATGAATTATTTAGCTAATTTGAGTAAAACAAGTAAACTAAATAAATTAATTACAATAAATACAATATGATCTTTTTTAAATATCCATATATAATATTAAGTTATATGTCCAGTTTCTAAGTCAGATAAGTTAATTTGAAAAAAATGATAAATAAAATAAATTAATGCCTTATAATTAAAATCAAAACTAATCCTTTAATTAGCTCATGCTGTTCTTTATATATTAAATCTCTTTGGTGGGAGAGGGAGGTGTACCCGCGCTTCTCTTGACTTTTTACCGGATGAATATTTTGCGCATATGGCCACCTTCTAACAGGCCTTCTAGTTTTGACTCTATAATTTACTTGGCTCTCGTTCGCGTTGACTATTTGTTTTTTCTTTCTGAGGGGGGAAAAAGGTGAATCGATGTGATTACATTTTTGTCTCTGTCGTCAATAAAATAAGTCCATAAGAAATGAGAGAGGTTGGCACTTGGCCGCAGAAAGAGAAGCTGTGTGCTCCGTGTTTGGGAGAATCATGATAAAAGCCAGGGATGTGGTGACACGCCGGATCTGAGATTTCACGCTTACTTATTAGGCACTGCCGCACTTTGTTAAAATGTGGTATGAAGCCAGATTTGACGCTTATTAATTACACTGATGTATGTATTTTTCACTTGAATTGAAATAGTATTCAAGTTTGTTTTAAAATGTTTGATTTCAAATTTCAGAGCATATATTTACACACGTGGGAAGCCTCCTAGAGGAAAATGTCAAAAGTTCAAATATTGTATGGATTGTAATAGGCAACAAAGGGACAAGTGTGAAGAAAGCATTAGAGGACACCAACCACAGCATGTAAAACTGAAACTTGGGGTGGGCACAATTGGCATGGGAGGGAGGGTAGGTGAATGTCGGTGTTGCATCATTATCGGCAACCAACCACGCCCATGAAAATTAAACGGACACATTACACATTTCTTTTATTCTTAATATGTTTGGAGTCAGCAGCCGGCGAAAATGACGTGGCCATCATTCCTCTCCCACTAAAACATTCTTTTATTGTTCTGTCAAATGCACTCAACGGTCAAACACGTATTTCCGACCCTTACAAGTAACTTACTTCCGCGCCTCCATTCAATATTTTATTTTCTAAATATGGCGTCACTACATCCGAGTCACTCTCAAGTCTCAACCTCACGACGCACACCATATTGGAACCTCACCATCATGCTCGCTTGGTCTTCTCTCTTTCTTTGTTTCTCTCCCCTGCCATTGCCAAAGCCTCTTCTGTCCTCATCTTAACACCTTGTTACCTGCCCAAAAGCAGATAAATCTTGCCATGGTTCCTGGCGCACACGCCCAATCATTGTCGCCAGGGTAAATCAAAAAGCCCTCGACTCCCTCCGTCATCCACAGTAGACTTCACTCCTTCACTAAATGGGCCGAGAGCCATGAGAGGGCCAACGAAAACAAGCCCATTTTGGGTTATTCATTGCTCTTTTTTTTTTTAAATTTAAAAAAAATGGAAAGGATAACTTCATTCATTCAAAGAACTAGGAGTATAACCAACAGCGTTAAGTCTAGCGGAAGGAATTAATTCCTCACAATGTGACGAATTAAGGTTCAAATCCCTACTGGGAGAAGTGTCCATATTTAGTACTCGCCAGTATCTCGAATAGAATTGTCTTTAATAGGAAAATGCCTATCCTTTAGTCCAAAACATAAAAAACTAGGAGCATACCTCAGGGTATTAGTAGAAACAAAAAGAGTGTAAAGGCTAACAAACAACTGAGAAAAATGACACAACTGGTAAATCCACGAGATTCATGGCTTTGTTGATGGTATGATTAACGACCACATCAGGAGCCACGATCAATTCTTGGGCTTTATAGATTCCCCCGCGAAGAGTCTTTTGTTTCGGGCTTGTAGTCCCAGGACACTTCCAAACAAGTTTCCAGCATCTTGATTCCTCATGCAGCGACTCCTCTTCCTTAGCCTTGTAAGCCAAAGAAACATAAAGCTAACCATTTGAGGCTAGGCTCCAGAAACATGAACCTGCACAGTCGGAGTCCTTAGGTGACGAAGTTGCAGCAATCAAAAGATTGATGGTCTTAGGGAGCTTGTCTTGGAACAAATCCCAGCGCCTTTGTGACTTTGTCTGTCATCATCAATGAAGTCTCGAACTGGTCCTACTAAACAAGAGTCATCTAGATCAGAGGAGGCGAGGTTTATTAAAGGGCCGAGGTCTCCAATCCAAGAGTCAGTCCAAAATCTCACGCTCATCCCATCTCCAGGTTTCTATTTAATTCCCAAAGAATTGTTCGGCTAAGCTTTAGCAATGCCTCTCCAAGTGTGGGAGCTTGTCTTCGAACTCAAAATTGGTTTCTTTGGGCCGCCCATATTCGGCTCTAAAGACCTTGACTAATGAGAATGGAGCCTAACTTTGAAAGGAAAGCACAATTTTGACTTTGCAGCTTCCTTGGCCCGCAGCCTGGCACATCTCATCCCAATTCAGTAGGTTTATACTTCGGTGATTGCTGTCATTGCCCCTAATGAAGTCCCTTGTCAGCTTTTCCAATCGGAGGTAGCAAGTAGAGGGTAGCATCGAAGTTTGCATGGCGTAGTAAGGGATGGTTGAAAGCACTGACTTTGCAAGTGTAACTCTTCCCGCCAGCCAGAGTGATTTTGCTTTTCAAGCTGAGTTTTTGCTGGACTTTTTCAATGATATAGAGATAGGTGTCTTTAGTGATTCTTGAATGTAGTGAAGGGACACCCTAGTACTTACCCAGGTGATCAGTTTTAGCATAGCCAAGCTGGCCGCAAATGTTGTCCGCTTCTTGTTTCCGCACATTTTTAGAGAAAAAGATGCGCGTTCTAAGTTGGCTTACTGAATGTCCAGAAGAGAGGCAAAAATCTAAGAGAACTCTTTTAGTGAGAGAATTCTTTTAGTGATGTTTGCTTGCCATGGGCTTGCAGTGCTAAAGAGTACAAGATCATCGGCAAAAATAGGTGTGAGAGGGGAGGTACTTCTTTTGACTTTTCCTATAGGAATGGTTTCCCACTTCCTCCTCCGCCTTTTGCTCATATGGGTTGTGAAGTGTTCCATGCGGAGTTATTAACCAACCAGCTTTTCATGATGCGTACTTTTTCTTTTTTTCCAATCATGACTCACACTTACTATGAAGTCCATAGATTTCAAACTAACAGCTTTAGGTTTAACAAACTGAATTGCAAGCCTCTAATGATACGTACTTAATTGGACATGAACAAGTTCAAGGAATGTCTAATTGAATCGATTGGAAGCAGCGATACGCTTTTCATCGTGTGGGGATAAACATTTTAGGTAGTCAGGTTATAAATAATAGGAATTAGTTTTCCATTTTCTTTTCTTTCTATATTTTCCTCCGTTAGCTTCTTTAGTTTTTTCATTGCAATCGCATATCCAATCAATTTTCGTTGATCTGTACAAAAAGTGAAAATTTGAAGGAAAAAAAATATACAGACCAAGGGAGTGGGGGATCTTTCCAAACAGTTCAAAATGTGGGGAAAATATAAATACAAGCAGCAGGGTAACAAACATAGCCAATATACTCGGAACCTTATGAGAATGGCTTTAGATCCTTTTAATAAGCATGCTCGGTACATCCTCATGGTGGAATTCTGCGGAGAAAACGAATGTAAGAGTCAACCTTGAAAGCCATAGGCATGGATGTACATTGCATGCTCTTGGGATCGAATTAGAGCGTGTACCTTTTTATCGGTTCCATGAATTGGCCCATCACTCGAGGGAGTTGGAACCCATTTTAGGAGATGAGAGAATAATATGTTAAAAAAAAAACAGCTTTACATAATGGTGCTTGCATCAACACAAACAGAAAGGATGCCTGCTAAGTCAGTTGAAACAAGCTGATTCATAAGGATATTTTGCAGTAACGAGTGAACGTAAGGGTTGGCTCTGCTTCTATGTTCTAAGCTGGTGGTCTAGCCGTGTGGTTATTGGCAGAAGATTTGCAATACTGGACAAGCTTGTCATTCTCATGAAAAAGAAGCCGTTCATATTGTGACAGCCTCCTTGTGATCTCAGCACTACCCAGTTTTTCAGAGCTCCTATTCTGTAAACGAGAAAACGGAGGGTGCATGAGTGTGAAGTGTGAACTGCGAAGTAACTGTTGCAGCATAAAAATAATAAGCAAGCATGCCTTAATCTTTGATGACTGTTGGAAAAGTTGGTTATCTCTTGTTGCAGAAAGAGTTTTAACCATGTCATCCAGTTCTGCGACCCTCTTCATGAGATTGGTCTTATCCATCTACAAGACAACGCAGCGAGAATTCAGATACGTTGCTTCATCGTGTGACATAAATTAATATTTATTATTGGGAACATATTACGATTAAAAAGTTTTGAAATAATTGATATTTCCTACCTTCAACATTTCACTCTGTGCTGAAAGCAACTGATCTCGCTCTTGGAGCCTCTGTATGGCTATTTGGGAAGCAATTATATCTGCATCTTTACTTCTCAACTTCAATTTGAAGCTGAATGACATGGTGAATGAATTGAGAATTATGGATAAGAAAGTTTGGAGCCATTATGACCTCTACTTGTGCTCTTAACTCATAGATAATAGAATGAACGCATAATTCAAACAGAAGGAAGCCTCTTTGATATTGATTTACAATTTGGAAGCATCTCTCAAGTGACTAATAGATGTCAAAGCTCCCTTTGGATGATCAGAGGAAACTTTCCCAAATCCCCCCATTCACGGCTGATAGTAGCTAACATATTTGACAAAGATATTCATACAATCATAACTAACCAGATAAAAGGAAATCAGGCCGCATCGCATAGGAGAAACGTATTATTAAAACATAAGCTCATTATACTAACCTCTCTCTTTCTTCAATGAGTTCATTAATCAGCAGACTTTGGTTGTGAACCTCTTTTTCCTAATGAAAGATAAACGAGAATTACGATAACATATGATAAAATAGACAGAACGTCATGGTTTTGGCATCAAGTACCTTAGCAAATAACTTCTCTCTTAAATTATGAGCCTCTTCCACTAATTTTAGAATCTGGTTCTGGTCCACCAAAGTCTAGAATATGCAAGAAGCAGGAGGATAAGAGAATGAGAAACTGCAAGCGAAAAACTCTCGTTTATAAAAGATGAAGCCGAAACTTACTGCGTAGTTCGTGATGTCCATTTTGACATCTAGGAGGTCCCGAATGACATCATGAGTCATGCTTTCAGTAGCAGCCAGCCTTGTTCGTAACAGGCATACCTGATAGATATGAAATATAATCAACACATAATGAGAATTTTCCTTTTAACCACGTTCAAAAATTCTATTTGAATCCAAATGATAGGCAACACATCCAAATTGAAAGTATTATAGAATCTGGATACATAACTACTTGACTACGAGCTAAAAAAATTTAACTACTTATGATTCAGGTGACCCTCAAGAGAACTTCAATGGAGTCATTAAGCTTTTGTATCAAAGCCTTCATTTTTCCTTTTTTACGTTGAATTATTTGTAGTTCTAATTCTCATCGTCTCCGTATGAAGATTATATGGAATAATGGAAATTTGGTCTTCAAGAATCTATGCAGTGATAGTGACAGAAGGGAGAAAAGATCAGACCTCCTTCTGCCGGCTAGCTGCTAGTGCTTCTAGTTCCTCCACTCGAAGTTTTGTCACAGACAATTCCTGATCTTTCTCCTGATTCATCTGATGAACAAGATTTGAAATGCATCTGAATGGTGAGCTTGAACCTCTTGCCCTCACTGAGCTTTTCTCGACCTTATCCAATGGTGCTGTTGATGTTAAATTTGACATTTCTTTTTTCACTTCACGAAACATGGACTCCAGGTTTTTGTACTATTAAGGATGCAGAAGCCAGAAAAAAGGGTTAGGCGAGCATACCGATTAGATGAAAACCACTGCTTAGATCAGAAAAACTACAGGTATTCTCAACAAAATTGGACCCAAGAAAGTTGTTGGAAGGATGTTTTTTCAATGTGCTTGTACCTTCTGTTGGTACTGCGAGGCCTGAGCTTCCGCGTGCAATACGACTTCAGATATGTACTCTTTGCACTGTTTGATCTTTCAAAATATGAACAATATCAAAATTCAAAACTCAGGAATATGATTCAATTGCCTTTTGTTTTGAGACAAAAAAAATTGCTTTACTGAAGATACCTGCTTATCTTGTTCGGCCTTTTCGTCTTCAAGAATTCTTATCCGATCAAGTGCCTCACGAAGTTCCGTTATTTTACGGGATGGTTTTCTGCATCAGAATTTTTTGTTGGACATTCAGAAATTTAAAGCCGACAAGCAATAATAGTGTTGGAGATCATGTTACGTAAGTGTCTTGTATTTTTTAATTAATTATTAAACCATGAATTTCTACAAAACTAAAGAAAAGAAAAGAACAGATCTGACCTAGATAGTTGATTTTCATGTGGTTGAACATTGGTGATATCTGAATCTGCATTTTGGGGTAAGCTGTCAACTGCTTGCAGTCTCTCTTCCAAAGCTTGGAGTTGCTTTTCTAGCGAATCCCTAATCAAATGATGTCTTCCCACCTCTTCATCCATTTCATAAACCTATAGCGATAACGGATTTTACTCGTTAGAAAGGTTATCTGATCCGGAATGAGTGCATCAGTAAAACACGAAGTATATTTATCTTGTGATGCCATGTTAAGGGTCAAGTATATGCGATCTTAAATATTCATAACACGCTATTGATCATTGTCCTAAAACTCAATCCATGCACAGTAATAATAAAAGCAACGAACCTTCTTCTCCAAAACATTTATAGTACCCTCGAGCTCCTCAACGGAATGTTCAAGAATCTTGACTTCCTCTTCCTTCTGTTCGGCATAGAGCTTACTAGCCTCAGACTCCTAAAAATGAGAATTAAGATTCACCAAAGGAAATTCCATCTATTCGTTTCATTCGACAAGAGAGGACCCCAAAAACAAAACAAAACAAAAGAATGGGGGAAAAGAAAACTACCTGACGGGCTTCTACGGCAATAGCTTCCTTTTCGTCAGCCAATGAATAAGCCATCTGAAGTTTGTCATTCAAGACAGAAACTTCCTCACGAAGTTGGTCTCTCTCTATGATCGCCTTTCTTAATTCATCCTCAATGCCTTCCAATAAGGAAAGATCGCTATTTTCCAGTGAAGAGGTCAAATTAACGATTTCTTTCTCCAAACCTTTGACCGCATCTTTCTGTTCATTCAACTGCTCCTCGGCTTCAGCCTTTTTTGAATAGAGTTCTTTCAAAATCTCCCTTAACTCTGCATTTTGGTCTGTAAGTTTGCCGATCAATTCTTGAGCAAGCTTAAGCTCATGATTTGAAGTGGATAAGGCCCTTTCAGTTTCAGCAAGAGAACCTTCAAGTTTTCTATTTTGAACCAGAGTGTCCCCAAGATGATTTGTTTTAATCTCCAGCTCATATCGAACTTGGCTCAGAGACGTTATTAACTCTTCAGTCTCTTCCTTGACGTCTTTTTCGTTGGAAGCCAATTCCTGCAACAGTCTTAAGTCAAAAAACAAACCGTCCAGTAACTCTTCTTTCCTCTCTAATTCCTTTTTAAGAGCCACATGTTCATGCATTAAATTACTATTGGGTAAGTCCTGCTTCTCCTGCAAAATTTGGGGTTCTGCACGTTGATCCCTTTTCCCCGAGCCTTCGTTTCTTGTAGCCAAGACAGACTCCGCACTTGAGAGAACTTCCGAAAACTTGTACAATTCCTCTTGTTTGGTTGATCGGTAATTATGGTTTACCCTGAAGAAGAGGAATTTACTGACCAGCTCTGTTACATAGCAATTGTTTAGTACGAAAGATGCAAATCTCTCCTCCATAACCCAAGAAAACATATCTTCAAGAGATGTTCTCAGGCTTTTTGTCAAGCATATCATCTCCTGCTGAATCAGCAAAACATCAGAAAAAACTGACATGAATTTCTTCTCCACATCTGTTTGCACTTGCAAGAAACACTCTTCAAGTATAGAAACTGAGTTTGCCATCTCTATCAAACTGGAATTGATGTGATCTGTCAGTAATTGGTTTTCTTCTTTATGATATGTTGAAGATTTAAGCTTCTTAATCTCGTCTGCCAAGCTTTCTTTCTCTGTCATCAGGTTTTCATTTGCCTGCTTCATTGTACAACTCAACTGTTTCGCATCTTCATATGCCTTTGTCAAGGCATGTAGCATAAAATCTGCTTCCTTAACTGTTTCATGAGCTTCCTCAAATTTGATCAAGCTATCATCAAGTCTGGTTGTCATACCACCAAATACCTGAAATATGGGTAAACAGCCAAAGAATATAAATTTGGTCGCCGAATAAGAGCAGTAACTAAGGATTAATAAATATTAGATCATACAACTGCTCTTCAGTCATTTTAGGAGAGTCTGGTTATTAAAATGAATGCCGGATACCTTTGGGTCAATTTGGTTGCCTGCTTCAACTTTTCGAGCCAACTCACAAAGAGCCTCCTTTCTTTGTTCTGTCATTCATCATAACATAATTAAGATCTTACTAGTAATTTCAGATGACTGGATGCAAGAGGAAGTTTCTTAGTCAACGACATTTATAAATGGAAAATGGAAGAAGTCGAGTGAATTGATACCTTTTAGGCATGAAGAGCTTCCATTATCCAATTCTTTAAGAAGTACAGAGAAATGAACATTCTGCTTATTGAAGGCTTTGTACGTAGCATATAATTCATTTCTAAGAAAGGATGCCGCTGCTTCACTTAGAATTGAACTCTTCACATGATGATCTGTATTTTCTAATTCTTGATTATCAGCTTGAATGACAAAGCCTCTTTCAGATTTTGGATTCGCTATCTGTTCAGTTATTTTTCCAGGAAACTCAACTCTGCAGGTACTTCTGGATGAATGCAATATGCTTACAGAAACGATGCTCTCAGTTTCAGTTGATGAATCAAAAACTGAAGAACTATCGGCACTCGATGCATCGAAATCCATGAGATCGTTATCTATTAATGAGCAATTAGACAGATCCATTTCTGTGCTAATATAATTCTGTATGATGCTCAGTTTTGTATTCATATCAACCAGTTCCTTTTGTATCTGATGCAGTATGTGATGCCAGTCTCCCAACTTCAAACATTTGTTTGTATCTGCTATCTGGGAGTCAGCAGCGCAACAGGCAGAACCCTTATGGTGCATTTTTAAATCCTTTTTTTCTATTTCCATGTCCTGATTTTGTTTAACGGCTCCAGAACCAGGTCCCTGTCAGCAGGAGAAAGGCTGGAAGCAACTGTTTGGAAATGGGCCACACGCATTTCTCTCTCTTCACAAAAAGCATCCGCAGTAGCATCTATCTCCATTACTTCTGGTATGGTCGACTCAACTTGAGCCTTGGGTTCATTTGGTATAAGATGATTCCTATCACCTTGATCCTCAAAAATGATCTGACTGTCCACCTTACTGTGCACCTCTTTTTCAGGGATGGAAATATCTCCTGCTACATCATTTATACGAACAACCTTTTGACTATCAGAAAGCCATCTCACTAATAGAAATGCAGCGTTAGCCCGTTTTTCTGCTTTTCTAAGCTGGTCATCTTTACATTTCACTTCATTTTCTAAAAACCTCAACATATTGGTCTTCTCATCCAACGACGTTCTTAACTGAACTGAGTCCTCATTGAGTTCATTGTGTGCTTGTTGATATGCACTTAAGGTTGTAGTTGCTTCCTTAAGGAACCTACCTTCAACTCCATGTCCAATACCATCTTCTGTGCGTCTTCCAAGCTACTTTCCAGCTTCTGAATTGTTTCCTCCTTCTCCATATAACTTTTGACAGCCATGCTTATGTGTTCAGCAATCCTAGTGTTTCCTTCAGGCAATGAACCGGTGATGCTTTCTACTTGGCCACAGGCATCTCTGAGAGATTTAGAGCCATCTAGAAGAAAGGTTGTTAGCTCAAAAATTGCCCTTTCCCACTCTAAACACAGTGTCCTAATTTCCTCCTCTTTAGTTGCTACCATATTCCTTAGCTCTGCATTTTCCCGAGCAATGGAACATAACCTCCCTTCTAAATCCGACTGAAGACCTGCAATCTCTTCTTGCAATTGCAAAATTGTTCTTGTTGTTTCCATCTCAACCTCGTCACAGACTGATTCAATCTGGTGTTTTTGGGATAACTGAAGTGCCCATTTTTCTTGGTATTGGTCGTTAAGCAACTTAACCTCCTCAAGATCCTTGCTCATTTTTTCCAATTTGGCTTCCAACGTTTTCTGCCTGTTATCTTCATTATCTTTAAGGAGCATTTCTGAGGAACCTAAAGGATACCCTTCAGCATCACCACCTGTCCAAGTATTGAATGGCATCTCATCCCCAGAATCACTCTTTAGAGATATGGTATCAACCTGTAAAATCTAATAGATTATGAACTTGATTATTAAAGAAAAAAGGGCGCATTTGTATATAGTTTGACAATTTTCACCAAACCCTAAATATAAGTACTTGCTTTTGATTAGTGAATAATAAATAATCTAAAAAAAGAAATTATTAAATATCCTCCGGTGGAAATACCGTCAACAAATAATATATGCACGATATTTCAGTGATTGCTCAATGCTTAAGACAAAATTGCTCGAGAAGAGAGTAAGGATCTCTTCTTCCCCCCCCCCCCCCTCAAATTCAAGATACTGAAATATCAATCATGTTCATCTTGAAAACGCAACGCATTCAGAAGCATATAGAAGCGATCAAGAAATGTGTGAAATATATTTCGGCGAAAAAAGAAAAAAAAGACTCCAATAAAAACCTAACTGCCTTGAAAAAATATGTTGAGCTGAGGATCATTCTATGTTTATTCTCACCAGCGAACATTTATCTGTCTTCATCAGTTCATTTGAAAGTTCGAAAGAAGAATTTAGAACCTACAAAGATGAAAAATGAATAAATACGAAGAACTCAGCCACACGCTGACAGAACTTTAGATATAACACAAGCAATTCTTACAGAATCAGATTGTGCCCGATCGCAGCTAATATATTTTACAAGTTCTGTTTGTAACCTATTTACATCGCTGCAAAATAAACAACAATTAAGGACAAAGGCAGAGATTAGAAAATGACAGCAAGTCCAGTTAGACTTTTCCGGGCTTGATTTAAACAGTGTCAGTTCTAGTAAGGAAACAAAACCATGGCATAAATGGCCGAAACAGTCGTTTGGAAGATAAAAAATAACGTGCTAAGGTTTCTAGAGGTACATTGCCTACCGAAGCAATTTAGAATTCATAATCTGGCAATCTTCCAGCTCCTGTTTAGCATCATTATCCTGAAATCAAAGAGAAAAAATAAGACATTTCGAAGAGCTAAACTAGAACTGCATAATTATTGATTAATAGATGATTTGACCTGGTTTTCATTTCTCATGGAGAATGTGCATTTTTCTTGAGGACTGACAATAAGCTGCACATGAAACACCGATTTCAGACATCCATAGTATTGATCATTAAGCAAGGTGAAATTTACAATTTTGGGAAAATTTCAACATCTGTTTAACCTGATCACATAATTGAGAAAGTTCAGTCAGCAATCTTTCCCGCTCTCCTTGCTCATAAAAGTTCTGGAACCTGGTCATTAATGCAAATTGAAAGTTGGCTTCCAGCAAGCAGATAAGAGCATAATTCTTCATTTAACTTACTGTCTCATTTGGTGTAAAAGTCTATCATTTTCCAAAGCAAGCCTGGTTGTTTCTGGGTTGTTCTCAATCCTCGCTTGAAGTTCCTTAATCTCCTTTTTCAAAGCCCTGTTTTCCTTCAAGATATACTCCTCAGGTGACAAGCCACCATCTACTAATAATTCAAGTTGATTAACTTTTTCCTCACAAAGCCTCAACTTAAATGCTGCATGCTGAGTATCCTCTTCCCTTTGCCGAGCCTGCAGAGGACAAGTCTATCTTAAGCTCATTAGATCAATCATCATAGGTGCATAATCGCATGACAAATCTAAATAAATTTGGGCAGTGACACCTCTATTATTATATTTTTTGTTTTGGTAGAAGGAGGAAATCTAAAACTTTGTTCACCAAAACTGGACATACCAAGCAGTTCAGGCGTTCAATTTCAGCATGTAAATTCTGAATTGTGATCTCAGCCAGCTTTTCTCTCTTCAATGCACCTAACAAAGCAGCTTTCATGCATTTTATCTGCCAGGTATAAAATAGCTGTGACATTATTGGGATAAAATCCCTTGAAAACTAATAAAGTTCTTAACACCAAGAGCCGACTAACTTGAGAATTTGACAAGAAAATCACCTCTTTGGTTTGAAGACATAGCTTTTGACCCATTGTTTCGTTCTCCATGACAGAGCTACATCCTTCTGACGATTCACTCAACCTACAAAGCTCAGGATATGCCTCCAAATTTGACATAAGACTCGGAAAATTGTTGTGCTTTATCAAAAAGGATAATTGACTCTGTTCAATTTCAGTCAACAACACAACTGAGTCAGCTCTGTGAAATGACATTCCTGTGGGAAATGTCTCACAACATGGCTATTAAAATCAATACCTTTAACTGTTGAATTTGCCACTGCAGTGCATTTATGTCACCTGAAGTGCCTTCATTCACTTTTACCTTTTTGGGAGAAGAGGAAGAGGCATCTCTCATCAAAGGAAAAGAAATTTCATAATGATATGCATGTACGTAAAATCACCTTGTAGAATGAGTAAAGAAGAAGAAGAAGAAGAATGAGTACATTGTTTTGAATCAGCTTGGCTCGCTGGGCAAACTTCAAAGTGCTTAGCGTTTCATTTGCAGCGCTGCATGGAAAGAAAAATATACAATAAGGATTTAAGGAAGCAACATTAATGGCAAAAGACCATCACTTCATTTCAAAAAACAAGTTTATACAAACCAAATGGATGGGCTGACATTGGAAATTATCATTGTTTTTGAGTTGCCCCCAAGAGAATCCTGCATATAAAATTTTTCAAACAGAACAATCGCACCCTTATAGAACAGTGTGTAAAGTAGTTGAATGTAGTTGCCAAGAAAAAAACAATCCTGACTTTCGAAGTTCTATGAATAACCTGAAGAAGAAATGTGAGCTTTGAATCTCGATAGGGAACATGTCGTGGTTTCCCATGCGTCAGATCCACCAAATTCATGATGACCAATCTATTTGGACCAAATAAAGGAATAACAAAGTTCAATCAATTGAATTTAGCGATTACTGTATTTGTGTTCTTTAACACATCACGACTGTATATCAACAAATAAAATGATAAGCAGGTCCTTAGTAAAAGTACCCTAATGTTGACAAGGATTTATTTATATTTGCTGCTTCTTTCAATCGTTCACTATCCGTGCCAGAGCTCTTCTGCCTGCATTAACGCGGAAGTTAAAACAGCTTCTGAACAGAGGATATTGACAGCATTGAACTGAACACCCTGATCATAAAAGTGCTTACCTTTCAGAACCGGCTAGATCTACTAAATTTAACCTTGCGAACCTAAAGTGAGTCACAGAATCTTTCTCCCAACGGCTTTCAATAATACAGGTGAAAACGCTGTGAGACCGACTGCTCTTACAATTCATATGAGTTGCAGCCACCTTTCTATTTGCGGTGCCCTACGTTAGAAATTATTTAGGATGATGAAGCCATGCCATACATGATCAAGCACTAACCTATGATGTTAAGCAAGGCTGTGATTATGCACGTAACACGTTTGAACAGGACCCACCTGTAACAAAAGCTTGAGAACATCACTCACAGTTCCCACACTATGTTCAGAAAGGTTTTCAACGTATACCCCCTTCTTTGTATCTTCTCTGAGCTACAGAAAGAATAGGATGTTATAGACTCGGTTATATAGAATGTGAACTAGATCTGAAACAAACCAAATACAAAATTTTGGATTACTTGCAGATTAGTTGATGAAGGCTCTAAAAGATCTGTTATTTGCTCATTGTATATCTCTAAAAAGGAACATTTGCAACTGTATCTGAGTTTTTCATCCCTTCTGCTCTCTTCTTCCTACATAATGGAATCTTTTTGATGAATTCAATCTCAAAACAACAATAATCGAAGAAACCACATTAAACTGGTATTAAAAATACAGAAACTTGTGCATTCTAAACACCTCACCAGTTTAATTCTCATAAACAAATAATCAAAAACTCTTGGTGTTATCCCACTGTCTTCAGTTAGGTGTCCTTCTTCCTCTTTTATCTCACCCATCATGGTATATGTCTTACCACTGCCCGTCTGCAGAAGAAGCTTTAAGTTCAATAGCAAGACAAATAACAAGAGGAAAAACACACTGCCCAAAATGCAGGTCCGTCGCTCATACCTGCCCATAAGCAAACATACAGCTATTATAACCAGACAAGCAATTCTCGACCATGGGCACTCCGGCAACTCTGAACAGATTTTCCTGTACCAATGTATGCAGTGAGCATATATGTGAAATAAACATTGAATATGCTCCTTCATTATTTTGATTTTACAGGACTCTTGAGCCACAATCGTGATATATCCCTTTGAACTACCACAATCATGATATATCCCTTGAAACAAAAAATTCCTGTCGATTAAGAATTTTTTCAATATATCGCACCTGAGATAATGTCTCACATGCTATATGATCAAAGGTGAATCTGGTTTCAGGATGACCAACCCAAACCAAAGTCTGCGCAGTTTCCTGTCTCAAGCACCGGTCATATCCTTGTGAAAATTTCTCAATACTATTTAAGGGTCGAATCCTTATCAGTACCTGAAGGCATCAACCACGACTCACACTCAAGAAACTTGATGGGATAAGATATCAGACACTAGGTATGACTAGAAAATCAAACAACGAAACCTGCACATTATGATCCATCCAGAAAGACGGGTCTTCTTTGAGCTCGAAATGCTGAACCTCCTTGGACATTTCTGAGTTTGCTACTGGAATACCCTTAAAAAAAGCACCGAAACTCCCTGCTTTTCCTCCGCCTGAGTATTGAAATCTGGTTCCAGGACAAATTCCTCCTGCTCCGCCAAGTGAGGTTCTAGAGGCATTTCTTGCCGGGGTGCTTTGCGCAGAGTTCGGCTCCGAATTTGACTTTGCATTACGACCCAAAACTCTCGGAGTCCCATTGTTCAAGCTGAGATTCCCAAACCCATCGGATGAAGCTTCACATCTTTTATCCGATGATCGACCCGGCCGAATAGCTTCTATTTTGTAATGAGAATTAACATCAGATTCTTGATATTCCTTTTGGCACTGAGACGGGTCTGGTATGGAGTTCAGAGGAGTTCTCGGAGGAGGGTAGTTATGTATGTTCTGTGAGGCTTCAAACTCATTCTCGTTTGCTTCAAGCTGAGGATTCCTCGATGTGTTCCGACCAAGAGTCCGGGTAGAGCTTTCTTTAAACATTCTGATACTCGAATTTTGCTGGTAGATTAAGGACTTGTAGTTTTCAGATGACCATCAGAACTTCCGAAGCTCGGAAACGGGTAGCGAGATGCAATGCTGGAGATGACGAACAAATAAAACAGGAGGCCCGCCTGTTTTCAAATCAAACTGTTAATTTACGGAGATACCCTCCTACAAATGTAATTATTGATATGACCCCAAACAGATTTGAAATTTAAAATCTGCCTCGTAAGCAAAGCAGAAAGCGCTGAGGTAATGGAGCCGAAGAGGAGCCGACTGAATAGTGATGATGTACTTTATTTCATCGATGTCATATTTGGGAGACGTGGGCCAGTTCCATAAATCTTCTTTTCTATATGATTCAAAATTTAGAGCTAAAAGTTCCACAGAAAAAAATGTACATAAAATAGTTAACTCGGTTGCTAGTAGAAGATTAATGATTGAAAAATTTCGATTCAACTATTGGTCAATATGCACAATAGCTGTTCAACATGACCTTCAAAAAAAAAAAAAAAGTTGGTCATATTCAACATGACCTTTTGAACTTCATGCGCTGGAGGGAGTGACCCTAAGAACCATCTTAAGGACTGACCTTGAAAATAATATTTATATTATTAATAAAAATCACTTGTTTTCAAAAAAAATGCGGTCTCTGTGTTGCTCGGCCATTTGGAATCATCACTTCCCCGGGGGAAAAATTACTGTCAAGCCTTACCAAGAGGAATTTTCATTGGTTTCGCTTGTTAATTAACTCTGGAAATCTTATTATTGTCATTAATAAAAATTTGCTCATTAAAAATAAGCTCCATAAAAAAAAATTCCCAGTCATTAATTGCTGAATCGAATAGAGGAGACTTAGTTCCTCTTCCAAATAGTTATATAAAAAATGTAACTCTGTTAAATTTTGCTGACTAATTTTCATACCGTTCCTATATTTTCAAAGCAAGATAAATTATAATTATTGATATTATTAATTAGTAAAGTTATGAAGATGAAATATTAAAATATTCCTAATTTAATCTGCATGCAGTACAAAAAAATCACGTATGCTTATGGTGCTGCCCCGTGCTAACATGACAAGAAAAATTATATAACTAATTTGGATAGATTAATGAAAATAGTTAAACTAATTATTTATCAAAAACATGTATCTATTTTTATAAAATACCTTGTTAAATTATTTACATTAGAATTATATTTTGATGTGAACTCTTTTAATATATACAATCAATTAGGGTTAGTTTGAATAAAAAAAAAAATCAAATCAATCGAATTTTATATTTAAAATCAAATTCAATCTCTTTACTGGCTTTTATTTATATTAATGAATGGATTTTTTTTTTTTTTTTCCCATCACCAGTAGCCGTGTGGATGCTGCTGTTTTTCTTCTTCATTTTTTTAAACAATGATAATTATATACGCAGCGACTTGAATATTGATCGCCGCCATTAGCTTTCAAATGCTCCTCGTTCAACCATCTTACGCAAATTGATACTTAATCCCATGAATTGAAATTTGAATTCGAAGTTCGCCAACATTTTGAAAGATTAAGAACTGACCTCCACAACGGAAAGGAGGTCTAGGAAGCAAGTTTGGGATCTAATAACAAAGCTCTTAACGATGCTTTCATAAAGGAGGGATTGAATTTCTTACGCAAAAAGCAAAATAAGTCAGTTATTAATTACTAATCAACGAAAGAAGAAACTAAATGCAATTCATTAGCTGGATATCACTGAAACCAGCGCGGTTAAGCAAGAATGTAGAGGGAACGGGCGTCACGGTGACCCAAGGCATAGATCGTTTTGAACAGGCGTGTGGAAATAAACGATAGAGGGTAACTGAACATTCTTTATATGGGAATGCCATTTGGATTCATAAGATTCGGGCTCCTAAAAATCCAGCCGAAGGGGTCCTATAACTATTCTCAATATTTGACACGCACAAAATAATTTTATATAAATTGAAGCAAAATTTTTTTTACATATTGATTTTATATGCTGTAAAATTACTATCAAAAAGCTAATATAAACACTTCTTCAAACGATCAACAATGTTCTAAACATGTCCTCGTTTAAGTAAAAAGCTCAACATCACCAAGCTTGGCAGGAGGACACACAAAAAGGGACCTATATATTCATGAATAATACGTATAATATTTGAGATAAGCTAGTCAATTCCTATTTTCCCTTGAAGCCGCATTATTTATTAACTACTTAACCATTGTGGCTCACTGAATGCTTCATGCAAAGCACAATTTCACAGTTCAGTGGTGTTTTATTTTCATAAATTTAACTAGTGTTCAATGCTTGATTATAACCGTTGTAATATTTCTGAACATAAAAATTTAATTAAAAATCGCTACAAAGCATATATTAATTGTTGCAACCAATCTCATTTAACATTTATTGGATGATCTCATTTTTTTCAGTTCTAAATATAAAAATTAGATCATTAGTTCACATAAATAAAAAAAAACTGTTAAAGATAGATATTTATGAAAAATACATGTTTACTTCCTTTGGATACTCATTATTTTAATTATCTATATTGAAAACTATTCCATTAATAGCAACGTTAAGATCAAAATAATAATGGGCGGTTTACAAAATAATATTTCTTCTGATCCTTAATATAAGAGTTAGTTTTACTTTCAAGTTGGTCTTAAATAAAAGACCCTAATCTATTTTGTCTCTCATATTTATTTATTTATTTTTTAAAAATAGTCATTGTAGTAATTCACATATTAAATATTCTATCAAACAATAATTTTAGTCATTACACATAATTAGCAGTGATGTTCTAGATAAGACAACACCTATTTATTATAAATAACTAATTTAACAAGCTTTTTTAATTTACTTAAATTAATTAACTAACTCTTATATTAAGGATAAAAAGCAATAATAAATACAAGAGATAAATGATATTCACGTTATATTCAAATCAAAACAAATTCTTAATTGCTAACAAAGATTAATTTAATTAGTAAGGAATTGACTCATAGGTTCTGTTTAGTGCGAAATATTAAAAATATGGAGTAAGAATTATAATTGAAATTGAAAAAATCTATTACAAGAATATTTACTTGAACTTCGGATTGAGCAAATAAGTGATATATCCTAATCTCATCTCCATGGGATTACTTGCTTTAATGTTACCAGTAATTACCCATACTAAGCACTCTTAATGGTTTGTTTCAATTTCAATTTCAACTCTTATCTCTCATTTTCAATGTTTCTCGCTAAACAGGACCATTAGATCATAGGATCTCGAGTTCAAAATCTTACTACCACTGTGAGCACCTCATTGTGCAACACGCCACACCAAGATGAATACTCCTGCATATGTGACCATTTTGGCAGTTTTTTCTCTGCCACACAAGAACTTGCCAACTCTATCACTGTCATTTTGGGTTCTCACTTCTAAAGGAAGCATATCAGAAACCGGTTAACACAGAAACTCTGCAAGCCTACTAACAATATATAAGAGCAGGAGATAATTAAAGCTCAAACCCTTAAATGAGCCTCGTTGCCACGCAAAGAAATGATCCAAGAAGCATTGCTAATTGGTAAGGCATCATTGGAGCATTGCTCCGTCCGCTTGCCATCATGCTACCTGTTCCTGCAGCTGATATGCAAAAACACACACTAAGCACCATGTCATTTAAATCAAAGCCCCTTAAAATCTAATACCAAGTCATTTAAATCAAAGCACCTTAAAATCTAATACCATGCTTGTTCACAGTTCAGACAGCTGCTTACCACATTCCAAAGTAGAATTGGCGGTGCTTGAGCAGAGGCAGAGCAGAGCTTCAGTATCAGTATCAAACCCACAGGCGCCACCAGATTTCCTGCATCTCTCGCAGCCAGTATCCGGCACACTAAAAGACAGCTTGATCCCATAAACCCAGTCCAAAGGGCCAACACCCCGCAAACCATTTATGTTAAACAACGAAGTATAATGTGTACAGTCCAATATGTTCATGCTCATGAATTTCACTGTGTTATAACTTGTAAAACAACAAGGTGGTGAGCTATTTGTCAATAGATGGAACACCCGAAAGGCATTGCAGGACCCATAAAGCTCGTCGCAGGAGTGACCTGAGAAGTTGAAGCAGAGGTACTTATAATGGTTGAGAACAGGGGAGTCAATAGAGCAATTAAGGAGTGCGAAAACAGTGTCCTGTGATGGGGGAATAATGGCTGATTGAACATCCGTCATAACGAAGTCATGGTGAGGCTGAAGAATGGAGCAAGTAGACATTGCAGGGTCATAGATCACCATAGTTTTCTTGTCGTAGTCAATGGACTGAACCTTGTAAGCACCTGAAGGCGTTTGAAAGAACAAGTCATTCGTGCAGTTAAACATGTGCCTAAACTGAGGTGCCCCACACCCATCGTCGAGGCCAAATGGGTAGTTTATGGGAATGTTACCACAGAAATTCCTGCAGGGAGAGAGACCAACAATGGGAATTGCTTGTAGTTGCAGAGTGATTAGGATAACCAAAGGTTTGAAGACGGAGAGTGGTTTTCTAAGGAGTTGAGGCTGCTGCATCTTTATGCTCTCTAAGGTTACGGCAGAAAGAGAGCAGGCAGGCAACAGTAGGAGCTAAAGTAGAAGACGAGTGAGCTTCTTGTGTTCCCAATTTTATTTGAATTTTTTACATAAAAAGGTGCAGAAAGGTCCGTAATTTACTCGCACAGTTTGAACAGCTTTCGAAATCTTGGACGCAGGCGGGTGCTTGCTGGGATCCACTTGCTGACAAAATGATGAAAAGCGACAGAATAACGAGTTCATTTTGTCAACAGTCATACAGCGCGTCGTCGTTGGGATGCGTGGGCTTTTATAGTTCTACGTGCTATGTCTTGAATTTCGATGCCTTCCGCACTGCAGTGCACAGACCCTCCATCATTTCCTTACAGTTGTTGCAGTGTACGTGAAACTCAGCTTTATCCACCACTTCATTATTTACTGGAAATACATGCTTAAATTATATTTGGTGTTTATATTTAGTTTTTGCATGTTCCCATTAACAGATGTTCCTGATTCGTTACTAAAACTGCTGATTAGTTAATCCCTAACGGTTAAAAAATGAGGGGTAAAATGGTAAAGCCCGTTTTACTTGTATGCTTCTCAAAAATCAGCGTTCTTTCTGTTTGGACCCACAATGTAAAGAATCCGAGAAGGGAGGTGGCCACCACCACGAGAGTCTCTCTCGTCTGGGTCCACCATGTTGAGCTGCTTGATGATCTCCCGCTTGGCCGCTTGGGATCTGCCATGATTGGATAGTTTACCTTGGCCCCTTGCTGTATGTGACAAGGGGAACAAGCTTAGATCCTCAAGAGCGATAATTTACCCCAAAATTTTTCCCGAATGTTGTTGGCTCACGTTGATATGTATGCATGGCTGACCCAACAGCTTTACTCCTCCCTGATAAAATTCCTGAGAACATTGAGCCCCCTTACCTAGCTCCGTGGTGCAAACCGGGTGAAGTCACCTAATATGTACAGAATGATGAAGAAAGGCGAACAAAAAAAGGGATATTTGAGAACACGAGAAAGAATAGAAAGCCGAAATTATGCAGATAGAGGTTGGAACAGAGATCCAGTGAACCATCAATTAAAGCCCATATCAAGCTGGATCCATAATTCGGCGCAGAATCGGTGGAGCTTGATTTTGCCATGGGTGGTCTCAACTTCATGGACGGGAATTATGTAACTGATGATAACGCCTGATATTGTCGAAGTGAATGCAGGATGACACGGAACGGTTCTGGTTTTCAGCTCTCTTTACGTTTTATCCTTTCATGAAGAGGACACGGCATGCCTAGTTGTTTGCATGCAGCTGGATTAGGAATTTCTTGTGTCTTTTTTGTTTTTGTTTTGACCAGATAGGAATTTATTGTGTCTGAACAATTATGCGTCAGGCTAACTTATATTACCTGTAATATTTTATTTTTCGGAAGTTTCTACCTTTTATCCGGATGCATTTCTTCATTCGTTTTGATGGAGGTCGAACCAAGTTGTATAAGAAATAATATTCATATATCTTAAACCGACTGTCGGGGGGGATGTAGCTCAAACGGTAGAGCGCTCGCTTTGCATGCGAGGGGTACGGGGTTCGATACCCCGCATCTCCACGTTATTTCGCCATATTGAATTTTTCCTCTTTCATCCCTTCAAAATTCTGTTGGTCATCAATATCTACCCGAAAGACGAGCCCAAACTCCAAACCTCCAAAAGGCTCCGTATAAATGTCTCCCGCGGGCTATTAATTTTCCCGCCAACTGCCTCTGAAGAAGACTTGAGGGTTTTCCCAGAAAGAGTTGCAGTGACAAATCCGAGAGCATGGAAGAGGCTACACAGATCGCTCAGCTGCTTAAGCAGACACTCAGTTCAGACGACAACGCCATTCGTGTCGCCACCGATTCTCTCGATCGGCTCTCTGTTAACCCAAACTTTCCATTCTACCTGCTCACCATTGCCTCAGGTTTTTTTTTTGGTTCATTTCTAAGATCTGAACGTGAAAATAATCTCAAGTTCTGAGCTGTGAAATTCGTAATTTAATTTTATCGCTCATTCAAACAATATGGCCCTTTAGTTCCATGTTTTAAAGAACCTTGGTCTATAGTCACTACTTTGAGCTACTGACCATGACTGGAGAAAGCAGAAAGATCCGTTAATGTAACTCTTCTATTAGAGCCTATGCATTATCAACTCATTCGTTCCCCGTCTCAATCTGCATTGGTTTTTGGTGCGTACTTATAGGAGGGGAAAGTCAAGGTCTGAATATTTCTGCTGCTACGTACCTAAAGAACTTCACTCGGCGGAATATTGAGAGTGACCGTGCATCTTCCAAGGTGAGCAAGGAGTTCAAGGGTCAGCTGATTCAAGCTTTGCTTCAAGTTGAGCCCTCTGTTCTGAAAATTTTAGTTGAAGTGGTATGTATACTTGATTTATACTGCTCATTCGTGTTTGCTTGTTGCATCTTTTCAGTAGGATTGCTAATATATCTGAGCATACTTTGGTGGCAGTTTCGGGTGATCGCTGTTGCTGAGTTTGTTAAGGAGAATTTGTGGCCAGATCTTGTACCTAATCTGCGTTCTGCTATTCAGAATAGTAACCTTGTTAACAATTTAAATTCTAAGTGGAACACCATCAATGCCCTTATCATTCTTCGTGCACTTCTTAGACCTTTCCAGGTACTCTATATTTGCTTACATGATTTTTTTGGATCTGGTTTTGCTTTCCGCCATTTTATTATTATAATATTGCATCCATTACAATAAAGTTGTTTATGAAGAAAATTATCTTTCGTTTTTCTGTAAAAGCTAATTTTATGATCTTAAATATTTGACGTTGCGGGTTTCTGACAATTATGTGATCTGAAATAGCATGTTGCATTTAACTTATTTTCAGTATATAAAAAATGTCTTTTGCAGTTTTAATTCACATCATGCATTTGCTTCCCATTGATTGTCTGTGCTCTGATGCTAATCTGTTTCTTGATGAACAGTCAACCTTCGTAGACTTAATTTAAAAGCTTTTATGTTGCGAGACCTGTGCAAAAAATTTGAAGAGTTTGGAATTGTGACAACATTTGTATAGGATATTCGTTTCATCTTTTGGCCTGAATTAAAATTCCAATATTTCAATTAGCAGTATTTTCTGAATCCTAAAGTTGCGAAGGAGCCAGTACCACCTCAGCTGGAGCTTATAGCCGCAGAAATTCTTGTGCCTTTGCTTGAATTTTTCCATCAATTTGTTAAAAAGGTATTCTGCGTTTCCTGTTTGCCCTGCTTTCACACCTTATGAGCTATGCATCTCTGTGATTTTATGGTGCATGGATCAGGCTTTAGCAACCCACGACAGAGCAGATATAGAAACAGAGAAAATCCTTCTCACTGTCTGCAAATGCCTACATTTTGCTGTAAGTGATGGTTTGATATCTGTATATGGGATGAACAAGAATCTATAAATCAATTAGTTTCTGCATGCATTTCATAGATATTCAATCAGAATGGATCTAAGTCTTACAAATTTTTTAATCTTCTAATGATATGTTCCATTGACCCTCTGCCTTCTGCCTTCTGCCTTCCTTGCAATAATGCTATTATGGGATAATCTATTTATGATAAGTCCTCTTTCCTTTGTGTTATAGTTGGTTCTAGACATAACTAGTTTTTGGCCCTCACTAGTCCCATTTGACGTTCTTCAGCCATAATGCCACTGATAGTCATTATGACACCAGACAACATATGCTTCCCTTAGGCGAGTAGATTCATAAGCTGAGAGCTAATTTGTAGCTTACTCTCAGTTAAAGAACTCAATGCTGATGAACGTCAACTGTAGCTTCTGTCTTTCTTATATATATTTTACCCAGTTTATGTAATTGTTATGAGTTGCTGATGGGCCATTGGTTTGCCCTGCATAGATTGTTATTAGCTCTTGTGATTCAGTTTTCTCTGTTGTTTCATGGTACTTGACCCTTGCTGTAGCTTTTTTTTTTTTGGAGGGGTTCATCCCTGTTATATATATATTTTTAAATATTCTCTTGACTTCCTTTCCTCACCTCTATTGTACATCATTTGAAACTTTTGTAGATAAGGTCGTATATGCCTTCTACTTTAGTCCCTCTACTGCCTTCATTCACTCGTGACCTGATTAGCATTTTGGGTTCTCTGAGATTTGATTGTGTGGTTGCTTTCGAAGACGGACACTTGTCAAGACTAAAGACTGGAAAAAGAAGTCTACTTATTTTCTCTTCCCTTGTCACCCGTCACCGGAAGCATTCTGATAAGTAATATAATGCTTAACAACTTTTGTTTATTGAATGTAATTATTTTTGCTGACATACATTGAATTAGAAATGCATTGCATCCATTTTCAGGTTGATGCCAGAAATCATTAACTGTGTTCTAAGCATTGTCAATTTTAGCAAGAATATCAGTGTAAGATAAGCTCTTTGATTCCTCCTGTTATTATTGTGGCAGTAGTTATCTTGAACCTTGAACAATGGCAATGCTTCTGTGTTTCAGTTTTTTGGCTGCTAGAGCTCTGATATTATCACTCATGAAAAAAGCTTACTTGATATAATATCAACTCTCTATCGTTTGATATGTGAACCACCAGTCTCCTGCTATATCTTGATGTTACTGCTTTTCATACTTTGACAAATTTTCTGTATGATTCTGGACTTGAGTTTTCCATAATGTTTATTATTATGGTTCCCGCATTTTCGGGAATGGCTAATTTAGGCAGTTACAATTCTTTTGCAGAAACTTGACTTCATGTCAGAGAGGATTTTGTCCTTAGGATTTGATGTAATTTCACACGTACTGGAGACTGGGCCAGTAAGTTTCATCATGGTTGTTTTTATATTAGCAAGTTCTAATTTAAGATAACAAATTATAGTTATTTTGAAAAACAATTTCAATTGTTAGGACCTGCCCTTTGATGGTCTATATCTTCACTGGGACATTCACCTTTTATATGGTTCATTTACAGGGATGGCGGCTGGTTTCACCACATTTTATGTCTCTGTTACACTCTGCAATCATCCCAGCATTGGTGATGAATGAGAAGGTGAGAAATCTTCTTCCCCGCTTCTTTTGGTAAAGGAAGGTTAGAAAGCTTTAAATGAAAGGGAAATTTGCGAACTTCATTGAGATTATTGCTAGTCAGTAATAGTGTTGCTTAATGAGAAAATTTTTGAGTTTATGATGCTTTTTTTTTTTTTTTTTTTGCATAGGATGTCTCCGAGTGGGAAGAAGATGCAGATGAGTATCTTCGAAAGAACCACCCATCAGAAATTGTATGAAAAGTAATTATCTTTCTTCCACTGTTTTACATTTTTCCTAGTTATTTCTGAACCTTTTTTTTTTTTTTAAATTCAGGGTGAAGTTTCTGGATGGAGAGAGGATTTATTCACGGCCAGAAAAAGTGCAATGAACTTACTTGGAGTTATTTCAATGTCAAAGGTCACCACTGATGAAAGTTCATTGGACTATGCCATTTTGCTAATACCATAGCTCATATTGTCATTAATTCTTACAGGGGCCTCCATTAGCAGCTTCCAGTGAGTGTTCATCAGCTTCAACAAAACGTAAAAAGGGTGAAAAGAACAAGAGAAGCAGTCATCTCCGCACCATGGGTGAATTATTGGTGCTTCCATTTTTGTCTAAATTTCCCATTCCTTCCAATTCCAATTGGTCTCGAGACAGCATCCTGAATGAGTGAGTTTCTGTAAATGGCTCATGTGTTTTATACATTAGATGATTGATTTTGCTTCCCCCTCCCCCAAATATATACTTTCAATAGCCCAAGTGTTGTTTGTATCAAATCTCATTATTGCTATGGCATGAACCGTGGCAGTTACTTTGGCGTTCTGATGGCATATGGTGGCTTACAGGATGTAAGGATATCTTACCATTTTTTCACCCAACGGCCAGTTTCTGGATTTGGATTCACAATAGAAAATTGAACTTCTCCTTTTGCTTACACAGTTTCTGAGGGAGCAAGAACCTCATTATATAATAAGTCTGGTTCAAACACGGATTCTACCATTGTATACTTTGGCCGTGTGCCTACCATATTTGGTTGCAAGTGCAAACTGGGTACTTGGAGAACTAGGTTCCTGTCTACCAGAAGTAAGACAGTACTATCATAAGCTTTTACAAATATATTGCAGCTTTATGCTTTCTTGTGACTGTTATGTTGTAATAATTTTCAACACACTTTGGATAAACCCTACTTAGTTTCTATGTTATTTCAGGAGATGAGTGCTGATGTATATTCTCAATTGCTCAAGGCATTGGTGATGCCAAATAAGCAGGACCTATCTTGCTATCCTGTGCGGGTTTCTGCAGCAGGGGCAATTATGACACTCATTGATGTGATTTTCTAGATCCATGTTTCATTTTGGGCTCTGTGTGTGTAGTATTGTTCTTATTTGTCACACACCTATCTCTTCTTTTCAGAATGACTACATGCCACCCGATTGGCTACCTCTTCTCCAAGTAGTAATTGGCAATATTGGAAATGACGATAGCGAGAGCTCCATCCTATATCAGCTTCTTTGTTCTGTGATAGAAGCTGGGGATGAGAAAATTGCAATTCATATCCCATTTCTTGTCTCGTCTCTAGTTGGTTCAGTCTCAAAATGCATAATCCCCAATCTGGAGCCATGGCCTCAGGTATTTACTGGTCATTATTTTTTTGTTGTTGCTTAATAATCACTTCATTATAACCGACTCAGTAAATTGAGAGCAGGGTATTAAAAATTCAAAGTTAATGGTAATGATTACCATGTTTAATCTGAGTATCTCTCCACAATAGGTGGTAGCACATGCGTTTGCGGCTCTGGCAGTGATGGCTAAGACTTGGGAAAGCTTTAAGTCTGAAGAGTTAAAATCAGAATCAAGCATCTCTCCAGAAAAATGGGCTTCTGGTCAGGCTGCAATTTGTAGAGCCTTTGCTGAACTCTTGCAGCAGGCTTGGCTTGCACCTCTATTCACAGTGGTTAGTTTAAGGTTCCTTCCAAGATTGGATTTGGCTTTTATTTTTCTGGGTTAATGCTCCAAACCTGAAATGACTGTTGATATCACTTAATGTTGCATGTTCATGAAAATCGTTAAATATTTTCATACAAGCCTTACAAGGTTCTCTCATGCGCTGCCGGATGCACTATCTCAAATGCAGAGTTTTTATAATTTTGTATGTGATATATTGTAAATTGATAATTGTTTGAGGTAGGCTTTATTGATGATGTCATCACAAATATGTTTCTGATGGATCATCTTTTAATAGAGAGCATCCTAGCCAGATGGTTTTTCTGTTGTCATATTCTTAGTGCTGACTTTTGTCTTAACAGTTTGATGGAAAGATGATGTATCAATCTCCAGGTATAAGCGGATTGGCAAAAGCATTGTGGCAATTATTTGGCCGAATCCTGTACAAACTCTATTATGTGTTAGTATAATGTACTAGGGTTGTTAGGCCCGGGCCCGGGCCCAGGCCCAGGCCCATAATGTCTCCATGCATTTGTATCAGAGCAGGCAAACTTTAGTTCAGTTCGCTGACTTTACATTGAGCTCATGCGCACTACATGAGACTGAATAAGACTGATCGAGTTTCTCTAAGTCAATGTATTGACATTATGTAGCTAAAATGTTAAGCTCTCAGGATACAAGTAACCTTTCTTCCCCCTCTTTATCTCAACAGCTACTTGGAGGTCTGCGTTATGTATTCTTTCGGGCTGTTGATTGTTATCAGTTGGTTGTTTTTAGGTCGTGCCATTCTGAATGAAAATTAGCCATATCATGTATTGTCAATTATTTTATATTATGATGAATTAATACATTTTGACATGAAATAAGGTGTGGAAGGATGAATATCTTTTTTTGGCCCTACCAAGGTTTCATCTCTTCAAAAATGATCCTTGTCTAATATGTGACTATCTTTTTTGTCCCAGTAGTATTTGATATATATTGAATTTAGTTTTGCTGGTTAGATTCTCTATTGTTGTCCAATAATGGAAAATTTTCCTTAATCCAATCCTTCGCATCATATTTTAACATTCTTAATCTTTCATTAAAATATGTCATATTGTGCTTGAATCTGAAAAGGATCAACAAGGGCAACGTTCTACCCCTTTATCATGCATAGAAGATCTGTCAACATTGCTCCGATTTGTTATGCTATCTATTACTGAAGATCATATGATCCAAGAACTTAAAGTAATGGAGTTGCTATCAGTTTGGGCTGATATGGTTGCAGAATGGAATGCTTGGGAAGAATCAGAGGATTTATCGATATTTGACTGCGTTAAGGAAGTTGTAAATCTAGATCAGAAGTATGGGCTGAAAAACTTTCTTGTGAAACATGTGCCATCCCCTCCAGCTCCTCCTGTGCCTGAACGTTCAGTTATAGAGAGCATTTCCGCTTTCATTAGTGAGGCTATTTTGCAATATCCATCTGCAACATGGAGAGCTTGCTCTTGCGTTCATTTACTATTACATTGTCCAACCTTCACACTTGAAACTGAAAGCATAAAGCAGTCATTGGCTGTTGTTTTTAGTCAGGCGGCCTTCACTCGTTTTAGAGAAGTTCAAAGCAAGCGATGCTCACTGTGGAAACCCTTATTGCTTTCAATTTCCTCATGCTACTTGTGTTATCCTGATACTGTGGAGGGTGTTCTGGAGAAGGGTGAAGAGGGAGGCGTCGCAATTTGGGCATCTGCTTTGTGTCATGTATCCAGGAGCTCTTCTGAGGCCTGTCTGACTGCGGAATCTGATATGAAGTTAATAGGTAAAGTAGTTTGCTTTCAGACTTTATTTTGATCTATTTGTTTGCTATAACTGAGCGGTCTCATAAAATGTCCAATGACTCCGTTGCATTGCTTCTGATTGTAGTTTTTGCTCCTTCATCCTGCCTAAGTCGTTCTATATGAAAGTTTAGCAGGGAGCAAAGAAAAAGTATCACTTGTTGGATAAGCTGTACTTGAAACAGAAGGCATGGCAATAACAGAACGAAGTAACAAATACCTGAGAAGACTTATAAATGTTAAAGAATTGGTCCGTCTGTCTGCTTATTCTTTTATAATGAATCCATTGAAAAACAATGCATAGAACACATCGACGAGAAGCAACACACGCAATTCTATCCCCTAACTTATGTAAGGGCAAAGATATGGCCTCAAAGAAATTTAATAGTAATTAGCTCTACTGTGAACTCATGTTTAATAGTAAACATAATGGAATGGTCTAATCTATTTGCATCTACTATGTGGTTTTTCTTTTTGGGAATTCTGAAATGAGGATGCTGCTGAATTATTCTGATCATTATTTATATTGCTGGTGAATTTAGTGATGACGCTGGCCAAGTTGATCGAGCAACTTTTGAGACAAGGGAACTCAGGCGCTGTTTCTATGCAGGACTGCTTCATTGCACTGTTGGATTTGTCTATGCGATTGAAGGAAGTGCAGCAGGAAGGGAAAGGAGAGGAAGAAGAACCTGAAGAATCTGAAAATGACGAGGATGATGAGGACAGTGACGGTGACTTTGAAGATGAAGATGATGAGGTTGGCTTTTCTAGTTTCTTCATTATCTCACATCTTTTAGAAGTATTGTCTATAGCACATCAGGATATTCTGAGGTTAGGGCCTTCTACCGTTCTACCAGGGCCTCCTACTTAGTGTATAGTTCTGGTGAAACTTGAAAGGAAACTAGAAAAGCAATGGACAAGGCGTGGTCTCAAGCTTTTGAGGAGTTCTGATAGGAAGTAGGGACAAAGAATGGTGAATAAGGAAAGGAAACCAAGAGATTTGGGCCAGTCAGATGTATTGAAGGGGGGAAAGTTTTATTACAAATGAAGATACTTGAGAAAGATGGGAGTGCTACTTCTATAAGCTTTTCAATGATGGATTAGGCCATGTCCAGTGTTTGTTTTCTTATTTACTCTTTCTTTCTTCTTGCTTGCTTTAGGACTCCGAGGCTGAGGAATATGAAGAAACAGAAGAAGAATTTCTTAATAGGTATGCTAAAGCTGCTGAGGAATTGGAAAATGGTTCAATCATTGAAGAGGGAGATGTGGAAGATCAAGAACCGGAGACGGAATTAGGTAGGGCTTTAATATGTACAGGAATATATTTTTATTTGTTTTTAGCATCATCATAATTAACTTGAATTCATTAATTGAATCAAAATATTCCCAGTAAAAAAAATTAATAAATATGATGTATGCTTAAAAATTGCTTTCAGAAAGTGATGAAGTCGACTAAATTACTTGTTATGTACTTATGTTTGGGATTATATGTTCACGACTTTTATGGGGAAAAAAACACGTTTTAAACCATCTGCCCGCTTTTTTGGTGGACATGCAGGTCGCTTGATAGACATTGACGAGCAAAAAGTTGTGTTGTCCTTGATAGACAAATATTCTCGTGTGCTCATAAACGGACGAGTTCTATCCTCGCATGTTGTGGTGAATTTTCTGAATGCTTTTCCTGAGCATGGTTCGTATTTCCAGCAATTCAGATAAGAGTGTTGAGATTTCAAATTTTCAATGGTGTTCGTTCATGAGAAATTTCATTTGGAAAACCGCTATTTAAAAATGTGTGTAAATCGAAAGAAAACATTTTTGTTTTTCAGAATTGAATTACAATTAGTTTCAGGCATTTTCACTTGTATCAGATATTGATCTTAATATTTTGGGTTGCGATGTTATTTATGGTTGATAGATTTGAGACATCATATTGTGAGAAGTGTAAATAAATGTGTTTTGTGTATCAAAAGCCTTTTTTAATACAATTGCTTAAAAATAGCTTAAAGAGATGTTTTGCTTTTAGATGCCTCCACACTTCCAGCCATGACGCGAGTCTTAGGGATTGTTTGGCTTAATGAGAGGAAGGGAAGGGAATAGATTTTAATGGAGGGAAGGGAAGGGAGGAGAGTGGAAGGATTTTAATATTATCTTGTTTGGATTTACAAAAAAAGAGGAGAGGGAGGAATTTTAATATTACCTTGTTTAGTTCATGAGAGGAGGGGAGGGAAAAATATTTTAACATAGGTAATTTTGTTTTATTTTATTTAAGATATGGGTATAATGGTCATAATATGACAAAATATGTGTATAATAGTCATAATATGACAAAATATTGCCTTTTCTTCTAAATCTTCTCAATTTTGGAGGGGAGGTTGAGGAGGGAAAATTTTTTTTCCTTCCCTCCTAAAATTTGTGTTGCCAAACAAAAAGAAATGATTAAAATATTTCTCCCTCTTTTTCTTCCTTTCCAAATCTCTCGTCCCAAACACATTTTTTACTTAATCGCATTTCATCTTGCATAGCTACATACATTGTGTATGCTGCTAGCTTTTCTTCTTCTTCTTTTTTCCCGCCAACTGTAAGGCGCTAGCTGTTCACTGGTAATTTCTCTTCTGTCATACCGAATATGCGATTGTTACATTTCAGTCTTTTTTCCCTAGAACAATTCAAAAGCAATTTCTAAGGAAAATCGGAAAGACTTGTGTTTTATGAATTATTGCACCTTGAAAATTTTTTGCCACGTGTTTAATTGCTTAAAGTAGTACAATAATTAGGTGACATTGACTAGGGGGTGCTTAGATTAACTTTTTGAAAGTGACTTTACAAATCCTGAGATAAGAATGTAAAAAGAGTTTTATCTCAATTTGTGTGAAAGTATTTTATTTAAATGTTTCTTGGTTTCAAATACTTCCTAAATCAACTTCCCACAATATACGGTTTTTTATGGCTTGTTTAATTTGTTCCCATTTTTTATTTTTAAAAACTATTTTGTAACCTAATTTTTAGAAATTATTTTTCAAAATATAACAGAAGGAAAAATTATTAATTAATGGATTGAATGACCCTCCTAAACCCTGAAAAGAAAACCAACTTTTGGAAGAATCGGTCCCATCTGAATTAATTGTAGCAAAATATTGATGGGTTAAGGGACCTAATGCAGTGGATTATGAGTTACCGACACTAATTAGAATAGATGTGCGCAGATACGTCCTGATTGGTCACTATGGAATGTTGAGGGTTTTGAGTTCAAATGATTCTATAAAATGATGCAGAAGGAAAGCATTTGTACTGTTTTCTCCTAAAAAAATTAGATTGACGCCATCGGATGAGGAACAGAAATAAAACAGACAGTGCTGTTGAGCGAATCATAATACACAATATGTGCAATGATGACAGAATGAATACACAATACAATTGCTTAAATCCTAGAACCCGATCTTGTAACATTTTCAGTCCAAGTTTCTACTAGGGCTTTTCTCTCTCTCCTTTTTGAACAATAATAAAGCATGTCAAAATCCGGCCGGCTGTCCCTTGAACGTCAAAATCCAACTAATTGGCCTTTTGATAACTCTACCAGCACACGATCCCGAATGCCACAAATTTCCTCCTGAAATGTGATAACTCTAGATCATTGTAAATTTCTCAAAATTAACACATTTTTAATAATAGAAGAAATGCACAAATTACATGAAGCCCAGGATGATCTGCACGAAACTCAATACGAACAGCAATGCTTACAGCTTGTCATCAATGCAAGTACTTTTTTTTAAGGGAAAATTGCAACAAAATCCCACATAAAAGAATTAAATTAAAAAAAGTCTTTTGAAATCATCAAATTATTCTAAAATCCCAAGAGACCTCGTTGCAAGAGAATTCATTTGTTTAATTACCAAATTGTTCTTTTTTTTTTTTTAAGTTTGTATTGACAATTAAAAGAGCGATCGCTGACAACTTAAAATGTAAGGATTAATAACTCCTGCATTACATTTTGTGATATATTGAGAAATGTTATGTTGCCAATATCTGCCGTATTTTTTGCAATGAAGTCTCTTGAAACTTAAAAACAATTTGATAATTTCAAAGGACATTTTTGTATTTAATTCTCTTGGATGGAACCTTATTGCAATTTTCCCTTTTTTTTCAAAACCAACATGCAATTCATTGTACTTTTATATGTTATATAGATTTATTAACAGTGTTCATGTTGGCTTACCGTAGAAAAAGGTACGATTGCCCCACACATAATAATGGAGGCCATATATGTCAGTACGAACACACCGCAATCATGGCTGCAGAATGGAGAGACAATTTCATAAAAACAAGATAAAGCAATAAATAACAACACTAATAGTCGACTTAGTAGTAAAAGACAATATGAAACTTGCCTCAATCAACATTGTAGTCAATCAGTGAGTGTGTGAGCGTGTGCGCGCAAAATCAAAATATGACAATACCCATTCACTTGCTGGGAAATATCCTTTGGATAAATAAAATCCCATGCTTGAACTTTAAGTTATCAACGCCTGTTTTTTTTAATTGTCAACGACAATTGAATAAAACAAAAAAGGGTAATTTGGTAATTAAACAAATAAATTTTTTGCAATGAAGTCTCTTGAAACTTAAAACAATTTTGATAATTTCAAAGAACATTTTTGTATTTAATTCTCTTGGATGGAACCTTATTCATTTTCCCTTTTTTTTTCAAAACCAACATGCAATTCATTGTACTTTTATATGTTATATAGATTTATTAACAGTGTTCATGTTGGCTTACGTAGAAAAAGGTACGATTGCCCCACACATAATAATGGAGGCCATATATGTCAGTACGAACACACCGCAATCATGGCTGCAGAATGGAGAGACAATTTCATAAAAACAAGATAAGCAATAAATAACAACACTAATAGTCGGCTTAGTAGTAAAAGACAATATGAAACTTGCCTCAATCAACATTGTAGTCAATCAGTGAGTGTGTGAGCGTGTGCGCGCAAAATCAAAATATGACAATACCCATTCACTTGCTGGGGAATATCCTTTGGATAAATAAAATCCCATGAGTGGGAATCCTCATAACCAAGTACAGTGGCACAAATCCACCGCAGCCAATTTCCCTGGGTAAATTAGATCCAATTCAACACATGATTTGGAAAGTTGTAAACCAAAAAGTATCATATCAAGTATATCATAGTTTCAGTGAGGACTCTTACCACTTTCACTACATCTTTTTTGTGCCTCCCGCTATTCATGGAATCATAAACAACCACTTTTCGCTTAAGACAATCAGCAACAGCCAATATGTAATGGTGGTTTATCACACACGGAAAAAATAACTGCCACACCAATTCCACAAACTGAGATGCCAATAGATAGAATGTGTGTGTGTTATATATGAATAAAAAATGAAACAAAATAATCATCGAACTATACACATTAAATACTTCATTTACATGACGACCAATGACAAACCTACTCGATTGTGGTGACCCTTCATCAATTTTTTCACCCAACAGAGGTCATCTCTATTGTTCAACCTTGCCAAAGCTATAACCTGTAATCCATGGAACTATTTTGATCACCGTTTCCTATTATTAACATAGTAACAAGGGTTTAAGAAACAATACCCCAGCATAAGGAGAGATAAGAAAATCAGTGTAGTCCTTATCAGGATAGCAGCAAGCCCATTTCATCAGTATTTCTCCATAACAATGAACAACCTGGGTACAAAGCTCAGAAAAGATTATGAGACTAATTTGCCCCCAAGTTAAAAAGTTTTTCATCATAATAGTCGCTTTCCATAACATGATAACCATACTTATATGAATAAAGAACAAGTTACCACGAACATTATTGTTGAGCCATAATTTATGCAAATTCCGATGACCTTTGTAAACAAGGCATTGAATATCCATGGCCAACAAACCAGAGTCTTCCATTGAAGTGTCACCAAATCTGCAATGTCATAAAAATAAGTGTGGGTTACAAATGACATCAAATGGACAAATGGTAACAGAAATTCATACCTTATATTATCTCCTTCGGTCGTACCAAATGAATGACATCTCCACCTTTCCACCATGTCAGACTCCTCTTGATTTAATCTATATGTGATGTGTCTTCGAACATCCTTTCATTCAAAACGATAAAAACTTAACATGCAAGTAACAAGTTCTTTGGCCACAAGTTGTCCTCAATGCAAACCTTTGAAATAAACCTAGTAATTGAGATTACCTCAACATCCAATGGCGGAGTCAATGTTTGGGTCTGATCTGATTTTTCCTGTGCGTGTCTTGATCTTAAATTGAACCATCTTGAAGGTTGAAACGGAGATTTTTTAATATGGCTAGACCTAGAACTAGAAGCAAGTCGTCTTGACTTGTTCCTTCGAACATACACGCTTTGTGGTGCTTTCATCTTGTTTGACTCAGCCATAACAGTGGAAACAAAAGACGTACTAACCTTATCAACTCTACGGCATCTATTTTCCCCCCACCTTCAGTTTCTAATTGAGCCTTCATATGTGCCAAGCTAATGAATTCTTTCGTTAGTTCCTCTATCTTACCACACTTCTCCTTGATTATCCTATCATGATGAACAATGCCGCAATTAACATTCTCAGCAGCAGTTCCCATCTGAGAATTGCCAACAAAATCAGTTCTGGTCAATCTAGTATCAGTTTTATAGCTAATGACATTTTTGTAAGAAGGCACACTTTTTTATCATGTTTGGATAATAGATTAAAAAAAAAAAAGGAATATAAGTAATGAGAATAAATTATGAATATAATGCAAATTTAAATAATATAAGTAATGAGACGGATATAAGTTCAACATATATTCCAAACCAAAATTGACCAGTATAACTAATCGGCCGAGGTGCTCCAGAAAAAGGGAAAAGGAGGGCGGTGGGATTTGCATTCGCTCCCTTCAACTTAGAGACATTTGCAAACACCTTACCAACTATTAGCCAACCAGTTTAGAAGCATCTATTTTTCCATTTACCACGTTACCAGGGGTGTGTTGTGCTATTTCAAGTTTCGCCATCTGTTGTTTCAAGAGGGCCCCGTGACAAAGAAGAGAGTCTAAGGGAGCATCTCTATTAGCAGGGAAATTAACATATCCTGACGAACGACAGCTGAAATAGGGTAATTTTCAGTTTTTCTTAAGTTACCAGGTGTTTGCAAAGACTCGAGATTGAGACATTACTTCTTAATTTTTTACCAATTAAAAAATATTAGTTATCCCCGATAAGCCGGCAACTACCACCAAGTCCAGAACTAATTATGCAGCTTCTCACTGAGAGCTCAAGTATATCCGACAAACTTCTACCACACACCAGCTGAATTAAGCCATCGGATAAAGCAAAAGGACGGCTAAAAAGGAAGTGGACGCGGAAGAAACAAAATGCCTAGAGAGGAGAAGATAAAGAGGGGTCCGGCGAAACAAACCTTCTAGGTCTCAGTGATAAAAGGGAGAGGAAAGTACGAAATTTTGACGAGAAAGAAAATCATACCTAGGGTCCTTCGACTTGGAAGCTTGAAGAACCTCGGCCAGCAGAGAAAAGAAGAATCAAACCCTACGCTCGACGTGATCTCTCATTCTCTCTCGTTTCGAAGCTATTAATGGTGGGAGTCAGGGACGGTGGTTGGAATTTGGCGGGGCCTTGCATTTGAATCAGGACCTCCCAATCAAATACCAGCCACCTGCTAGCAGCGCCAATTGCTGTTCTTCCCCGCGCCGGGTCCCGTAGAGGTGAAGGAACGCTGGAATTTGCACGCCTAATTATAATTTTTAAAAAAAACTTAAATTTAGTTTCTATGATGAATTTCTCTCCGTTCCTTTTCAATAAATAACTTTGGATTTCATCGTGTATATCAAAAAATTAGTTAAAAATAATAAATAAGTAAAAATCAGAAGTTATTTTTCTAAAATATTTTTATTTATGAGGGAGAGGGAGAGAGTATAAGAAAGAGAATAAGAAAATTATTACTCCCTCTGATCTTATATATAAGCTTCAAATAACCGAATCATGTTTAATGAATTAAAATTAGTTTAAAATAATAAATAGGTCATAAATATATTTTTATTTTTTAAATTTGCCTTTATTTATTAGGAGAGTAAATAAGAGATGCAATAAATAAATAAAAATGATTAAGAGAATATATAGAGGTAACATTAATGAGAGAGAGGGAGTATTAAATATAGTCAACTAAAAGCAAAATATAGAGGAAAAAAAGTAATAAATACTCAGACAAACTTAAAGATAAAGCTTATATTTTGAACCAGACCCTTCTTCAAAAATGAAGCTTATATATAGGATAAGAGTGAGAATAATAAATAAAATTATAAAGAAAGAGAATATAGATGAAGAAGATGATATTTTGAAAAATGAGAAAATAAATTTATTGGTATTAAAATAAGTAATTAATGGTGACAAAATAAGAAATTTGCTACAAAATTTTAAGAGAACTTGCAAATATTATTTATATTTAGGGACAAAAAAGAGAGAGAAAAAGGCACACAAATGACACTTAAGCTTGGAAATCCAAAATAGTCACTTAAATAAGTAAAATCCCAAATTAGGCCTAAGTGACCAATTGGAATTTGCAAATTTGTTAAAATGACTATATTGTTTTTTATTTTTTTTATTGTTTTTAAAAAAAACCAAATACCCTCATTGCCCGGCAAATCACTAGAGCTTTGGTACCAGCCAGGGTGGCAGCTGGAGCTTAGATGTCCACTGTCACCAGAGGTTTGGCGGCCGGCAAACAATCGGGAGCTGGAGTTTTGGCAGCAGCAACTATTTTTTTGAAAATTTTTTAACTTTAGTAACATAATTAACAAGTTTTATAATACTATTAATAAGTTTTATAGTAATTAACATGTTTTTTAGAAAATTCAAAAAAATAGTATTTTACAACTTCGGTAATGTTGATAATAAGTTCCATAACTCTATTAACAAATTTGATATAATATTTAATAACAGGTTTTTTAAAAAATTCAAAAAGTGACATTTATAAAATTTCAGTAATATAGTTAACAAGTCATATAATGGTATAAACAACCCACATAACCATAATGGCTGCGTAATAAGTAGAAAAATTTTGTTGTACAACCTTTATGATTGTTGAATTAAACTTGTTAATAGTGTTACCAAACTTGTTAACCGTGTTACTGAAATTGTAAAATTTTTTTAAAAAATAGTTATCGACCGCGGCTAGTGATGGTATTTGGTTTTTTAAAAAAAAAAAAAAAAGGTAATATGATTATTTCAGCTAATTTGTAAATTCCATATTGGTTACTTATGCCTAAATTGGGATTTTACTTGTTCAAGTAACCATTTTGGGATTTTTCAAATTTAAATGTCATTTTTCCATAAAGAGATAATAGTTTTTGCTTGTTAAAAAGGACGGAAGAATACATATGTAAAATATTAAAGTTATTAAGGGTCAAGGTGCATCTAGTACCCTAGATTGTTTGGGAGAACGTCTAGCATCATGAAATATTTTTTTCATATATCTAGCATTTTAAAATATTTTTTTAAGGTGTGTCTAACACCCAAAAAATTTTTTTTGATGCATCAACAACAAAACAAAAAAAACAAAAAACTTATGTCCCGAAAAAATATTTCGAGTTGTTGGGATATGCTTAACTCTATTTTAAAATAATAAAAATCACCCCTTTTAACCTTAAAAAGACCAATAACTTATAATCCTATAATCCTGCTTGATCTCTATCAAAAACACAGTAATTGAATACTTCAACAACCATTATTCAATTAGACCTAATTCATTTCAATAAAAAGCTAATACTACTATTAATATTAACAAATTCCAATTTGATTTCACCATATGGATTGACTAATTCATTGAGATTATCAGACAAATGGGCATGTGGGTTCTATGCATGAGGTATAAGGTATGCATCTTGTATAAAAAGCAACCAAAATCTGTTATATCAAGTGGCATGCAAATTAGCAGCCGTAAAAACTATGAAGTGCATTCATATGCAGAGAGCTCTCCCACTGTCTCGGGCTCACCATCTCTTAAGCAACTGATTGGAGGGATAGTCAAAGTCTCCTGCGTGCCATAAGCATTCCAGCAATAAGGGTCGTCCACAAGTTCCCCTTCGTGTGGGAAAAGCTCAACTTCTGAGAGGGTTATGTTAGTGCAGGCCACAGTGTCGCTGCAGGCAAAGTGTATGGGAGGGGTTCTCACATCGTAAGTGCCCTTTATGTTCCTGAACGACACATCTTTTACATGCACGGCTGAAGTCTGGTTGAGACATTCCTTTGATAAGCAGTAGTACTGGTCTATTATGATGCAGTTCCTCACGTTTTCCATTTGGATGTTCTCAAATTTTAAATCTGACACAGACCCCGTCCCACCCTGCCATGTCTTGATCCTCAGCCCGTTGTCTGATTCTTTTATGATGACGTTACGAACTGTTAAATTTGACACGCATGCCTGTGAATTGTGTACCCCAAGGCTCCCAATGCTGCAGGAAAAAAAAATCAGCAAGCTTGGTCAGGCGTTCTCAGGATAGCGATTCACAGTGAAATAAAATTTGACTTCACGTCAAAATTGTAGGCCAAATATGAAATTTTTGTGGTGTTTTTGTTCGGCATTTTAAATCACTGCAGCTACAAGAGCAAAGAAGATCTAAAATTAATGTCCAAGTATTGTGTTTCCTGGTGCAACTATTGATGGCTTCTTATCATGCTTTTAATCATGCTGCTGATAATATCTACAAGTGTCAGTGATTGCGACAATAATATATGAGAAACTGTCTGTGAAATGATAGTTACTTTGAACCATTTGAAAAAGTTTAAAAGCTGAAACTTTATCATAGATTTTGCCTTTTATTCAAGTTAATTTTCTTCCCCTCTCTTTTCAAAGCCATCTAAAAGTTGAATCCCAAGCCCAACTTTTCCATCCAACAGTAATTACTAACTAGAGACATGATACTGCAGTCAAAGTACATCATGATATCGGAAGAGGACAGCCGATATTCAAGTTAGGAGGAGATATATATACCTGATACCGTGGCTAGGACCACAAGTTACACCCTCTATGTCCACATTCGAGCATCCGGGTCCAATTGAAATGCAATCATCACCTGCTCAGATCATAGACATTGTTGTTCTCAATTATACAACTTCTAAGTCTAACAGACATAATGTTATAAGACGCGCAAGTCCTTAGCCTTTACCGTTGCTTATAATCGAGTTGTATATCCCAACGGACCTGCTGTTCCCGATGTGAATTCCATCAGTATTTGGGCTGAGTTTCGGCGAAGAAATGGACAGCTTGTTTACCAGTACTCCTTCGCAGCCATCGACCTTCATATGAAACTCAGGACTGTTCTGAATTCTGAGCCCACTCACCTCCAGATTTGAGCTCATGTAGAACTGTATCATCTACAAACGAGCTGAGAATCAATAACTAACAAACAAGCGTGTATAATAATATAACCTTGAATAGAATTTTGACTTGTTTACTTACTGTAGGGCTATTACATGGTCCTTTCGCCTTTTCTCCATCGGGACTCTGAAAATGAAATGCCGTTTCATTTACAATAGGAATTAGTTCCTTCAACACCAAATAGTTTCAGCAAGATGAGGTGAGATTAATAATGGGTCAAATCAAAGCATTTATGAATGGTTAAACCAGTTACCCTGTGAGGTTTGCAGGGGAGATCCCACCATTGTTCCCCATTGCCTTCTATAGTTCCAGTGCCATTCAAAGTCATTTGGCCAAGTCTGTAAAACACAAGCCAGTGATTGCGGCTATCTGCTTCTGGCCAGGAGTTTGGTCCATCTGGTGGCATGAGAGTACCATCCACCTGTTAACAATCGACCTTTCGACAATGAACTACACGGAAGGATAGAGTCTAATTCCATGTGAAAGTAGGCAATTCAACAAGCATAATTACTTGGAATACTAGCCCAGGCTTGCACGGGCCTGAAAACATAGTTGAAGTGATTTTAAAACTGTAATCGGCGGGAGCTAAGATGACTCCTGACTCCACTGCACAAGCTGCTTTCCATGCTGCTCTAAATGCCCGTGTGTCGTCAGCTGAACCATCTCCAACTGCCCCGAAGGATCTTACGTCGAAAATACCGTCTGAAGTGGAATCTCCAGGATCATTTGGGTATGGATCAGAAGGAACAGTAGGAGAATTTGAAGGAGGTGAAAGCTCTTCTGGCTCAGAAATATGAGAAACTTCCTTCTGCTTCCTGTGGTGGTGGTGTCTTCCTTCAACATTTCCCAAATAATCATGGAAGGAAAGCATCACAGCAATGCACAAGAATATAAAGCCACGAATGAGATCCATAAGGAGCCGAGTGTGTAAATTTTGTCACTGAACGGCTGAACCAACGACTGTATCAATATGGAACCACAAAAAATGCTCCTAAGGTCGTCTTTGTGCACGAACGAAAACTCCAGCTTCAGAAGGTTTTGCGTCAACTACAGACGACGGAGTTCCACTAAGGGAGAAGAATGACAAAGGCTTTAAAACAAATAAGCATTGCAATGACACTTACCAATCAGGCATTCTTATTTATATCCAGATCATATATAAATGGCTCAGAATCATTTCTCAAGCATAATGTTGACACGTGTCAGGTCCTAGTTAAAGAGTTTTTTTATGTCCTGTTAGAAAATACTTAGGTGAACGCAAATCCATTTTCATATTCCTAAACAATATGAGCCTATAATATCCACTGGCTAAACTCCTTGCAGTCGAGGATTATCAATTGATTCATTTACTTTAATGAATTTATATTTATAATTACGTGACACTTTATATGTATTAAATATTTTTTGGACGTTAATGTTTTGAAGTTGACTGTGGCAGGGTCTCTTTGTTCTTCAAGGGCATTTTCCTGATAAGCTTATTTCTTCAATCCAAACTGTTCAATGTATTGTGGTCCACCATATCTCATCTCACTATCTCATAGACTTATCTCACCATCTTCACGCCGTCTCAATATATTCTCTCTTCTGTGTTTGTGTGAACATTCAGAAAGAGCACTCTGAACAATTTTCAGCTGGGAGAATTACAATCAAGTTTTATAAAAGAGAAATAATTACAAAAAAGTCTCAATAACAACCTCAACAGCCTATAATGAGTGAGAATGACAACCTCTGGAACTTGTTTTTTAATTGTTTTTCTTGCTTAGAATCTCATTGTAATTCTCCCTTTCAGCTGTTCAGCTACTGTGAGGCTCCAGTTTCCAAATTATCACGCTGAAACCACGGTGCTTACTTTCATTGTCATTTTCTTCATCTTTTGGGGCCAAATTGTCCTTTTCATTTTTCAGTTCATTTCTATATATTCTAAAAGCATGCTGTTGCGGAAAAAAATTATTGTGAACGTCGAGTCACTATTGACATTATGACACTTCTGGGAGCTTGCAATTGCATCCCATGAATTAATTGAAGATGACTTGCCTATCGCTTACTTGCATATTAACTGGTGTCTTTTGATTAACTACTGAAAAGAGTTGGTTCCTATGGATACTTTTAAAAAAATAAAAATGAAATTGAAGACAGTCTTGAACTGAGACGAATTATATATGCATTCCACAAACCCAAAAAAAAAAAAACAAAAAAAGGAATCAGCGGCCACATATTTATTTTTCCAATAATGAAGAAAACGATCAGTTCAAAATTGTCGGCCATATATAGCTTCTCTTCGTCCAATCAACTGATGACATCTAGCTAGGTGGTTCACCTGAGAAAGACTAACCAACAAATGAAGCTTCTGAAAAATCATTATGTTAATATAGTATTACATATATGTGCCCTTGCACCTGTGAGCTGGAACTAGATCTGCAAATTATCGCATGGTGGCGGGAAAGAAATCACTAAACTCAAGTGGCCGTGGACAGATATACTATACAGAATACTTCATATTTATTCACAACATTAATCGGGGACGGACGAGCCTCGTACACAGAAAACGACAACTTTTCAATGAGGTGGATCACAAGTCACAAACAACTTCATGTGTGTGTGTGTGTTAAGCAACAATTAACTCTCGCTCGTACAGATATTTTAATTAGTTTTACATAGTCATTAGAATATTCTTGATTGGAGGTCAATTCATGAATCACGTATGGAGGCATTCGATGAATCACTACTACTCCTACTAATATATTATTTTTTCCGATTCATTCCCGATCTCTCGCTCATCGCAAGCCACAGGCGCAGTAGACGTAACCCACGCACACACAGGGGGAGAGAGAATTATCATTCATAAATAGTTTTGGCAATGTGGGGCTATGGGAGAGGAATATAAAATAGAGGTGTCAATTTTGGTGAATGTGGTCTTGATGCAAAAACAATCCATCTCGTGACTCTTTCTTGTTGTTTAGCTCTCTGTGGCCATCAAAGCAGCGAGCGCATATTAAGAGCGGGACAACTGAATAACAGCACATTCACGGGCGGAATCTTGCTAAACTGTTCCATTAAATGCAAACATAAAGAAAATGCTTGAGAGAGACCCTCTTGCATGCTTGTGCATGATATTATTTAATTCTCCGCCCCCTACCACGAAAATAAACCCATCACTTCTGCATTATTGTACGTGACCATTCAACCGAATCAAGAAGTTGAAAAGCCCTCAGCATCTAGTTCTCTTACCATGCAACCTGCAAGTTGAAGGCAATGAAAGTTACTTGCACTGTGTGACTTTAACTATCTTTATCTGAGCAAATTTTGGTGCAAAGATAATTTCACAGGGCCGTAAGAAGGCTTTTATATATAGAGGGTGCCTTTTAATTTGGCATAGAAAATTGAAATCGTTCGGTAAGCATGCAAGTGGTCCCAACCGGTCGCCTGTGTATTCTCAAGGTCGAGAGTTTTAAGCAATCGCAATCGTAAACTAAGAAAAGTCTGTGATTTCGACTTTTCGAAGGATTCTGCTGATCAGTTAAAAAGAGATATATAGTTTTCTTTTCATTAGCGCCCATGTTGCGCCTGATTCATCATTTACACAATTGGCTCCTGGAATTTAGAAAACTCTGTGATCTTTCTGCAGGTTGATATTGACCATGTTTAAGCAAATGCAATCGAGTGTGTTAAGTTTCTTGCCAACTAAGCATTCATGTTGGATTTGGGATTTCATTTCTCGTAGCGTAGCATCGATTGGCGGCCTTATTAATGGATTATCGCCAAAAGTTTTCCTAGACCCACTTTGTCTTTTAAGGCTCTTTAGCCTTCTCTTTCCACTTCCCACACAGAGAGAGAAAGAGAGAGGGGGGAGATTCTGTTGCACTTTTTTATGTCCTTGTGGTAGGATGCGATGGCAACACTTGTGGTTTTCAATCGGGACACGTGGCATGTGCTACGTGCACGCCTATCACGCGCGAAGTTACTGGTTTATTGCTTCACGAGTCGGTCCGGAAACACAAAAAGTGTATTGCAGTTCCAAGACGATACCGTCACAGTTTGATCCGAAAAAAGAAAAGGACAACATCATTATCACATGCGCCCCGGCCGAAGCTGATTTTGCTGGAACCCAAGGTAGTCCCCTCTTTAGATCTGTCTCTCTCTGGGCTCATAGTAAGCAGAAAAAAGGGAGTGTGTGGGGGAACACGTGGAAGCTGGGGCTTCACGGGATGATGTTTCTTGTGGGTCACGGGGCATGGAAATTAGGATTAAAAAGCTAATTGGATTATAAGTTGTAGACCTGTGGCTTTGTTTTTGGAGTCCTAGTGGCTGTTTCTATAAGACATAGATGTGGACAGCATATGAAGTTGAGCTAAACCAACAGAGCGGTTTTCGTGTCAGATTTCAATATCCTGTCAAAAGCCTATTAATCTGAGAAATATGTTGTTTGTCTTTGTCCTTGTGATCATTATAATTATAATTATAATCAAATGGAAACACCAGGAAAAAAAACAATAGGGACTGCGGATGGACCATTTTGAGGAAATGCCGCTGCCTGGTGTTTCAAGTTCGCTACTAACTACGCCATATTCCAAAGCATATCGTGGCGCATTTCGTATGTATTTAAAATCCATAACAACTTTGGATAAGTAAAAACTTTAGTTGGGCCTTAAAAATTGATAATAATTTGATATGCCCCCTTAGTTTGCAGGTGAGCCCAAGTCCAAGACTTGATGGGCTATTATAAGTCCGTACATGGTCTATTCCGATGGAGAAAAAAAGTCTGTCACCGCATCAATTTTACACAAATCTCAGTATTCTTGCACTACCAACAGTATTTAGGAGAAAAGGCCAGTCTCTACGAACTGAGATTCAAATCCCTACCAGAAAATATTTATGTTTTAGCAAAAAACAAAAAACAAATTCTTGCACTCCCTTCCTCGTTCGGTCGTTCTCGCTCGTACTTCATACTCTCTCAAGTATATGTTCATGTTTAATTAGTTCACGTTTAATGGGGATGCAAACCTTGTTTCAGTTAGAGCATGGACCACCAAGAAATGAGATATATTTGAAACTAGCATTTATTTCTCAGTGAGATACGCGAGTTGAAATCACCTTAATGCATTCAGTGGATCCTACGCATTCCAATCACCCACATGCATCAATTAAACTGCCTGAAAATCCATTTTCAAATAATGTTCACGAAACTAATCGTGTTTAAAATTATCCTCAAAATGTGTCTGCTAAATAAGGTGAAATTACAGGCGCCCGAGAAGATGAAATTCATTTTGTGGCAAGTTTTCCATAAGACACTTCCACAGATTTCCTTAGAGCTCCAAGAATAATTTCCACTGGGGAGAAATGTGCATTTGAATGCCAAAGAGGAAGATATTATTCATATCCTTCGTGACTGTAAGATATAGCAGTTTCAGTTTCTTTCGTTCTAACTAATGATCATTTCAGTTTCTTTCGTTCTAACTTGCACGTTTGGCCACGACTCAATAGGACAAAGTAACAGGGGTATGCGAGATTTAGCAGATGGCCGTGGTGAAAAGTGTTTTGCTTTGTATGCTGGTTACTTTGGGAAAACAGATGCCACGACATTATGGAGGGCACCAGAATTCAAGATTACGGAATTGTCCCGGCAAGTCTTTATCAGATGATGGCGTCCACTGAGCAATTGCAAATTCAGGCACAGAATCTTCAATCTCACTACGTATCCAGAAATGAAGTGGCACCCACCACTCAAAGATTATGTTCACCTCGATCCTGATGGTTCGGTGAACAGTCAACGACTTACTCAGAGACTCGAATAAGCAGCATAATTTCACAAAAATTCTTGCTTGCACCGACTCTTTGGAAGCCATACATTTGCTCATGACTGACAGAGGAACCAACCATCTATTGAGTTTGGAGATCAATGAGGTAAGGAGTATGATACTATCAGATGGGGACATCGAAATCAGATATGCACGACTACTTAACCAAGGAAGCTCATCATTCGACCGAGATTTACATTGTCATGCAGAACCCACCTTTTGGCTGTACTGTCGTTTCACTCTGACGTAGGAATGTCTAGGTTGATGTAAAGCGAATGTCTAGGTTGATGTAAAGCGTTTGTACTTGCCTTTCTAGTCGGGTGGGAAAAAAACTGAATCAGTAAGAAATCACCCCGATAGGGACTAACAGAGAGCCCGAAACAAGGGAGAACGAGAACGAGTGAAGAAGACAACAGGCTAGGGCTGCGAACGAGAGTTAAAAAGGACAAAAACACCTGCGATGACGGAGCACGAGAGGTGCGATGAGTTGAAGACTAGGAACGGGTGAATGGCTGATGGCCGAGATTCTTCCTTTCAGGGAGACTGAGCAATGAAGGAATTTCTCGCAATGAAGAGTGAAGATCGAAAGGAAATATGGTTTAATTAGTTAGGATGACGATGAGGTGGACGGCTAAGGTTCTTCTTCCTATTATTGGAACGGTGGTCCCTGCTGCATAAGGCTTACCTGGATTAGCAGGGCGTTGCCACATCAGCAAATTATTTTGCCTTTGTCATTGTCACGGTTGCTGGGGACGAGGATCTAAACATTTAACCATGGATTTAAAATTTTTAAGAATATATTTACTGACATTGATGTTTCATAACTTAATTGGCGGAAAAAAATGAGCGATGTTTCGCCGCGAGCTTCTCTGGTTCTTCCAGTGTTCGTTCGTTAATGAAACCCGAAAATTCCCACGGAAATTCCATTTCAGTTCCCTATGTAATCCTGTACTCACACCTGGATCGTCGTAAATCTGTGGACCACTTGGACAAACTTTGCTTGGAGTGTTCCCCGTACAAGTTTGATCTGGTTCCTCGCCATGTTCGAAAGCCACGTAAGGTTTCATCGAATTTCCGTAGTCATGGACTGGTTTGTAGAATTTATGATACTTTAATCGGCACCTTCGGATTGTTTTCACCCTTGAGTTGTTCTGACAACTAAGTAAAGCTTGCTTGGATTCCGGCCATGCTTGTGTAAATGATTTTATTCTCATTGCCACAAAATTCTTCGTTTCATTTCTAAACTTATGTACGCATGGGATGACTACGCCGCTGATATTTCGTGATCCTATTTGATAAACAAGCTTGCAAATAAAGAAGTTATCGTTGTTCCTTTCGTGACAGGTATTGCATTTGCTTCGAAGATATCTGGGCGAATACGTACATGGGCTGTCGACAGAGGCGTTAAGAATAAGTGTCTGGAAGGGTTTGTCATCAGGCGTCTTCTCAGTTTTAAGTCACATTTTACTGATTGCCTGCAATCATGTGCTGAGTTTGAGCATGAATTTATTTTCTTTTCTTTTTGCATGAGTCTTCTCCATGTGTCTATATAAATATGGTTCCATGTTCTCCTTTTCTATAATTTTCTTATTAGATTCTAGCAAGTGGCTTCTACTCATCCATCATCTGAGATGCCTTCAGTAGTCGTTACCTGAAACTTAATTTTGTTGCGAATTATGTAATAGTTTGAAACACTAGTTCCAATGCCCGAAATCTGGCGTTTCTGGTGTTGCGAAGTAGCTTGACGTCTATGTAATAAGTTTTTAAATTTTGCATAACTTGCCGATTGGGTAACTATTCACTCTATCATCATCATCATCATCATCATCATCATCATCATCATCATCATACTTTGACGCTCTGTGTGACCAAGTTTTCTCAACCTCGATTATCCATAATTTAATTAAATTCATACGTTATTATCATTTCATCGTAAACGCTATTTTCATAAGATACAGATGTACGATCAAATTTTGCTCATGAAACATGGTATAACGCCTTTCGTTTTTCATTGGCTACATTGACTTGTAATCCATGTAATTAAGCAAAATATGAAGTGCACGAATTTTCTTAGGGATGTCATATTGGCTATGAAGTATTAGGATTTCAAAGAAGGTGTTGTATTTGTCTTAGACTTGTGCTGAGCACTGGCACAAAATATGCAACTCAAACGAAATACTCTAACAAAAAATATCAAAATTTGAAACTTCATATTATTATATACTTTCGTACTTTTTCTAAGGACTTGAACATAGTGACGTTTCTAAGCCTCTTTATATTAGTTGAATATCTTTTTTTTGGGTGATAGCATGTTAGTTGAATTTGTTGGTTGAAGAAGAATTCATACATCAAAATTTCCGCTTACCAAAACATATCAATTTTATGCAAATACATAATATAAATCTTTGTTCTGTTACCCGTTTGCATCTCTGCCCTACATAACATACTGGTTTTTTACTTTACAAGTCTGGTAACATATATTTATATATATACACACATACATTTCTTGGGTTTTCCAACTACAGGTGACGTTGTCCTCAAAGATTTGAAGTTGAAGGCAGAGGCATTAAATGCACTAAAATTACCAGTTACTGTCAAAGCTGGCTTTGTTGGCGCCATTACTCTGAAGGTAGTGTTTATTATTACTGAATGTCTACTTCTGGTTATCGGGTCATTGCTTCAGAATCGTTGGTAATTTGCATAAATAAATACATCTCTTTGTTCGACATAATTTAAAGTATTTGAAAGGGATACATTCATGATTACTTGCGGCATACAAGTTAAACTGTAGATCTAATGCATACACTGAGGATTATATTACTTTCAAGCATCATTTTGACGGCATATATGTACCTTTTGTGTGCAATCTGCATTTTTGATAAATTTATCTTTTTCCACTCCATCTAGATTTGTATCATGTTCTTTCAGGCGTATTTTTATGTTACTTCTTTACTTAAATTCATTTCCTGATATGGTAAAGGTTCCTTGGAAAAGTTTGGGCAAAGCACCTGTGGTCGTTTTGATTGATCGTGTGTTTATTCTTGCTAATCCTGCTCTTGATGGACGGACAATAAAGGTGTTACTAATATTATACGTTTGATTCATGAACTATTAGATATTTGTGTCTTTTTACTGAGCCGAGCTTGCTTCGTTACAGGAGGAGGATGTGGAAAAACTTTTCCAAGCCAAGCTCCAGGAGATTAAGGTGAGGTCCTTGCAAATTTGGGTTGTATATCTTATTTATTTTTCTTTTATAATTCATTTTGAGGTGATATATGGGTATCTATTATTGTTAAGTTGGTTGTGTTATTTATGATATATTTTCTTCTCAGAAAATAGTTTTTATTACATTAATCCTGTTATTCACAAGTCTTTCTATGCTTATGTCTATCACATGAACACACACTGAGATTTCTCTATGAGATGGGAATGTAATTGTAAGTACAGAAAAAACGGTGTGCTTAAAACGTGTTTTCAGACCAATTTTCCCATTCCATATCAGTGTGATATTGTATGCCTGGTTTGTTTTGTTTGATGTTTTACACTGCTATGAAAACAAATTTTTATTCTTTTATATCTTCAACTCGCTGGGTCCTGTGCAGGCACTAACGTGCACAATTAGCTAATTGACTACTAACATTACTTCAAAATACATGATAAGAACGTGGTCTTTGACATTCATATATAAATTCTCTTCCTACAATAAATTCATTTTTCTGCAAAAAAGAGGAAACAAAGGAAAGGAAGGTTTAAGAAGGAGAGGGAAAATTATTTTCCGTTTTCTAACAGCTGTTTACAAAAGAGTACAATGAGGAATCCTAAATAAGTAAAATAGAAAAAAAATCTTGCTACAGCGAGAAAGCCAAACTAAAAACTTTAAAAGAGAGATACAACGGACCTCTCTGTATATGAACAGTCAATGAATTTTCGCACTTCTTAGTCTCTTTTTCATACGTCTCTTTATTTATCTATCTATGGAGTATGATAACATTCATTTAATCTCTCAAATTACTTTCATATTATCTTTTTCAGTATTTTTAACTTTTTTCATTACACAGGAAGCAGAGTCAGCCACGCTTGATGCAATATCCAAGTCAAACTTCAGAAGTGTGCGTGTTCAATATGATTTTTGGATTAGTATTGCTTGGGGAAGTAGGTCCTCTCCTCTCTTCAAACTGCGCTGCCTTCTCCTGTTTGATATCAGCGCCTAGGAGAGGATTTGGTCTAATGGCACCGTTTTTATCCACACATGTAATGTACTGCACAGTGTCATTGTTGCATTTTCTCTCCCAGCTATTGAATCAAACCAACTTACTGGATTTCAAACAAGAGAACAACGTGATTTCAGGACAGGAGAGAATCTGCTTCCATCGTTTGGTTGTATTAATCTGCTAACATTTCTGCTTGATCCATTTTATTAGAGTTGGAATAACAAGAGAAGGCATGTGCTATTAATATGCGATTTAACATTTTTGTTTTTTTCTTTTGTTAATCACTTTTTCAACTATTGGGCTATTGAGAGTTCCTGTCTTACATGTAGTTTTGTACATTTGAAATAATATGACTAACTCCTGATTGTTTTACAGCCACCTTCTGGAAATTCATGGTTGAGCTCTCTAATTGCAACTATTATTGGAAATCTTAAGATCACTATTAGCAATGTACATATCAGATACGAAGATTCAATAAGGTTAGTAGATAAGTACAATTTAAACTTACCTGAAGGGTAAGATAATGTTTGCTAACTCTCATTTATTTTGAACTTTTTTCCCCCCCCCTAATTGCATGTGATTGCCTTTTCGCTTGCAGCATTTTGGCTTCTTATGTGTATAAGTGTTGATTGCAGTAATCCTGGCCATCCGTTTTGCTCGGGTGTTACTTTGGCTAAACTTGCTGCTGTTACAATGGATGAGCAGGGAAAGGAAACCTTTGATACTAGTGGTGCTTTGGATAAATTGCGAAAGGTGAGCATAACTTCTGAAGGAAGCAGTCCAATCTTGACATAGTAAACAACTTGAAAAATGCTAGGATCCTTTCTAATGAAATAAAGCTTTCCTCTTGAATCTTGATGATTGTCTAGGTTCAGTAGTTTGCCCTTTACTTTTGTGTTAGAATTAGTGATACAGTGGACATTAGAATTATATCTATAACCGTATAATTATGTTAATATTTCATTATATTTGAGCAAGGACCATGAGATAGAATATGTCAAAAATTGGTGGAATAATAATTCTTTAAGCATCAATCATTTAACTTTCATTCACGAGCAGTTTAGAATAAATGGGGTTACTGTGTTTCTTTCAAGTTTTGGCTGCATAAGAATTTGTATATCATGCCAATAATTACTTATCTTCTTGCTTAGTGAATTAGAATTTTATAAGCATGCATGTAGAAAAATCTGAAGTGTTCATATTAGATATTGTTTGGAAGTGTCAGAGGTAGCTGTGACATGTTGGAGAAGTTTCTTATATCAAATATAATTTTTTATTCTAACAAATATAGATCTTATATCCACTGGTGTCGCAGCGCCAGGTAGGTCTTCAGTGATAGAGATTAGGAATTATTCTGTAGTTATTTTAATGTAATTATCTTTGATCCCCTCTGGTAAGCAATAAAATGGAAATAATGTAAAATCTTGGCCTGATAATATTTTATTCTCGTTGCAGTCATTAAAACTTCAGAGGCTAGCTCTTTATCATGATTCTGACTGCCCTCCTTGGGAGATTGACAAGAGATGGGAGGATGTCAGTCCACAAGAATGGATTGAGGTTTACTCTCATTTGGAAAAAAGCATTCTTTTAGTCTTTTTGGTTCCATGTGCCCTAATATCAGTTTCACTCCTGAGTGCAATTTTTCTCTACAATGGTATGTAAATCTTACTCCCCTTTCACCTGTTCTTCATCCTTCTTGTTTATTAGATATTTGAAGATGGCATAAATGAGCCTTCTGATGACTGTAGACCGGTTTCTAAATGGGCCATGAAACGTACATATTTGGTTTTTCCCATTAATGCAATCCTACAATATCACCGTCTTGGAAAGCAAGAACAGCATAATCCGGAAATTCCATTCGAAAAAGCTTCCCTTGTCCTCAGTGATGTCTGTGTCACTCTGACTGAGGTATTTTATTTTATTTTCACGGTTTACTTTTGGAAACTCCCTTTTTTCCCTTAAATGTTAAAAGAAGAGCATGTAAATCAAGAAAAAGTCACAAGAGAGTATTATCAATCTTATGCAAAATAAAACAGATGACATTTATGTAGTGTGAAATTTGGAGCTTTGGGCAAGCATTGCGCTTGCTTAATTACCTTGAAACGCTTCCTCTGTTTTCTAATTTTTGTTGGTTTGGGAGGAGAAAATTAAAGTTTACTTCATATGTTCTATGTTGGGGCCTCAGGTTAAAGTGAACTACTATGAATTATAATTGAATCTTTTCTCCCCAGTCTTCTTGAAATTCATTTTATCCGTGATGGAGCCCATTATATGTGATTCGCATGCAACAAAAAAAGTGAAAAAAAAAAGAAAAAGAAAAAGAAAGAAGTTCCACCCAGACCTGTAATTACTTGTAGAATTGAAGACTTATAGTCGGAAAAGATGAAAAGAAAAGAAAAGTGAAAATGACTCCCTAGCTTTTGAGAGGCTAGAGTCTCTCCCGATACAAAGTAGAATTTTCCTTCTCTCTATGCTCCCAACCTTACAAGATAGTCTCCTCTAATAAGTTAATCTTTCACCTACACGTGATTCCTGATGTCACCTGAACAATTTGGATAGTGAATTTCTTGATTTCTATTCACCAAGAAACAGTACAACTTATAGGAGCAGGATAGCAATATTCCTGCTATTGAATCCCGATAAATTAGCACCTATAAATGCTGGAAATTATGAGAATAAAAATCCCACAAAATCAAGGATAATGAAATCAGAATATTTACAGGGAAATAATCACAAAATTAATGTCTAGGAATATTCTATATTCCGCCAACATCACCTGTTCACTTACAACACCATATTCTCTTTTTTCCTTTCCCTCTAGCCACCTCATGATTAGGTAACCTAGACATGGGACTTGTCATGCCTTTTGTACTACCCGTTTAATTAGCGTCATCATACTGTTAACCTGAATGTATATGACTAGTTAAATCTTCACTATCAGGGTCCTCTCAGTAGACCACTTATGTTCTTGGATCAACCGCATCCTTGCATCGTGAAAAGTAGTTGCCCTCGTGTCCTCATCACCATTAGCTCTTCCATCTTCTTTCACCATTTTAAATCAGTGTTGGAGATTTTCTAATAGCTTCCCTTGCTAGGTTTCTTTGTTCTTGACTGTGCAGAGATCAGCTAGAGGATTCTCAAACAGACCTATAATGAGCTGCTCAATCATAAGTCTCTTCACAATATCGTTGATATACTCCATTGGAATGCTGTTGTTCTTTATTGCCAGTATACAGTCTTGAGTGAACTCCAATTATTAGCTGGGAACCATTATTATATTAATGCCAACTTTCATGGTGACCTGGCCAGACCATGAGTATGTAAGGGTAGATAATTAGGTAGATGAGTTTCTACGTTAGTTCTTGAAACATAGTACTACTAAGATCACTACCTCTAGTGTGGAATGCAATGTAATACCTTTCTTTCTTCTTCGAATTCCATCATGGTATTGGTGTGGGGAAGATTCATGGAGATTAATTTTTAAATGACAAGCAGCTCAGAGGTGACCTTTGCTAGAAGTCTATACCGCAGGGCTTCTCAAACACTATATCAGTTAAGTTAGATGACTGTAACTTCCTCATTTGGACGAAACAGTTAATGGTCTCAAGGTTTTTTTTACAGAGGCTGAGCATCAGAGTCTTGCTAATGTTGTGGTTGAGCTGATGTGGATTCAATCTCTAATGTCAGAACTTCAGATGTTCATTGTCACAACTCAAGTACATTATTTTGAATTGCCTGTCCCATTTTGCATTCTTGAACTAAGAGTTGGACTTCCATTTTGTATGCAAGAATGTTCAAAGAAGCAACTGCAGCGGCTCTCATTTTATCTAAAGAGTGGCTACGGATGTCTTATCAAAGCGTATTGCACATTTTCAGTTTGCCTATCTCTGATCCAAACTTCATGCTGCCTCTAGTCCAGCCTAAGTTTGAGGGGCATGTGAGGGTAGATGAGTTAAGCGGCTGAGCTGTTATGTTAGTTACTGAAGCAGAATACGTATCAGATCACTTGTATTGATATCTCTAGTCTACACTCTAGAGGAATGCAACGTAATACATATTGTTGTTCTTAGAATTCCATCAGAATAGTTTGTATCTAGTTTTTGCCAATACCATCCCAATCAATGATTAAAAATCCTTTAGACTTATGGCACCCTTGGGGGAAGCATTAAAAGTATAAAATTCAAGCTCATAACTAAGATTAATTAAAAATTAAAATCATGATTGTGTTACGTAATCTCTAACATTTATTTTATTTGATTTTTCTATGAATTTTCAGGGTCAATATTATGATTGGATTAAACTTTTGGAAGCTGCTTCAAGATACAAGACGTATGTGGAAGTCTCTCATTTAAGACCTGTCGTTCCAGTTTCAGAGGCTCCTGATCTGTGGTGGAAGTATGCTGCTCAAGCTGGACTGCAACAGAGGATGATGTGGTAACTTTAATGTTACTATATATATAAACTCATTAACCAAAACTGCAATGAGTATCATAATATGAGAACGTGCTCATTAATATTGATACTCTGCTAAACGCATGCATTTCTAGTTTTATCTCATTCTATAGTTGCTGTGCTAAATCAGCTATCGCTTATCATGGGATCAAATTCGGAATCTTTGTCGGTGTCGTCGTCAGTACATTCAATTGTACATGGCTTCTCTTCAACATTCATCACATGTTAACCATGAAGAAATCAGAGAAATAGAAAAAGATCTTGATCCTAAAGTGATTCTTCTATGGAGGTCAGTAAATCACTTTCCCTGTCCATTGTGCAGATGGTGATAGAAATTGGCCATGATTGTTATGAAGGATATTCATGTTAAACTGTTATTCCTCGATGAATATTCTTAAGCTTAAATATTCTTTTTTTTCCCCTTGTAACTAATCACCATAACACACAATCAGTTTGAGTTGTGTCTTTAATGTGATCATTTTTTATTTTTCCTATTTTTTCTAGAAATTTGTTTCCTCTATTTTCATGAGATTAGATTTGAGGTCATTAAACATCTTTTCCTCTTTAATATGGAAAGGTTTGTGATATTTTGCAGTGGTTCAGTTATACCATAGCTTATTTGGCGCATTTCTTGACTTTCCCTGTGAATTGATTGTGAGTGATGTATTTTTCTTGCTTTCCCTATTGTCCTTTCACCTTTCTGGATGTTTTATGATCTACCAGAGCATGCTGTCCTTACATCTTATCTTACCATTATTTCATGCGTTTCCTTAGTTGTGCATTGCTCCCATTGCTCTACCAGCCGTGTATCAAATGAACGACGGCTCTCTCCAATTGCACATCATTACAGCAACTTCTCTGCTGTGCATTATGCTCGTGTGTGTATTGTTCACCAGCTTTTAGCAATGCTGTTTTTCATTTTCTTTCTTTTGTCCCATGAAATGGCATCATTTTGGGCTCTGTGCCTTTTACCTTTGTCTATTGGTTTTCACCTGTTTGGTATCCTTGGTGATATTCCGGAATGGTTCTCACTTTTTGCGCCTTTCTTGATTTTATATTCTAGGCTCTTCTGTGTTTGCATTCTCTGTTTCTGGCCATCTCTTGTGGGCTTAAAAGGTCACCGTGATGGTCAGAAATTTGAGGAATGATTAAGGCTTCCATAATTTTTAGCTTTTAGACCTGAGGTTTGACCACCTCTTCCGAAATGCTCTAGCCTCTTTCTTCTCCAATGCAGCTTTACTTTTCTTATTCGAATCTTTTCATAGTGATTGATTTTTTTTTTTTTAACAAGTTCTTTTGGTGTGGCTCTATATTTCAGTCTTTTCATGTTCTTGCAAGCTTTCTTACTGTATTTCTTGATTTTGACTGGTATTACTGCGTCTTGTGCTTCAATAGTTGAATATGATGCTGTGAGGAGGTTCTGGTATCCAGTTTGTAATCCTAGTTAAAAGAGAACAACAAAAAGGTTAAATTACTTTGTTATCCTCTAGAGCTTCACTTAAATTTTAATTTGGTCCTTATAGATTGAAAGTTTGTAACTGCGTTCCTATTCTTTTATCCACCCCTTATAATTGAACCATCATCTAGTTGTTAAATTCTATTTAGGCATTTATTTGTATTTAATTTCTGTTTTTGATGTATAATAAATAAGAGAGGCATGGGGGCTACCATAAGTTTTGGAGGTTCTAGGTGCGTGTAATCACACCCCACACGTCATATTTTAATTTTTAACCGGAGTTTAACTGTTACATTAATAGATCTTCCTCTTAAGAGGAAAACCGTATCTGTGAGCCAATTTTTGCATGGTTCATGTTGTTAGGTTACTAGCTCATGCAAAGGTTACATCTGCAAAATCGAAGGTAGCAGCTGAACAAAGGAGGCTTAGGAATAAAAGCTGGTTTTCATTTACATGGTATTTGACTACTTTATTTCTTTATGTCGTTCTATCACCTGAGATTTATTTGCTCCAGATTGCTTGTCATTGTTTAAGTTTGATCAAAACCTTTGAACATTACTAAACTTCTTCCATAGATTTTGTTTGTATGAAAATTTACTGCATTTTTTTTCTTGATAAAGGAGTGCTGAAACAGAAGAAGCCTCTGTGAAGAATTCTTCTGGGTTAACAGATGAAAGGCTGACCAAAGAAGAATGGGAGGCAATCAACAAATTGCTTAGTTACCAGCCTGATGAGGAGCTTATGCTACCTTCACCAAAGGACATGTCAAAAATGATCCAGTTTCTAGTAACCGTATCTGTTTATCAGGCTGCTGCACGGATTGTCAATGTGAATCGGATGGAAATTGTTTGCGGTCGATTTGAGCAGCTCAATGTGTCAACAAAGTTCAAGCATCGGAGTATTTACTGCAACGTGCTACTAAAATTTTGTGGTTTATCTGCTCCTGAAGGTTCACTTGCGCAGGTTTTCTTTCTTTCTTTCTTTCTTTTTTTTTGGGAACTATCTTTTAGACTGAACTTTTAATTAACTAGTTTACTTCCTTTATTTATTTATTCTTCTATTTTTCCTGGCGTTATTGCTGTAAATTTTAAAAAATCCTAGTGTCCCAGTTGATAGTTTAATTGAAGTCTAAGAATTCAGGTTTAGATTAAATTCTTTTCTAGCTCATACTTCTTGGCAACTTGATGTGCAGAGTGTCTGTAGTGGGCAGAAGGTTAATGCGTTAACTGCTAGTTTTGTGCATTTACCAATCGGGGAGAACATTGACTGGAGGCTGTCAGCTACAATCTCTCCTTGCCATATTACGGTGATCTCTCAGTCTTTGGGAGAGTGAAAGAGGAGTGATAATTGTATAAATATACGGACACACACACACACACACACAAATGGTTTTCTTGCGCTCCTTTTCTCAAATGGATATTTACAATCAAATGCAATCTAGATTGACAAAAGGGGTTGAGTTCCAAGAAACTTCCATCAATTTAGTTTGATGTCAAGAATGTACTCTTTCTCATATTAGTCTTCAACAATGCTTTCAAGACGTTGTACTCTGTAATTTAAGCTTAAGCCAAACTTCCAGTGACCTGGAATTACTGGTGAGGTAGACTTGTCTACTAGTAGGTTCTAAGTGTTAGTAGTTCTTCTTTCTTAGTTTTTTGTTGACTTATTAACCTATTGCTAAGTGGTTCTTCAGATAGCTTTTTTTCACATTTACTTCAATATATTTCACTTAAACAATAAATTTTCAAAAACAGAAATCGAGCAAACCCACATTAATAACAAGTTGGGAAAAAAATTTGCACCATTTAATTGCTTGGAGAAGAGAAATAAAAAAATTCAAATTTTCAGCATCCTTACCTTTACAATTTTTCTGACTCTGTTTGTAGGTTTTGATGGAAAGTATTGATCGCATCGTTGAATTTTTTAAAAGAAGCAATTCAGTCAGTCCCACTGTTGCATCAGAGACAGCTACTGCCTTGCAGGTAGTGATATACAAGTGCAGTGTCCTGTCATTTTTTATCATCTCAATTTTTGTTTTGTTTTTGTTTAAACTTTTGATAACTTCAGATATATATATGTTAAGTGCTGGTGTCTACAGGTTAAGCTGAGGCCTCAAGATTGTTGGTTATATGGATTAAGGATTAAATATTATGTATTACATGTCTATAAAAGATTGCTATGGTAGTAGAGGAAGAGATTGGAAAATGATGTTTAACTCAGAAATTATGGAATGCCTTTTGATTTTTTATGCTCTGTAAAATATTGTGAAATAATTTTAAACTTTTTTAAATAAAAAATGCGTCTGGCTACTTTGTTGTATGAACAAATTTTAAATTAAAAATATGCTAAATTTATCTATTACTTTGTGCCTTTGGATACTACCTTAATCCCTTGGCATGAATTCTCTCTGTTACGGAGATGATAGTGATGGCTTTAAAAGCTTGATTCTCATGCACCGTGCTTTGATATTGCAAAAGTCCTAAAGATGGGTCAGCTGCCATTTGATCTCTTTAATTTGAACATAGGTGTATGCACGGGTCTAGATCACAACCCAATCGGGTTGTGACCTGGTTTTGGGCCATTAAAAATTTATGTAAATCTTAATCTCAACTTTGAGAAAAAAGTGGTTTGGCTGAAATTTTATGCATACCATATTCTTTGACATAGTATTCTTGCTTTGATTTCTTATTTCTTTTTCCTGGCACTGATAGAATAGGACCTAGCTTTTGAGCCCCTCCGGACTAATGTATTCTCACCTACTAAATGCAAGAGCAGATTAAGTTTGAGAAAGTAACTCGTAGAGCACAGGAGCAATTTTACATGGTTCTAGAGGAACAAAGCAGGTTATTACATATTTTCTTTCATCAATATATTCTCTCGTTTTTATATGTCTGGTTTCTTTGTGTTATTACATATTATTGTTTTGGACCTCTTTGCTCCCTGCTTTTGTGTATCTGGAAGGGACTATAGATGCCATCAATCCTCTGAGCCATTTTATAGAAGTTTTGGGCATGCTAGTGATATGTTGCTGGGTTAAACTTCTTGAAGGATAATACAATAGTTTTCCTAAATGAGTATTACTCTTTCCTTTACGTAGACCAATGGAGTTTTACTTCTGCTTCCAGATACTTCTGGAATACTAGATACGTTAATGTATAGTTTCTTTGTGGCGTCTCCTTGGCAGCCATGAAAAAGGGTTACCAGACTTCTCTGTGATTATGTTTTCGTTGGGTCTTGTTTTGATTGTTTTTATGAAATCTGTGTTAATGACTCTGCAGATTTGCGTTTGATATTGATCTTGATGCTCCCAAAGTTAGAGTTCCTCTCAGAACTAGTGGTTCAACCAGATGCTGTAGTCATTTTCTTCTAGATTTTGGTCATTTTACACTGCATACTGCGGTATGCTTCTTGAAATTTTAGGTTTTGTTGTAATTGTCTAGCTTGGTCTTATCATAAATGATTGACTATTTTGACAGGCCAGTCAGTTAAGTGAGCAGAGTCAGAATCTTTATTCTCGATTTTATATCTCTGGGCGAGATATAGCTGCTTTTTTTACAAATTGTGGCTCTGACTTGGAGAGTTGCAGTTTGGTGAAATTAAATTGTAGCAGCCAACTAATGATGTCACTTGCTGCAGAAAAAGTTGAAAATCTCTATTCTCTCATTGATAGGTGCGGAGTGACAGTTCTTGTTGATCTGGTATGTTTGTCTGATTTATCATTGCATGCTTTTTAACAGCGTTTTATGTCTACTTTTTGTATGATTATCTTGTGTTCATAATTTATTCTAATCATGGTTATGCCTCTGTTTATTTAAGATTAAAGTGCCTCATCCAACTTATCCATCAACTCGTATTTTGGTTCAAGTACCAAATGTTGGCATTCACTTCTCACCAACAAGATATTTGAAAATTGTGGAGTTGATGAACATAATTTACGGGGCATTAGAAACCTGCAGTGAGCCAGCTGCTGGTAGTTTCCAAGATAAACTTGGGCCTTGGAGTCCTGGAGCTCTGGCCACTAATTGCAGAATCCTTGTTTGGAAGGTATATTCTTAAATCTGTGCAAATCATTCTTGCTTAGTCGGTCTAAACCATCCTAAAATAGATTTCATTTTACAGGGAATTGGCAATTCTGTGGCTTCATGGCAACCTTGTTTTCTTGTTCTTTCTGGGTCGTATATTTATGTATATGAATCTGCAAGCTCTCACAGTTACCAGCGATGTCTAAGGTCTTGTTTGTAATTTTTCCGAATCATACATTCTTTTTTTTGTTTTTTTTTTAATTAACAAAAGATACATTTATTAAGAGAAGTACAAAGAAGTTTAGGAAATCCTACTAGAACAACCAAATAACTAACAAAACCAAAACCGAGTGTGTTTCATTTCATGTTGAAAACCATCAAAATCATAGTTAACCTACTTCCACCAAAACGGTGATGTTGGTGGTTTCCAACATGAAACCAAGCTCGCGCTGACTCAGCTATGGTTGGAAAGGAATTATGCTGGTGGATTAAATCACAGACACGTAGGCTGAAAAATTGTCACATTTTTCATTTTGGTTAGCAGTTGGATGGCGCAAAGACAGTGATTTATGAAGGGTAATGTTCTTTAGATTGAAATAGGAATAGTGTACTTTTGATGATACAATATGAACCAAAAGTGTATATAGGATCAAATTTATATTCACGTGAAACTTACTCTTCGAGTTCTGCAGCATGGCTGGTAAGCAAGTCCTTGAGGTTCCTCCTACGAGTGTTGGTGGCTCGCCATTTTGTATTGCTGTTTACTTAAGGGGAACAGACGTTCAGAAGGTAAGCTAAATTAATGCACTTCTGAAGAGAGGGGATAGTCTGAACCACACTAATTTCATTGACTGAACAATGAATAAATACAGCTAGGGCCATTAACTAGGCTGGGAACGGAGGGAGATGGGAGATGCACATAATCAGACTAAATCGAAGAAAATCAAATCCTATCTGATAATTACATACATTACATAATGAGTACATGGATTTTCCACACTCCCTCTCAAGTTGGATCATAGATGTTAATCATGTCCAACTTACCAACAAAATACTCAAACTGGTCCCAGGCTAGTCCTTTGGTGAGAACATCTGCTGTTTGTTCTTTGGTAGGAACGTAAGTCAGTCAGATGATACTATCATCTATCTTTTCCCGTATAAAGTGACTGTCTATTTCAACATGTTTGGATCTGTCATGTTATACTGGGTTATGTGAGATATTGATTGCTGCCATGCTGTTCGAGTAGAGTGGAATAGGTAAGTTTGCATTCTTCTTCAATTCTTCCAATACTCGGTTGATCCATAGACTTTAAGAGCAACTGCTTCTTGCAACAGCACTCTTTTTCTTACTTGATCTCCTTCCCAATTTGCATCTATGAAATATATCTAGATTCTGTTTCTCAGATTTTTTAAATATAAGGCCATGGTGAGAAAATAGGCTGGATATTAATGCCTGCATCTCTTTCATTCAGGAAGGTATTGTTAACATCGGGTTGATGTAGAGACCAGTCTATTTTCCTGCCCAGTCAGTAGAGAGGCCAGTCTGCTTTCAATTAGGAGATCCTGGGTTATTTTCAAAGAAAAAAGAATACAGATAAGAGCCAAGAGAATAGGCTGAATATTGATGTCTGCTTATTTTGTTAGATGTTGTGCACCTATATGGGGATCCGGAAGTCTGCCACACAAGAAAAATAGCAATGTTCTAAATATACAAAGGAATACAATGAAGCCTAATCTGACTTATTACAGAGATTTTTGTTTGACTGAGATTAAAAAGGAAGTGATTTATTAGGCTTTGAGTGGGATGAAATGGGCGTTGGCAAAAAAAAGAAAAAAAAAAAAAGAAGAAAAAGAAAAAAACAGAGAGGGATGAAAGGGGATGAAATCTTGCATTAGTGGCCTGATCTGATGTGAAGGGTCTGGTGGCTGCGGTTTTATGTCTCACTGGCAAAGATTCCTTAGAGGGATAGGAATTTCCGACAATTTGTATTTATTTTTACTATTGTTTGGGGAAGATCTTTATTCCTATATTTTGTACCTTTCTATGTTATTCTTTTTTTATTAATATATTCATTAACCTAATAAATTTTGGGATTATATCATTTAAAGTTTAGGAAAAAACTTAGGCCTAGTACTTTATATCCATTAAGTTCTCTAATCATATATGGCCGTGTGTCTTTTTTTTGTTTCATGTAGATTTATAATTAAATGCTATTAAATGCTAATATTTCAAAAATAAGATACATGGTCATGTGTGATTGGAAAACTTGATATAATATACATAGACTTGATGTAAGTGTGTTATCCGTAAGTTTATCAAAGATCTTGAAAATTATTTTGGGTTATATGTTAGGATAACCTATTTTGTTGGTTGTTAGCTTTTGTTTGATTTCGAAAATATGCGAATTACCTTGCAGGCCTTAGAATCTTCAAGCACCTGGATCTTAGATTTTCGAGAGGAAGAGAAGGTTATCTGGTTTAAAGGCCTTATAAAAGCTACCTATCAAGCTTCTGTATGGAATCCATAATATGCTTTTATTTTCTCCTCATATATGTTTTGTTAAATTTTGATTTGCTAGATCATTGTTGGTGAAGATAATTATGCTCATTACATTTAGGCTCCTCCATCAGTTGATGTGCTCGGTGAATCTAAAGATGACACAGCTTCATACAGTATGCTCAGTACCACAGATCCTAAAAGAGCTGACGTTGTGATTAATGCGGTATTGGTGGAATCAAAGCTGTTTATTTACGGAAAGGTTTGATTAATTACTTTAAGGCATTGTTTGGCAGAGGCCAAGGTGTAAACAATATGCCATGTTATGAAGTCGTATATGTTGTCCTTATTCATATTTTCAGTCCACTCATCAAATATTCTGCCTTCCCAACTTCTGAAAAATGCTCGACATTTATTAGGCGGTTTAAAATATCTTGTTTAACTCATTTTCTGGCATTTCTAATATGTTCTACATTCTTCCTAAATTAATTCTTTTAGGGTTCACAGGCTACCATTGAGATGTTTGTTTTTGTTTGAAATTGTTTAAATAGCGTAATTGTTTAGGGACATCTGTATATCCTTGCTAGGTGTAGTCTCTTCTATCACTCCATTGAACACACAAGAATCCCAGACTTCTTGTCAATGATCTTGTGGTATCAGAACCTTATAATCTCTTTTAAAATATCCATTCCTTCATTGACAATTTTCATTTCTATTTAGATCGGGGGAACTTTATTATCACCCTGCTCCATCTATTTGGATTTTTGGCTCCTAATTAATTTAAGCACCTCACCCTAAATCCTAAAGGAATGACAAGGCATTTTCTTTCTCTATCAGCAGCCTATTGCTATTGGGAGATAACTTTTTGGCTATTTCCTCTTGACTTGAACGGCTTAGGAACCGCCATGAGCATGATTGACTGTCATTTTTTGGCTGACTAGACTTCATGGGTCACCATCAAATGATGCATGTTTTCTAGACCATACCCTTATGGCCGAGAGTGAGAGCCAACGATACTAAGGTAGACTTACCATCAATATAATGGCTTTAGGCTTAGCATGTATTCAATGACGCTTTGCAATGTTCTTCATAGGTATAGGGCTGACATATTTGTTGCCTAGTGTCTTTGAACACAAGTTGCATTTGAAGCTATTAGGTCAAGGGCATGTCTATCTAAGCACCACATTTTAGGCAGATGGATGGGACCACTATTTTTACTATTTCTAACAGCTCTTAAGTTTTTCAGGCTGGAGATATTGTTGATGAAAAGCTGGATGAGTCACTAATTATTGAGATTCTTGCTAGTACTGGAAAGGTTTGTATATCATGTTTGTTTAATTTTGTTTTCAATAACAATCTTGAATCGGGTTGGTGGCTAGCACGATTATTTTATTTCTTTTGCTAATTAGTTTAGGGAAAATTGCAATAAGGTCCCACCTAAGAGAAATAAATATAAAAATGTCCCTTGAAATCATCAAATTATTCTGAAGTCCCAAGGAACTTCATTACAAGAGATTCCATTTGTTTATTGACAACTCATGCATTTCAATTTTGTGATGTGTTAAGAAAATGTGTTGTTAATATCTGCTACAATAGTTGTTAATCATCACACCTCAAGTTGTTAACGACTGCTCTTTCAGTTGTCAATGCATACTTAAAAAAAAAGGCAGTTTGGTAATTAAACAAATGGAATTTCTTGCAATAAAGTCCTTGGAGATTTCAGAATAATTTGATGATTTTAAGGGATTTTTTTGTATTTAATTCTCTTGGATGGGACAGTATTGCAATTTTCCTATTAGTTTATGTACTTTTTATCATCTTTAGTTGTGTGGAGATTGGAGCATAATTTTCTTTCGTATTTGCCCTTCATCTTTTTTTTGGGGGGGGGGGGTTTATCTCTTTGGATAGGGATTATGGGTGTAGAAAAAAATAAAAGGAGAATAGATGAATATTTTGCCCTACTCGTATTCAATTGAGCAACTGCTGGGTGCATTTATAATAAGTTTATTTTGGAAAGAGTCTGCTCTAATTTAAAAATAAAAACTAGATCTCTCAAACAATAAAAATAAAATAAAATCTAATATAAACTAGGGAAGATTCTAATAACAAATTATTTAATAAAAATAGCAAAGAGTACCTGAAAATAATATATACCAAATAATATACTCCTCCGGTCCTTAATATAGGACTCAATTCTTGAGTTGATTTTGGTTCTAAATATAAGACCCATTTCTCATATTTATCAATTTTCTCTAAATTACCCCTATAGATACTCTCTCACCTATAATCAAGTAGAAGAGGGAGAGGGGGTATTAAGAAAGATGATTATGGTATTTTGGAAAAAATGTGTCACTTTTCTTATAATTAACTAACTTACCTAACTTCCTTAACCTAATCAAATTAGTTAAATGGGTCTTATATTAAGGACCGGAGGAGTATCTAAGATTGTAAGATCTCTAATTGCTATATTCAACGAAGATAAAGAGCTACCAGCAGGATTTTGATCTAGTAAAAGAGGCTAGTCTCTTAGAAAGTAGTGAATCAAGGTTCGAATTTCTGTCGGGAGAGGTGTTCACATTTAATGCCCAACAATACTTCGAATAGGATTGCCTCTGATAGCAGGAATATCTATATGTAGCCAAAAAAAAAAAGCCCATTTAGTTCATCTCTATTGTAACCTTGAATTTCACTCGTGGTAGTCTTGATTGCATTATTCCCATGCACTGCCATGTTGTCAAACTTGCCCTCAAAAGGTCAAAATTCCTAAAAATTATTCCATCTGCAGTCAACATATTCTGTGATGCCCTACCTCACTCTGACACCGACGGCCATGGCGACGAAGCCCAAGCAAGCTCATCCTTAGCAGCTAGGGCCCACCTTCATTGCGACCCAACCTCTATCTTGCACCAACTTCCATCGTTGTCCTCCTTACTCCTTCCCCTCAATATCACACCTCCTTAATGCTTGTCCATCTTCTTCGATCTCAAGATTCAACTGCCCATTAGATGTAAACCTTCTTCGACTATGATGGAGTAATCTTCTTGGACCTCGATAACTCTAGTTGCAGTTTTCCTTACACTGGTGAAGCATAACAAGGTTCGTTGTTGACAGTCCCTCCTCCGTTGCAACCCCATCTTTGTCCCCCACCTACTTCTACCGTCATTCGCACTTGTCATTGTGAATTGTCTACGTCTGTGCCACCATATTTGTGTTCCAAATCTAAGTTCCAAAGTGTGTTTCAGATTGTTTGGCAAAAGAATAAAAAGTTTGCTTCAAATGATCCGAAAGCTCTTCTTTGTGGTTATAATGCCAAAATCTCGAGTCGTCTTTATTTTGATCGTTACTAGCCTCTTTCAACTTTAATGTTGTTGTGCATTGCCTTCGGTTGTTGGAGAAAGAAATAGTATCATTTTGTGTGGGGGACTTGTGTCTGGCATAGGACATTGTTGAAGGAGGAAGGAGGATGGAGAAAGGAGGAAACGAGGAATTGCATGGGGACATGGTGGTCTTTTCATTCTTTTTTCAAAATTAAAGATATATTAAGAAACAAAAACGAGTTCATCTCATGAAAAAAAGAAAAAGGGGAAAGAGTCCATCTCATGTATAGGTGTAAAACAAAGCAATAATACTGCTTACTGGGTAGAAGCTTTCTAATTAATTTAGCACAACAAAGTAATGAGGGAAAATTGCTTTTGATGATTTATCACCAAGGTTAGCTGATTTTATATAAGAGGAGAATATTGCCGATAAATGCTGGAACATAAAATCCTAATAGTTATGCAATGAAAACCCTATTAATTACAAAAATTTGCACCGTTTAATACATTTCCTCAAGCTCGTGAGTGGTGTTATTCATTCCTAGCTTGATGATTAAGTTCTAAAAATGAATGCCACACAATCCTTTCATAAGGATACCTTCCCGCTGGTCACCAATAGCCAGTAGGAACAAAAGGAATGTAGATTAAACCGCATTCTAGTTTCTCTAATAAAATGCTGGCCATCCTCAGTGTACTTTGCCCAGTCGTGCTCAACCGGGTTGTGGGCAATGTTGATTAGTTGACTTGTTGCCGTGATAAAGTTTCATTGGACCTTTCCATTTGACCTTCAAGTCTATTAAGATTATCTTTATCCACGATAGCTCACAAATCCCAAATGTTGTGGCTTTAAACTCAGCCCCGACTGTGGATCTGGCCTCCAAATTCTACTTCTTGTTTCTTTAGGTGATGAGATTTGTGAGCTAGCAGAGTCAGTGTGGGAGATGTATGGATATATTGACTATTAAACGAGGTCGGCCTCAAATCCTCATTGCTTGCAAAGTTATGGTGTGACAACCAGGCAACTCTGTACATCGCCTCAAATCCGTATTTCATGGTCAAACCAAGCAGATTGAGATTGATGGCCACTTCATTTGTGAAAAGCTTCGAGAATCAGTCATTTCTACGTGCTATGTGAAGATTGGAGAACCGTCCTTGATATTTTCTCCAAGGCTTATAGTAGATGTTGTGAGGAATGTATTTGCAGTAAGTTGGACATGATTTACATATGTGCACCAACTTGAGAAGCATTAGAGATGTAAAAAAACATTTTATGTAATTTGTAATTACTATAGGTTTATAAATAGCATATAATCAGGACAGTAACTAGCACAGGATCATTTGTAATTAATAGCATTTATGTTGAAGGAGCCTACCTTGTTATAAATAGGCTTCAAACCTTTATGATGAAATGCAAGAAATTGTTCTCATACTCTATTTCACAATTACGATTGTTTCATCGGATTAGGGCAAATTACAAAGTCAAAGCTAAGACTAGATTTGGTATATGGGATAGACAATGGGCCTTTAGGCCTCCAGCAGCCACCATAGTTTCCCCGTTGAATAGTGAGCTTAGCACATGCTTTTTGTGATTAATTACCCTTGATATTTTAGCATTTTGGTTTCTTAGGTGCATGTCATTCAAGCAGATGGTGACCTGACGGTCAAGATGAAGCTGCATTCTTTGAGAATCAAGGATGAACTTCAGGGTTGTCTATCTGTGGTTCCTCATTATCTAGCTATTTCTGTGCTAAAAGATGAAGCATTATCTATTTCCTCTGGCTTACGTGATTCTTATGGGAAGGATGTGTCTGTTAGATATGCTGAGGATGATCATAGTTTTAAAGATGCATTGTCTGACTTCATCTATCAGACAGATGCAGATAATTACTTGCAAAATATGAATGTGGACCAGCGAGGATTGAAGGGGATTACATCTGATTTGGAGTCTCTCAAAACCATGGTTCTTGAAAAAGAATTTGAGAAGGGAAAGGATACTCCCCTGGAGGTGTGTTATGAGGCAGAAGGAAGTGATCATTCAGATTTCATATCTGTCACTTTTTTGATGAGGAGTTCACTATCACCTGATTATGACGGTATAGACACTCAGGTAATCAACTTGAGGGTTAACGTGGAATTACACTATGGTCAACTTTTATAATCAAGTCGTTGTATTTTAATTTCTAAGTGATATTCTTCAGATGAGTGTTCACATGTCCAAACTGGAGTTCTACTGCAACAGGCCCACCATTGTGGCATTAATTAATTTTGGCTTGGATATAAGCTCTGTACGTTATGTCACAATTCCTAATGACAAGGCACCAGCATCTGAGGAGCACAAGTTTATAAAAAAAGAAAAGGCAGATGAAAAAGGGCGTGTTACAGAATTGTTGGGCTTTAGTAAGGAACGTGCAATATTTCATTTACATTTGGATGTAGACAGTGTAGCGGTTTTTCTTAATAACGAGGATGGATCTCAGCTTGCTATGCTGGTACAAGAAAGTTTCCTATTGGATCTAAAGGTAATGGCGTTCTTTTCAATAGGTTTCCTAGAGCCATACTCCCTCTCTGCATGCCGGTTTTATATATGCTATGTTTCTATGATGATACAAGATTAGACCTTTTCACTTTCTTTTGTTGCCAATATGCTTGTGTAATTAATTATTTTTATTATGTAGGTTCACTTAAGTTCTCTATCCATCCATGGCACATTAGGAAATTTCAGACTTTGTGATAGGTCATTCGGTGCAGATCACTACTGGGCCTGGCTCTGTGATATACGCCATCCAGGCAGTGACTCCCTTATAAAGGTGCGATATCTTTTTCTACCAGCCAACCTTGTTTTGAATGTTATTATGATTTTATTTTTATTAATATTAGTTTTTTTAATGAATATTGTTACTCTCTAATATCCTTTTTCAGTTAAAATTTCATTCCTATAGTGCTGAAGATGATGATTATGAAGGATATGACTACAGCTTGCAAGGTCAACTTTCTGCTGTTCGCATTGTTTTCCTCTACAGATTTGTGCAGGAGGTATTTTGGGAAACTCAGTATGCTTGGTATTTCATGCTTGTCACTGTATCCAATTTATCATCTCAGATTCAGTTTATCATTTTGTCTTACCTATTGCAAATGGTCTCTATGAGTCCATATATCATTAGATTGGCTATCATTTTTTCTTTCCTACAACTGGTGCTTGAACTAATTAATGATTTTTTGCAAAATTTGATGGGGTCATGTTTGTTCAGATAACAGTATACTTTATGGAACTTGCCTCCCCACATACTGAAGAAGCAATCAAACTTGTTGATAAAGTTGGAGGGTTTGAATGGTTGATTCAAAAATATGAAATTGATGGAGCTACTGCACTCAAGCTGGATCTGACACTCGACACTCCAATTATCATTGTTCCAAAAAATTCAACAAGCAAAGAGTCAGTACATGTACTTTGTTCTTGTTGGTCTATATGGACTTCTATGGAGAATTAATGCTAGTCTTCTCAATAGATGTGCTACATATACCTCTTTCTTACTGGACTATCATCAATATATACTGAAGCTGCATTGTTAAAATCTGATGTGTGGGGCAGAAGAATGAGGAAAAAATAGGAAGAGAGGGGGGGGGGGGAGAGACGAAAGAGGATAAGTCTGAATAGTACACTGAATAATTCTTAATAGGCATAATCCATATTTACAGTTCCGCACTCCTTTTATAGGCAAAACCTCTAACAGTTAACTCCTTAACGCCCTCCCATAACTATGTTTCCTCTAACTAACTTCCCTGGCTATTATTAATAACACATCATGATCCTAGAACGGTACAACTCATCCTCAAACTCCATGCAAATGCATGGGACCCTCTCTTATTGTAATAGTTTATGAGGCAGACTGATAAATCCGCATCTCATTAATTTCTTTCACTTTCTGCATATATTTTATGGGATATGATAGTATTTAATTGCATAATTTTGGTTCTTGGGTTACGGATTTTCTATGAGTGTCACTTCTCTGATATGTAGAGATATTGGTCAGCTTTGTCTTCTTTTTAAGTCTTATTGGGCATTTTTCGTTTCTTTCTTTCTTTTTGTATTGTACAATATCTTATTCCTCAGATTAAGTTGTTTTCTTCCTCCCTTTTTCCCATAATTCTGTTTCTTCTTTTAACCGAATAAAAAATGTTTATATCTTAACTTAGGAAAAGAATAAAAAGTACATATGCCAAGTGTGGCATCTCTAAGCTTTATGCTATGAAATGTGGGCAAAGTATCTGGTTAATCTTTATTTAGGTCCCCATCATCCCTGGTTCGTTTATGATTTGAAGTGTCTTACTTTCCCTTACTTAGGTCACCCTAATATTTATTTAGGTCTCCTCCCGTATTTTCCCTTTTCCCTTCCTCATATTTTTTGAAGTGTCTGATGATATATAACTATATTCATTTGATTATGATTAAAATATGGATCTTATTGATATTCTTCATTTGCAGTTTCCTTCAACTTGATTTGGGGAGGCTACAGATTACAAATGAGTTGAGTTGGCATGGCTCTCAAGAGAAAGATCCTTCTGCTGTCCATATCGATCTTCTTCATGCTCAGGTACATATATCGTGCTAACTGGGCTGACATAATCAATATCTTTGAAACATTGCTGACTCTATTTCAATTCTAGATTATAGGTATCAACATGTCAGTTGGAATAGATGGTATTCTTGGAAAACCAATGATAAGGGAAGGTCAAGGGATTGATATATTTGTTCGTCGAAGCTTGAGGGATGTTTTCAGGATTGTGCCAACATTTTCGCTTGAAGTGAAGGTAATTCAAATAATTAGGATTTTCTATTATTTTCTTAAAATTGCGTTTTCACTTGGTGTGAACCAATTTCGTTGCTTAAGGATTTGGTATGAAACGTTGATCCAAGTCTACTTTACTTCCACCAAACAGATGGAAACATGAATGCTTTCTATATGTACCAATTCAATCTACCTTTTTGAGGGAAACTATGGCATTCTATTTTCTGATTCCAAATTCAGAAAATAGTATCGTAGTGGCCAGATGAGCTTTCCCTTGCTCTGTTCCTTGTTTAGGCTTACTTTGACGTTTTTAATGTGACGTTTTCAACACTTCCTCTCGGTTTGAGGAGCTTTGTTGCATTAGATGCACCACAAGAGTCTTTGTTAAATTGCTTAGGTCGCTCAACTTCACCACTGTTTCCATATGGTCAAAGCTTAACGTTTTATCAACACAGAGCCTTCCACTGGTTAGGTTTCCACCATCACATCCCGCTGTCCTTCTCCTTCTTGAACAATAGCAATGGTCTCTACCACGGTTGGCAACTCTTTCCAAGTATTTGAATTCTCACAAGTCACAATGTCAAACTCCACATTCAACCGTGCACGACGCCGAAAATTCTTTTTTCCACAAAGCATTTCAAGGTTAGTGTGTCTTCACTGCACTTCATCACGATGCTCTAGTAACAATTTAGTACCTGCCACAAACTCCTCACTATATTGAGTTATTCAATAGAAGACTTACTGTCCTATTTCGTATTGGAGATTTTGGTCTTAGGGGGTGTGTGGGTGAAAACCAAACCATGGTTTTAAAAGTAATTTTACAGTTTACAAAATAATTATGTGAGAAGAATTTTGTCTTGACTTGCATGAAAGTACTTTTGAAATGCGCTTTTTTGAATAACCAAACACCCCTTTAATCTCATTAGACCTGAGCAGCATCTTTCACTTCAGACTAGGTTTGATGTGTAATATCCTGTATCTCCTTAGCTGAACTCCGGAAGAAACACATAGGACTGACTTTTAGGGATCATGGAATTCAGCCATGAGACAATCGTCAAGCTTTTATCATCCCAAGAGTCAAAATTTGGATTGCCTGTCTTAGGACATGCATGTAGCAATTGAACTTTTAAAACCCTTCAAAAGCGTATGAACGAGCTGAGATCAGGCCAAAACAATTCTTCCCCTTCAATATGTAACAGGCTGGATTGACTAGCAACTTGCCATATGCGCTAATTAATACAAGATACAGTACAATGGCAGGTAGCAGATGACTTTAACCTGGATGGAACAGGTTGATATGAACAATGTGATCTGGATCGACTGGTGGTTGAACAAAGCTCTCACACACCCTCATGCATCTGCATATGAGCTGTGGCAGAAAATTGAGCTTCATTTACCAAGGGTTGGCTGATCTAACATTTTTTAGGCAGCTGGTAAGGTATTGGGTGGCTAAAAAATGACATTCAGCTGGGAAAAGTGCCACTTACAAAAGGAAATAGGTCTGGGAAACAGAGAAAGCAATGGCAGCAAAAATAAAGGCCATGATCAGGAACGAACGAGGGCAATATGCTCTAATGCCATGACAGGATTTAGGGAAAAATTTTTATGAGATTCACATCAGAAAGGTTGTGCAGTGTTTATATACAAGGAGGGAAGAACTTTCCTAGGAAAGGTGATAAATACACAAGGAACAAATATCAAAACTTAAGGGATTGACATCCCAAGATTATTCTGGGGTCAAATTATAAATACGATGATTACAAATGATCCATAATAATTACAAATAAAAACATAGTCCGTGAAAATTGACTCAAATCCTTGCTTGCTAACTCACGGTCAAGTATTTCTTGAGTACTTTGTTGCCCATAAATATATATATATTTTTTGGAACCTACGTCACTAAATTCTCTTGTTAGCATAATGATCTCTTGAGCAGGTGGATCTGTTGCATGGCATAATGTATGCTAAAGAATATAAAGTGATTTTGGATTGTACATACATGAATTTATCTGAGGAATCAAGGCTTCCTCCAAGCTTTCGTGGTGGAAATTCTGCTTCAAAAGATACTATTAGGCTTCTGGTTGATAAGGTTAACATGAACAGTCAGCTTTTGCTGTCACAGACTGTTACAATTATGGCTGTTTTTGTCAACCATGCATTGCTAGAGTTGTGTAATGGGATTGATGAAGCTTCACCATTGGCTCATATTGTTGTGAGTATTTTTTCTATAAACTCACAATAGAGGTGTCTGCTTGTCTACTCAAATTTGTTAGCCTGATATTTCAACTTCGTGTTTATTTATTTTTTTCTGACTACATTTTAGAACCTTTTTCTTTCCACTTGATGTTAGTCATCTAAGAATTCTTGTTTAATTTTCATTTTTATTTCTGATATTGTGGTGCTTTGCCAGCTGGAAGGCCTTTGGGTTTCATACCGTATGACTTCTTTGTCAGAAGCAGATCTTTATGTGACAATTCCCAAATTCTTTGTGTTAGATGTTCGCCCAGACACAAATTCTGAAATGCGTTTGATGCTTGGAACATCAACTGATGCGTTGAAGCAAGCAGTTACTGGAAACTTTCCCTTTAATAGAAGCATCTCTAGAAGGATAAGCAGTGAAGCTGGAATGGACATTGATTTGCCCATTTTAACAATGTTCTTGATGGATTACAGATGGCGGAGGTCATCCCAATCAATTGTGATTCGTATTCAGCAACCCCGGGTTCTTGTGGTGCTAGATTTTCTTCTTGCTCTGGCTGAGTTTTTTGTACCTTCGTTGGGTTCATTAATTGGAAGAGAGGAAAGTATGGATCCAAAGAATGATCCTATTAGCAATGACAACATAGTGCTGATGAAGCCTGTTTACAAGCAGACAGAAGATGTGGTTCACCTCTCTCCATGCAAACAGTTAGTTGCTGACTGTGCTGGCATCAATGAGTATACATATGACGGTTGTGGAAAGCTTATCTGTTTAGGTCTTGAAACAGATGCTACGGAACTTCACAACAGAAGGTTTCGACCAATTATACTCATCGGTCATGGGAAGAGATTGCGATTTGTTAATGTAAAGATTGAGGTAGTATGTTTCTTATCAAACTGTTACCATGTAAATTTTGTCTTAGTTTCTAATACATTTAAGAAGTTTATTTTCTTTTCTACGAAATGTTCAATGAAAAATAGTATGTGTTTGAATGATGAGTATGTGGTGTTTAGGTTAAAAGAAATGTATTAATTACTAAGAACCTAAGGTCGTACTTCATGTACTACCATTTGTGCCTAAGCTAATTTGCAATTTTAAATATACACACACTATAAGTTGGTTATTTCTTTCTGGTTATTGTTCTTTTCACTATATAGAGGTTCTTTTTAGAGGAGCACATGGAGGCTGTTTTTAGAATATTAAGGTATTTAAAAGTGATGATTGGAAAGGGTCTTTTTTATCTAGAAAGGGACGCATAGAGGTGTTAAAGTATTCTCAGATGCAGAGTGGACATGATCCATCTTCGTTCTGTTTATTTGTTAGTCTCTGATGGAAAAGGAGTACTATAGGACGCCCACTCTTTATTAAGCACCATAGACTACTTTATGGGATTTTTAAACCAAGTTTAGTTAGCTTTTGGGACAGGGTTCTTCATCCCACTTGAGTGACAATCAGTCTCTCTTCCATGAAAATCTTCATGACCTCTTAAACAACAGCCTATCACAAATGAAATTTGAAGAAGTAATCAAGCTTAAACAACAGCCTATCACAAATGAAATTTGAAGAAGTAATCCAGACAGGCATGTTGGATATCTTATCTTAAGGAGGTGTGTTGATCTTGCAGAACCTTGGCCTTGTCTTGTGGTTATAATTCCTTGATTTTCTGCTATTAAATCAACTATTTCTTGGCTGAAAAAACAACTAGTTAAATTTAAGTTTTCCCTCCTCAATTTGTTTCACAGATAATATATTTTATAAACCTTTTTTTTTCTGTTGCTGCTTTAATGGAATTCTTGTGGCAAACTTGTTTCCATAATCCCCATATATACACAAAATTTTCTGTGATAAGATTTAGATCAGAGTATCATTCTCAAGTATGAAATTTGGCCTAGATTTCAGAAGAAATTTTATCACCAAAGGAAAAAATCTACAACTCACTGGAGGACAAGAATTCCTCATACCGGGCCTAATAATGTTCAAAGTTGAAGCAGAAACAGAATTCCTATCAGGCCTAATAATGTAAAAGAGTTGTCCAAACATCACTGTATCATGACCAAATGCCAGGCACCATCAAAGCTTAAATGAATAAAGACAGCCTATCTAAGCTTGGTGACTTGGTTCAACATTCTTGGTACCTTGATTTCAACAAAATTAGTGAACTTCAGATTTAGGGGTTTCTGTTGTCCAGAGTTAGAGAATTCAACTGGGTGGATTAAATGGAGACATGCTACCGAAGTTATTTGTGACCATTAGGCAAAAAGAACCATATATTGTGCTTGTAGGGAGTAAGGGGATGAGTTTATGTGAGAAAGAGTAAGATGGTACAAATGTGATGAGGTGGGAAATGTGGCATGGAAGTAAATGATCCATGTGCTGGAGGAGGGAGAAGTGAGACGTTAGGGTGAATATATGGGGAGGTTGAGAGTCAGAGAAGGCACGATTTCAATCTGGATTGGGAGAGTCTCTGGCCTCTCAAGTGTTAGGAGGCTTTGTTTATTGGCCCTTATTTTGTTATTCCGTATTGCATTACAGTTGCTTTCCTTTGCTGCCATAGGTATTTGTTTTTGCTAGCGTTGAGGATCCTACGTTGCTTCTCTGAGTGGATATATAAAGGAGGAATCTGTTTTTTGTCCCTGTTTTTCAATGATATATAGAAATTATTTTCAGTAGTTATGGAGTTTCATCATTTTGTTTCATGAAAAGTACAAAAGTTGCTTTCTATCGTTTTGAAACTTACAACTTTGATATTGATTGATCCATCAGAACGGTTCTCTTCTAAGGAAGTATACATACCTTAGTAATGATAGCAGCTACTCAGTCTCTATAGATGATGGTGTTGAAATAGTACAGCTGGACAAGCCCTCGTTTAGTGGCAAGAAGAACCTGGAGCGTATGGCTAAATCATTTGACACTTCGAGTTCTGTATATTCCCAAAGTGAATATAGTGGAATTCAAAGTTTCACCTTTGACACCCAGGTAGATGATCTATGATTTTTCCAACAGTTATATGCATACAGTTGAAATAGACATTACTAGCATGTTTGGTCTCACATTAGCGAGCATCAAACATGCACAACATTATATGTTTCCTTATTATTATATTCATCTGCGCAAGAAACTCACTCAAGAATTTCTTAATAACCAAGGAATATCTCCCAATTACAATAAATCTCATTGTATCCTACTTCAACCAGCTGCTGTCCTATTTGTGTTGTGAAGATAATTATTGTCCTATTTAGTAGTAAGGGAACTGGAAACTAAGTAGCCTGTACTAGAGGCCCATATCTTTGTAATTGTCATTAAAGAAAGGATGTGATCACCTCTAATAAATTTCCAGTTAGATGATCTTTGATTTTTCTGACAGTTACATGTTCACCATTTTGGTCATTTGAACTCACTAGACTACTAATAATGCAATCAGACACAATTTTCTCCCTATTGAAATGATAATCAATCTCTGTATGCTTAGTCCTGTAACAAGATTGAAGACTGTATATAAGTAAGCTTAATTGTCACAAATCAGCTGCATCGGATATGCAACCCATGGCATACCTTCCTTTATCTGCCTGCAAACAAGATGTTCTAGATCAACTACATACACCATAATATCTTATTGCAACAGATTTTGAAAGGATCCTGAAATTTCATTGTGTTTTCTGGTGTTTCACTAAATAGGGAGAAAGTGAAAACAAAATTTATACATGATATTCCTTCAATACTCAAAAGAAAACGTTCTCTTATTAAATGTCTGTTTCTTTTTCCTGATCACTAGTGAATCTGCATTGAAAAAAAAGAACCTTCCTTTCTTTGGTTCATTAACAGTTCTAAAATGCATTAAAGAAGCTTCACTTATGTGCTAATTTGAGTTGCTTTTGATTCATTTGAGATAGTATCCCAGGTTTGCTTCTTCTTTTTTTCCCCCCAGAAGGGGGAAAAATGAAAGAATTGACACAGAGAGGTCTGAAAGTATTCTCGAATTATTTCTATTAAACAGATTACATGGGTATATATAGACATATGAGGGAGCAATCCTAGGTGTTATTTTAGGAAGGAAATAAATAAAAAATATTTGCAACGAATGTGGGGATTATTATCCCTTAATCCTAGGAATATAACAGATACAGATAATATTTCCTAATTAATTACAATATATTGTATCAGAAATTGTCTTACTTTTTTTATAAATTTTTTGCAAGAAATTTGTTTCCCTTGAAAAGGTTGGAAATTTTATTTTCCATGTAGATTATTTCTGACGGCTATTTAACTTTGGTATGAAGGTTATCTCTTCAGAATTCACCTTCTATTGTGATACAAAGTCATCTTTGGATGATTCATGGTATGGAGAAAAGCTTATTCGAGCTAAGTTGGACTTAAGCTTCATGTGAGTGTTTCCCTTTTCTTGTGTTGTTGTTTGCATATGATTCAAGCCTTCAGTTTTTTTGGGCAAACTCGAGTAGTGTTTTATGCATTTATTTTATATTCTCAGCGCGCGCGCGCACAGACAGATATATTTCATACTTTATTTTAAAAGATAAAATAAGAAATGGTATTATAGAGAAAGATGTGAGAGAAAAGGATATGATGCCCTCCACAAGAGATAAGACCAAAATGAATAGAGAAAAATAAAATAGAATTTTAAACATGAGATAGTAATCCTGATGAAAAACAACTAATTAAGGCTCTTGTAAAGGCAAACTCTTTTGGTTGGACGGCAATTCTTGATAGAATTAATACTAATTAGTTTATCTAGAATTTGAAGGTCCAGTATGGTTGCATCTCCATGTGTTTGTGTGATCCGTTTTTGAGATTCAAACAAACATTCACTATCACTGCTTTCTAGAGTGCCATGGCAGATTTGGATTTTTTATTTTTGGGTGCTTTTCAGGAGCCATGGGTTTGTTAGCTAATCTATATGTTTTCTATCCTTCAGGCATGTTAGAATATTATCAATTTGTGATAGATTAGGACAAGTATTTTGGTTGATGTGGAATTCCTAACATTTCCTTTTCTGTCATGTATTTAGGAGTTTATTGTAAATAACCTTTCTCTTTTGGACATTTTTATTGATTCTCTCTAGTTCTAGGCCTAGATGTAGTTGAGTCCATAACTTGTAAATGGATTTGAAAGAAATACAAAGACTTATTTAATTCATCATCTCTTCTAATTTCTTTAGCTCTTTCTCTTTCATTAATTACTAGTATGATGGATTTGAATCAGTTGTACTACTTTCATTCTTCACCTTATTTATAATTAGTGCAGTGCCCCTGAGTGTAACCTTGAGTTTTCACAACAACAGAAAACCTTTCAAATTCCTCACAGAGAATGCTTAAGGCCATGTAAAGATTTGTTGAGTTTGCACACCTTTCCTTATAGTCTTTAAAACCTAGCTAATGTAAAATATAATTCCTAATAAATTCTATCCTGATTCAAAACTGAAAATGAATTAAATTTAAACTTTTGAAATAAAGATAATTGTGAATCTGGGTCTATACTCCCATCATAAACTTAGTCATACCTGAAAATCTTTTTTGGTAGTTAATTCCATGGAGTTGAGTGAAGCCATTTGTCCCTAACCTTGCCTTGTGTTTTTTGCCCCTAACCTTGCCTTGTGTTTTTTGCCCCCAACCTTGCCTTGTATTTTTTGCCTAGGATCATGTCAGAGTTGGTGTGACATCTGATGAGGGAAAAATGATAGAAAATCATTTAAGATAGTTTGGTCATATACAAGAGGGGTGAGTAGATAGTCTTTAGCCCTATGAAGAAACGTAAAGGGAGAATAAGGACACTTGATCTCTTAGTTAATGGCTATCAGGAAGAATTGGTCTTGGGCAGAGCACAATGACAACAAATGATCCATGTATAGCCAACCCTATTTAGTGGGATAAGGTTTTTGTTGTTATTGTTGCTTCTGCTACTCATGTCAGAGTTGTATTTGATGTTGATTATCAATTTTCACTTTACAATCTCTTTCCCTTTAAGGTTTCACAAGCTTTAGCATTCCATTATTTCTTGATTAGCAACTTTTGTACAGGCTTCTCATTTCTAGGCTTCATAAATATAGTGAGATGAAAGCTTCATAAATACAGCTAGGTATCTTTGCATGAGAAATATTAGCAGAAAAAGCCATAGATAGGATGGAGATAATTTAGCAGAGGACACATTTTACCAATAGGATGTTTACTGCAAGTGCGAATTCCTTTGCTTCTGCACCTACTTCCTTTTGACATCAAAACATGGGTTCCCTTTGGGGCACATCATGGCTCTTGGTACATTAGGTTTAATTATGGGAGTAGTTTCAGGTTCTTGGATGGTTTGGGCTTCTTGACCAAGTTCCAGTTCATCAAGAGTAATCCCTAAATCAATTTAATAATTAAAATTTAGATCAAGTACTAGGGTTATCAATAATCATTAATGCGACACGAACTATTCTAACAGAAATCAAATACCCTTTTGAGGATTTTTTCATCTAGACTATAGTGCATTACAGGATCAGGGCATGATGCACTGGTTTCCTACCATATCTTATGGGAAATACCTTTTATTTTTAATTTATTTAGTGTTCTCATATGTCCTTTGTATTTGGGGGAGAGGGGATCTTACTGATTGGCAAAAGTAACTGTTCTTGCAGCTAAGGTATGTGACAAACAAGCTTTTGACCTTAACTTTATTCTCTCAATATGAGCAGGTATGCCTCCAAGGAAAAAGACACTTGGATTAGAGGCTTGGTGAAAGATTTTACTGTTGAGGCTGGTTCTGGTCTTGTCATCCTGGATCCAGTGGATATTTCCGGTGGATATACTTCAGTAAAGAACAAGAGAAATATTTCTTTACTATCAACAGACATATGTATCCATCTTTCACTTAGTGTTGTTTCTCTTATACTCAATCTGCAAAGTCAGGCATCAGCTGCATTGAATTTTGGAAATACAACACCCCTGGTTCCATGTACCAACTTTGACCGCATTTGGGTGTCTCAAAAAGGTTTCTGTTTTATTTTGAATTAGTTTGATACCCTAAAGTTATGAGATTTCAGACTTCTCTGTTTAGGTTATTTCAATCACTTTGTGAATCTCTGTTTTACATTAATAAGAACAGAGATCAAAGAACTGGACAACCTTTTCAAAAAACGAAGATAAAAAATTTATATCTATTTTTCCATTTTTGGTTCATGGTTGTTGTGTGTTGTGTCTCATATAGCCAAGAGAATGCAATATTTGATTCTTTATGAACTTTTTGGTCATTTGTACTTCGCAGAGGTTGACTCTCAAAACAGTATCACCTTTTGGAGGGCTCGACCACCGGCAAATTATGTTGTGTTAGGAGATTGTGTGACATCAAGGTAGTTTCTATTTTTCATCCATGTTGTACTTGGTGTGACAATTGAAGCTCTAGTTCCTTATACTTTCTAAGACAAAATGTGTAGTATTTGCTTTGTATAAAAATAATTATTGATAAGAAGAAAGAATAATAACAAAAGGCATGAAACAGAGGGCATGAAATCGTGTCTGAAGATAAGAAAGACAATGGAAAAACAACTATCTCTTTAACTAAAAGAGCCCTCCCATCCCTCTGAAGATCATCAAGGGAAGCTGAAGAATAAGCATCCCTGGGAAAAATGGGTGCAACACTATTTATGGGTCTAGAGCTAAGAGAATTTCCAATGGCTTCCCCTAGAATAAGGCCATACACAATAAAGTCCAAAAATAATGAAAAAAGTGGAAAAAATTGGAATTCCTCTTAGACTACCTTTTAAAAAAAAAAAAAACTATAGTATAATCCTCTACCAAGGATGTGGCATATGAAATCTTTTATAAAGAATTAAAGCATTAAGAGCCAAACCAGCCAGTCAGATTAGAAAACCAATGAACTTGTCACTGAGCTAGTGTGGAGAGTAGGGTAAACTGCACTAATAGAAAACCAGTCAAAAATCAATCGAGACTGAAAAAACAAATTATTCAACCAGTTTAAGCCGGTCACCCCCCCGGCCCCCCCAATGTTATGATATACCTAATAAGCATTAGGAATTTAGTGAATAAATATAATATGCACGTGCTAGAAAATAAGTATGCACATCATGGGTATCCTACAACTCATAATAATTTCATTTTTTTAATATCAAATATCTATTAACTTTTTTAGATTATAGTTACTTCTTATCGTCACTCACTATTTTTCTTTATTTTGTTATTGTTTGTTGGTTTGAAAACAAATTGTGTTTTTTTTTTTTCATTTTTCATTTTTCATCTTTCTTATTTAAAATAATCGATATATAATTAAAAATACAGTATTAATCATGGTTGGTCTGACCAAACAATTGTGAACGACTGCTTCAACCAGTTTAATTGCTAACCTGGCTTTTAACGCCGTATTAGAAATTTTTGCATTCTATTCTAACTAGAACACCACAAACCTGCAAAAGCTGCATGCTGCAGAATTTAGTGGCCAAGAAAGATCACTTAGAGGAACCCATCTCTCATTAAGTATCTTATTGTTGAGATTGAGGTGTAGTTTGTTTTGTTGGAGGAAATAGGTTTTTTTTCCAAAGCTTATGTTCTGTGTCTTGCATTTCTTTTTTGATGTTTGATAGAATGGGTTATGAATAACTTTGGATGCTTTGCTAAAATAATTCCTAATGCAATTTCCTGTCAGGGCAATTCCTCCTTCACAGGCGGTAATGGCAGTAAGCAACATATATGGTCGTGTAAGGAAGCCTATTGGTTTCCACCTTATCGGATCATTTATGAGTATTCAGGGCCTCCACTCTGTTTCTGGCAGTGATTGCTTTCTCTGGATGCCTATTGCACCCACAGGCTACATAGCATTAGGTTGTGTAGCTCATGTAGGGAGACACCCACCCACAACTCATGTTGTTCATTGCTTACGTTCAGATCTTGTAACATCAACATTAGTTTCAGATTGCATATTTAATATTCCTCCGAACATTCACTTTACTTCTGGATTTAGCATATGGCGTCTTGATAATGTTATTGGGTCGTTTTTTGCACATTCTTCAATTGAATGTCCCCGTGAAGATAGATGTTACGGCCTTAATCATCTGCTACTCTGGAACTCAAATCAAGTGTCGTCTTATCTAGTAGATCCAGTTGCAGATTTTAATTCTGATCATGATGATGAATATCAGGGGTTAGACCAAAGTATGAATACCTCTGAATGGGATATTCTCAGCTCCATTTCAAGAGGAGCTAGCTTCTATATGTCAACGCCTAATTTTGAGAGAATTTGGTGGGACAAAGGCACTGATCTTCATCATTCAGTCTCCATTTGGCGACCTATTGCTCATCTTGGTTATGCTGCCTTGGCTGATTGCATCACTGAAGGGTTAGACCTGGTCATTTTTATACTTTCTTTTCCATTTTTAGTCATTATTTGTGTTTTGGGTGACCTACTTTGAACTTTTGTTTGTTCAATTGTTCTAATATCTTGTCTCTTTTGCGGTCTTTTCAGCCTGGAGCCTCCTACACTTGGAATAATCTTTAAGAATGACAATCCTGATATTTCAGCAAAACCTGTTCAATTTACCAAAGTCGCCCATATTGTAGGCAAAGGAATTGAGGAAGTTTTTTTCTGGTATCCTACAGCTCCTCCTGGTTATGTTTCTCTAGGATGTATTGGCTCCAGAACAGACGAACCACCAAGTGTAGATTTGTTATGCTGCCCAAGGATTGATCTTGTTAGTCAAGCAGATGTTCATGAGGTGCCACTTTCAAGATCTTCAAGAGCACCTCAATGCTGGAGTATATGGAAAGTTGAAAATCAGGTTACTCTTAACTTTCAGTGCTCTCTGTCCTTCAAAAAGTGTTCCGCTTGTAGCATAAGAAGTTTGATTTTAATTAATGGGTTTATGAGTGTTATATTTTACTCAAATATTATCAAACTTTAAGGGGGGGGAGGGGAAAGGTTAAACGTGTATCCTCTCTGCAGGCCTGCAGTTTTCTGGCTCGTTCTGATCTTAGAAAGCCATCCAACCGATTGGCCTACATAATTGGTGATTCAGTGAAGCCCAAGACTCGTGATAACATAACCACTGAGCTGAAACTCAAACGGCTTTCTTTGGCAATTTTGGACAGCTTCTGTGGAATGGTGTGTTTTCTATGCCTACTGTGGAAACATCGCTCTACCATTATATTATACCAACAATATCACTTTTACTTGTTGAGAGCCACCATTTTCTTGTAAACTTCAATTATAATTTCGACTACCCTTCCAGATGACACCCCTATTTGACACGACCATTACCAACATCAAACTTGCAACACATGGTGGACTAGAAGGATTGAATGCAGTGCTGATTTCTTCAATTGCCGCATCAACCTTTAATGCACAATTAGAGGCATGGGAGCCACTTGTGGAGCCATTTGATGGAATATTTAAGTAATATATTAATTTTAACAATTTTCAAAAAGAATTAAATTGTGAAATTTTCAAATCTTCTGACATTCTCATTAATCATCAAAAAGTCCTAGTGGGAATATTCTATCAATTAAATTTTTCCCATTCGACTTGTTTAGGTTTGAAATTTATGATACCAATGCACACTCACCATCAGGGCTTGGAAAGAGAGTTCGTGTTGCTGCTACCAGTATCCTGAATGTGAATATCAGTGCAGCAAATCTTGAAACCTTTGTGGAAGGCATTCTTTCATGGAGAAGACAATTAGATCTTGAACAGAAAGCAATGAAGCTAAATGAGGTCAAATTTATAAACAGTCATACATATATCACGTTGAATGAAATGTCTTATATAAGCTTTACCAGCTCATCGGCTTTGCAGGAGATTGGTGGTCAACCAAGAAATGGAGAAGACACAACTTTTTCTGCGTTGGATGTGGATGACTTGCAGACTGTGGTTGTAGAAAATAAACTTGGTTGCAATATCTTTGTCAAAAAGTCTGAGCAAGATATAGATACTGTTGACAAGCTACATCACGGTGACTCTGCCTTGGTGTGGATTTCACCTCCAAGGTTTTCAGATAGGTTAAATGTTGCGGACAAATTTTTGGCACCGCGATACTATATTTCTGTACAGATACTTGGAGCCAGGGTGATACTATGTTAAATGGTTTATCTAGAAATTCAATCGCAATTCCCCGTACATGAAGTATTGAATTGATTTATTCTAATATATGTAGGGTTTACCCGTCATTGATGATGGAAACAGCCATAACTTCTTCTGTGCTTTGCGTCTGGTTGTTGAGAGCCAACCAACAGAACAGCAAAAGCATTTTCCCCAGACTGCAAGGACAAGATGTGTGAAGCCTTTAATTTCAAGTAGTGATGGGGATGAAGGCATGGTAAAATGGAATGAACTCTTCATTTTTGAACTTCCTCAAAAGGTATTTCATTGGCTAGTTCCATACTTCTGCTCTGATCTGGTCCTATATATTTGTTGTCCTGATTAAGACTATTTAGATAGACCTTAAGCAAATATTATGCTCTCTTCGTATGAAGTTGATGGGATATGAGCAAACCCAGATTGAGTTTCCTTATTCCATTCACATAGAAAACCATTACTGGAGAATAAATTACAGAGTGAGATGGATAGAGAAGGTTGATGCTCATGCCTCAAATCAAGGAAAGAAACCACGGCAAATAGAATATAATAATAATATTCAAAAAACACATTAATGAAACTACAAGATATCAACTAATAATGAAAATAATAATCAACTATGCCAATGCTTGAAGGCTAATGAGCAAGAATGAGAAAATCTCAATCTCCATCTTTATGATAAAATCCAACTATCTTAATAGATCTCCTTGGTATGTGTCTTCATAGACTTCCCCTTTTTTCACTTGTCTTTTTAAAATAATTGTTTTGTCAGAAATTTATCTGATAACTCTATTATGGATTCCAATCAGATTTTTTTTCCTGCATAGACCACACTCGTAAACTTCAGATTGTTATCATACTAATGGATTTTTTTGTACGTACTATTCCATTGAGAAACTTGTTACAGACCCCTGCTAAGTTGGAAATAGAGGTTACAAATCTTGCTGCGAAAGCTGGAAAAGGTATCTCTATGCTGCCCTCTTAAGTGGGCTTTTTCCAAGCAAAGTCTATAAGATCCATAGACTCAATTTCTCTGATCAATAGTTCACTTCATTTTGAGTGATATTTTAGTGAGAATGATGAAACAAAAAACTCGGCTTTCTTTTGCCTTTCCCTTAAAATTTGTTTACTCGTTGTGCAGGTGATGTTGTGGGTGAGCTTTCTGTTTCCGTTGGACATAGTGCACATACTTTAAGGAAGGTGGCTTCTGTGAGAATGTGTCATCAAGCACATGATGTCCCGAATATTACATCATATCCACTCAGGAGAATGGTGATTTACTATATTTTGCATTCTTACATCACGTGTCCTTTACCTAGATATTAATTTTCAATTGTTTCTTTCTTTTTCACTTTTTCAGGTTCAACAGAACAATGAGGAAGACATTAATGAGGGGTGCCTCTTACTTTCAACTTCTTATTTTGAAAAAAATTCAATTGCAAACCTTGAAAAAGATACAGAAAATAAGAATGATATTGATAGAGATGTAGGTTTCTGGGTAGGGCTTGACCCTAGGGGTGAATGGGCAAGTGTTCGATCTTTGCTTCCACTTTTAGTGGTTCCCAAATTATTACAAAATGAATTTATTGCAATGGAAGTTGTCATGAAAAATGGCAAGAAACATGTAATTTTCAGGGGTCTTGTCACAACAGTGAATGACTCGGACATTCCAATCAATATTTCTACATGTGAGGCATCTATAAGCTATGCTACAGATCACTCACTTGGAGCAAGCGGTCCTGAGATTTTACTGGAAGAGGTCTTTCAAAATCAGTATTATCATCCAACGTCTGGTTGGGTTAATGAATCACTAGGTTTGAATCATGAAAATATCTACCACTGGAGCACAAGGGACTTCTCATACTCATCAAAGGTTAGTATGTTTCCAGTATGTTCTTGTGAATTAACTTCAATATCTGCTATGAGCATAGTTAATCCATTGGTCATGTGTTTTGAAGGACTTCTTTGAACCTCCACTTCCTCACGGTTGGAAATGGTCATCAGCGTGGATGATAGACAGATGTCAATTTTCTGACAATGATGGCTGGGTATATGGGCCTGATCTTAAAAGCTTGAAATGGCCTCTTAACTCTTTAAAGTTTTCAGCAAAATCAGCCTGTGATGTTTTCCGACGGAGGCGTTGGATTAGACAAAAGTTTTCTGAGGAAGGCAGAGAATGCACAGGGAGTGGAACATCTCTAGTATATCCTGGCGCTTCAACTGTTTTATCTTGGGCAAGCACCTCCAAGGACTGTGATAAATGTTTGCAGGTTCAACCGATTGTTGACAGTCCTCAGCTCTTCTATTCATCAGGTCTTGCAGTTGCTGTTGGTAAAAGTTATATGTATGGTGGTAAAGATCAGCTCCTATTAGATCAAGGTTCTAGACAGAATTTACTAATGTCCTATTGTCCGTTGAAGCTAAATCAGCTTCAGAAGAAGGATGTACTTCTGTGCTGTAACCCTAGCAGCGGAAGCAAACTATTTTGGTTAAGTGTTGGAATTGATGCCGCAGTTCTTAATACTGAAGTATATGCACCTGTGTATGATTGGAGAATATCAATTAACTCTCCTATAAAATTGGAGAACTGGCTTCCTTGCTCTGCTGAATTTACAATTTGGGAGAAAACCAAGGAAGGGAATCGAGTTGAGCAGCATCATGGTACCATATTGTCTCGTCAGAATGTGCATATATATTCTGTGGATATTCAGAAACCTGTGTATCTAACTTTATTTCTGGAGGAAGGCTGGGTTATGGAAAAGGTAATGGCAAAGTTAGGTCTTCCTGGACATAATCTTATTCAATAAATATCTTAGTTGAATTGGTTGCATGTGTAGTTATTGTGTATTCTTCGTATCATTTTCTTGCTTTCTTGGTTCAGGACGCTATTTTGGTGCTGGATTCTTCTTTTTCTGGTCATGTCTCATCATTCCGAATGGTTCACCAAAAAAGTAGTAGGTTTGTGATCACAACTTTAAAATATAAAAGTTAATTTCCTAAAGTACCTTGTATTCACACCATAATGCGCATCTTTCCAAATCAAATATGAATATTCCTTTTCAAAATTGTTAAACATTTCTGGTAACCTTTTGAGGATTATTCTTTTGCCATGCTATTCATTCTAAACAGGCTCTTTTTCATATCTCAATCTGTGATACTGACATGAAAACTTGCAACAAATTATACACTGCTGCACATTGAATTTCTTTTATAATCCAGTGTAATCTTTATTTTAGCATCTGCCATCGCCATAGCTATATCGTTCTTGCAGGAAATTGCGTGTGAGCATTGAACACGACATGGGTGGGACCACTGCTGCACCTAAAACGTTGAGATTTTTTGTTCCATATTGGATTGTCAATGAGTCATCTCTTGCTCTAGCATACCGTGTGGTGGGAGTGGAATATTTAGAAAGTGCAGATATGGATTCTCTTCCACTTTCTAGAGGCATCAAGTCTTCCAAAACAGTCGACAAAAAAAGTTCTGGTTCAAGGAGAAATCTTCAAGTGTTTGAAGCAATTGAAGACAGTGGTCATTTTCCTAGCATGCTCTCACCACAAGACTATGCCAGTCGTAGTGGAGTTACATTCTTTCAATCCCATAAAGATACGTACCAGTCACCACAAGTGGGCATTGCCATTGCTATGTGCCATTCTGAAGTATACAGCTCTGGGATTTCTCTGCTTGAACTAGAAAACAAGGTTATACGAAAAAGACATAAAATTACCTGCTTCACATCGCTGTTTCAGATATATGTAAATTTCTTTTTTTTTTTTTTTTTTAGGTGTTGACGCATCAGTAATGTCAGGTTTCTCTTACATTATATAATGTTCATTTAGAATTCATTTGTCTTTCAGGAACGGATTGATGTCAAGGTTCTAAGTTTAAATGGATCTTACTACAGGCTTTCAGCATTATTAAACATGACGTCAGACAGAACAAAGGTTAGAGAACCTACATTGTACTTACCTTTCAGTTGGAAAGTTTTATTTGCAATGTTATCTCATGTTCCCTCAGACTCTATGAGACATTCTCAGGATGCCCATCTCCCACATGTCTAGCTAGAGCGTTAAAGACATTGGGTATTGTGCGAGTAATTTCACACTGCTCATTGCTTTGAAATCCATTCTTCTTATAAGGATACGAAACAAAAGATAACGCCAATGATAGTGGGGGTGTGTGTGTGTGTGTGAAACATATATATATATATATATATATATAATCCCCTTAATAATTAATGTCAAATTTTGTATAAATGTGATAGAATAATTAGACGTTAATATAACTGACTTGATATATTTCATACTTTAAATTACAAATTATTATGATTGTTACCTAACTTTTATGGTAGATAAGTTTCACTAATAATTGCCTGGGTCTTTTAGAATAATGATAATAACGACAAACTTTTAGAACAATGTTTTACAGGAAGTTTAAAAAATTTAGAAGGGATAAGATATTCTTTTTAATCTCTAATGTTAATAGACTAATATATCAAAGAGTAAATATCATCATTTTCTCTTGATCTTTTTTATTATTTTATTTTTGTCTCCTCACTTTCATTTATTTGATTTTCATTCTTTCTATTTTTTCTTTTAAATGTTGTCCTTTGTTTGGATTCAACTTGCCATTTCTATTTACATTGTCTCTGGCGCTCCAGTTCTTCTTACCTATATGTTCGATAAAATTCCTTTCTTGTAAAGTCAGTATTTTTCTCTCAGAAAATTTTATACATTACTTGCAATCGCAGCACACCTAAGAAAGTTTCTACCTCTGCCTTTGGAGGTCAGGTCTGAAATCCAACTTAAAGAAAAATGCTAGATTTCAATTTTCTTTCTCAACAATGAGATTGTATTACGGCTTATTACTTTGACCACTGGTTGAAAGATTAATATTTGATTTGGACCTTTGTGGATATATAATTCTTGTTTATCCCATATAACACTAACAAATTTCTGTTTGGCCTCATGTTATCTTTCAAATTAGAAATCAAATCACTAGATGCTGACTTCTACTTAGAAGCAATCTTTTGATCTTTAGAATTGGATCTCTATAAGTAACTACGCTGTCAATGTATTGATACCCAGGCAGTTCATATTCAGCCACACACAACATTCAGTAATCGAGCAGGTTGTAGTATCTGCCTGAAGCAATGTGATTCTTCAGCAGCTGTATGGATTCATCCCACTGATTCTCCAAAACTCTTTGAGTGGCAGTCATCCACCAAAATTGGACTGTTGAAGGTGTACAGTCTTAATTCAGTTTTTCTTCCTTTTTGAGTAAGTCAATGTTTTTAGCATATCTTTCTAAAGTAATCTATATGCATTCAGTTGCGCATTGAAGGCTACAAATGGAGCACTCCATTTAGTGTTTGCAATGAAGGCACAATGCGCATTAGCTTGAAAAAAGATGTCAGTGATGATCAAATACAGTTAAGGGTGGCAGTGAGAAGTGGTGCCAAAAGATCCCGTTTTGAAGTTATTTTTCGTCCAAATTCTTTGTCGAGTTCTTACAGGTTTCTTATCTCTTTACATCTCACCTTTTTTTTTTTTGGGTGAAGAGAAGAATTATTCTCTGATATTTTTCATGGTAGTGAGATAATTAAAGGATTCAAGTGGAAGGATTTCTCTGAAAGGAGTGGAGTGGTCAGGAAGGGCCTCCAAGACCATATTAACATTAATAAATCCACTTTTGCTAAGGCCTAAAATTGGAGGGGGTCAAGGATGGAATCGCTTGAAGTTAATAACACAATTACAAAATTGTTCTTCATAATCCTGTACTCCTCCTTTGAGCTCCTCCTTAGTCATCACTTCTCCCTCCTCTCCTCCTTGCCACCCTTTGCCTCCCCCTCCTTGTCATCCTCTATAAACTAATAGTAATGCACCTTAGTAGATATAAATGTGGACAGAAACCTAGTTATTTTGTTTATTTTTCATTTATATTTTATTAGCTATGAATTTTAATTTATTATTTAATTTATTTTCTATTTGATAAATATTTTAATGTTTTTTATCTAATTATTTTAAAACAATTATGACTATTAACTATTAGTTACATTTACAATTATTAATTTGAACACAAAAGGGCATTTATTAATACAAAAAAATATATATGAATAAATTTTATGTATCATAGAATATCCTTATCATTATTATTATCCGAAGATGTTGTAATCAAGCTATCCTAGAGGACAAGGAAGTTAAAACATAAATAATTTATACTTAAGTTATCATCTACATTGACCTCGAAGTCTAACATTGGGAAGGAAAAAGGGTTATAATCCACTCTACTGTATTAGTTTTATAATAACTCCCAAACAATGATCAAACGAGACCATACCTTCCTCTTATAAAATTCCCAAACAATGAAATTTTCCGCTCCACTCCATTCCATCCCATCCCAAATTCTCAAATGTACCTTAAGGTATCAAAGAATATGCTGCATGTAATAGGGATTAGTAAGAGGCAGGCAATAATTGAGTTTGTGTGTGGAGATTCTCTAGTCTGTTCAATACTAGAGGGTAGCGTTTTGTGTGTGCTTGTTCTCCTGTTTTCTTCTTGTTTTCAGTATTTGAATACCATTTTTGCTTTGGGGTCCTTCAATCTACCTTGTATTATGTAAAGTATATGGCCGTATTATTTTCATCCTTCTTATGAGTTGATTTATTTCAGAAAAATAGTCCCACCTGCAGGTATTTCCTACATTCTCCGGTTTAATTAATTTAGTTCATGCTGACAGGATTGAGAATCGTTCCATGTCCTTGCCTATTCACTTCTGTCAAGTTGATGGCATTGGTGATTCTTGGCAGATGCTTCCTCCTAACTCAGCTGCTTCATTGCTGTGGGAAGATCTTGGTAGAAGACGTTTATTGGAACTATTAGTCGATGGAGCTGACCCAATGGAATCACTAAAGTACGAAATCGAAGAAATGTCTGACTGCCAGCCTATCCATGTAAAGGATGGATCAACCAGATATTTGCATGTTACTATTGTGAAAGAGGAGAAAATCAAAGTTGTAAAAATTATCGATTATATGCCAAAAACTGAACCTACAGTGGTCCTGAACAGAAAATATTTATCATCTATGCCCCAGATCTTAAAAAGTGACTTTCAAAAGCAACAACCTGTAGCAGAAATAGATTGTGAATTTCACATCACGTTTGAGCTTGCTGAACTTGGGATATCTTTTATCGATCATATACCTGAAGAAATATTGTACCTGTCTGTTCAAAATCTTGTTCTAGCATATTCAACTGGTTTGGGATCAGGAATTAGTAGGTAGGATTTCCACCAACAATCACATCTTTGAATACAGCCCAATAAGTTGCTTTTTTTTTTTTTTTGTGTTTACTACATGAGGCCTATGCATTGCACGGAGCCCCATAAAGCTAGTCATGCTATTCACAACTTATGAATGATGCAACTTCCTTTAAATTTATGAGATATGTGGATTTTTGTTGGTGATATGCATACTAATTGGTATGTTATCATCAGCATTAGTTGTTGCGAAAGATGCCTTATTTGTTTTGATAATTTCATCTATTTTCAGTTGTTTCATCTCTTACTTTTGTAAAATTTAGACTTCAACTTTACCTTTTGTTTGGTTGGGATAAGTATTTCCTATTTTAAATATGGCTTAGTTGCTTCCATTGTAAGCTGGGACGCTGCCTTTGGAATGACTCTTCCCTATATATCCGTATCCTCACTTTAGAATAATATGAGGAGAATTATCAATTCTCCCTGTTCTGTTTCAATTTTTATAAGGTGATCAAGAGTTTAATTTTGATAGTACAATATATTTTTTGTTTCAGATTTAACCTCAGCATGAGCGGGCTGCAGGTTGACGACCAATTGCCATTAACTCCAATGCCTGTTCTCTTAAGACCGCAGAGAGTACTGTCTGAAACTGATTATATCCTGAAAATTTCCATGACAATGCAATCAAATGGGTCATTGGATCTTCGTGTCTATCCATATATTGGTCTCCATGTGAGCATCTCCAATTTGCTTATTCTTCAGCAACAATGATGTCAATATTGAAATTATTTATGGGTTTTGAGTACTAGAATTCTGATTTTTTTATGATTATCTTGTCAATATTTACTGGTTTCTTGTGAACAGGGACCAGAAAGTTCTTCTGCCTTCTTAATAAACATCCATGAACCTTTTGTTTGGCGCCTTCATGAAATGTTCCAGCAGGCTAAACTTAATAGGTTGTATAATTCTCCAACCACTGCTGCTTCAGTTGATCCAATCATTCAAATTGGGTATAACCTATGTTTCAGAATGGATTGGTTTTATATGTTGAGTTCTTTGTGTTTTATATATAACATCCTTGAATTACAGTGTCCTTAATGTCTCGGAAGTTCGATTCAAAGTGTCAATGGCTATGTCACCTAGTCAAAGGCCAAGAGGCGTGCTTGGGTTCTGGGCATCCTTAATGACTGCATTGGGGAACATGGAAAATATGCCTGTAAGCATTTTAGTTTTAAGTGCTTTTAAGAGTTCCCTGTTTTGAAGAATTATTATTATGCTCATGTAGTCTTTTTTTTCCTATCAAAAAATCAGTCAAAAAAGAAATTAGCGGAACAAAAATTATCTACCCTAGCTCTTGTTTCGTTTCTGACTGGATGATCACGATGAAAGCCTCACAAAACCATGGAATTTTTAAAACAAAATTGCAATCGATTCTTAGGCTTTAATAATATTATAATTATTTCAAACACATCCCCTTCAGGGTAGTCCAAGTACTATGTTTCTTCCCTCGTTCATTGGGCTGTTGTGTCATGTGCTTTAGGAAATTTTGCTTTGATGAAATGTTGACGTAGGAATAGTCCCTTACAATTAGATTCTGAAATTTGATAGGCTGAAGAGAGAAAGGATTTTATAGTGATTTTCTCTCTTTGTTGCTTTATTTTGCACTTTCCTGCTGTAGGATGCTTGCATTTTCAAGAATTATGTTCGCTCTTCAGATTTATTACTGGATATGATTGTACTTGTTGCTTTTTTCTGGTGCTTTGCCAATGATTTCTCGAATGGAACCTTTTAGCAGAAAAGGAGAGACTGGGGAGCTTAATTGAATTATTGAGCTATTCTGCCTTTGTAAACGAGGATATGTAACACTTTCTGAAAATGTGCTTCCATCTTCAAACAAATTCTTTATTACCCAAAATAACACAACCGGATAAAATAACGATTTCGTTATTACGGTGAGGACAGAAAATACTGGAAGAGGAGGGTTGCTACATAGGAAACTCCACAATGAAGATAGAGAATAAAGTCTAAGACTCTAGATTATAAACTCAAATTCTAGAATAAGGTTGACATGACTTGATAGAAGTGAGAATAGCAAAAGAGAGATGACAATGGGAGCAGTTACTTGAAGCTTGAATTACTACAGGTATGATACCTGTAACTAACTTAGCAAAATAACTTCGTAACTGTCTCTACTAACTAAACAGTCCAACAGCTTACTATGTCCCTTGGAAAAATAAACACCTAATCCACCTTTTATGAACCGAGTGTTTGACTTCAGTCACATGATAAAAGTAAAACGGGTGCAAATACCAATTAATGTTTACTCCTCAAGCAGGTCAAGATAAATCAGAGATTTCACGAGAATGTGTGCATGAGACGAAGTTCTATGGTTAGTATGGCTATTTCAAATATCCAGAAGGATCTACTAAGCCAGCCACTTCAGCTGCTCTCGGGTGTTGATATATTGGGTAATGCAAGTAGTGCACTTGGGCATATGAGTAAAAGTATGGCTGCATTATCAATGGATAAGAAGTTTATTCAAAGTCGGCAGAGACAGGTTTGTCTAAAAGATTGTTCTTCTGGGTCATCTATCCCGGATTTTTATGTATAAATCATATTGCTTATTATTATGATCCATCATTATCACGTCCATTCCTAAAAAATAAAAGATTTTGGGATCTTCTTTCACTGGCAAGAGGAATGTACTTATTTTATCTTATAATCAGCTGAATATGCGTGATAGGTTTTATGATGTCTATACAGTGTATAGAATAGATTTAAGGCTGTACATTCAGCAGTGTAAAGGGTGTAGAGGGTGTAGCACACTACTTGTACATTTAATAAACCATTTCAGCCTGACTACAGCTATTATGCACATTTGATTCTAACTATTAAATAGAAGGAAAAACCTATGTGTAGTTTCTAAAAGGATTTCACTCTGAAATTCCTCATTTATTTTGAACACAATGGTTGCAGTTTACGGGAGAACGTGGGAAACAAAAATGAACATGAGTAAAAATAAAGATTTATCTGGTAGCAAAGTATTTGAGAGGAAAAAACGATCAACCTATTAACCAATAAAACCCATGTGATTCCTGTTGGAATATTCGACATAACGTCATCTAGATGCATTGTAGTGTCTAAGTTCGTTCTACTTGAATATTTACAACCCTTCTACGACATTTATATTTGCCTAATAAGACACCATATAAGGGTTGTAAACTCCTTGCAACCTATTTACTCATTTTCTTCTCTCTAATTTACAAATTCTTATGATGAATTTACCCACTAATACCCAAGAATGATGACCTGTTATCCAACAACAAGAAGGAAAAGAACAAAGGCACTAAAGTCTCAGAATAAGGAAACAAATGAGAAGCCAGAGAATAGTCTCATGAAGAGGCAAACTATTTGAGGAAAAGACAGAATTTAACACATGGCTTCATATTAAAGGACACTGAGCTGTTCATTTGTGGACAGAGCAGGAATTCGATACTCATTCTAGATTTCTGATAGAATTGAATCATATTACGTTGCTTTCATGGATAATGCTTTCCCTGTTTTTGTTTCTATTTTCATTTGGAATAAATTATCCTATCATCTGTAGTGGTCTAATAGGATGGTGATCCACATGATTAATATATATTGGGCACAACAGGAAAACAAAGGCATAGAGGACTTTGGTGATGTTATAAGAGAGGGAGGTGGAGCATTAGCTAAAGGTTTATTCCGAGGAGTAACTGGAATTTTGACAAAGCCTCTTGAAGGAGCAAAGACTTCTGGTGTAGAGGGTTTTGTTCAGGGCTTTGGGAAGGGAATCATCGGTGTAGCAGCACAACCAGTGAGTGGAGTTCTAGATCTATTGTCAAAAACCACTGAAGGTGCTAATGCTATGCGAATGAAAATTGCATCAGCTATAACATCTGATGAGCAACTTCTCAGGAGGAGATTGCCTCGGGTGATTAGTGGTGATAATCTGCTTACTCTATATGATGAGTACAAAGCCCAAGGGCAGGTATCATTGATTCAAATTGCAACACATTACTCTTCGAAAATGCCTTTTTAATATTTAAATTTTTGAATTGAATAAAGCAAGCTTTTCTCGGAAAATTCATAGGCAATGGATAAATTTAATCAAATGCATTTGAAGAAAACAATGTTTTAAAGTCCTCATCTAACATTTCTGACGGATGCTATGTGAATGGACTGAAAACTAAGCTTGTACAGTATTAAATGAATGCGGTTAGACATAACACCCCCCACCCCAGGGGCAGGCCGGAGACTGGTACTTGTTACTCATTTAGGTTCCAATTGCTGCTCCTTATGGCATAGTTTGCTGAACATTTCTGATGTTTGACGAGGACTGTGGAACCAACTATATTATCATTTTTTATATCTTTGCACTAGTCACAGACTATAAGATTTTGTTAAGGAAGGGGGGCATAAGTAATGAATGCATGGTGATGGAGCCAAATCCCGAAGCTGAAATTGTACAGAGAGGCCTTAGCGCTGAGGATGGTTTGTGTTGTGAGAACCTCACAATAGCTTCCTACTTTATAAGGAGGTAGCAAGTTGATTAAAATAAGAGTGTTAATCAATTTATTAAAAAACTATAAAATTTTGCTGGGCCTAGAGCAGTCTTGATCATGTAGGACAGCAGAAGAAATTGTTTTAATTTGTATAGAAAAACAGAAGTGGGATAATCAGTAGAAAATAGTTGAACTCCAGTTCAATGTGGGAGGACAAATTGTAGGCAATAGGAGTGGGCTTTGAGGTCACATTTGTGGCTGTTTGAGGGTTGTGACATAATAGCCTGTTGCTTTTAAAATTCCTCACAGATCAACGTTGCCATCAATAACAGTTCTAATTAGCTTCCTCTCGTGCACTCTTGGACCCCTGTTTTAGTTACTCAAGGACCCGTTTCAGGTAAATAATGGGTTGCAACCGTTTTTATTGCCATCATCTTCCCCCTGTTTTAATTTAAACATTAATGTCTGCCATAAATTAGTAAAGAGAATGCTAACTTAATTGTTTCACCTGTTTTAGGCTTTTTGAATTTCAAATGCTTTAAAACATATTGAGTAGCTGCAGGGAGTGAATCCCCAGTTGTGAGTATTGGTTCTGCTGCACAGTGGATTTCGCCTGAAAAGTTCATGCTTCCAGAAGGCCAAATAGTTTTTATCTCTATTACTTCCCTTCACACAAAAGCCTATTACGCTTGGAATCATGCCTTGTGCTGAAATAAATTTTATGAAAAAAGAAGATAGCGCAAATCAAATTCCAGAGTATTTAGTCATAAAAATTAGATTATTCCATAAAATATTTCAACCTTAAAAGCCTAAATTGTTGGGGAAAGGCTCAAGAATTTTTATTTTTTTTTAATCAGAAAGAAAAGTAACCACCATTGCCATACTTTTGTATTGAAGGTCATATTGCAGCTGGCAGAATCAGGCTCATTTTTTAGCCAGGTTGATCTTTTTAAAATTGGTGGGAACTTTGCCTCATCAGATGCTTATGAAGATCACTTTCTTCTACCAAAAGGGAAAATCCTTATGGTTACTCATCGAAGAGTCGTACTAATGCAGGTGTGTATATGTGGTTGAGAATGATTAAGACAAACTGTAGCCGTAGTCTATAGTCCGCTGTTACTTGACAGTTATCTTGCAAATGTCAGCAACCATCCCATATTATTGCTCAGAAGAAGTTCAGCCCTGCCAAGGATCCTTGTTCGGTAATCTGGGATATAGTGTGGAATGACCTTAGGACCATGGAGCTGACACATGGAAAGAAAGATAAACCAAAAGCTCCTCCTTCGCGGGTCATTTTACATTTACGGTCTAGATCATTGAATTCAAAAGAATATGTTCGCATTATAAAATGCAGCCCTGAATCCCATCAAGCTCTTGAAGTTTACTCATCAATTGAACATGCAATGAACACCTACGGCCAAAATGAATCGAAGGTACATTTCCTTTTCTTGTGTTTCAGTAACCATTGATGTATATAGGCTCTACATTGTAGCTCTTTATTCGAAGTATTCAGTAATTCGTTATCACTGGGCAATGTTATGCTAAAGCATGAAGTTTACTGATGTCTTCATTGTTCCTAGCAAGCTATCAGTCTTTTGAGTAAAGAATATGTACCTTTGAACTTTAATTTGAACATTCTTCTCTTTAGTTTCCCCCTATTTTTCATTGTTAAAACACAGGGTTTTCTTTTGTATTTGCTGAGGAGCTTTATTTGGTTTTGGATTAAGCAGATTATCTGACTCAGTTGGAATCTTCCTGTATGATTAAATTGGTTTACAATGATGTGCAGGAAACACTGAAAAATAAAGTGACAAAGCCATATTCCCCGCTAGGTGATGGCTCTGGCGTGGATTTAATACAAAAATAAGGAATACACCCCTGGACTCCCCAAAAGATGCCTCGATCAATTTCGGAAACTGAGTTTTAGATTTCCTTCACCCAACACAAGGTTTCACGATAGAAGAACTCGTAAAGCGTAGATATTGCGGACTCTGTTAGATATGCCACATATATTTTGATGAAATTCATTCTATTTGCGAGTTTCAAAGGTTTGGTTTTAGACTTTTAGGCATCATTTTTGTCTTTCAACAATGAGTGATATCGTTAAACACCATGTTTTAAAAAAAATAAAATAAAATAAAATAAAATATCCTGTGTTTATTAAATCCGAAGATGCTGCCTCGGGATTAATGGTAAGAAAGAAGCACATTATGTAAATGCTAAGAGGTCTTATGTTGTGATGCTAAATGTGGAGTGTGCTGGGGAACGAAAGATCTGAAGTATCCACACAATTCGTATTAGCATTTTGTGCTTAGCTTCACCAACTTAATTTAGCCTTCAAGTTTCAAATGATTTCAACCCCGGCGCCATGGGGCTATGCTTTGAAGGAGTTTCATAAAACACCAGCCTCCAACAACTTGCCCCTGGTATACGAGAAATGATGCCAAGGGCTTTCTGGAAAAACACTATTCGCTTATGGATACTGGATAGCGTAATTTCATAGATTTTATATTGCATTTAGATTTAGATTGAGATATGTAGATTTGTCCGTTAGATTTTGAAAATTGAGATAATAATATACTATTAATTGATTGATAGGAATCTAGCAGGGGAAATTCTGAACAAGTGCAATGTAATCACAGGGTAACTATTCAATTCAATAGAATAGTTATACATTTTGATTACTAGAAGGATATTATAGCTCCATGTAGGATATCTTCTCGTTTGCTCTGTTTAGGTCATCTCCATCGGCCCCCCCCAAAAGACGCGCGCGCGCGCGCACGGACGCACGCACGCACGCAGAGAGACAGAGACAGAGAGACATAGTATAATGGATATTGAACAATAGTGACTGCACAATATTTGTAAGAGTTTTGACACGTGCTCACTAGGCTAGTGGATTACAATACGTCATAACTTGACATTACTAACTACTGAACCACAATATCACTATCATGTGTAATATACTTTGACTCATTGTAAAACCTGCAGAAAACTGCTCAATGGAATTAACTAAATCCCACCCTTTCCCTCTTCCCTGAATAGTATTTGGCTAACTCCATTGATCTCTGTATCCCAAAAAAAAAAAAAAAAACTATTGATCTTGCTGATAGCCCCCAAAAACAAAAAAAACAAAACTATTGAATCTAGCCTGGGATCTTGGATTTAGAAGGGTGATTCTCGAATCCGATGCCAAAAATTTTTTAAGTATGTTGCGGGATAGCCAAAGTTACAGAGGGGCTAGTTTACTCTCTTTTCAGATCCACAGCCTGGGAGCTATAAAGTCACAAGTTGTTTCGAATGCTTTGGCAAAAGAGCCGTTTCCTCTGCTAGTTAGTTTTGCTGTGATATGGGATTTGCCCTGGGAAAAAAGGCAAAAAAATATCCTCAAATATATAAAATTCCAAATCCGTGTTAGTAAAAAACAAAATCTCACATCAAGACAGGAGTACTGATTTGATATTTTTAAATGTTGATAAAAGACAAGCTTGTCCTTAATAAATTGACAAAAAGAAAGACACCGTACCCTCTAATTAATTCTTTTCCTTTCTGTTCTTTTTTAGATTTCTCTGTCCCCTCCTTACTCTTTCTCTCTCCCTTCCCCACAACAACCTCACCATCAGTTTTATACCCGCCGAATTAACTTTCTCCCCTCCTCACTCTCTCTCTCTCCTTTTCTCACCTTCCTTTCATTGTTCATTCACCCATAGCTGGTAATGGTTCAGATCCAAAGAAGACGATCTAGACCTCATTAGCATCGGAACTTCAAAGTCCATATTGTCGGAAATAAAAGTAGAAGTAGAATGACGATGAGCTCTTTCGATTCCCTAATGGTGGAGCTTATTCATATCAGTGTAAGGGTCTTGAAGCTACATATAATAGCCAATCATAGCTTGAGCTTGCTGCTTATGGGTACTCTCAAACATGGCTTCATTTGGTCAAAATCCATGACGTTCTGCTTATGGGTACTGAATGTCTTATTGAAGATGGTGTAGCTTGATTGATAAAGACTTTGACTCATTTTTTGTGACCAAAAGAAATTAAGGTTGAAGCTTTGAAACTGTTTAAACATGAAGAAAAAGACAATAAAGTAGTAGCACTTGTCCAAATAGTGAATTATATAATATTTATTGGTCAACAACACTTGCACATGTATTTAGTATAAGTAATGTGAAAAATTTATAACAGGGCACACTAATTGCTATCACATAAATATATTAACAACTTTAATAGGCTCGTTGATGACTTTTTCAAATAGATTTGTAACACTTTTATATGTATTAAAAACAAGTAATCAAGAAAATTTATTACAATTTTGTCAGGTGCATTAACAACTCTTACAAATGGATCAACAACACTTTTATATGTATTAACAATGACTAATCAGAAAGATTCATTACAATTTTGTTAGACACGTTGTCAACTTTTTCAAATAGATTAACAATACTTTTATATATATATTGACAACAACTAATCAGAAAAACTTATTATAAGGCAAACCAAGCATGTTGCTGACAGCTCTTCCAAATATATTAACAACAATTTTATATATATTGATAATAAGTAATCAACAAAATTCATTACAGGCCAAACCAACTGAGAAACTTAGGCAAATTAGATATTGTCTCATTGTTAGGTGTGTTGACAATACTTTCAAATTAACTGACAACATGTTTATATGAATAGACTACACTAACTTATTTTCCACATTGTCTTTCTTTCTATCAATTTATCAAGGGCAAACTTGTCTTTTATCAACATTTGAAAATGCCAAATTAGTATCCCTATCCTGATGTGAGATTTTGCTTTTCACTAACACTGATTTGGAATTTTTTATATTTGAGGGTATTTTTTTGTCTTTTTTCCTTTGCCCTTTCTTGTATAAAATAAATAAATAAATATGGAAGCATGTCATTATGAAACGAAGCAGCATTTCATTTTGTAGTCTTCGTTTGCTTGATAGTCGCCAACAAGAAAAATAAATTTTTAGTAAAGAAGAAAAATATTACAACCGTTAAAGGGCAATATTGAATATTATTTTCCCTCAACAGTATTGAATATTGATTTTTTCCAAATATTTATTTATTTTTTGGGCCATGTCCAAATATTGAATGTTGATTCGGTTCAATAGTATTTGGTGTTATGCCCCGGGGTTGGGCGGGATCTTCTTGCTTATGCATGTTTTGCGTCAACCTAGTAATATTTTACCAGCTTTTTTGTGACTTTGTTAATATTAATTTCATCTTTTCCCAATTAAACCAATATTAAATTAAGATACATGATTTTAATTGAAAAAATAGATTTTTTTCCCCCCTCACGCTATACACTGATGGAAGATAAACATTTCTGGAATGCATCCACGCACACAGAAGTACATGCACACTTTCTTTCTGTGATATTTATAAGTAGAAATTTATAAATTTACAACTTATGCTATATGTTTTTGTACAAATTCTCCAAATAATTTATTAATAATTAGTCAAATTTAGAGGATTCATTAAGAATTTTTTTTCTTGCTTAAATGCTTATCACTCATTTGTAAGTTTCTCTTCTTCGATGCGATATTTTTCCTAGTATGCACGCAAGCCGACAACTTGATAGAAACCACCTCAAATTCAAAGCATATTATTGAACAATTAGCTGTGTTTGTGCAAACTAATACTGGGTTTAACAACAGATGAATTTCTATTTCCTGCAAGCAACTTCACACCACATCATACTAACAAGGACCCCTCTTTTATTACAAAAGGGATTATATATTAAAAAAGAAAAAGAAAAAAGAGCCACTAATGTGGATTTTACACTTCATTCCATAAATTATCTTGATTGCTCCAAGTTTCCTTTCATTGCTCTACTGGGATCTGACCAGCGTCTAGATGAGTTGATGGATCACCCTTATTTCCTACACATCACAGCATTCACGTAGCGGTGTACTGAACTTACCACTTCTGAGGTTTTTGGGCTCCCATTTGAAGATTGGGCTTATAATTCCCTCTTACATATTGGAGAATAAACTCAGCGACTCCATAGAAACGACTCTTTGTTCAAATTAATATAAAAGGCTTTTTAATAATTGATCAATTTACTCGCAGTTAACATCCAAATGTGACCGTCATACAATATTGTGCCATAAGGACTAGTTAATTAATTTTTTTAATCTATTTGAATTAGTTAACTAATTTTTATACTAACGAATAGACGGATGTAATATAATTTAGTGAAATATTCAAATCTCCCGTTCCGTCCTTTATCGAACACACGTAGCACAACATCCTCGATTTCACGAGTTTATATTTACCTAGAAAATTCACTGGTTCCAACCATGCTTTCTGGACGATATTTGAGGATTCCAATTCCAAGCAACTACAAAACAACTTTAGACAACATCCCATTTTTAAAATCTCGAAACAAACATGATTTGTTTCAAGATTTTGTTTGGCGTTCCACTCCCTACTCCAAAAGAAAAGAATGTCAAGCCCTAAATATAAATTATAAATATCCATCTCACACGTTCTTAGAAAGCTCATCAGAATTAGTTGTGTTTCAAATTTACCATCCATGATTAATATTTCTCACTGTTTAATTGTTTGTCGAGTTTTGGGGACCTGTTGGAAAATTGAAATAATTTATAGGGGCATTCAGTTCAATTTTTCCCAAGAAAAGAATAATGAAACTATGAAAGTTCTTCCCGTGACGTGGACGACGCCGACGGCGGAACAGGGGCGCCCGCCCTTCATTGCAAGAGTTGAGGGATTAAGGAATGAATATATACTACTTCCGGTCCTTAATAATTAGGACCGGAGGTAGTATTACTTTGGCCAAAACAAGAAAAAAAAAAAAAAAGCAGGAATATGCACACATATATATAGCCACTGTTGTGTGTTCCCCATCAAGTGGACTTCCTCCTCCCCAACACGGGCTCGCTGGGAAAGTGAGAGAAAGATCGGAAAACTTCTCCGTGAACCATATTAATACAGTACATAAATTTCAATTTCCCTTAAAAAATTATTTTTCCCTAATCATATTCATATTCATAAACATATATTGTATTCCAAATCGCCTACCTCGCATGGAAGTTGCTTCACAGCTCCTTCGATTCTAGGGCAACTTTTATTTCTCCAAGCATTTTCCTTTTTACTCAAGCTAGCTGTCATTGAAAATTCAACAGCGCTGCGTGCTACGATTTTAATTATTATGTGAATTAGGGCGTGAGTTGGCCAAGCTCGCATAGTAGAAAAATGTTCTTCTCCGGCGATCCATCCACTAGGAAGCGGGTTGATTTGGGAGGCCGCAGCTCAAAGGAAAGGGATAGGCAAAAGCTCCTAGAGCAGACGAGATTAGAGCGGAACCGGCGCTTATGGTTGCGCCAGCAAAACTCTTCCGCGGTGAAAATCCAGGTTTTGTTTTGAATGCATTTAAATGTTCAATCTGGCAATCGGTGTACTTCACGTTTCTTGTAGTTGTTTATCGAAATACTAAATTTTATGTCAAGTCTGGTAGCTAGTGGAAGTTACTACATTCTTCACATCGCCGGGGCTAAGTGCTAGTCAGTGGCATCTGCACCGTATAGAATTGTAAATTGTTTGTGCTATTTGATGTTATCTTTCTCCAATTGAAGCCCTCAGCACAATCAAGTAGGTCAGTTGTTTGCTGGATGGACTAGGGGAACGAAAACGATACTTAGACATGATAAAAGTAATTGATTTTGTGTCTCTTATTGATTCATCATGCTTCAGTAATGTAAAATTGTAATTTCGTAATAGTTGGCTTTGTCAATGTAGATCGATGTGGTCCATACTCCATTAAAGCGTCTTTTGTAGTTGTTTTGTTTTGTATTTTATTGATTGACAAAAGTTCAGAAACCCGGAATAGCATGTATGCTGCTTCACCAATGTGAGATGCCCCCTTATATAAGAAATTATGCAAAAATGATTATTGGTGTTTAGGTTTCCATGAAGCCAACGAAGATATTCGGTGGACTTGACAATATCAGCTAGAAAGATGTGGCTGGATAAATTACCATTAGTATCCTACTTCCCCTACGTTTTCATCTGCAGTCAGATTGTAGTATTACAATTCAAGCCGTGGCAAAAGTCACTTGAATCTACCCTGCCCTTCCCCCACACACACCGGGAGAAAAAAAAAAAAAATCACTTGAATCCAATTTCTGTTTCTCTGAAAAAAGAGTTCACGCAATTTCAGGTGCTATTGATTTTTGTAGGTTCCGTTCATTTTGAATGTTTAGCCATGTTGAATTAAGACCGTACGTTATATTACTTGGCTTCAGAGTTTAGCTACCTGGATTCTGGTTTGATGTCTATTGTAATTAATGTATGTTTGCTGCTGGTAAGGTGCATAAATCTGGATTGGTAATCATTATTGCTTCATGAATATCTTGCAAAGATTAACTGGTTCTTGTTACAGAAATGCTTCAGAGGGCGAAAAGCTGTCTTAGCTGAACAGTCTAAGGTGCGAGAGCAGTTCCATAAAACCTATGGCAAGCACTGCCAAAATGTAGACAGGTGGTGTTTGAGTATAATTTTGAATTGTTATTTTAAAAAAATGAAAATTGTTCATTTCTTTCTCTCCTGAATCTTCTTTAGACGTTGATCAGTCAGTTAATTCTAATATTATCTTACTTTGCCATTGCACCATTACTACTCTGATTGGGTTCTTTATTTACCTCATTAGATTTTGTAGACTAATACTACCTATTGTGCATTCAGGAATGCTTTTGGTCCAGATTCTGATTTCCTTCGCCAGTTGCTCTACTTCTTTAATGCAGAAAACCTGGATGACTTCTCGATTCTTGTGAAAGCGTGCCAACTACTTCAACAGTTTGCTCAAGATAGTGGTAATTGTTAATTTATATTTTCACTGTTCCCGTTTTTTTCAGTCTTCGTTATTATTCTGTAGATTTTATGAAGTTACACCTCTCTTTCCCCTTACCTTTGATATTTCCACTCACCAATAAAGATGTTAAGCAAAAAACTTATGTAACTATTTTCTTTTTCTCTAGTTAACTTATCATACACTTTCCAGGCATAATTTGCGCTCTTTGCGGCAACCATACAGTATGTAGTTAATGAGAGAAAGAATCTGGGTTGTGGAACACACTGCTTGTTTCCTTCTCTTAGTAACTGCACGATCCGTTGTACTGTCAAATTTCTGGGCCTTCTATGCAACAGTGAGGATATTTGTGGAATGATCTTTTTTCGCTTTCCACGATTTTTTTAAAAAAAGAATTATTGTGTAATTTGGATGATTCAAATACCTCTTACAACCTTTTTTCTAAGTTGCATAATTGTCTGAGAATAAATTTATTGTGTTAACAAAAAAAAATTGGTCAGTAAGAAGTTTGCAAATTTTGTCATTGTTTAATGAATTCAACCACTGAAGAACAATTGAGGAAGCCTCTTCCCTTTTTGTGGTTTGCAGTGGAAAAGCAATCTGAAATTTTTGTAAATACCTGTCTTCATGCTTAAGTATTCTCATGAAACTTATGGGTGGACCATGTGCAACAGGGGATACTGTTAAGCTTCTTGCTGGTTTGGATTACTCATCCACATGTGCTGTAGTGAACTACCGGGTGAAGAGGTTGATATATATGTGTATTCGTGCCATACACCATCACAGGTTGGCTTTATTGCTTTATTTTGGTTTCTTTATGCTCTGGCCTATGGAATCTCTTATCATTTTATTTCTTTTCATCTTCTTTTGGAAATTTACTTGAACATTGTGTGTGGATAACACTGCCCTGCTCCTGAGTGGTGCTTTTGATTCAATGCCATCACATGAGACCTAATATATTACATGCTATAGCTATTTTGTTCTTTCTTGGTTTGGCATATGTTGTGACTGTGAGTTCTGTGCTACTGCTTCATTAATATCCTGCCCCTGCCTTAGGTTTTGATGATACTTCTTTATTACTTGTTAATATATGGGGAATACTTTTGAAGATCATTTTGTTTTTAAGTTTTTTATTTTAATTGCTCGCTTGCTTAGCTAGTGTTTGACTGGACAGATATCAGTTGAAAGATCAGCTTTTGTTGACTTCCAAGGAATCTAACGCCTCAGCTCTCCCGTTATTGGAAGTATTAGTTTTGTTGATCGATCCCAAACTCCCATGGAGCTGTAAAATAGTAGGATATCTCTTTCAAAAAAATGCATTTGCCCTACTTAGAGAGATTATTCTCACTGCAAAGGTAACACTCTATTTATTACAGTCCAATTCTTCTTTATTGCTTTTTGTGATATCGGGCAAAATTAATTGTCCTCTTGTCCTCTTGATATGGGTACTTGGTAGGAGTTTGTTGTTCCTGGAGTAAGGCTCATCATGTTTTCTTGATGACAAAAAATTACATCTTTCTAATGTCGATATTTCATCTGGAGATTGTATATATGTTGCTTTAGTTGTGAATTATGTTTTTATTCAATTCTCATTCATATTGGGATCTGATATTTATTGTGCCAATGTTCATTTTGTTAAACTAATCTAGGGCTTTAATGTTATGCAATAAAAAATTTAAACAATTATTTTGATTATTTTGTGTCTCAAAAATTCAGAAGAAATTTATTTGTTTTGTTTATTATATATTTGAGAAATATGGAAATCATTGAGGTCTAGAAGATGTAGCTTAAGTATTGTTTCATTACTGATTATTTGTGTTGAGCATCGCTTGTCAAAGTATATTGATCTTGAGATGAAAGCGATTAAATTATTTCTGGCTTCGTTCCTGTGTTTCTTCTCTGATTTCCTTATTTCGTTTTTTTATTTTCCTTTTTTAAAAAATAAATTAATGATGTGGGGATGCAATTCATTTCAAGATACGTGCTTTCTGAGAGAAACGTCAAATATTTGCTTTCAAGTTCCCTGAAACTTATACAGTCTTACTATCTATATATTGGTAGTCAAAATTTCTCAACATCTTTCTATCCACGAAAAAGACATCTACTTCAACTAATACTTTTTGCTAAAAGCTGAAAAGCCATTATGGAGTTAGGAGAAAATCACAGTCAGAATATGCCAGTATGCCAATGAAGTTACTTACTCCATATTTGTCATTAACACACAGCCACACTCTCACAGGATGACAAAAGTCCTTGTTATATTGTTTATGTGATGATTCCTGGCTTTTTTTTTTTTAATCTATCTATTATTTATTCTTTTTTGCAAAAAGACTTGTTTAATCTATAGTACAAGTCATCACACGGAAGTACTTAAATGATATGTAGGATAATGTGGAAGATTTTTTCCCCAGTGGAAAAGGATCATCATTGGAGCGTGTACTCACTGTTTTAATTTCTCACATCGGTCAGAAGCCATGTATCTGCACAGATTTTGAGACAAGATTTAGTTTCTCATCTCAGATTCTTACGATTCCTTTCTTATGGCATCTTTTCCCATACTTAAGACAGGTATTCCTATTAATTCCACTTGATGTGGCTTCTTTTTTAGCTTTTAACAAGTAAAATTGAAGAAGTTTCAAACTGGTTCTAATTATTAAGAACGTGCTTCTGCTTTATAAAGTAAGGAACAAACCAGTATTCGTTTGGTCAAGTGGATAGAACCCATCCTTGTGTTAGGAAATTATGTTGGGAGAGCTACACCTTGTTTGGATCAAATGTTGCTCAAATCTAAATTAGTTGTGGTGGTACTGGAACTCAGATATTTAAACAAAAAAGGAAAGAAAGAAAAAGAAACTGTTATGAAATTCAAAGATTTTTGAAAACCAACGAGAAACTTCGTAATTGTTAAGAATATAATTTATGAAAGAACAAACAATGAAAAGAGTCTTTATGTACTGTCTCTGCAATTCGCTTTGTGAGTTTTGAGCCTTTTGAATTTCTTTGTATCTTTTATGTTCAGATGCATGATATAACTTGGTGCATATCCCTTTATCATCCAATCTTCCTTCACTCTAAAATCTAAATAGCTATCCAATGGGAAATAATAAAAAGAATATCAGCACACTTACACAAATAACTCATAAGTAACTGGATGCTGAAAAAAGATGTGTTGCGTTGTCACTAGATGTGCCCAGGCACCACTGCAGGAACTAATACACAAGCCTCCTGTTGGATGGACTTACAACTGATCAAGAGTGACTGATTATTTTCACTCCTTGTATTGCTTATGTTTGCCATATGTAGTAGGTCTTCTTTATATCCTTATCCTTCTTGCTAGTGAATCTTTTGTATGTTTTAGTTTGTTACCGCTGTTTTAGAACTATCTTTTCTTTCAATATTTGTAAGGTTTTTAGGTTTGTTTATTTTTGGTATTTAGGCTTTTGCAACACAGGGCCGGAGCCAGCATTATATTCATCAAATGGCTAAATGTGTGCAAAACCAGATTAATTTACTACCTAAGGATATATCAGATGAATTCCCTAGCTATGCTTGTCTGCTGGGGAATATACTAGAAACTGCTGGAACTGCCTTGTCTCAGCCTGACTGTTCATTTGATATGGTAAGCGGGGAGCTTATTTGCAAAAATATGCATTCTATTTTTTTATATTACCCCTTGATCTAAAATCTCTACAGCAATTCGGGTAAAACCTTTAGAAGTTTGATACTTTCTCTTAACTCAGCATGACATTGTTGTTAATCTTTATGTCCATATTCAGGCCATAGATGTTGCTGCTGTTACCACGTATTTACTGGAGGCACTCCCATCTGTAAAAACATCAAATAAAGGGACTAAAGAAAGTAGGGTATTCAATCTTATGCTCATTTGTTTCCGTTTGATTGTTGCAAAATCTGTCTGTCGAAGAGTTTAGTCCTTAATTACTTAAATGAAAAAATCAATTTGTTCTTGTAGCATTTTAGATTTCTGTTTTTAATCAAAACCAACTGGTTCTCCTACTTTATGATTTCCTCCTAAGCTGATCGATCATATAAGTCAGGTTCTATGATTGCTGAGGATGATATGAGTGGAAATGATGAAGTTATGGAAGTAGCCATGGATAGGAAATTGGAGCAGCAAATTTGCAATGCCATAGATTCGCAATTTCTTCTGCAACTGGTATGCCATCATGGGAAATGATATTCATATTTAGAGCGTCATTTGAATGAAAACATACCTCAGCATATACTTTGAAAGTTTTGATGAAATTGTGACTTCTTGTGCAGACAAATATTCTATTTAGAGAGATGCCGTTTGTAAATGGTTGGGATCATGGACCAGATGATAGGGAAGTGGCAGCTGTTGGCGCAGTTTGTGGGTTTCTTCATGTTACTTTCAGCACACTCCCACTTGAACGGATCATGACTGTACTTGCCTACAGAACTGAAGTTGTTCCTAAGCTTTGGAGTTTTATGAAGCGGTGCCATGAGAATAAAAATTGGTCATCTTTGTCTGAGCAGCTAGCATACCTCTCTGGAGACGCACCTGGTTGGCTGTTACCTCTGGCTGTATTCTGCCCTGTCTATAAGTAAGACTCTATGTTCTGTTTTTTTTTTTTTTTATATAGTTTCCTAATTGAATGAACAATCTTCTATGTGTTGCAGGACCTTTTTTTCTGAATTGTAAATAAATTCCTCTTTGAGCTTTATGATACTGGTGTTCCCTAATGGCGTTCTTTTTATTAGGCACATGCTTATGATAGTTGATAATGAAGAATTCTATGAGCAGGAGAAACCATTATCATTGAAGGATATCAGAAGTCTTATTATTATATTGAGACAGGTACATACTACTACCTCCTGTTCTTAATATAATAGTTAGATAACTAATTTGGAGATTAAGGAAATTAGTTAAGTTAGTTATTTGTAATATGTTGTCTTCTCTAAACTATCCTCTTTAATCATGTGAAATAGCATTACCTCTTAATAAGAACCCTTACAATCAATAGGACATTTTAGAGAAAAAATTATTGGATTGAAGTCTTATAATTTGGACCAAATTCAACATCCCAACTAATTCTTATATTAAGAACCGGAAGTAGTATTTTTTTTATGTGTGAGAATAAGAAAATTGATTCTGAACTTGTTAGGGGGGGAAGTGAATTGATTGTATTGTGTAAGATGGTTTAGTTACTTGTATGTCCAAGTCCAGAGAACTTGAATATGTTACTTATTCGAGATGTGTTGCTCTTAATTGCAACTGTTGCAAGGCTGCCAAGAATTTTTGCAAAAAATGCTGAAATACTATGCTGCCGCTCAACACTTGCTGTTATTAATTCCATGCAAGTTTGCTGTTTCTGCAGGCTCTGTGGCAGCTACTGTGGGTGAACCATAACACATCTGCTTACTCAGTGAAATCTGTCCCAGTCAACTCTGCCAATAAGAGGCAGTCCATTGAAATCATTCAACAGAGGGTTAGCATTGTAATATCTGAGCTCCTCTCCCAGGTAAGAGTAACCATATTATCATAAATCTAATCTCATTTTCTTTTGGCTGCTTCTAATTTGCTCTGAATTTGCTTGATAGCTGCAAGATTGGAACAATAGGCGACAGTTTACATACCCCAGTGACTTCCATGCTGATGGAGTGAATGACTTCTTCATCTCTCAGGTATTTTCTCTGTAGAAATTCAGGTTTACTTTTATTTTGAATTTATTCTGTTGAATAGCATGGGATTACATTTATAGAAGATAAGATAGAGACACTCAAGCTCTGTAGCTTATTAATGAAACCGAGCTAAACAGAAGAAAATAAATGGGCAAAGCAATGGAGATGAACACAAGCTAATCCTATCCAAACAACCTGAACAGACTTTTAAAAAATTCCAAAATATGATTAATCTTATCATGACTGAAAACAAATTACAAAACTGAATGAAATCAAACTACACAAAATAAATAAATATATAAAAAGACAAATGATGATGATGATGATGATGAAATGAAAATGTCACATCTTCTTCGACAGTCTAATGGTGTTTCCCCATAATCCTCAACTTGGGACAGCTTGTAGAGATGGTTTTGCCAGCAATTTTAGTTCCCTGCATATGTTATTTTTTGACACTACATATTTGAAGGCTTAATCTAAACGGACAATCCTTTATCAACAGGCTGTAATAGAGACTACACGAGCTAATGAAATATTGAAGCAGGCCCCTTTTTTGATACCATTTACAAGCAGGGTCAAAATATTCACTGTAAGTATATCACTCTGCTTGCCTTGGCTTTATATCTGAATAATCTTCGTATTACAGGTCTTCAATTGATAGTGGCATTAATAACAGAGTTGATTTTCTGCAATTTATTTTGAGTGACTGGTGATTTGATGCATTAAAGTTCATGGTGACTTATCATCCTCCTCTCCTCTTTTTTCCCCCCCAAAACAATAGTCTCAACTAGCTGCGGTCAGGCAAAGACATGGGTCGCAGGCTGTATTTACAAGAAACCGGTTCAGAATAAGACGAGATCGTATTTTGGAAGATGCTTATAATCAAATGAGTCAGTTGTCAGAAGACGACCTTCGAGGACCAGTAATGTCTCTGTTTCTAAGGCTTATCATTACATTTATTAGTCATTTCTAGTTTTCTGGTCTTCATGGGCAACTAAAGATTACTTCTTTCACACAAAGTGATTGATTTAGCTGTTTTGCAGATTCGTGTGACTTTTGTCAATGAGTTTGGGGTGGAGGAGGCTGGAATTGATGGTGGTGGAATTTTCAAAGATTTCATGGAGAACATCACACGAGCTGCCTTTGATGTGCAGTATGGGTTGTTTAAGGTTCTGTGAATATTTTGATATCATTTATGCCTCGTATAAAGAGTCATGTCGTTACTTTAGACAAGCACTATAGAATAATAAGCTAATTTATTAACACACTTATGGTTGAAAGAGGTTTATTTATATTGGCTTGCTGCATGAATTCAAAGTTTATTGAAGCATCAGGGGAAATGTGGTTACCATTTGGCCGTTTGAAGTGAGAAAAAAGTTCTCTATGATTATTCTAGTCTGTAGTTAAGAACATCTGTGGACAACCATTTAAAGTGATTGTGATGGTAGACTGTAATTCAGACAAGAGAGCGAAGGAAAGGAAAAAGAGAGAGGGAATTCAGAGAGTATTGAGAGAAGAGCAGAACAGGGAGAATAAAGAAAGCAGAGGCATGCAACTGAATAGTTTGCTGTTATTGCTTATCATAACCTGAAATACAGGACAGGCAACTCATGTATATAATTAATGTACCCTGCTAGCTCTAATGTTCATATTTCTGTTTTTCTAACTGACTGACTTATAATGCCTTACTTCTTCATTTACGATATTATGATTACACAACAAATTGTTAAGTTAGTTTTATAATATTATGCTATCTCATGGAGGTAATTGTATTGTAAAATAAATAAGCATTTGAAAATGTCTACCCAGAAGCTAATTCAGCATATACTCCTGCTTTTGCCTTACTTGTATCTGCGTCTTATGGTTTTTGGATCTATGGCTTACTGATTACCGATGTATCCAGGAAACAGCAGATCACTTGCTTTACCCAAACCCTGGATCAGGAATGATTCATGAACAACATCTCCAATTTTTCCACTTTCTTGGAACTCTCCTTGCAAAGGTATAGCTTCATTTCATTATTTATTTTATTTTATGAAGTAAAACATTGCGTCCTATAATTGAATGCATACTACAAGCTTTTCCTCTTTTTTTTTTTTTGGGGGGGGGGGGGTTACATCCTTGTACCATGTTTTAAGTGTGTGGTTGTGACTTTATTTGGTGGTTAAATTCGCAGGCTATGTTTGAAGGGATTCTTGTTGATATTCCATTTGCCACCTTCTTCTTGAGCAAATTGAAACAAAAGTAAGATTTAAGGAGTCTTTTAATCTGTATTTAGTAGTTTCTTAGCTGACAATTAAAGTTGTCCAATGCTCAATGCTTCTATTGCAATGCATTGATTTACATGAATCAAAAGAAAAGGGAAGGGGAGACAGTTAATATAACTCCAGATTATTTTTTGCATGAAAAACTAGTCAGAAAACATACTAGATGGTAAGTTTATTTATGAACGGGCAAAGGAGTGAACACAAATGCTGAGAAAATATAAAAGGAGAAAAGTCTGAAAGTGAATTGCTGCATATATGGGTGTGAGCTTTACTACACCAAAGTAGATGACAAAAGGAAAATAAATAGACTAAGAATCCTTGAAGTGTAGAAATGAAAAGGCCAAAAAGTCAATGAGACAATAGAAAAGCTATAAACATTGATTGGCTTTAACCATATCATGTGATGTTTACTCTGGTCAATTAATTACCCTATCATGCCGTTGAATAGCTGGATTATATTTTTCTTGCTTTCTCAAACTTCCCCCTTGTACCAGGTACAACTATTTAAATGACTTGCCTTCCTTGGACCCAGAGTTATATCGCCACCTTATCTTTTTAAAGGTAATGTCACTTTGGTTATATCTTCCTTGCATCTTCCTTTCTTATTCTTTTTAGTGTCAAAGATATAATGAAAGGAAGAAACTGAGTTTTAAACTAGGCCGAATAACTAGGGATCAATTTACTCCTGCTACTTTCTTGGCAAGAAATGAACTGTATGGTGTAGCCACTAAATGACATGAGAAATATATGACTTCGTTTCATGTGGAGAGTTCTAGATCAAAATGGAACGTTCAGAAAATTTCTACTTTGTTTTCTGCTGTTTATTTTTACTTTCTGGTTAGCATAGATGCTATTACCCCATGTTGAACATTTTGATGCATTTAAAATGAATAGTGTCTTTGCGTTGTAAATCAGCATCCCATGTGTGTATAGACTTCAGGTTTTGGCTAGGGCGAGATGCGGAAACATGGGTGTTGGGGGAACAGGAAGGGGTTCAATTAACTTCTAGGGCTTCCTTTATTTTCTAAATGACTCGAACTTTTAACTTTTGACCTGAAGCTGACTTTTTTTCCTTGGGGGTGTGATTTGACATTTGGCTCACAGCATTATGATGGTGACATTTCGGGTTTGGAACTATACTTTGTCATTGTAAATAATGAATATGGAGAGCAGACAGAAGAGGAGTTGCTTCCTGGAGGAAGGAACCTGCGTGTCACTAATGAGAATGTCATCACATTTATCCATCTTGTAGCCAATCACCGCTTAAATTCTCAGGTGAAGTGGTAGTCCTAATTCATATCATGCTTGGATAGCCAACGAGTTAATGTTATAATTGAATTACGAGAATAATGATTTCAGATACGTCAACAAAGTTCCCATTTCTTGCGGGGTTTTCAACAACTTATACAGAAGGATTGGATTGATATGTTTAATGAGCATGAACTTCAGGTAATTTCACCATTGGGTCATATAGAGGTCGAGTTTTTTCTGCACCATACTTCACAATAATTGCTATTCCATGATTTTGTTGAGGATCCTTATAACAACAGGGATGTTTGTCATTTTCTCCCACGTCTTATACCCTCATTGTTAAAAGGATATAGAATTGTCTTGGGCTGTGAACTATGTTTCTAGTGATTCTCATTATGCATTGACTAAGAACTTCAATTTGCCCTTGCTATCATTGCTGCTGCACTCTTTTTGTGACCTTTGTTTTTAGCATCCACTTCAGCTTCTCTTCTTTTAATCTGCTTTAAGATCAAAAGCCCTGGCAGTTGCTGTCCATTTCTTTGGTTCCTTTGTGATGATGGCGTTGGTAATAAGCCTACTAATATAGTGTCTCTGTTTTCCAACTATTGTAGCATTACATCATTGCACCTTTGAAACTTTAAATTATAGGCATGACGTGCAGTATGATTTGTTCCCCTGCATGAAGATGTGGAAGACCTGATTCCTTTCTGCAGAAATGCTTGATTTTCTTATATCAGCATTATATTTCGCTGGAACTTTCTTATAGTTTTCCTTTGTACTCATTCCTCCCCTCGCGACCAGAATTTCTTTTACATGTATAACTATATGGTATTGTGATCTTATATCCCACTTGACATAATTGCTTTCCACAGCTTCTGATATCAGGTTCACTTGACAGCTTGGATGTTGATGATCTGCGGCTACACACCAACTATGTGGGAGGCTATCACAGCGTAAGTGCCCTGGCTTTCAATTTATGAATGAGAGCAAAGAATTTCAGGACAAATTAAGCATGCTGCTTGCTTCATTTAAGATCAATTTAACCTGGACTATATGAGTATTTGCGGATCTTTTAGGAATGTATATTTTATTTTGTCATCCATTCTAAATATTGGCGAGCTCTTACTTTCATCTCATGATGACAACAGCATTGCACCTTATCTGCCTTAAACAATATGTCATCATTGCCTACTGATTTTCTAATGTTTGATTTCTTCTGATAGGAACACTATGTGATTGAGATGTTTTGGGAAGTTCTCAAAGGCTTTTCATTGGAAAACAAAAAGAAGTTTTTGAAGTAAGATGTGCATAGATCTGGGACTTTGTTGTCCTTTTTGATTTGGCAAATATCAGTATGAATTATTAATGTATTTTACTCTCAGGTTTGTGACAGGTTGTTCTCGTGGACCATTGCTTGGATTCCGATATCTTGAACCCTTGTTTTGCATACAAAGGTAAATTCTGCTGTAGCATTTATGCGCTGGTATCTAATAGTAACGATTTCACAGAATGGACCGCTCAAACATCACTATTTTCCTGCATCTTTTCTTTGTTGTTTGGATTACAAAAAATGACCTGGTCTGATGTCCTTTCTTGTAGGGCGGCCGGTAATGCTTCTGAGGAATCTCTTGATAGGTTGCCTACGTCAGCTACTTGTATGAATCTGCTCAAGCTTCCTCCTTACAAAAGGTTCGTCTTAGCACTTATCTTTGCAATGTAGAAATGGATTTTTTTTTGTTTTTAAAGCTATTAGTTAAGATGATTTAGGGACGGACACTACAGATTCCTTCTGAAACTAGAATTATTTGAGCAAGTTGGCGACAGTGACATAGGTGAGGTGGGAGTAAAATTTATGCGTAGCATATTAAATATCATATTGAAATTAAACGATGGCAGTTGTGCTGAAGAGAAGCTGTCTTATCTTGGCAGGACTAACATTTTTAGCATCTGAATCAACGTTCATTGCTTCATATCTTTTTGTGGTGATTTATGAAAAAAGATTATATTTTATGCATGTGCTTTATCAACGGACGTATACTGACATACTGGTACCTGAATATATGGTTACTGTAGGTTGTGTGGCGTCTTGTTCGGTTTTTTTTTTTTTTTTTTTAATTCACATTGATTATATCTCGTACATTGTCAAGGCCATTGCCCATTGTAGTTCCCTTCATATTTACCGCAAAAGGAAGGACGGTTATTATGTTTGAATATTTGGTGATGATATTTACTCCTTGAAGGCTCATCGAAAACAGTTTTCTTTTAGCCAGTCTTTTACACGTTTTTTCCTTTTGAGTGACCTGTTCTTCAGGACTGTAGATTCTGCTTATCTCATCTCCTTTTGGCTGCCATCTTTGATCCTGGTTTATTAGTTATTTTCTTCGGATATGCATTTATTAGTTATTTTCCCTGACAAGTACGCTTAACTCTCAATTGTGTGTTGGCGGTGCAGCAAGGAGCAGCTGGAAACAAAATTACTATATGCCATAAGTGCTGACGCTGGGTTCGATTTAAGCTAAAGGGAGCCTCCTTTCTTCAGTTTATTAGTACTTTATTTAGGTTCGGTACTGCCAGACGACAGCTCACCGGTGGGCATGCCGTCAGCCTCATAGGAAGCTGCAGGAGACTACAAAATGTCAAATGCCATAGTGAGAATAGCAACGCCTTGTGTATATATGCAAATTCCTTAGTTTCTGTTTAAATGTACATATCTCTATATTATAAATTGATTTTTGAAGAAGTAACGCTTCTTCGACAGGAATTTTTCTGACGTTTTGTACTATTATAATTGAATCAGATATACGTTTGGATTTTTTTGGCTAGAGTAAAAAATTTACATCTGCGTTGCCAGAGTGTAAAAATAATGTGTCAATACTCAACTGTATGGATATGCAACATACATATTCATTCCCTATAAATTGATTGAATTCAGATGTTGGCTGCAATTCTAGCTGATTTGACTGTCACGAACTTTGACATTTGTAAAAATGATTGAATGTCAAGTACAAGTGTTTAATATAAATGTCATTTTTAAAGGCATTAAATATTTTTTTTCCTGTAAGTTATATAATACCTTTTATTTTATATAATTAATGCAAGTTATATGGTATTCCTTGGTGTTCAAAATATAGCATCAAATAATTAAATCGCACAATTTAAAATGTTGGTTACAGTTTGTTAAAAACAATAAATTTGTAAAGGATGCAACTTATTTTCTAAAAATACATTTATTTATGGAGAGAATAAGCAGGAGAATGGCAAGAAAAAAGGGTGAGAGAGAATGAGAAGAAAAAATAGGAGAGAAACATATAATTAATTAAGGACAAAACTTAAAAAAATGTATTAAATAATCAAGCAAGTCTAACTCTAAACTGCGGCTTACGAGAAAAAAATCATGGTCAAAAAAATAGCTTATAAAAATATCATACTATTCAGCTCCCAAAAAAAAAAAAAAACAAGCAGCCAAGCTCATTCAAAGACTTAGGGATGTTTGGTATTAGACAAAAATATTTTTAAAAAAATAATATTTTATAAATTAAAATAATTTTCTCTATATATTTACTTTTCGTAAAATCATTTTTAAAGTCCTAATCTAGTTTCCATCCAAACACTCCTATGATATTTATATGTTAAAAGGAGTACTTATTTAAAGGACGTTGAAGACATTTTAGAAAAATACTGATAATAATTGATTTTACAAAAACCAGATTATTTAATAAAATCATGTAATATTTGTGAAAAATGTTTTATACGGAGGGAGTATGTATGCTTAAACTTTGTCTCCAAATTGATAAGAGATGGGTGGTTTAAACTTTAAAGTGCCATATTTTCAACTACTTCCTTTTACCTTTATTATAAGAAGTACCTAATTAATTCACATGTACTAAAAAAAATTAGTTAAAATCATTCAATTTATCATAAAATTTAAATAATTTTTAAATTTAAATATTATCCTTATTAATTATACGAAATTTCAATATCATATTAATTTTTATTATCTCACTATCCTCATTAAATGTGGGCATATGTAAAAAAAAAAAAAAGTATTTAATACTCATTTGAAACTATCAGGGTCTTAAGATTTTTTATATATATATTTTTCCGTTTCTAATTAATGATATCTAGTTTCCATTAAAGAAAAAACTATCAACGATATTATTAAAAGGAAAATCCCAAAAAAATGACTATTCGATTTCAAATTTTTAAATTAGGAATAACTACAAATATGTGTTGTCATTTGGCTTTCGAATGTAATCATTTTTTTTATAAGTGTAGTAACCAATACTGATTTAGAATTTTAAAATTCAATAATCTTTTTTTTTGGATTTTCCCATTATAAAAAGGAACAAGAATTTTTTATTGAAAATGGATCATATGACAAGGATAAAAGGGACTAGCCAAGAATGTACTCCTCTAATTCTATTTATAAGGCACTTTCAATATATTGTACACAGATCAAACAAATTTTAAAACGTATTAACTCTCAATTAAAATATTACAAATTTTCAAATTTTTCTTTATTTAATATATATGCATCTTTCAAAAAAAGTAACTATGTACATTATAGTAAATGAAAAATGAAATAGTACATTTACACTAACAATTTAATGAAGTAACTTATAAATAAATAATAAAAAACTTATTTCTCTACCCTATATATAAGATCAAAGGAGTGTATTGGAAATAAATACCAATATGAAAGCCTTTGATTAGAATTTAAGACTAGAGAAAGTTGACCAATGTAACGTTAGTATTCCACTCTTGCATCAAAGACAAAGTAAGTTTGTACTGCCTCTAATCTATATATATATATATATATATATATATATATATAAATTATGTAGATTAAAAAATTGATTAAAAGTTAGCTAAAGGTAATAAATGAGTAAAAAATTAAAAATGTATTTTATTCTTAAAAAAAATCCTACTATTCCAATCTTAAATATAAGGCATATTTTATTATACTATAAAATGGATTTTACATGTAAGATGTGAGGAGTATTTTACAGAGAGTGAATGAGTGTGTAAAAAAATATGTGCAAGAAATACTTAATATAGCGTATAACATCTCCTATCTGATCCTATATAAGATAATGGGTGAGAATTACTTTTGTTTTTTGGAAAAAGAGTGACGCAGCTTATTTCTTAGATTTCACATAATTAGCTAATGTGTGTAGAATCCATTCAAGATCAACCACATTTCACGAGACGCCAAAATATGCAACAGTATCAAAGATAGGCCATACCATATCTTTATGCAACTCGTATGTCCAATCTACGTACCCCTCCCTCAGCAGTTTACAAAGTATCTGAAAGTATTAAATACAAGACTTATTTTATTATATAAATTATATTATAAAATAAGTTTGATATTTAAAAGCGGAGGAGTAGTTTAGATTCACTTTGCAAGCAAGTCTCAATCCAACTTTTTTTTGGGAAAAAAAAGTATATTTTTCTGCAGGGGACAGTGGATTAAACATGTTTCATTTAGAGGAAGGGTTTCGGTGATTATTAAGAGAATCGAAATCAGGCACCATCCAAATTATCTTGACAGTTCAGATTTTTTTTTATAAGAACAAATTTGACAAATTTTTATCAAAATATATTTAATGATTTAATTATCATTCTTAGTTTGTAAAAATGTGTCAAAAATAGCTTATAATAATCACAGGAATGCTATTATCCCCACACAGCGAATTGGGAACATAGACATTGGCATGAAGCCGAGGACAGGAGAACTGATGATCATGGAAATTCAAAACCGCTCAATGCTTTTTCTCCACACTTCTCAAAAGTCAAAACCCGCCGTTTTCCCTTCCTTTAACTCACACTCCCTCAGTATAAGAACTATTAGACAACCGCAATTTCTGTGTCTTCTTCGCTCAACGCTCTGTTCACTCTTCATTTCTCTGTCCAGCTCGTCTGCTTATAACAATGGCGCACGTTACTCAACTTCCCTGCGACTGTGATGGTGTCTGTATGATCTGCAAGGCGATGCCGGCGGACGAAGAGAAGTTGACGTGCAAAACCTGCTTGACCCAATGGCATGTTAGCTGTCTCTCCAATCCTCTGGCCACCATGGCGGAGGCGGTTCAGTGGGAATGCCCCGATTGTTCTACTCCGCCCTCCGATATTCCTCCTATGACTATTGGCAAAGCCGTAGTCGACGGCTCTGGCGACTTGATGGCTGCGATACGGGCGATCGAGGCTGACGCTTCTCTAATGGAGCGGGAGAAGGCCAAGAAGCGTCAGAAACTCTTGAGTGGAAAGGCCGCGTCGGAAGACGACGAAGGTGGCTTGGAGAAGGCAGAAGGCCAAGGGAATGATGTGTTGGATATTCTCAGCGGGACTTTAAACTGTTCCTTCTGTATGCTGCTACCCGAGAGGCCCGTCACGGTAACTGTGATTCAGATAATTTTGCATTCTCTTTTATGTTCTTCGCTAACAACATTGCCACTGCTAACTCTTTGTATTCGTCAATTCTTTCTCACTTGTCCCATTCGACATGAACCAAAAGTTTATATTTGGAGCGTGGGGCGTTTTCGTTTTCTTTTTCCCCCTTCTTGATTTGAACGATATGATTGTGAAATGTGAATATATACTGAGCATTCCAATTCATAACAACCCTTCTATTCTTTCCTTCGTTGCCACATGTTTTCAACTTTAACATGATAATGTTTCGTGTGACTTTCTTGCCAGCAGATTCTGGTCTCTGAGCACGTACTCTAATTTTATTTGAGAAATTACTTACATGGATGCAAATTTATTTTATTATTCTACCAACGCCTGCACTGTCGATGTAGGCTTCTTTTGTGTGCGTATTTGTCATTTCATCTGATTACTAGTCTTCAGCATCTTTCAGTAAGGAAAGCAAATTTTCTTGAAGCTCTTGTGATCTGCTAGTTTCTCCGAATTCATTTACTTTGTGTCATCTTGTACCATTCTGGGAACGAATGGTGGCATATAATAATATTTCAATACAACTAGGGATCTAATCTAATTCCCCTTCTTCAGACACCTTGCGGGCACAATTTCTGTCTAAAATGCTTCCAGAAATGGATTGGGCAAGGAAAACTAACATGTGCAAAGTGCCGTAGCAATATCCCCTCCAAAATGGCAAGCCAGCCTCGTATAAATTCTGCATTAGTTATTGCTATTCGTATGGCAAAAGTATCCAATAACATTGGTTCTGGAGAAATTTCTAAGGCTTACCATTTTGTGCATAACCAAGATAGACCAGAGAAGGCATATACAACAGAGCGGGCCCGGAGGAATGGAAAAGCAAATGCAGCAAGTGGAAAGATTTTTGTAACTGTGCCTCAGGATCATTTTGGTCCAATCCCCGCTGAGAATGATCCAGTGAGGAATCAAGGTGTGCTGGTTGGCGCATGTTGGGAAGATAGGCTTGAATGCCGACAATGGGGTGTCCACTTCCCTCATGTTAGTGGTATCGCTGGACAGTCAAACTATGGTGCGCAGTCAGTAGTTCTTTCTGGCGGTTATGTTGATGATGAGGATCATGGGGAATACTTTCTTTACACAGGAAGGTTTGTGAAATGTTCTTGAATTGTTGTGTTGTTATTTTCATCTTGACGTGGCTATCTGGACGAGCCATTGCGCTTCTGTATTTTTTTTCCTAATTCTGCTTTTTTTCTTCTAATTTTCATTTTCGTTCTCTTTGGATTAGTGTTATATTCTTCTGTCTTGCTTCTCCCTTTTTTTTTCCCTGGCTGTTTTGATTCATATTTCCTCATTTTCTGTTGGGTAGTTGATTCACTGATATATCATCATTGCAGTGGCGGTAGAGACCTGAGCGGTAATAGAAGAACGAACAGAGTGCAATCGTTTGATCAAAAGTTTGATAAGTCTAATTTAGCTCTCGAAGTCAGCTGTTTAAAAGGTTATCCGGTTCGAGTGGTGAGGTAAGCATCTGCATCCAAAATGGCACTTTTATTTATGATTTTTTAAAATATTATACTGGACTAGGTTCTCTCGACCTGGTGTGTATCTTTTGGTTTGCTTGTTCTCAACATCGCCGTTCTTCATCTTTAGCAAATTAAACTTTTGAGTGGTGGATGATGCGATTTGATTTTTCTCTACGTGAACTTTTGATTGGATTGTGTTGTTAAATTCGGTGTATGATTGACTTGCATGACTAAATTGTCCTTCACCTTGGGAGTTTCAATGATATAAATTATTGAACCTCTTTTTTTTTTTTTTTTTTTGGTGCAACCTATTAAATTTCGACGGCTAGATCTCACAAAGATAAACACTCTTCCTATGCCCCCGAGAAAGGGTTACGGTATGACGGTGTGTATAGAATCGAGAAGTGCTGGCAAAAATTGGGATTGCAGGTAAATATACGATATCTTGCTATTCTTTTATGGACTTCCTCGGCTCTTGATTATATTTCATGCGACTTCTCTGATAAGATATTGTTCAGGGATTCAAAGTTTGCCGATATTTATTTGTTAGATGTGATAATGAACCTGCTCCATGGACGAGGCATGTGTTATGTAGCTCCCTTAATTTGCTTGTGCTGATTGGAATTCCTTATACTAAATGATTTTAAATGAAACATAGTGATTGTCATGGTGATCGCCCGAGACACTTGCCAGAAATTTCCGAGATGGAAAAGGCTATCGGCATAATTGAACGAAAGGAGAATCCATCATGGGATTTTGACGTGAGTAAGATTTTAGGATTTTGTTGACTTTTTAAAACAGCTTGTTTGTTTCCTAAAATTGCCTATTAATTGATATTAATTGGATTATTAAAATTAGTTTTTTTTTTTTTTGGTGATAAATTAATGGTTTCTTTAGGAGGAAGAATCTTGCTGGAAGTGGAAGAAACCACCACCACGCAGTCAAAGGCCCGTAAAAAATATGAATCCCGGGGAGGGAAAAAGGTCGAGGAGAGAGACAAGAAAAACCCAAAATATGTCAATCGGGGAAAGATTGCTGAAAGGTATGATATGACTGGCTTTTGCCATATCAGTCAACTTGTTCTTTCGCGGCTTCGATTTGCCCCTTCTAGTGAAATGCCTTATTTGTTCCTTCCGTAAGCTTTCAGTAAATGCTGTATTTTTACTCTCTTCTGCTTCTACATGCAGAATTTGGTTGCCCTATTTGCAACCAAGTTATGGTTTCTCCAGTTACGACACCCTGTGCTCATAATTTCTGCAAGTCGTGCTTGGAGGGGGCATTCGCGGGTCAGTCTTTTGTGACAGACAGAAGCCGGGGTGGAAGATCACTTCGGTCTCGAAAAAATGTGATGAAATGTCCTTCTTGCCCCACTGACATCGCTGATTTTCTTCAGAACCTCCAGGTGGTTATGGCATAATTTGAACTTAACATCTGGTTGATATTTTTATGCTTCTCCAATTGTGAAATTCCTTACAAACTGGTTGCTAAGTTCCTCTGGTGGCTTGCTCGCGTGATAGGTTAATACGGAGTTGAAGGGTGTAATTGAATCGCTGAAAGCTGAAGCTGAAGAAAATGGAGATTCGGTGGAGCCCAGTGAGGATGCAGATGGAGCAGAGGAAGCCTGTGATGATACGGGTTCTGCTTCAGCTGGGGATGAGGAAGAGGAAACGTCAGTTGAGAAGCATAAGGATTTGGTTGGGGGATCCGATGCCCAGCAAATACAGTCCAAAGAACTTGAAGTGAATGAGAAGGCAGATGCTGGAGGCAATGGCAGTGGTAAAAGGAAGAGAGACGACGCTGAAGAAGTTTCCATGAAAAGGAATAGAAGAAGCTGCAATGCTGAGGTTGAAAGAAATGGTTCGCCGTCAAGTCCTCTGCATTTGCCGTCAGACTATTAATTATGGAGTCAGATTTGACGGGCATCTGGATTATATGGTTTCCGTTTTTTGGGAATACAAGGTCATAAAAAGTCATATTGACAATCAAAATATCCCTACACCTTATGGGGATGATGTTACTCTTCATCATAGTGGCAAATGTTCCATAGCTGCATATATCATCCTCAAATCAGGAACTCCATGTTCACTATGATAATTGTTTTTATTTAAAAAGGAAATAAATATAAAGCAAGAAAAATTCAGTTGCTACAGATGGGCCAACTTTATTTTTCTAATTTTTTGAAGCTATATATTGTGTTTGAACAGAAAATACAACTTCCGAAGATTTGTTTAGTGTCCATCGGCGGATGCGAGAATTTATCTCTAATCCATTGTGGCAGAGCGAGTAGCGTTTAATTGAACTTCCTCTCAGTGTCATGGATCAGACTTTGAATGCAGTCTGGCTATCATTGCAGAGCCCCAAACTTGATTAACTTTAGTTCGAGACTTCCCATTCGGGCCTCAGGGAATTGCTATTAGACTCAACAGTACAAGAGTCCAATCCTATGATAGGCAGGTACTTGGGCCTTTCAAGCACACCAAACCCACGATGGAGGATATCAAAGACCATCCCAATTCAATGAACAGTTGTCAATTTCACCTTTGACCCAAACCAAACAATGAGTTGAACCTGAGATGAGTCAGCCGACCTCAAATGCAGGTGAATGCAGTTGACCAGCAACCCAATGATGCAAAAACTATTAAATATAGGTCAAAGCTCAACGGTTCAATGTCAAAGGGCATTAGGTGTTGCAGCAAAATAAGAGTTACAAATTAATTAAGGTCTGAGTGCTTCGTTCTAATTCAATGAGCAATACGTCATTAACCAAAAAGATTAGTTTATGAACAATGCTCCCTCAGCTGACACACTAACTCACCCCACTTCGGAGAAACAATTCGAGAAGATATTTCGGTAGTTGACCTTTATCTATTTTATTTATTGGTCGGTATAACTTCGTTTTTGACCTTCTAATCTTGTGTTGCTGAGTTGCTGGGGGAGTTTTGGCATATGCGAATGTGAATCAAGTGGCAGCCTCAAGATGCCTTTCCGAGTATGAACTATAAAATGTAATCATTGTTCATAACTTGCTCGTAAGATCAAGGTCACCCAATTTTTCTTCCAACGTACGTAATTAATATATGTTAATTTTTCCAGTAGCATTTTAGTTTATATTATCCAGAAGAATGATACTTAATTACCATCGTGGTTGGACTGAGATCTTTCGTTGGGATGCAATATTTTAATGTAAGAAGCTTCCCTTTTTTTTTGACGAGCGCATTAAAGAACCGCACGAATGGTGCAAGGATTTATAGATTTTTATCCGTGGATGTGGAAACAGCAAGATGTGGCTTATTAATTGGTTTGATGTATTTACATTTCCCCACTTGGCGTTTAAATAACCCAAATCAGACAAACATACTCGCGTGCTAAACAATCAACTAAAGGGAGAAGAAATTAAAGAATGGTCTTTTGTACTACCTCCACTCCTTAATATAAAACCTTGTTTAACTTTTATTTTGATCCTAAATATAAGACCCTAATTCGCTTTATCTCTTATATCTATATTTTTTTTTCTAAGGTAGTCCTTATAATAGTGATAGTTCTAATCAATACACTTAATTAGTAAGAATATTTTAGAAAAAAAACACCTATTTATTATAAATAACTAACTTAATTTCTTGTCTTAATCTCCTCAAATTAGTCAACTAGCTCTTATAATTAAGACGGAGGTAGTATTTCCTTGAAATGCAGAGCACAGTGGTGGCATCTAAATGCCTTTTACATTGGTCAATAACAAAAAAGCCCAACAAATGAAGCACGTTTCTAGCTAAACATGATAATGGCTTCTGAGACTCTCACGACTTTTGAATCAACTTAAGTTAGTGCGATTGATAAAAAAATGTTGTCTTGTGAATAAGTTTCGTGAATACGATTTTCATAGTTTGTACGTACAACAAGAATATATAAAGGATATATACCTGTTGTCACTTAAACATGGAAAGAGATTAATTTCAAGATGCGAAATCTTTTATGCACATTTTTTTTTGAAAAATTCATCAGATGTGCTATCATATAATAATAATTATTTTATCTATACATAGCTTATTCAAAATTCAAATACCATGTGGAAAATTTGAATGAAAGACAGAAACTTCCAAGAGAAGACAATGTAAATCGGCAAATTGTATATGAAACTAAAACTTGACAAAAGCCTACAATTTAGAAATAATTTGGATGCATAAAAAGTAAAACTACAGCAATTATGAACACTAATTCCAATATAATATATTGATGTGGAGACAAGGCTCGGACAAACTTTATATAAAGGTTCAAGGATGGCTGCCAAAAAAAGAAAAGAAAAAAAAATCTATCAATATTATATATGTGTACAATATAATATAATATTATTGGTTCCCCTAAAATTTCTATCGACACATACTAAAACTATAATCTATTACTTGTTAGAACGTCGAATGCCATATTATTGTCTATTATTATTAGTTGTGTCCCTAGAGCGAAGTCCCTAAGCAAGTTTGATTAGACCGGATGAATAATGGTGTTGGGCTTTAACCGAACCACATGTCTGCTTCGGCTGAACGCGGATGGAAGAAAGTGTGCTTAGAGTGATCAAGTGTGCCGTCCACTACTTTGCCAAGAGAGCGGCAACACAAATGAAAGGGTTAATTAGTATATTAATCCTAACACTATAGTTAATCAAGTGCCTTTCTCGCCTTTGGCTTCCACTTTGGGGGCAATGCTTTGCTGCTCATCAGTTCAGCTCTAACTCCGAAGTCAGCCTGTTTACTACTTTGTCGGCATCAATCCCTAATAAGCCGCCTTCTCATATCAAACACACTGCATTATTATTGCATACAGATCAGAGGCCATTCATCAGTAGTATTAGAGAGCATAAAGACAAGTTGTGGCCCAGATTACGCGTTTTGTGTCGGTGCTTTTCAAAGCATATAGGCCCAGAAGAGGTAAATTTATTAACCATGCATCGCTTATACAAAAAGGCAAACGTGATCGATCATGTCGAACAAAAAGGATATCTGCACCTGCACGAGAATTCATCATGATCATCAAAAATAATAATGCATCATTATGAGGGTGCATGCATGCATTCTCGATCTTAGCCAAAAGGCCCAGAAAGGTGTGAGAGTGCATGCATTGCAATCGATCTGCAATCCTACATATAATTTAAATAAGCTTCCATGAAAATGATTATCCAGCTATCTCTTGCATGCTAACTGTTGTTGAGCAAGTGATTAGAGCGGGCTTAGTTCTTTTATCCTGCGGAATCTTTACTGCTTTTGAATCTACGGAGCAAGCTAAGTATGAGACATTCACTGTGAATGTGTGATTAATTGCAGCTAAGTTTCCTTTTTTTAGAATTATATTTCTCAAAAAAATAAACACGAATATATCTTTTTATTAGAGATAATCATATCTGAAATATCATTAAATACTATATGTAGACACTTTTTTTAGGTCAAAATTTAAATATTGGTTTGCCTTAAAAGGGACTAATCCCTTCCGCCAAATCCAACCATATTAGTTGAGAAAGAAAAGCTTATTTGTTTGGAAAAATACTATATTCTTAATTAAGGCGCATTTCGGTAGAGCTAGAGCAAAGAAAGAAGAGCTAATCATGGCAAAATATAACGGGGGTATGGCTTAATATTATAATTGAGAAAGTAAAACTAGTGAATTGAGTAAATCCATGAGCGGAAAATGGGACAGAGTTTCAAATTAAAGGCATGTCGTTTTTACTACGTGGACCAAATTTGATAGCTGCCATTGAATCTGGACAAGTGAAGTGACTTAACTTTATTCAAATCTTAGTCACACGTCTCACCATAAAATAATTTAAATCTCTCATACATCACTATCTCATCCAGCGCTTTCTCTTATCACTAACACTGTAGTTACATTTCCAGTTCGTCATCGTTTTCATCCGTTTTATCGTCATCTTTCATGTCATTTCCCACCAGCGAGTATTTCTTAATCCCAATGTATTCATTTGTTTTCTCTCACGCGCGATAGGAATATATATATATATATATAGACACACACACACGAGAAAATTACAATTCTAGCTGGTAGTCGATCGCTTGCATTAATTCCATTCGATCATTTTCACGGAACCAGATTCTGAAATCTGCATGCGCTTGGATAGAAATATTAGTCAAATGGGGAATATTGTGGGATTTGGTGACGTGGCATTGTATTGGATTAAAGTAGAATGACCAATCTGATCGTTATTGACGGTCAATTTTCCACACACTAACGTAACCTCGAATGGTTTGCGGATCAACTAATACTAATACTAATGCTAATCGTATCTCACTTTTTTCCTGTCCTCATCTTTGAACCTAAGAATCCAAGTATCAATCTCACTCACAAAGACAGCTCCATAATTTGCTTCATGCCCGGCCGCGTGCACCAATCACAAGTTAACATCATGGCATCCAGCCCCCGCGCCGATGATCAATGCGAATATCAGTTATTTAATAATCTTCGTGTTAAATTGTAGCTGGTTAAACTATAAGCTTTGATTCAAACCAAATCTATGTATCCTCAAAAAAGAGATATCTCAGTTTTAATCATAACCCCACCACCCTTGAAAAGTCACCAACCCGAAAAGTGGGGTGTCACTAGAACCATCCGCGTTGAACGGTCTCCATGTATATATATGGATATATCACACCAGTATACGTGTCGGCAGAGGGCGGAGCCACCGCAAATACGGATGGCCACGTCATCACCGAATCCGATCATCCCCTGGTCACCACCCTCTCGGTGTGAACTGTGACGGGGAAAAGGTAAGTGGATAATGGCAGCCCCTCCAATTTGAGGCATGAGAACTATCAAATCAATATATTAAATGAATCAGCCAAGGCAAGGTGTTATCATTATTAATAATTATTAATATTGTGGTGTGGCCGTATGGTTGACCTTTCTTGTTTTAGTGGGTGCGTGCAATGAAACGAGAAGCAAAAGCAATGGTAGACCACACGAGGGG